CGTTTCAGCAGCACCGTGTAAACCGGCCTTTAGAACGCGCTGTCTCTTACAGCAAGTTCTAAGAAGTAAGAACTTGCTGTAAGTTCCTTACAGCGAGTTCGAAAAACGTGCTGCTACAGGAAAATAAACAACAAATAAAATTTATCGCAAAAATAAGGCATCAGTGTTGGCTTGAAAATGGCAATCGATGATGTTTAATATAAAAATCAAATGCCATCAACCCAGAACTCTAAAGCCGTTAACTCTAAACGCTACGCTCCAAACTACATATTTTGATTAATAAAGATAGAATCTTGCGGTTTGTGTAAATTTGTGTAATTCATTTTAAGAGAAATCAACATATCCTTCTTAATTTTCATGCTACAGGACGATAAGAAGAAGATTGCATTTCAGACACCCCTCGTATATCGTTAGCATAACATGTAAACGAATCGTTATAGAACTTTTCACGTAGAATCCGCGGGCTTATTTACTTTTTATCCTAATATTTCTATCAATATATGATCAAGCCCATGTTTATTTAATTTTTAAATAAGACACCCTGTATATTTGAACTAAATAGTCATTTGAATGAATCAACACCGTTCAAAAATAAACCAAGAAAAAACATATAATCATATAATAACAGTCAAGGGGCAGCATTGTGTGCATAGTGTGAATGGCCTTCTACAAATATTTAGGAGGCTAATATAAAATGAATTTTTGGAAGCTTGTAAAAAGACATTAATTTCTAGATAAACACACATGAAGTGTCCTATTTAAAAAAAAACTAAACAATGGTCGCTATTTCACAAATAGAAATATTAAGAAAAAAATAAGGTACGAGGGGTAAATAACCAACTGCATGTTTTGTTGCAGTATCACCCTGTAGCAGGAAAACAAAGTAGACCACAAGAATATTGTTTGTGGCACAATAAATTTTTCAAAGAAGTGATCGTGAAAATCGCAAGGTTCCATCTTCATTATACAAGCGAAACATCCCACATTTGCTACCAAAATGGGACACTCTGTATAGTGTTAGCTTTTATTTTATTCCGCTTTTAAAAAGACATTAATTAAAATTTTAAAATATATAAATATTAACATTTATTAAAAAAAGAAAATATTTTTTTTAGTCCAGTGTTTATACCACCGCTATTATAAAGCCTGTTAAATATTGGACAAAGTAAATTGCTAACCTGTACAGGGTGTACCATTTGCTTTAGGGAGTTTCTAGCTTATGAACGCAGATAGAGAAAAAGTTGAGATTTTCGCAATAGTTGGCTTCTTATTGATGTAATTACAGATATGAGGAAGAGGACTGTGATAAATGTATTATCCCAGCCCTCTTAGTTTCTAAGCTACAGAATCATTTTTATAAATATTTAAAAAATTATAAGCAAAAGTGAATTTTTATAAAAAAAAATCTTTCAGATGAAATTATGTTCTTCAGTTATCAACGGAAGGTGTATTTTATATATTTTATGTACAGGTTGTCAATCAAAATAAGGTAATTGCACACAATTTACCTCTATAAAAAAGTGTTTCGTTTGTCCATTAGAGATCATCAAAATTTAAAAATATGAACATATTTTTTAAGATAAAAACAGTTGCTTTGAAAAGAACGTTACACTGAATTATGTTTTTACATTTACAATAAGTTTTTATATCTGAATACAAGGGACGGTTGAAAGTTGAAAGCATTTATCAAAATCACCCTGTAGCTCAAAAACTAAGGTTATAACATGTGATTTAAAAAAAAGTAAAAAAAACTACGTCAAATGCGTCTGGGGAATGACAATCGATGATTATTTTGGCGAGGTCAATCTCTAACGTCATTTAGTAAAATTTTACATAAAACTTCAATATCAACACTAATTATAGAAAGAATAAAAAAGGATAGAACGGTTCTAGACACAAATTATTTCCAAAAAAATATTTTTTTCCTGTAATTTTAAACTACGCCATTTAAGAATCGTTTTTACTAGGTTTTTACTCAATATAAAAATAAATTACAACCTTCTTAAGGGCAATTGGCAGTAAGCGCCATTAAACAATAAAGAAGAGGACGGGCCAAGAAAATAAAGCCTAGGACTCGAGTTCGCAAAAAATTGTCATCGTCATTCCCCAGCCGTTCATGACGCTGTTTTTTTTTCGATTGTAGGGTATTTTATAAAAAATTAGTAGCCACTGCGAAAACCGCTACTTCCTATCTCCGTTCATAAGGGACAAATACTATAAACCATTAGATACCCATGTTAAACGGTTTCGTCATTTCCACATTTAGTTGCAATTAAGGGCTTTCTCGCTTATTAGTAAAAAATACTAAATGTCGAACTCGTTACTTAAATGAACCCATTATTTTTTTCTTCAAACCAAAAATACAGTACACAAAATTGACATGGCCCTCTTAGTTTCCATGATACAATGTGTGCAATTTTACACACACCTCATATTATATCAGTAGTCTGAAAACTTATCATAGAGGCATAAGAATAAGTTTTTTCTTACTATTTTTTTCACACACCCTGTATACTTGTCAAAAAAATAATCTTCGTCCTTCACAAGCTTTCAAAATACATGTAACAGTATATTTTAGTTAAAAGCTGCAGAATTAATAATTTTAAAATTAGACAAATAAAAATTTACATTGGACCATGCCAAAACAATGCTGTTTTTATGTTTTAATTCGCCAAACCAATTTTGATCTATTTAATTTTTAAATGAAAAGTTTAAACAAAGCACAAACAAATAAATACAAATAAACAATGACATAGAATATAGCAAAATTTGTATTAAACTGTTATTTACCTCTGTAATTAAAAACTGTGACTTATGGTGGCTTGTGAGAAGATAAATTAATTTCCTGACAAATATACTGGTTGTCCCATTTATAAAAACTAAACTGTAGTCGATATTCAAAAAAAAAATATTTAAAAAAATTAAAAAAGAAGTTCCATAACAATATGTTTTTAATTTATTGATATATTGTCAGACTACTGAAATATGAGATGTATCTGAAACTGTAATATTCTAAAAAGGGACCGTTGCAATTTTATTTTTCATAAAAATCAAGTTTATAAAAATCGCAATGTCCTATCCTTACTAATGAGCGAGAAAACTCTCAATTGGACAGTCTGTACAATATTATTGATTGATAAAGCAAGCGCCAATACTTTCAATGAAGCACGCAAAGTGGAAATGATAAAATGACGGAAAATGCACTCATGAGGAAGTGACAAATACCATTCACATGAGTATACAAGACACTGCGTTATAATTTAGAGCATAGCCGTTAGTTTTTTCTTGATTACAATTTATATAAACATTTTAACAATGGAAGTTTTTATAAGATTTGTTGTTTATTTTCCATTTAAACTAATATAAAATTAAAAATTGCATAAATTAATTAATCGCTCATCGCATGAATTAAAATTATACAAAGAAAAATTGAAGTGAATAGTTGATAAATAAATAAAAAACATATTAAATAACAAGGTAAACTTCTAGTTAACTGAAATTTTAAATGGCTTTAAAATGTGCTCTAATATTACCGGCATATTTTTTGACTGAAGTGAAAATCTCAAATAGAACGCCTAGTTTATTTAACACTGAGCCACCCTGTAGTAATTTAAACGATTTTTTTTAATTGAAATTTGAAAGCAATACTTACTTAGAAAGCAATAAACAAATTATATTAATTATTCTGCAAATTTTAACTTTTAAGGTGTTTAAATGAGTAAGAATCGATTAGGCAACCAGTTATACCAAAATTTAAAGAAATTGAGATAACTATTTTCAGATAATTCTTCTATGTAAAATGAGCTTTATATAATTAATTTAGGCAATTTTCTATTGGAGTACAGTGATAGATTAATCATTACACAATTACAAATGTTAATTCCTTCACTGACTAAATATTTAAAGATTCCAAAACTACAGTTTACAGCCGTAAAATTAGTTCAGATAATTGATAAGTGCTAATTAAATAAATTATTCCAGAAAAAGCTTGCCAGATGCATGTAAAACAACAGATAATTTGAAGTAGTCATTACTTAAGCATAATTTTTTTAATATATTTCTAAATATTCACAATGCCACAATTTTGTTATTTATAAGGTAAATAAAGTATATTATTATAAAATTAAGGGTGTTTTATTTAAATAGCAGAGAAAGACATTATATTATATTTAGCTACCAACATATAAAGAATTTTAGTATATTTTTTTTGATCTTCTGTTATATAAAATATTTTCATTTAAAAAAAAAGACTATAAATTTGTGAAAGCTTTAAAAATGTACAGGAAAAATCTAAAATAGCAATAGAATTAAAATTTAAATAACATTTCATTTAAATACTACCAATATAAAGCAAAAATATATTCACCCTGTGTATATCTACGAACTGGCTTTAAAATATGATCTACTATCTCTCGTATGTTTCATTAAAAAAATTCAGTGAAAATCTCAAACTGAACACCTAACATGATTATTTTTGGAACATTGGGTCACTCTGTAGTAAATTATTCTTTTTTACCTACTAAAAATATGATTCTTAATTAGCTGATTAATTATTAGACATGACAAAAAAATATTAAAAATTAAAAAAGAAATGACTGTAAACGAAGTGCTCAGAACCTCTAAAATACTTACAAAATATAGATGTATACAAAACATTTTTATAACAATGTACAGCAATAGATCACAATAATATACAGAAAACAGATAATAACATTTATACAGAAATAGTACAATATGATCGAATAAAAATGGCGTCGGCAATGGCTATGAAATGAAGATCGCTCATTTTATATGTAAAATTATAAGCGAAATGTAATTGATGCTCGCATTTCCAAGTCAACTGGACGCCGTTTTTTTTTTTCGATCATACGCTATATTGTTTTATTAGGAGTAAAAATGATACTTTTTGCGGCGAGACTGTACGTTCGACATTACAGGCGAGGCACAAAAAGTTATTTTTACTCTGAATAGAACATGTTTTTTTCAAACGTCACAAATAATTTTTTAAACAATTTCAAACATTGCAAAAAATATAAAAATATTTAAAAGTAATACCTTGTAAGTAATTATATATCGAGAAACTATAGTTACGCTCGTTAAATTTGACACTACTTCAACCACGTCAATCACGTGGCAAAAATTAATACTTTTGTGACGTTTGAATTATTATATTTGATAATAATAGGGATCTTCAAATTTATTTTGCTTAATTAATGTTATAAAATAATATTATTTATTTTCAGCAAAAAATATTTAGAAATACCTATTTCTTATTACAGATAGCAAAGTTAAGCTATAGATCACTATTATTAACAAAATATTTAAAACAATATTTATAAAATTCTAATACATGAAATAACATACAAAATTGGTATTAAAATATATTTTTTGTGACATTTAAGGGGTATAAAATCTATGTCACAATATTTTAAATTTTGAAAGGTCACCTGAAAAAACATATGCCACATATAAAACTAGAATTATTTTTTGTGTGAAAAATGTTAATTCTTACAATTTAAATTGGCTTATGATATTTCAAATGATCCTACAATAAATATATTATATACCCAACAGACTATTTTCATATTTAAAATTATTGATAAATTTTAGGAGATAAAGTTTGTTTCATATTTAAAAATAAAATTATATAGTAATTAAAAAGATAAGGTGTAATTAATTATCTTAAACGTAAGTGTAACGATTTTATTAACACATAGCAAACAGCAGTTTGTATTATTCAGAGACGATGGGTCGTAGAGGTCTAATAGAGATGTTAAATAAATATGAAAAAAATATAGAGATATTTCAAATACTAAAATTGAGAGAAAAAATTACTACTGGAAATGAGATTTTTTTTAATAAAGTAATATTAATAAAATTTGCTTTAATGATTAAGAACATTATATAAGAATCAATTAGGCAACCAGTAATACTAAAAAAAATGACAAAAGAAATAATTTATGCAATTTTGATTGGAGTACAGTATATTAACTATCACACACAAAACATTGCATATAACCAACTGCAATTTTAATATAAATATACTTGAATCGCACAGTATATCTACGAAAAATAATTTTAAATGTGTCCTAACATTGTTCACATATTTTTTAAAAAAATTGAAATGAAAATATCAAAGAGAAAAATATTTTTATATGAAAATGTTAATAATAAAAAAGCTCTTGTAAAGACGTTCCGGGGACACACTATATAAAAGAGAATTCTGAATATAAAAAAAACAATGCATGAAGTGCATTGCTCTCTGTGTTAAAGAAAAAAACTTTATCACTAAAATTTAAGTACAAAATAGATATAAACATAAACGGTTTAAAATCATATAAATTGATTAAAAACATCTGTTAGGGTACCAAAAATAATTCTCAAAAGCAAAAATAAACTATATGAACACAAGTATCCAAAATTGATTTAGTAAAAAGAATGATTTCAAAAAAAAATAATTAATTTCTAATAGCTTGACATTGGTGTTCAATAATCACATTTAATTTTTATGAAAAAATATTAAATTGACCATTAACTATTAAATTATCATTTTGTTTGAAGATATAGTTAGTTAAATTCTATAAAATTTAGTTTTGCGTTAATACAATAAATGAAATATTAAAAAACATAAACATTAAAAATAATACTTGTGTTCATAGAGCTATAGTGACGCAGCTGCGCAAGTATAAAAATTATAATTTTGATAATCTGGAATAAAGTTAGAGAAGCTTAGGAAAATATAAATAGTACAAAATAAAAATAAATTGGAAATGATAAAAGCCTATAAATATTGTTTTTTGATTCTTTTGAAAAATACCTTTGACGAAATCCAGAATACAATATAGTTTTATTTAATAACAATTTAATGATTGAACTAATGGAAGTAAATATCAGATAGGTGAGATTGAAATACAGCTTGAATGAAAAACTATAACAAATTAGTATTATGTTGCTCAACATATCCTCCATAAAGATTATTGCATTGATTTGAATGATTTAAAATTAATCAAACATCCCTCAAACTAGAGGCAACTAGATATTAAGTAAAGCATCAAAATAAATAAATATAAAGACAATATTAACAGAGATAATGGTCCTATTCATAAAATAAAGTGTATTGCTCTTAACTAGAGTTTTATATTGGCAAAAGCTTAAGGAAAAAAAAAGTTTCTATCCAGATTATCAAAATTTTACAAAAAATTAACATTAAAATGACGCCTGATATATTTAAATAGTTAAGAAGATGATAAAAACCAATAAACACATTTATTGAAACAATAACATTGTTAATGAAGCTAACGAACCTTGGTGAGGCATTGAGAGTTGAGTCTTCTTCGTGTTGAGTGAAAGAGGAAAGTGAGGAGTAGGAGCAACTGTTGATATCGATTGTTAAGAAAATGCCGAGATATCTAAAAAATAAAACAAAAATAATATTAAAAAATGTATAAAATGAACTCTGTAAAAATTAAAATAAATATATTTTTAGTAATGCAATAACTATGTTTTATAAATGAATAATTTGTATATACACTATGTGAAAAAAAAAACAGCATCATAGTTGCTTTTGAAATAACAATTGATGACAATTATTTCTGCCAGGTAGACCACAATCCACAATATATCATTTATAAAAAATTGGTATAAAAATTTATATAAAATTAAATAATAAAAAGTTAAAAAAACAAGATTCATATTTTTTTAATTAAGTTAATCTTTTCACCTTTGCATAATAATTGGTATGTTTGAAAACTTTTTATTTTGATACATTTAAATAATACTTTTGACAAATTTTTATATCAATTTTTAATAAACGACATATAGGAATAGACGTTGGCCTCATAGACTTGTGCAGCTTGAATATTATGAAAACTTATCATAATTTTCAAGCTTGTCAATGAAATTTAGTAAGAAAAAAATAGAGATAAATAACTTACCAGTTATGAAGGACTGCCACCATACTAACAGCTATTAAGTACAGTCCTAAATGGTCTTTCTGAGTCTTTTCCTGCAAGTTTCATTCCATTTAAAGCTTTTTACTGTCCACCATAATATTTGCAGATAGTTAGGCTTGTGGATTTATAACAGCAATTGTCCCATCGTATATCTAAAATTCCAAAAAAATATTAGGTAAATTTTTACTATACTAATTTTTGAAGATATCTGAAAACAAGATTAATAAAAACAAAACAAAAAAGATTAATTAAAATTATATTTATTAAAATATAATTTTAATGAAAACTGCGAATGTTGACAATTTGGCGAAGGATTTTTTAAAATAATTGTGTGTTGTAATCAGTATAAGTTGTGTGAAAATAAATCCGTTAAGTATTTTATCGTGAGTTTAAATTAGTGAGCCCACGCAATCCGTAACAATATGCAACCAGTAATACAGTATCAGCATTTTATTTTGTCTTGCCTATTTTTAATAGTTAGCTGTTCTAATATTAGAACAAAACAGCTTGAATATTAAGCTGTCCAATGAAATTTTATAAGATAGATAAATAACTTACCAATGACGAAGAACTGGATCCGCTCTAACAGCGATTAAGTTGCAGCAGTTCAAAATGGTTTTCCTTGATTTTTTCTGTACAAGTTTCATTCCGTTTAAATCTCTTTCATGACCACCATACATATTACTTGCAGCTAGTACGACTTATTTGTTTCTAATAGCAATTGTCCTTTCGTTTATCTAAATAAAAAAAATATATTAGGTCATTTTTATTAAAGCAATTTTTGAAGCTATCAGAAAACAGACAACAACATAAATCATCCCGTTGCTGCCAAAAGTCACTAACTTACTTTTTATTAATTCCGAGAAAAATGCGTCTAAAGATGAATTGCATTGCATAAAGATGTTATAGTTAGTAACTATTCGGTATTAAAATAAAACATAAATAGCCAGAAATCTTAGTTAATTACTTTTGCAATCGATTCTCCACTTCAAAACATAGTTAGTGATTGAATTTGGTTGTTCGGAAAAATGTTAGTTAATGACTTTTGGCAGCAATAGGACGAAATTATCTTAATATTTGGAACTATGTAAGATAACAAATAAATAATACACATTTTTTATATTAATTTGAATAAGTTATAAAGAGTTATATAAAATTAAAATAAAGACTTTTATTGATAACTTCAGAAATGATATGAAAAATTGTAAAATTCCTTGATAAGAAAATAAAACATTATTATAATGAGTTAATTATAATTCAAAAAATAAATATTTAATTTTCTAAGATACCCTATGATCGAATAAAAACGGCGTCAGCGATTTTATATGTAAATTAATATGGGAAATATAATCGATCGTCATTTCATAGCCATCGCTGACGCCGTTTTTATTCGATCATACGGTATATAGAAAAAGAAAAAATTAATATTTAGTAATAACTTGTAAATTTATTGTGTTATTTTGGTGACAACTTTAATAATTTTGAAATAAATTTAGAAGATATGCAACCAGTAAAACACTGTTAACAGTGTATTTTTTTTCACTTTAACTGGCCATAATTTTTTGAGCTCAAATATAAATTTAAAAATATATATATAAGTTTTCCAGTCAAGTTTTAATACGGTTTTATTATTATAAATGTCATACACTCTCAAGTATCATCCAGTTATTGGTAAAACCACGTAAAACTGTATAATTTTAAGTGAAATGCCCAATAAATTAAAAAAAAAATAAACATAATTTTGGTGTATTTTTTTATTAAATTTTGATAAACTATTACAAAGAAAGGGCACGAGTGTCTTTCAGAAATTAAAAAATGTGCCATCTAATATATTTTTAACGTATATAGGGTCTTCCATTTAAAAAATACACATTAAAACTTGAGCTAAAACTTTATAGTTTCTTTTTTTCAATGAATGTTCTAGCTTCCAAAATAAAAAAGTTAAAACCTGTTAAAATTTAGGGCAAAATAAAATGTTAACACTGTACAAACTGCAGAGTATAATATTCTGCAAAATTTAATAATTTTACAGAATTTTCATACTTATCAATGCCATCTTATTACAATATATACAGGGTATTTCAGGTAACTAGTTCATTAAAAGTGTTTTAAAATGAAATTTAGTCCAAATTAAACTAGTTATAGACTTAGGAAAATATATACCGCGAAAAACTTTTAATGAACCAATTGTATGAAAAAAACCCCTGTATATAAAATGATCAAAATAACTTACCATTATTAAAAGGCAACAGATGTCGAGTTCAACCCTGGTTCTATTGACTGAAATGTACGACTGACATTTTTCTGTATCCAATCAAAAATTTTCCGTCAAAGCTGCAACTTGTTTGTTGAGACTTGTGAGAGCAGCTGTCAAAACGTCCATTACCATCCATTTCTTTAGGTGACTAAAAGCACAAAAAAATAAATAAGTAAATTTTTATGACGTCAGTTTGTTTATACTAAATTTATCATAATTTTCAACCTTGTCAAAGAAATTTAATAAAAAAAAGGGATAAATAACTTACCATTGATCATTGATGAAGGACTGCATCAACTCTAAGAGCTATTACGTATACAGTCTAAAATGGTTTTCCTTTATTTTTCCTGCAAGTTTCATTCCATTTAAAGCCTTTTGATGTCCACCATGATACTAGTACTACTTGTTGACTTCCAACAGCAATAGAATAGTCCTGTTGTATAACTAAAATTAAAGAAAATATTAGGTAAATTTATTTTAAAGCAATTTTTGAAGATTTCTGAAAACAAAAAAATACATTAAAACTATGTAAAATCATAAATAAAAACCATTAATAAGTCATATTAAACCAACAATAATGATCTTAGATAGACTTAAAAAGGAATTATTAGTTAATTTCCTCTAATAAAAAATAATTATAATTTTTATATTTGCGGTTTTAATGATCGAAAAAATATAAATAAGGTTTTTGCTTTACTAAAAATAACAAAATTTAGTGGAAACTTTCATAATTATTTAAAATAGATTTAAAAATTATGCATTTTTTCCAAGATCGCCGATATGCAACCAGTAATACAGTGTATGTATTACTGAGCTTGAATTATGATGGAAAAATAATCATTTTTCAGCATTTTCAAGCTTTCCAATGAAATTTTATAAGAATAAGTTGATAGGCATAACTTACCATTATTAAAACGCAAGAGGTGTTGAAGTCGGTCCAGTAAAAGACATTTTTCTGTGTCCATTAAAGATTTTCCATGAAAACTGGAACTTGGATTAATAACAGCAACTGTCAAAACGTCCATTAACACCAATTGGTATGGATAGCTCACTAAAAATACAAAAAAAAAATTAAGTAAAGTAAAAGTAAATAAAGTAAAAAAAATTTTAAAGCAGTTTCTCATCATATTTTTCTTAATATTTTAAGTAGATATTAAAAAAAATACAACTGCAAGTAACAACTCTTTAAAATATTATCAAATTTTCATAGATTTTACAAAAAGGAAGTACTTATACTAGATAAAATTGTTTGATGCACATATTTGTATCATAAGTATATTTTGAGATTAAAAAAAATATTAATATTTTTACAAGTTATTTTTATTTTTAAGCCTACAATTTTGCAGTTAAATACAAAATTGCAGATCTTATTATGCATTGCAAATGCATAATAAAAAAAAAAGATAAGATAAATAACTTACCATTTTTATAGCATAATGGTAATGGAGGCCAATCAATCTAAGTACTATTGATTGTATCTTGAAATTGACATTTGAGGACAAGTTTTTCACTATCATTTCATTCAAAACATTTCTTGATATTCCTCAAACTTATGTACAGTAGTAACTCATTTGCAGAATTGTAACAACAACTGTTAACGCCCAGTACATCACTCGAACAAATATCTAAAAATTAAAAAAAAAATCAATATTTAAATTATTATTTTAATTTGTATACATCTAAAAATTAAAATAAACAGGAAAAATTGAAGTATCAAATTAGATTAAACTAAATAAAAAAATATAATAATTTTCCAATTAAATATTGCATATATTATGCATAGCGAATGTCGACAAATTGGTGAAGGATTTTTAAATAGTTAATTGTTGAGAAAATAAATTCGTCAAGTATTTTATCCTGAGTTTAAATTAGAGGACCCACACAATCCGTAACAATACCTATTAAAATATTTGTATATAAATTCAAAATATTAAACTTGTAAATAATGAATACTTATCATAATTTTCAAGTATTCCATTAACTTTAAAAAAAAATATATATAATTTGTTAAAACTTACTATTTTTGAAAGATATCTGTGTTGTGGAAGCCAATTTAAGGTCCTGGTACTACCGCAGCCTAAACTGGTCTTTTATGAGCTTTTCCCAGTTTAAATTCTATCAAAACTTCTTTGGTGTTCCTAATAATTCATCCAAGTTGTTATACCAGCTGCCATTTTACATTTTCACCAACAGAATATGCTTGTATAATAACAATTAAATGAAACTTGATGTCCAAGATCAAAATAACATCTATAAAAAAAATAAATGTTGTGATAAGTATTTATTTTTAGTGACAAGATGAAAAAAAATACCTCATTATAGTTGCTCCAAATGTCATTCAAAAAACATCAGTTAAATGAACAAAATCCTCCTCTTTCCATCAAACATCTTCTATCTCCTTTCCATCTATTTCACAGCAATCCTCTTCCATTTTCTCTATCCTCTTCTATTTTCCAAGCCTCACCAATTCTTATTCTACTACTTATATAACTAACTTATACAAATTTCAGGCGTCTTACAATCATTTTTTAAAAGGGGAAATAGGAATACTATCGCTACAACAAACACCTACGCCAGCGCACCTACCTAAAAAAAGGAAAACACTTTTTTAGTCAAAGAAAAAGATAAATATAAAGTTATATAAATTTACCTGATGACATCTCGAAGATGGCCCTAATCCTGCTATTGTCCCCAAAATATTCATTCCAAAGCAGTTTAGTAATAAAAAGATTTATGCAGGAGCAAAATAAATTTTACTAATACTTTATTTTTAATGATTATAATGTAAAGTTACATTCTTTATTAATTTACCTTCAATTAAAAATTACTATTAAAAGAATTAAGTAATATTATCAATTTTAAAATAAGACAAGAAATAATTATTTAGAAATATAATAGTAAAACAATATGCTATGTAATTTTGTTTCTTTGGAGTTATTTTTTTATTATTTATTTATTATTTCTAAAAAACTTTAAATTAAAGCCTTTTATAGAGTAAGAAAAAAAGTAAAAATATATGTAAAAAACTGCAAATTAAAAAATGAATACTTAATGCCGTATTCTATAATGTAGAGAACCTAAAATTACTGCTTTGGAACTACGACGCGAACCGAATTTTTGAAGTTCTCCAAGCCACACTGTATCACCTGTAAAAGAAAAGGAATAATATTAGAATATTTCTGACAAATACATATGCTAGAAGAAACAAAAAACAAGCTATAGACAACAAAAAAAAACAACGTAAAAATATAAAAACTCACCATCATATCGTGCTCAAGTTCATTTTCAGTCCCACTATAATAATTATCCGGCGAAAAAACAGTGTCGTCTCACTGCTATGGGGCACATCGAAAGCCCCTAACTCCATGGACTTCGGTCAATCCTCTAGAGTTGGCATTAAACACGTTTTCCAGGTATTCGACGGTCCCTGGAACAATCCGAAATTTTTTGGGACTGATCATATGCAGCATGTAGATAGAATTTCTGTCTTCTTCAATCTTGTTTTTTTAAAATCGCGCTCCGAACCCGGGTTGTCCTAAAAAATGGAAAAAAAATTAGTTATATAAGTAACTACAAGTTAAATATTAGAATTTAAATTTATATCTACTATAAGTTTTAAAAGAGTTGCTCTAATTACTATACAAGATATTGTACTTTAAATTGAAGCTCGTGTATGTTGTAACAAAAAAACTAAAATATACAACACTTATATAAAAGAATTTTGATTGCTATATGATGCGATAAAAAAGTTATTTGGTAGAGAGTACATGCAAAAGTTTACAATTTAATGTAATATAAAAAAATTAGACTTACTTTTAACAGGTTTAAGTTAGGCCTGGTTATGCTTGCCTCCTCCCGACATTTTCTGCCTTCAAAATTCGACGCGGGATAGACCAAAAGAAAAAACAAAAAATGTTTCCACGACCCGCCTGCGAGTGTGTGCTGGTTGCCTTCCTTATGCAGATTCGACCCTTTGGTCGACGATTAAGCCTCACCAGTCAGTTCCCATCCCAATTAAGCCGCTTCGTCTGGGGTCACCCTCGTCACCCGTCGGACGGACATCCACCGGGACCCCCTACAGGCGGACCCCCCTCATCATCTTCAATGTGTCCGATATCCCGCCCCCTGCCTCTTCGAGGGTCACGGAATACGTGCACGAAGAAATCTCGGAGCTTGGGTGCCAGGTTGTATCCGGCCGAAGCCTCTAGCATTAGAACACCTAGCTCGTAAACCAGAGGGTGGTGACTCCCTTGGGTACCTCTGCATGCTACACAGGTCATCGATGCCCGAACATCAGGGTTAGGGGGTGACCCAAGAAGTCTCCTCTCTTGGGGAAGGCCGCGCCGCGCTCTGGAATCATCTAGTCCGGGGATCCACACCGACAAAAACACTGTTAACCAATCGCATCAGCTAACAAAATGAACTAATGTTGAGTTAGGAAATTTTATTAACCAACACAGAGAGCTAGCAATGCTCGTGTGAGTGTGGAAGAAGTGTGGTGTTGTGGAACTATTAATAACGCGCCTAAAAAGAAAAAATGTTGAAATATTCATAGATACTATTCTAAGCTGTAGACTGAAATATTACAACAGTATAAAAAATAATCATTATAAATTAAGCTGAGATAGGGCATTTATACATTCATAAAAATTAACTGTTTTATATCCTCCGAAGTTGTGAACTCTGATTTTTATTTTACATAACTTGGATATTGTCTGTAATCTGTAATATATCATATACTAATGAACTATAAAATATACTAAGTTATAATACCTAAATTTGCAAATAGTGTCATGTTAAAAGTGCATTTAGTGACAATAAAACCCCTTAATAAGAAATAAAAAGCTAGAAAAGTCAAATAGAATATTTCTTAGAATTTTGGAAAACAACAAATAGCACAGTACAAGAAAAAATACAGTACGATACCACCAGAGTATAAAGATATAAGATCATACTTATAATCTAGGTACTATTACAACGTACCGACCTATCAACCTACAATTAAGTTAAAAAATTTGAATATACCTAGAATGGAGAACTACCTAATTTTAAAAAACATGTAGAAACAGAATTAAAATGTGCCAATGTGTGTAATATTACATAACGCGTCTAAAAAGAGAAATATTTTTAAACGCCATCAGATATAAATTGAAAACTCATACAATGCAAGTAGTAGTTCATACATAAAAATGGCAACACACATTAACAAATTTTATAGAAAGATTTTGTTACAAAAATACAGTAACAATTGCTTTATTTGTGCAATGCCAATTTAAAGCAAAAATGATTAGCCAACACAAAAACCTTTATTTTTTAAGTGTAAAAAGAAGTTACATAGAGGATAGTGACCTGATATTTAATACTTATAGCGCGTGTTAAAGAGATATATTTTAAAATAATATCAGAAATTATTAGAAAAATTCTGAAATATAGGTGTGTATGTAGTATTCTTAAACAAATAAAATACTTAATAAAAAGCTTAATGAACCTACCTATTTAAAACTTGAAATAGAAAAAACTACTACTTAAATATTCTTAAAATGCGCGTCTTATATTTTTAAAAAATACAGAAAACTCTTGTATATCCTATTAAAAGAAACTTAATTAAAAATAGCAATTTAGAAAAAATCAAGACATCGAATTCCAACAGGCGGCCATTTTATTTAAACATTCCTTGACCAAAAAAATTAAACAAAAAATCAAAGATACATTACGTAATTTACCAAAAATGTAGTACTATTTTACCCTTATATAACACGCAGTATCGAAAGTACCGAAAATACATAGTTTTCCGTACTTTCTTTTAATCTACGTATATTATTTAAACAATATTTGCAAAAATTAGCAACTTAAAGAGGAACATTCAAAAGAAGGATGGATGTTGTGAAAACGAAAAATTTTAAACTAAAATATCTCCAGAAATACGTAAAATTACGGGTACTCACTTTTTCAGGGGGCTAAGCAGGACACTAGTAACAGATTACGCATAAATTCTGTACACTAAATGCACTTTTTCGTCAGAAAATTAAAAAAATCGATGCAACCGACGCGAGGACATGCGGATCCTTCGATTGCAAACGACAAAAGGACCGGGGACCGGCGTTGTCGGATTGAATCTGCGTAAAGTCTAGAGAATGCCAATTCTCATCGTGAATTATTTAATTGATGGAAAATTACAAGTAATTCAAGTAAATAATTAATAATAATATTAAAGAGATAGTAATTAATAAGAAATATGTATTTTATAAGACAAAGGTTCGTTAAAAACATCAACTTATGTTAAAATTACATGTATGTATACAAAGAATGCCAACTTGTCGTTTTATTATTTTTTTTGTGTACTTTTGCGCAGTTTAAGTAATTTTACTTTAATAAAATGGGTAATGGTGTGGATCCGGTGGCTGACCTTGAAACGAGTTTCTGCTGCATATAGTCACAGACACTACGCATGCGCACATCTTCGATGTTGCCAGATTGTAAGTTATTTTGGAATTATTTTCAGTAAAAAACAAATATGTGCTTTTCAGTGTTTTTTGTCAATATATACTGTATGATCGAAAAAACGGCGTCCAGTTGGCTGGGAAATGACGATTGAGGACATTTCCCATATAAAATGACAGCGATCTTCATTTCATAGTCATCGGCTAACGCTATTTTTTTTCAATCATAGTACGCGGTATATTATTTATATCAAGGATTTATATTATTATTTTAATATTTCGCACAACACGTGAACGCTTATTATGTATTTTCATAGTCAATAAAATTAAATAGAAATAAAACTCTAGATTCCTATAATTAATCTAATTGCTCTACATTATTATGCTACGTTTAAAAGGGCTTTATTAAAAATTCTGGAAATTATATGTCCAAGTTTTCCTTTTTTTTTAATTTTTAAATGCTGTAGCTCCATGTCATGTTCATAATAGGTTTTTTTAACATTCCATCAAAACTACGGAGGCCTTAAAAGGCCTTTTAGCCTCCGTAATTAAAATTGTAGAATCAGCTTCAGCAACATTAACAGTTTTACCTTGTGTAATTCTGCTTATACATATATTGCATTAATTTTTCTGCTACTTTAAGATTTCTCTATTCTTACACCTAATTTATGTGATTTTCTTAGCTATAATATGATTTATAAACCATATTTTTCCTAATGGAAGGATGGAATAGGATATGCAAAATTAAGATATTTTAACATTTATTTTCCAGACAAAGCATAAGATTAAGACATAATAAATATTATAAGAAAGATCTTAATATAAATCACAAACTAAGTCTTAATTTGGTCTTGTATAAACACAGGTATAAAACTAATAAGATCAAAACTCAACCTTCACCATATTGTCAAGATTTGGCATTATAGGAAACAAGAAATTGCAGTAAATTAAGAAAAGAATATCAAAGTACACGATATTAAATACTGTAATGTATTCTACGATACAAACCATCTCCCTTCTAAAGAGAAAAAGATAAAACATAAAGCTTATTTTAGTCTTATCAACACTCTTCGATAAAATATATGTCTAAAATTGCTATTAATCCACTAACTTGATATTTTTAAGAAATTATATGATACAAACATTACAATCAAAGTATATTATATTAGTAACATTATAGGTAAAATATGTTACCTCTATCTCCCATTGACGTGTATTGTTCTATAAGACTCGTCATGGTAATATTTCAAAACATCAATATACATAATATAATGAAAACTATTGTTGCCTGTAAATAACTAGAAATTAAATAACTTGAAAGAAATAAAATAATTCTAATAAGTTTAAAACCATTAGAAAAAATCCGTAAATGATAATTTTTAATTCTAATGTAAATATATAAATAAATGTTATTATTATTCAACCACTTCCATATCTCTGTTATTATTACGTACAATTTTATATATTCATAATACTTTCATTTCACAATCTTCATTATCCTTCTTACCTTAATTTTGGATATCAAGATAAATCTGAAATTATAAAATTAATTACAGAATTTGTATTATTATTAACACTGAAAAAAAAAATTCAACTGCAAATAATTCGAAAATAAACTGCAATTTGGCAACATTGACGATGTGCGCCTGCGTAGTATCGATGATCAAATGCAGCAAATATGGCCTTCAAGGTCAGCCACCGGATCCACACCTTTACCATAAAATGTGTTTAATATATAGAGTGTTTCGATATTAATAAATTTACTAAGAGAAAAATTTCAAATAAATATAATATGAATACATTCTTAGCAGTCTGACAACATGGGTGACTGCAATTTTCGACGAACCAATCACAAACGAGTATTTTTTCACCCTGATCTGCCGTGATTTAAACAAAAAATGGAATTCTATGTTAAAAACATATGTTTTTATGGTAAAGGTGTGGATCCGGTGGCTGACCTTGAAGCCCATATTTGCTGCATTTGATCATCGATACTACGCAAGCGCACATCGTCGATGTTGCCAAATTGCAGTTTATTTTCGAATTATTTGCAGTTGAAAATTTTTTTGAGTGTTAATCAATAATAATACAAATTCTATAATTAATTTTATAATTTCAGATTTATCTTGATATCCAAAATTAAGGAATGATATATAAAATTGTAATAATAATAACATTTATTTATATATTTACATTAGAATTAAAAATTATCATTTACGGATATTTTCTTAATGGTTTTAAACTTATTAGAATTATTTTATTTCTTTCAAGTTATTTAATTTCTAGTTATTTACAGGCAACAATAGTTTTGATTATATGTACTGATGTATTGAAGTACTACCATGACGAGTCTTATAGAACAATACACGTCAATATGGGAGATAGAGGTAACATTTTACTGTGATTTTACCTATAATTTTACTAATATAATATACTTTGATTATAATGTTTGTATCAAAATTTCTTAAAAATATGAAGTTAGTGGATTAATAGCAATTTTAGACATATATTTTATCGAAGAGTGTGGTGATAAGACTAAAATAAGCTTTATGTTTTATCTTTTTCTCTTTAGAAGGGAGATGGTTTGTGTCGTAGAATACATTACAGTATTTAATATCGTGTACTTTGATATTCTTTTCTTAATCTACTGTAATTTCTTGTTTCCTATAATGCCAAATCTTGACAGTATGGTGAAGGTTGAGTTTTGATCTTATTAGTTTTATACCTGTGCTTATACAAGACCAAATTAAGACTTAGTTAATTTGTGATTTATATAAGATCTTTCTTATAATATTTGTTATGTCTTAATCTTAATACTATATTATGCTTTGTCTGGAAAATAAATGTTCAAATATCTTAATTTTGCATATCCTATTCCATCCTTCCATTAGGAAAAATATTGTTTATAAATCATATATGCTAAGAAAATCACATAAATTAGGTGTAAGAATAGAGAAATCTTAAGGTAGCAGAAAAATGCAATATATGTATAAGCAGAATTAAACAAGGTAACTGTTAATGTTGCTGAAGCTGATTCTACAATTTTAATTACGGAGGTTAAAAGGCCTTTTAAGGCCTTCGTAGTTTTGATGGAATGTTAAAAAAACTATTATGAACATGACATGGAGCTACAGCATTTGAAAATTAAAAGAAAAGAAAAAACTTGGACACATCCCCCGAATTTTTAATAAAGCCCTTTTTAAACGTAGCATAATAATCTAGAGCAATTAGATTAATTATAGGAATCTAGTGTTTTATTTCTATTAAATTTTAATGACTATGAAAATACATAATAAGCGTTCACGTGTTGTGCGAAATATTAAAATAATAATATAAATAATATACCGCGTACTATGATTGAAAAAAAATAGCGTCAGCGATGACTATGAAATGAAGATCGCTGTCATTTTATATGGGAAATGTCCTCAATCGTCATTTCACAACTAACTGAACGCCGTTTTTTTCGATCATACGGTATATATTGACAAAAAGAACACTGAAATGCACATATTTGTTTTCTACTGAAAATATTTCCAAAATAACTTGCAATCTGGCAACATCGAAGATGTACGCATGCGTAGTGTCTGTGACTATATGCAGCAAAAACTCGTTTCAAGGTCAGCCACCGGATCCACACCATTTACCGTTTTTATTAACATTTACAATAAAGTTCTTGAATTTAAATAAAAATTATATTATTTCCTACTCGGATAAATATAAAAATCTAAAATAAAAGAAGGCGATCCAGAGTTCCGAAAAAGTTCTTTTCTACTTGAGTTTTTATTATAAGCTAATCTTTTTTGTAAATAACGGAGGCAATAGCAAAGAGTAGATAAGACAAGAGACGACAGTTCGCGCGGTACCTTTCATGTTTGAGTGGTGGGGAGAGTGACCTCGTCTCACTTGTCCCTTTAAATTTTCGTAACTTTTTCGCGGGAAATTTGAAATAGACTATTATTAAAATTTGCCTGTATAGCTTATAAATAGTTACTGTGTGGGTAAAGAGATAAATAGAAACGAAAAAAAAATGAGTTTTTTAAATATTATATAAAATAAATTATAATTAGAAACATATTTGTCGGGGAATAAAGATAATAAAAGCAATATTTTGTATATCGTTGGTAAACAAGAGAAAGTGACCAAGTCGATTTGTAAGAAATGTTTTATTTACGTGTATTTTTTTTACATATGGACTTGAACAAGTGTAATATCACAATGTGGAGTTTATGTACAAAAAAATAGAGTTGCTCAATTTTTATTTAATAAATCCTCGCAATTACAAGCTTCTAACCATGTCTTCGATCTATGGATTACATTTAGTTTAATAACATAATTATATAGTATATTTCTATAAAAATACTTTTCAGGATCCTTTGGAAAAGAGTGAAATATTATGTTTGTCGAAGAACAAGACCTATTTTTGCAGTCTTTATAAGCACACACAATGCCACCATCTCGTCTTTTCCTGCTACTCGTGTCCTGTTCAGTATTCATATTTAACAATAATTACAAATTAGAACGCAATAAAAACGATACTAAAATTAAACCTTAAAAACTCTCAAAACGATAATATATCGAAAAACTCTGAAAACACACTTTAAAAAGGCAAAAATGCAAGAAAACAACTAATCAGATTTGTTTATGTTTAAGCCTGATTAGCACAGCTGATTAGCGTCCTAAAATCTTAGGTTCGAATAAATAAAATGCGCAGTTGTCAGATTTTCAGATTTTATCTGTTTATCTTTGAAATCGACCAACTTTAGTAATTCTGTTTCTTTGATATTATCAGTACATTGCGAAAAAAGAACCTAAACCAACCTAAACTAAAAATTTACATTTCCGTATTAACATACGTTACTTTATATCCTTCTTATATTATTAATTTATTTTCAGAAAATCTTGTTTATTTTTCAAAGAAATATACTTGGCAACAGACAAAATGGGACTTGATGGGAGGAACCCATGGGACCTTTAAATTTTAATATATCTGCGTCTCTCTCGCGAAATTCGACTTCTTTGTTCACTGTCGTCTCTTGTCTTATCTACTCTTTGGCAATAGTAGCGCCCATTTTTATTATTTTTCATAGATACAGAGGTGGTTTAAGTTCAAGAATAATTTTAAATTTTACACCATACTAGTTTTCTTTTAAATAGAATATGCTGTGCATTACCTAATCAAAACCTATTGAAAGAAAAAAATACACATATACCTACCATTCCTTAAAAAAGTTTTTTAAATAATAAATAAATAATAAATACAAAAATATTTTTAAAATATGCGTTACAATTGACCGCATTTTTTTTCAAAAAAAGATTTAAGCGAAAATCCGAAACAGAAAACCTGACACAAAACTTTTTGACAACACTGAATCACCCAATTGTATTTTCCTAGCTGTGTTTACTTTTATTTAGAAAGAAATAATTTATTTTTTATTTGCAAATATTTGCAACTGTCCAAGGTCTTCTTATGACGTCAGCCGCCCTCGCGCTAGTCGAAAGTTTTAGCCGATCGAGCACTCCATAATTTGCTCGATGGTCACAACCCTCTCGCCGGACCGCGATCGTCGTGACGTCACTGAAATACCTACTTGAATGCTCGATAGTCACAACCACACGTCACAACTCTTCCGCCGGGCCGCGAACGTCATGACGTCACTGAAATACCTAAATTCAACTGTACCGAAAAATCAATGCAATTTAAACGAAATCTTGGTATTGAGAGATATGAGGGGGAATAAGCAAGTGCTTTTACATGTTTTAAATAATTAAGCTTACAAAATAATTAAAATAACTCCTTGGTGTCCCAAGGAGGTCCCAAGTGATTCGGACCTGCGTGGGGGCGTCAATCCCCAAAGCAGTATGAATAAAGTCATACTGTCTCCTCTAGGATATTATTTACTCTTCATAAATACTAAAATATTGATTTTTAAACTTTCTTAGACTACTTTTTCAAACTAGTTCAAGCAAATCCTAAGGAATTATAGGCATCATGTAGAATGATATTGATTAACAGGAAATTGAAAAAAAAACACTGTCTCTTTGGTCTAGTATCATATGTAATTTTCCTTCAATTAAATTATTTAAGATATTTTTTTAATCATAGTTACAGGGTGACCCAGTATTTAGCAAATATTCAAATTTGATTTTCCAGCTTTTCATTTTAATCTTCTTTTGTAATTTAGGGGTGTCCCAATATTAACATATTTTAAGATTTTGAGTACCTATGTTTTCTAGACGTTTAAACGAATAAAGTAAAGTTTTGAACCTTCATTAAACGAATGATTTTGACAAAAATATATTTATATTACTAATTTTTTATATTTTTTAATACACAGTGTCCCAATAGTTCGTGGATATTGAACTGCCATGTATGTTTAGAATCAATATAAGATAATAGGCCACAATTTACCTTTATCGAGAAATGCTGCGTTTGCCTATTTACAAACGATCTTTTAGTAAAAAAAATGGGGTAAAATGTTTAAATAAAAAACATAATACGTTATAACTGTGGTTAAGAAGTGGCCTGCGGTGAAAAATGTTTTTTAACTTTCTTGTATTAAGTACCGTATAATAGAAAAAAAAAACGGCGTCAAAGACGGCTGGGGAATGACAATCAATTATAATTTTGGCGAGGTCAATCTCTAGACGACATTTACTAAAAATCCCCGATAGAAAAATAAATTACAACCTTCTTAAGGCCAACTTGCCGTAAGCGCCATTTAAAAATAAAGAAAAATACCGGTCAAGTAAATTACGTCTAGGCAATGACCTCGCCAAAATTCTCATCGATCGTCATTCCTCAGCCGTCTCTGACGTCGTTTTTTTTCGATCGTATTGTACCATACTGAATTTATCTGTGTAAATTAAATAATGAAAATAAATATACGAAGAGAACTAATGAATATAATTATTGAGAATTCTTGGTGGCTAAACTACGTTAAATAAATAAAGATTTATGATTGGATGCTGTCCGAGATAAGTAAATGTACAGGTGCGTAACAGCCGTCTCGGACAATACGAGCGCGCGTGCATCGGCATAATGGTTACTTTCATAGCTCTGCCGTAGAAATTGTCGCAAAAATGGCCATGGCGAGATGAAAGAAAGAAAAGGCAGCGGCAGCAGGCGCGAGCCGCGATTACGATCTGTTCAATTTACAGCCTATAAAGTCGAAAAGTAGGCGATCTCGGCTGAGCATTAAGTGGAACGACGCAATTGCCGTGAAAAAGGACCCGCCGATCGTAATTAGCAGAAGACGGGGGGCCAGGGGGGCACCACCGGAAACGCACACCGTTGCCAAGTGGAGCGTATTTTCAGTTTTGTCCAGCTATAAAGAAGTAGCCAATCCAATATAGTGCTTCTCTTATCTCTGATGCCGGGTCCAGACCAAGCAGACAAAACAACGACAAGACAGAAACATTCATGTTTTACGACAAAATTGCGACAAATCCAATACATTTCTGCGACATTTTTGTCTCATTTTTGTTTTGTTTCAAAATTCGGAGACTTTTCAACGTCCCGTCTAGAGTCGGTAAAGATCAAAGTGTCTATGTTTTGTTCGTATATTTTGCGACAAGTTGACACAATAGTGGCAGACCAGTGAAATCACACGTGGTTAATAAAACTCATTCGCAACAACTAAACTTTTGACTTTGGTGTACTTCTGTCCTTGCGGTGTGGACAATTTGTCTCAAGTTTGTCTTGTCAGTATTCTCCATTTTTGTCACAAGTTTGTCTTGTTTTTGTTCCAGAATCCGGCATTAGATTACATTCTCCTGGCAAAAAGTTTCATAAATTGGAGACAGAACCTTCAATATGGCTTTTTGGCAGTGGCTTTAGCATCGCCTAGCACAAAGAATCGCTTTTGCCAGGCAGTTTTTTCTTCTGATTGAAAAAAAAGTCTGCAATCTGCTTTTGACAGTGTATGTCTTGAATTCTGGCGAGAGTCCTACTTCGAACTTTTTCAAATATACAGGGTGTATCCAGTCACTGCCTTATACATACAGGGTGTTCCTTAATAACATGCTAATATTTAAAAGGGTGATTCTAGGACCAATTCTAAGGCAAAAACTTCATATGAATGTATGTCCTCAACATCTTAATTCCCTGAGATACAGAGTGGTAAAAATATTTAAAAAAAACTTTTTTTATAATAACTCTGATTTTATTATAAATAACTTTATGACACTTCATACACGTCTTCTATGCATCAAAATATCTTTTTTGGTGTGGATGATTTTTCGATATTTCAATCATTACCGTCCATATGGGTTTTGTATTGAATATTTTTAGAGATAAAAGTGGTACACCACTGACTTCTCTTAAAATAAAAATTATTTTCAAAATTTCCATTCATTTTTAAACATTTTTTATCTCTTGATTTTTTCCTCCGATACATAGTTTTCGCTTAAAAAATAAAGTCAGTTTACTTTAGGCTCAAATTGCTGAAAATTTGAAAATCGTCGGATAAGATATAAAACATTTTTTTTTGTATATCAAAATAAGCATTTTGATGCATGGAAGACGTCTATCAAATACAACATCAGAGATATTTAAAAAAAAATAGAAAATTTTACCACCCTGTATCTGAAAAGTTAAGATGTTTAGGACATACATTCATATGAAGTATTTTTCCTAGAATAGGTTGAAGAATCATCTCCTTAAATATTAGCATGTCATTAAGGAACACCCTGTATACTGTTTTATAGTTTCAATAACTCCACTATTAAAAACTAAAATATTTAAATATGACAAAGCCACGACTCAATGCGATCAACATAGGAACTGCGCGAAATACAGAGCAAAAACTTCCGATTTCTGCCGTATCGAGCGCTGCGGTCGGAATTTTTAAAACCAACTGAAATGCCTCTTGAACAAATGGACCTGAAGCTGTGGCAACCTCGCCAACTGTTGATAAGCGTCGTCCGTGTCAGGTGCAGGGCGCCGCGACGCTCCGCTAAAAGCGAGAGCTGGCGGCGTGTGGCCCCGGGGGCGCCGGCGATATCGCACGGGGAGCTGCGGCCGGGGGGCGTCTGGGAGAGAGTGACCCAGTTGAAGGAGCTGCCCGCCAGTCGGCGGCCGACCAACGACCGGCTTAATCCTATCTTTCTCTCAAAAATCGCCGTCGCGAACCAATCAATCCCCAATCATAACAATCACCGCGACATGCGACATTATTCCTCGTTTTTTCACCATCTCAGGAGCCAGAGATTTCACCAAATGCCAGTGGACCCAACGCTTGATTAATGGGTAAGTATATACAGTGAAACTCGATAATCTGGCACTCACAATTTTTTGGACTACCTACATCCAAGTCGAATAACAAAGTGTTTTTAGTGTGTGTTACAGCGTTGTGTATTTTTATATTGAGAACAACATGTTGCAACATTGCTGAGTACCTAATTGTAACTGCAATAACCAGGCAGCTCCACTTTTTTACGAAAATTAGATTTTAGCTGAGTTACACTTTAAAAATAGGCCATTCCAACCCTGTAATAATCAGGTATCTTCATATAACACTACATTATACAGGGTGAGTGTCTTAAATAAATGCAAATATTTTCAGAGCCGGTAGATCTCGATAAACGAAACATATTCCACCAGTCAACAAGTCCAAAATAACCGAGTTATTTTATTTTGTAAGTTTCGAAAAAAACAAAATTTTCTTTTTAGGAAAAAACCTCATAGATGTGTTTCTGGGATCTTACCCTTATACAGGGTGTCCCAGAAATAAGTGCAAGTATTTTAACTGGAAGTATAGTTCAACCCCAGAGACACGCCAATAAGATTTTTTTCGCGAAAATTTTTTTTTTTAAAATTCGGAATTTTTTGAAAAAATTTTTGGAATATTTTTTAGTTTTTAGTTAAAAATCATAATTTCTTGATAATATGGCAACATAGATGGTGGATTAAATTTACAAGAAAGAAAATCCAGAAAAGATCCAGTGGTTCTCAAAATTTTGGCAAAAAATATTTTTTTTTGGAAATTTTCAAAGTAAAATAACTCCGTTATTTTGGACTTATTAGAAAAACGATAAAGAGAAAATATGTTTCTTTTATCGAGATCTACCACCCTAAGTATTTTAGGTACTTGCACTTATTTCATGGACACCCTGTATATATTTTCACTGATTATTGCAGCCATCCCTTCAATTATAAGTCTTCAGGATCTATTGATACGTTCTCTTTCCCAAAGAACTTTAACTTCCTGAATTTTTGCAAATTAATGAAAATTTTATTACAAATTAATTAAACATAACAGTTAATTTTATCTGGTATCTATACATTTTTAAAATATTTTTAAGTAAGTTTTTACAAATATCCTTTATTAAACTTATGCAATTTGCATTTTACTATTGCATTTTTTAAACTTGTCAATAAACGTACACAGGGTGTCCCAGATATAAGTGCAAGTATTTTAAGTGGTGGTAGATCTGGTCAAAAGAAAGTTAAAGAAACATTTTTTCTTTTAACCGTTTTTCAAATAACTCCAAAATAACCCAGTTATTTTACTTTGAAAATTTCCAAAAAAATGATTTTTTGCTAAAATTTGGAGAACCACTGGATCATTTCTGGATTTTCTTTCATATAAATTTAAGCTACTACCTATGTTGCAATATCATCAAGAAATTATGTTTTTTAACTTAAAACTAAAAAAAAATCCAAATTTTCCAAAAACAAATTTTCGCAAAAAATACCTCATAGGCGTGTTTCTGAGGCCGAAATATACAACCAGTTAAAATACTTACACTTATTTCATGGATACCCTGTATATATTTTCACTGGTTATTGCAGCCACCCCTTCAATTATAAGTCTTCAGGATCTATTGATACGTTCTCTTTCCCAAAGAACTTTAACTTCCTGAGTTTTTGCAAATTAATGAAAATTTTATTACAAATTAATTAAACATAACAGTTAATTTTATCTGGTATCTATACATTTTTAAAATATTTTTAAGTAAGTTTTTACAAATATCCTTTATTAAACTTATGCAATTTGCATTTTACTCATGCATTTTTTAAACTTGTCAATAAACGTATACAGGGTGTCCCAGATATAAGTGCAAGTATTTTAAGTGGTGGTAGATCTGGTCAAAAGAAACATTTTTTCCTTTTACCGTTTCTCAAATAACTCCAAAATAACCCAGTTATTTTACTTTGAAAATTTCCAAAAAAAATGATTTTTTGCTAAAATTTGGAGAACCACTGGATCATTTCTGGATTTTCTTTCATATAAATTTAAGCTACTACCTATGTTCCAATATGTATAAAACTAAAAAAATATATGTTAAAACTAAAAAAAATTCCCAAATTTTTTCCAAAAAATTCCAAATTTTCAAAATTATTTTTTCGCAAAAAATACCTCATAGGCGTGTTTCTGAGGCCGAAGTATACTACCCAGTTAAAATACTTACACTTATTTCTGGGACACCCTGTATAGTGCAGTATTTTAGTAATTTTAAAAAATGTGCTACCTCTTAATAATTTCTTAATTAAAATTGATTTTTGTTAATCTCTTTGGTTAATCTATACTAATATATAAAATCCTTAAGTGACTAACTCACTGATTAATCACGATCCTGCTTAAACCACTCAACGTAAGAAGCTCAATTATGGTATACAGGTTGATTCTAGGGTGTAGAGGTTCGATAAGAAGGGATTTTTCGAAATTCCAGTTCTAAAGGGGTGAAACCACCCCTCAAATATTACAATATTTTTTATTTAAAAAACGGTGAAGTTTCCGAAAAAACGCTTAAACACGTATATTTTATTTTGTTTTTTATATATTTTAAGATTTTTAAGAAATGTGTACAGGGTGTTTCGAAAAATCTGGTCATCGATTAATCACGAACCTGCTTAAAGCGCTTGACGTAAAAAGCTGATTTTTGGAAAACGGATTGACTTTAGGGTGTAGAGGTTCGATAAGAAGGGATTTTTCGAAACTCGAATTCTAAGGGGGCGAGACCACCCCTCAAATATTAGAATATTTTTTATTTTAAAACTGGTGAGTTTTTCGGAAAAATCCTTAAACACGTATATTTTATTTTGTTGTTTTACATATTTTAGGATTTTTTAAAAATTTATACAAGGTGTTTCATAAAATATGACCATTGAGAAATCACGATTCTGCCTAAACTGCCTTGCTTTGCTTTATCATCACCATTACAAATGATTAATTCGACGCGAACGAAGTCGCGGGTACACGCTAGTAAGTTATAATATGGAAGAAGCTCAAAACTCAATAATATATAACTTTATCTAAAAGAGAAAACATTCTATCAATATGTACTACCAGACATGACCTATGCATGCGAAACCTGGACACTTAAAACTTAAAACAGGCATAATGGGTGGGAATAACCAAAAAAGACGGTAAAAGAATAGAGTGGATACGACAAAAGACACAGAATCTAATCCCTCCAGTGGCAATGGACCACACAAACACATGGACCACAAAAATTACAGCATGATACCCATGAGAAATTAAGAGACATAGGAGAAGACCAAACCAAAGATATTAGAAAATTAGCTGGGATAACTTGGACCAGCATAGCCAACAATGGGCCTAATTACAACGAGGTTATCTAAATATCTGAGGGAGGCTACACCATAATAAGCTAGAAATGATGATGAATGAATATGTACAACAATTAGTCCGGTTAACCGAGTCTCTACCGTAAGTGTTTTGGGGGTTTGGCTTGACCATCACGCCGGCCGCCGTATATAATGCAGATGATTAATTGATGTTTCCGCGCCGCACACATCTAGGCTTCGACCCAATTTTTCCCAAAATTAAAATAACTCGCCATTACAGACACACACACACACACACATATTATACGCGACGAGGTAAAATAATACAAGTAGTTCTTCGATCCGTCCAATTAGCGGAATTATTCGACTTACCGACCGTAGAGAAAACCAAAGAGGCGACGACACAACCAACTTTTTATTTCGGTTTTTACCGGTAAATACAGGGTGTTCCTTAACGACATGCCAATATTTAAGAGGATCTATTGCAGGTTCTGCATCGGCTGGATGGAAAAGAGACACGACAAATTTATTTTGTACAGGGTGAAATTCCAGGTGTGAAATGAAAGGCAGGGTGTAAAAGTTACGTATCAAAGTTGGGTTTTTTGTAATGGAACACCCTATATATTAATTGATTTTCGGATTCTAGGAAAAAAATAAAAGTGAGTTTCATTAAAGAAGCATACTCTTAAATTATATACAAATACTGTACATATGCTCACAAAATTTTATTTCAATACAAGCTGTCGTTCTCCTTGGAGCCTCCGCGTCGTATGAGAGGCGCCACCCTGTACATTAAAAAAGTCATTTTGATGTATAGAAGACGCGAATAAAATTTCCTGAAGATATCTATAATAACATAAAGGTTAGTATGAAAAAAATGTTTTTTTTTAGAAAATTTTGCCACCCTAAAGTTTTTTTCTCAGAATCACCCGTAAATATTAGCATGTCATTAAGGAACACCCTGTATACCGACTATCTCCAAAGTAACGCAAATGGCATTGTGCAAGCTGCGTGGGTCGCAATGTTACGCTTTTAGAAGTCCAAACAATGAAATTCGTACTTACACATCCTCGTTGTTATTGAGAAACACAGACGACCAAGACCCAGCTTTCTCATCCATCGTCATTATACCAGGAAATTCAATATTTCGTCCTTTCTCAATTTGTTCTTTTGCTTTCAGGATCGAGGAGGACCATGCCTTGGGCCGTCCTCGTGGGCAACGTGCTCCTGTGGTGGTGCACCGTCTCAGGCTCGGGACCTGGAGGACGTACCAATCGCTGGAGGAGCCACGAGGCTGCATCTGCTACAGTCTCCGGATATAAAATCAACCCCAAGCCGTGCAGGGTGGACTCCAAAGAGGGCACGTGCATGTTCGTGTTCGAGTGCATAAAGTCTGGCGGTGTGCACGTGGGGATGTGCGTGGAGGCTTTCATGTTCGGCTCGTGTTGCGCGCCTCGTAATTCGACGTCATCGGGAGGGACAGAGGAGCACTTTGAGCAGCCTCAAGTTCTGTTCACGGCTTCTACGAACAGCGAGGTAGTCATCAGGTGAGTCACCAAACTATGTAGATTTAACATTGAGTCATTTTGAGTCACTTTCGTGTTTCTAGATATAAAAAAGAAAGGATTATTTCCATAAAATTCTTTTACGCTTCTGTCACTCCAAAAATCATTGTGGAAAACTTTGTGGAACTACTTCTTCTAATCCATATAGTAATGAATTTCCATAAAAACTTTTATTCGCCATTTTACCCCGTTTCTTGAGTTATAACTTGTCGTACAGACTCAGAGAGTCCTGTTAAACACCTCGTGACAATCCGAAGATTGTTCTTACTTAAACCATGGAAAATCTTTACTACTTTAATACTTTTTTTTAAAAAAAAAAGAAAGTTTATCATCCTGATCTCTAAACCAACGTATTTCGAAACTATGCTTATAAGAACTTTTTTTCGTGGACATATTTTTATATTAACATTGAATATATAGGGTGGTCCGAACTGTATTCCGGAAACTTTGGCAGCATATTCTGCAGATAAAAAAAAGTAAAAAAGTTCTTATAAATGTATGTCCTAAAATGCTTTGTTTTTCTGAAGTAATGTTAATATTTGGATGAAAATTGGTGTCTGGGAGCTTTTTTTACATGAGAATTTTGATTTTGATGTCAATATGATTCCTATTTATAGGAGGCGTCATCTACATGTGTTTTAACCTTGTTTTAACCTGTGGTTTTAACTGTTTTGAATAGTAATAACTTTTCGTCCGTACCTGTATAAATCTACTGATTGAAAAAATATACATTTCCGTGAGTTTTTACGTAAAAAATGTCTCTTGGTAAAAATCGCTACGAGCAACCGTTCTCAAGATATTTAGAACAGAAATGGTCCCAATATACATATGTCACTATTGACAAAAAATTGATCAATACTTTGATAGTTATTTGGCGAAAATAATTAATTAGGAAAATTTTTATTTTTTAAATTAATCATAATTTTTTTTGCAAAGTTCCCTTCCCCGACACAAACGGTACATTGTGAGACAGGAAATTGTAGAGAGAAACAAGCCCTATAATATAGGATACAACATTTTAATGAACAGTTCTTTCCGTAAAATCAATAAAATGAAAAATATACGAATAATATACATGTACTGATTTCTTTCGAAAATCGACAACTATGAAACCAATGATCCCTTCCCCGACACTAACGGTACATTGTGAGACAGGAAATTGTAGAGAGAAACAAGCCCTATAACATAGGATACAACATTTTAATGAACAGTTCTTTCCATAAAATCAATAAAATGAAAAATATACGAAATAATATATGTGTACTGATTTCTTTCGAAAATCGCCCAACTGTGAAACTATGAACCCTTCCCGGACACAAACGGTACATTGCGAGACAGGAAATTGTAGAGAGAAACAAGCCCTATAACATAGGATACAACATTTTAATAAACAGTGTTTTCCATAAAATCGATAAAATGAAAAAATATACGAAATAATATACATGTACTGATTTCTTTCGAAAATCGACAACTATGAAACTATGAACCCTTCCCGGACATAAACGGTCAATGATGACAGGTATTGATAATTTCGATTCCAAATATCTCGAGAACCATTACTCGTAGCGATTTTTACCTAGAGACATTTTTTACGTAAAAACCGTCGTAAATGTATAATTTTTTACTCAGTAGTTTTAAACAGGTACAGACGAAAATTTATTACTCTTCAAACTAGTTAAAAAATATATAGGTGGCGCCCTCTACAAGTAACCTAACCTAACCTAAACTAATCAAAATCATATTTCTCATGTCAAAAAACTCCAAGACACCAATTGTCATGCATATAGTGACGTTACTTTAGAAATTATTTGGAAAAAATCGAAATAAAAATAAAACTTCTACACCCTGTATCTCCGAAACTAAGCATTTTAGGACATACATTTATACGAACTTTGTTACTTATTTTTATCTGCAGAATATGCTGCCGAACCTTCCGGAATGCATTTCGGACCACCCTGTATAGCCGTGCATTTTTCGGACACCCTGTATGCTTTTCTGGTAACAACCCGGAAAGTCAAAAAGAAAGGAAGATATTCATATTTTTTAAATTTAAACTAAGAATTATCATAACTAATAGAGACCGTATCGAATGACAAAGATTCCAAATAAATAGAGCATCGATAATGATTTTAAACGCTGCTAAACCGAAAAGAAATACGCAGCTTTAATTGCCCTGTTGCGAGTAAAAGCATTCTTTTCGAATGAATATATGTATTTAACTACGATAATTAAGTTAATTAATTAACTTGTTTCTCTAATTATTACTTTCATCGACGGGGGAAGATATAACAATGTATCCTTTCGAGCGTTAAGTATTTTTAGCTAGAAAAAAATGGTGCTCAAATAACAGATTATGCTAAAGAGGTAACATTACTTAATTTTGCTATGTGGGTAGTAGTATAAAACAACAATAAAAGACAGATTATTACATGGCAATGCTTTCTATTTTATAATACCGGGCAGAACAATGTATTTGTAATACTTTTCAAATATGTATTTATGTATCAACTTTAAAATAATAGTCTAGCTAACCGATCCAAGAAATTACATATTGTTTATGATAAAAGGTTTGAAAGCTTTCTTTCACAACATATAGTTACTCAACATACATATCCTATGAAAAATAAAAATGTTTTGTCATATAGCATATAATCGAAAAAAATACAGTGTCACAGTAACCTTTGAAATGTCTAGAGAAGCTGAACTTACTCTGGGTGCTTACCAAGGGATTTGAAAAAAAAATCGAAATAAAAATGAAACTTCTACACCCTGTATCTCCGAAACTAAGCATTTTAGGCCATACATTTATACGAACTTTTCTACTTATTTTTATCTGCAGAATATGCCGCCGACGTTTCCGGAATACAGTTCGGTCCACCCTGTATATCTCTGAAATTGTATGAGTTATAACTACAGCGTTTACATTCTACAACCTTCGAAATGACTGAAATAAAAATAAACTAAAATATAAATATTTCTGATCATTTAGGCCTTCTTCTCAACACAGTAGCCACACAGGAGCTGGAAGACCTTCTTCATTGGAAACCACCATGCCAGCAAACCCAACGTACTACTCTTCGAAACACAGCCTGAGGCCGATGAGTACCGACGAGGGGAACGTTGCCATTGCCGGGCCTAGTGCCGCCTGGCAATTTACCACAGAACCGGACTTTATCACCAAAGTGAAGAGGCCCAATAGTCACAAGCCGGCCGAACCGAATAAGCCCACGAAAAAACCTGTTCACAACTTATCAAAATATTCCTTGAAACCAGTGAAAGCAACTGCGTCCACTACTACGACTACCACGACGAGTAATTTTGATGGGTGAGTAATTATAATCGAAAAAAAAACAGCGACATATTTGTCTTTGAAGTATAATGGCAATATGTATGTCATTTATTTGGAATTGACGTTAAATTTTATTACTATTTCTTTATTACAGATTTTCCCAATCGATATCGATGTCTACCACTTCGTTTGACAATCTTATAGAGGACCAGAATCTTCGCAAATTTGGTAATCTTACTATGATCTAATATTTATTTTATATCGCATTGACTGAAATTAATTTTTATATGAAAGAACTTAATAAAAACTAACATTTATTTTATTAATACATTATGTGTTTACTATACAGGGTGAGTCTTGGGAGAGACCGGTATATCTCAATAAAAAAAAATATATTTTCTCTTTGCCGTTTTTCAAAGAATGTGAAAATATAAAAAATCATAAAAGTTTCGAAAAATACAAAATTTTCAATTTTTTTTCACGAAAAAACTCTGACGTATTTCTGGGATCGAAATATATCACCCTTAAAAATATTTACACATATTTAAGACTCACCCTGTATAGTTTATGTAACGAATCCTATAATTATATTCATTTTAGTGAACTATTATTCGAATTACTGAAATTTGCTCTAATAAAAATAATAAATAAATTTTATTTTGATTTAAAACAGAGTGTGGTATACCAAAAATGTTCTCCAAAGCACAGACTCGCATTGTAGGTGGCAAAAATGCACCCTTTGGAAAATGGCCATGGCAAGTAAGTCATTTTTCATAAAGAAAAAATTAAATAACTTTTAAAAAATACGTTAATTCTTTAGGTATCAGTTCGACGAACATCATTCTTTGGCTTTTCCAGCACACACAGATGCGGAGGAGCTATCCTGAGCGAAATCTGGATAGCCACAGCAGGACACTGCGTGGATGAGTGAGGCATTCCGACATTATTACATAATTCATTCTAAAACTACCTTTATTCTTTCTTCCAGCCTCCTCACATCCCAGATTCGCATCCGCGTGGGCGAGTACGACTTCTCCACCGTCCAGGAGTCCTACCCATACGTTGAACGATCCGTTACACGCAAGGTCGTCCACCCCAAGTACAACTTCTCCACGTACGAGTACGACCTGGCCCTGGTCCAGCTGGAAAAGGAGCTGGACTTCGCGCCGCACATCTCCCCCATCTGTCTACCTCCATCCGACGACTCCCTGGTGGGACACAACGGTACAGTGACCGGTTGGGGACGCCTCAGCGAAGGAGGGACCCTGCCAAGTGTGTTACAGGAAGTCCAGGTGCCTATAGTCAGCAACAACTATTGCAAAAGCATGTTCTTGAGAGCGGGACGCCATGAAATCATCCCCGATGTGTTTCTGTGCGCGGGACATGAAGGTGGAGGAAGGGACTCGTGCCAGGGAGACTCTGGAGGTCCGCTACAGGTTAAAGGGCAGGATGGGAGGTATTTTCTAGCTGGTATTATTTCGTGGGGTATCGGATGCGCGGAAGCTAATTTGCCTGGAGTTTGTACGCGCATCTCCAAGTTCGTGCCGTGGATTTTGAAGTACGTCACGTGAAAAAAAAAGAAGTGTGTAAAGAAAAAGACTCGTTTTTTAATTATGTCTATATTGTATTTATTTAAAAACAAAAGAACGCTTAATAATAATAAATTTTATATTAAAAATTAAATGATTATCGATGGAATTTATGAACGAATGTGAGTGATAAAAAATATTTTTCATATACAGGATGTTTCAAAAAAACAAGTGCCATTTCTCTTGGGGAGATTCCTCATGTAAAAATAAGATTTATTTTTCATATCAACATAGGTCCGATTCTGCTTTGTTTCGTAGCTACAGGATGTTAAAGTCTTAATAATCTTTCGACTTATTATAATTTTCTTCCAAGTACTTTTAATGATTCAAATGAAATTTTGAGGGTGAAAGTTGCTATAAATGCGACATATTTTAATGCTAAAAAAGTGTCGATAAATCCATCTGGGACGTGCACATGGGTTATCGCTGGAATATTTTTCAAAAAAAAAACGTGTGCGCCACTAACTTTTTTCTTTTGATATCAAACTTGTGTAGGCCGTTTGTTGCCAATTAAAAGTTATCTCTTGATATTTCGTCGAATTTGGCCTCCTTGATGAGATAAACGCATTTTTATTAATCACAATTAATAAAATAAAAATAAAATTAATAAATTATATATTTTACCTAATTTATTATTAAATGTTATTAATATTAGTTAATATTAATAACAAAAAAAAATAAATCTTATTTTTACGTGGGGAATCTTTCCACGAGACATGGCACATATTTTTTAAAACACCCTGTATACAGGATACCTCGGAAAGTTTTCAAAAAATATTAGTGTGATACTTGCAACCTACATATACAGGATAGGCCTTAAATAAATACAAATATTTTCAGGGGTGGTATATTTCGACCCCAGGAAGACGTCTATGAGGTTTTCTTTCGCAAAAAAAGTGGTTGAAAATCGTGCATTTTTTTAATTTACCTGTATATTTTAGAAAACATTTTAGAACTGCGCAAATTTTAGAGCCTGTTCACCGTTCACCATTCAAAAGGAATGGAAATACAGAAAAAAAACATTTACATTTTTTCCAGATCGTCACATAAAACTCGATTTTGATTTTTTCGGGACACCCTGTATAATCGTAATCGTAAATCGAGATAATACATAAAAAATGTTGGTTTTAATTTACAACAATCTATATTCTCCGAGATTTAATTCCACGAGCAACTTCTTCTTCTTCGAACTGCCGCGACATTAGAAAGTAAACGAAAAAACCTTATTCGTACATACGCGCCTTTTTTTAATGCGCGACCCGAGAACGAGATTCTCTCTCGTTAATTAAAACTCTTGAGAGAAACTTTGTTCTCGATTTTTCTTTTCTTCTTTTAACGGCGCGACCGACAGCGCCCAGCGCCTCCCTCAGACACCTCGAAACGGACCTGCTACCAAAATACAGCCAACAGTTCTTCATTTGGCCAGGGTTCATACTTGGAGCCCCAAACAATAAAGGCAGCCAGTCATAAGTTCCATTATAAAGTAGAATCAGCGAATAGTGAGTATGGAGCTTAATAGCCACCATAAACTTGAAAGCAGTTATGGTTTTATACGTTAAATTCCAATAAGTATCCAAGAAATGTCCTTGAATGATATCTTCATAAACTTCGCTTTCCTTCATTATATCTTCTTGAACGATATTGATATTATCTTGTACTTTGCCCAGTACAAAGATAATTTTTGTAGTGGGCATCTCTAACCATAGCATCTATGGTGCAGGTGGTCAGGAGTGGAAGACACCAACACCAGCAGAAAGACAGGGGCGTTACAAGTTTCAGGATTGATTATGGTGAAATAAAAATCGTTTAAATCAACCAGACGTTGATAATCTTGATATATCGGGTCAAACATTCTGGAACTTAATGCAGAGTTTCATCGATGGATTCTAAGGTTCTCATGTATCGGTGTTTCCAAGAAATTAGAGTATTATTTGATCCCATCCCAGTTTAGCACGAAGTAAATTAATGCCAGAAGTATCAACGAAATCACTGTTTTCTTTTTAGTGTATCCTGGAAATAGTTCCAACACATTTAAAACATATGAAAGAATTAAAATTTACCTGGTTCATGCACCTGCACGAATTCGTCGCCAGCAGCTGTTTCTTTCGCGGTGAATTTCCATTTTAAGCGATTTTAAAGTGGAAAATACATTTTTTATCGAACCATATTGCGATGGATGCAAAATAACATTGTAACTCGTAAAAAGTTACCGTATATTAAAAAATCCGCGTATTTTTTATATTAATTGGCAACAAGGAAAAATTGAGTAGAAATAAATAATAAAAAACAGTTTATTCGTAATAAATATCTTAAAGCAACACTAAAATTACATTCAACATAACTAAAGAAATAAAAACAAGTCATATTCGCTTTAATTTACTATCTAACTTCGTCTTCGAAGAAACACGATAATAACAAGTAAAAGACAAACTCTACATTTCATAAAATCACAAACTAATAACTTTAGAGATTTTTTGAGAGAACCTTTGTTCGCGATTTTTCTTCGTCCCTCAGAGACTTCAAAACAGGCCTGCTACGAAAATACAGCCAAAACTTCTTAATCTGCTCAGAGCTCATATTTGGACCTCCAAACAGCAAAGGCAGCGAGTCATAAGTTCCATTAAAACCTAGTTCAAGTTCACTGTATTCTCGGGTGAATCTAGTAAAGTCTGTGTGGACTAAGTTACATTTTTCTCTGGCATAACCGTAGATTAAAGCATCGTCGACCGATATATACTTCAGTTTTTGCGTGGTTTCGTATAGACGAAAAAGAACATCTGGTGAAAGAAGCACGTACCATCCAGCACAGTAACTGGGATAAAAATCATCGGACAAGTCCATTTCTGAGACGTACCATTTGGAACTAACATTCCTGTTCACTCGATAACCCGTCAAGTGGTTACAGATAAACAAATTATCAGTTCCAGAAACTGATAAATCATTTTTCAGGAAATTCAGCAACAAAGGCATGTTTACAAAATCATCGTCATCGATTTTCAACACATACGAAGCCTTTTTGCAGTGATACAGCATATACTTGAAGGCAGACATGGTTTTGTACGTCAAATTCCGATAAGTATCCAGGAAATTCCCCTGGATGACATCTCCGTAAACGTCGCTTTCCTTCATTATATCCCTTTGAAGGATAATATCTTGTATTTTGCCCAATACAAAGATAATCTTTATACCGGTCCTATGTTGTTTCCAGGTGGTGCGGATAATATGCCTATGGTGCAGATGGTTTGCAGCGGAAGACACCAACACCAGCAGAAAAACAGGGGCGTTGCAAGCTTCAGGATTGATTATGGTGAAATAAAAATCGTTTAAATCAATCAGACGTTGGTAATATTGATATATCGTATCAAAAATACTGGAAGTCAATGCAGAGTTTCTTCGATGGATTTTAAGGGTCCCGTGGATCGGTGTCTCCAAGAAATTAGAGTATTTGGTTCCACCCCAGGTTAGCACGAAGTAAATTAATGCCAGAAGCTGTGCCAGAAGTATCAACAAAAACACTGTTTTCATTTTGGCGTATCCTGGAAATAGTTCCAACACACTTAAAACTTATAGAAAGAATTAAAATTTACCTGGTTGACGCACCTGCACGCATTGGTCGCCAGCAGCTGTTTCTTTCGCGGTGAATTTCCATTTTAAGCGATTTTAAAGTGGAAAATACATTTTTTATCGGACCATATTGCGATGGGTGCAAAATAACATTATAACTCGTAAAAAGGCCGATTGTTAAGAGCGCTATAAAGTTTTTATGTATATTGAAAAATCCGCGTATTTTTTATACTATTTGGCAACAAGGAAAAATTGAGCAGAAATAAATAATAAAAAACAGTTTATTCGTAATAAATATCCTAAAGCAAAATTAAAATTACAGACAACATAACTAAAGAAATAAAAACAAGTAATATTCGGTTTAATTTATTATCTAACTTCTTCTTCGATGAAACACGATAATAAAAAGTAAAAAAGGTAAACTCTACACTTCATAAAATCACAGACTAATAACTTTAGGGATTTTTGAGAGAACCTTTGTTCGCGATTTTTCTTCGTGCCTCAGAGACTTCAAAACAGGCCTGCTACGAAAATGCAGCCAAAACTTTTTAATTTGCTCAGAGCTCATATTTGGACCTCCAAACAGCAAAGGCAGCGAGTCATAAGTTTCATTAAAATCTAGTTCAAGTTCACTGTATTCTCGGGTGAATCTAGTAAAGTCTGTGTGGACTAAGTTACATTTTTCTCTGGCATAACCGTAGATTAAAGCATCGTCGACCGATATATACTTCAGTTTTTGCGTGGTTTCGTACAGACGAAAAAGAACATCTGGTGAAAGAAGCACGTACCATCCAGCACAGTAACTAGGATAAAAATCATCGGACAAGTCCATTTCTGAGACGTACCATTTGGAACTAACATTTCTGCTCACTTGATAACCCGTCAAATGGTTACAGATAAACACATTATCAGTTCCAGAGACTGATAAATCATTTTTCAGGAAATTCAGCAACAAAGGCACGTTTACAAAATCATCATCATCGATTTTCAACATATACGAAGCCTTTTTGCAGTGATACAGCATAAACTTGAAGGCAGACATGGTTTTATACGTCAAATTCCGATAAGTATCCAGGAAATTCCCTTGAATGATATCTCCGTAAACGTTGCTTTCCTTCACTATTTCTCTCTGAAGGATATTGTCTTGTACTTTGCCCAGTACAAAGATAATCTTTATACCGGTCCTTTGTTGACCCCAGGTGGTACGGATGATATGCCTGTGGTGCAGATGGTTTGCAGCGGAAGACACCAACACCAGCAGAAAGACAGGGACGTTGCAAGCTTCAGGATTGATTATGTTGAAATAAAAATCGTTTAAATCAATCAGACGTTGGTAATCTTGATATGTCGGATTAAAAATACTAGAAGTCAACGCAGAGTTTCTTCGATGGATTCTATGGGTCTCGTGCATCGGCGTTTCCGAGATTTTAGAGTATTTGATTCCATCCCAGTTTAGCACGAAGTAAATTAATGCCAGAAGTATCAACAAAATCACTGTTTTCTTTTTAGTGTATCCTGGAAATAGTGCCAACACACTTAAAACTTATAGAAGGAATTAAAATTTACCTGGTTGACGCACCTGCACGAATTCGTCGCCAGCATTTGTTGCTTTCGCCGTCAATTTTCATTTTTAAGTGATGAAAAAAAAATATCAAATGGATGGGTCACAAATAATAGCGGCTAATATAAAAAAATTTATATTAGAGCTATAAAGTAATTTATATTTCATAATTATTCACCTTTCAGTAATAAGCAGATTAATTAAAACCTAGAATTAACATGCATTTTCTGTAAATTTGGTTATATCATTTGCTCTTGTATTAATCTAATTTTAAGTAAACGACTATTTTCGCTTATATCAAAGATTACAGAATAAATATTGTAAACTTTGCCTACGGCACGTGCGGAGGAAAATCCTCAGCACGGGCCGGATTTATTAATATTTAATAATTTAATTTTGTTCTACCGCTGACAGAATTGATATTTTGGTGTTAATTCGTTTGGACTTTTGAAACTTTATTTTTTTTTCTTTTTGTTTGTGTTTTTACTTATTTTACTTTTTTGTGTTTTGGCGGAAAAATTGCAGATTTAATGCATTAAAAATATAAACAACTTTAGGAATGAAAAAAAAAGCAGATATAAAATATTTCCTCCCTAGGAAGGTCTTATACCGGGTGCGTCTTAAAAGTGGCTCACCTCTATAACTTTTTTCATATAAAAAATCCAGATTTGGTATGTTAGTGTGTGACATAAATTAGTATTGATCGACGAATTCAATTGTTTTTGGCCACTTCCTGTTTCACCGGAAATGACTACAACTTTTGATTTTTAAATGGCACCCGAAGTATTTTTTTACTACTTTATTCGATAGAAAATGACACTCTGAATAAAATGACATATCATGTCAACTTTTAACATTTTCGCTTATTTGAAATTGTAACATGTGGTTCATAAGGACAATTTGACTCGAAATACCTAGGCGTGTTCCAGGTGAGTTAGTGACATTAAATTGTAGATTTAAATTAATAATTTAAATATTTTAATTGGTACTTAAATCTATAATTTTATTATAAAGCAAAGCAAGAATTTCCATTAACATACAAACTGGATAAAATTTTCTCACATTTATGTCAGCACGAGAAAAAACAATATGGCGATATTATTATATAACTTGGTAATATTTGAGGGGTAGTTTCATCTCGTTGGAATTTGACTTTCGAAAAATCCGTTTTCCAAAAATAAGCTGTTTACGTCAAGCAGTTTAAGGAGAATCGTGGTTAATCAATTACCCAACTTTTTGAAATACCCTGTATGATTTTTTAAAAAATTTCAAAATATGTAAAAAAACAAAATAAATTAAGCGTGTCAAAGCGTTTTCCCGAAAGACTAACCGTTTTTTATATAACATATATTGTAATAATTTGAGGGGCGTTTTCACCCTCTTGGAATTTGAGATTCGAGAAATCCCTCCTTATCGAACTTCTACAACCCACAGTCAATCCGTTTGCCAAAAATCAGCTTTAAACGTCAAGCAGTTTAAGCAGAATCGTGATTACTCAATGGTCATATTTTATGAAACACAGTGTATAAATTTTAAAAAAATCTTAAAATATGTAAAACAATAAAATAAAATATACGTGTTTAAGGGTTTTTCCGAAAAACTCACCGGTTTTTAAAAAAAATATATTGTAATATTTGAGGGGTGGTTTCACACCCTTAGAATACGAGTTTCGAAAAATCCCTTCATATCGAACCTCTATACCCTAGAATCAACCTGTATGCCAAAATTGAGCTTCTTACGTTGAGTAGTTTGGGCAGGATCGCGATTAATCAGTGAGTCAGTCACTTAAGGATTTTATATATTAGTACAGAATTAAATGTAGCTGTTAGTGCTCATTTTACTCTAATTATAAAATTGTTATAGACATACAAACCATATAGAAAATAAATTATTAAAAAAAATAAAGATTCGAAAAAAGTAAATCCGACCCTGGTAAAAAGGGATTTCGTGGCATCTCTTCAATATGTAGTTTTTATATGTATCGTTAAAATAATTGTAACAAAAAACTTGCAACAATGATCGTATCCAAGTTACGATAAAGGTAAATTTATGTTGCATCTTTTAAAAATAAAGAAATTCTAATATAAGTAATAATAATTATCGTTAATAAGAAATCCAGGATAAATCAAGGAAAAATAAATAATTAAAAAAAACAGTTTATTGGTAATAAATAACCTAAAGTATAAAGTATAACATTAAAACAATATAAGTCAAAATTCATTTAAGCCTATTTTTCGAAAACAAGTCAACATAACTAAGGAACTAAAAACAAGTGGTATTAAGTTCAATTTAATATCTAACTTATTTTTTAGAAAAGGCACCCAAAGACCTCAGAACGAACATGTTACGGAAATACAGCCAAAACTTCTTAATTAGTTCAGGGCTCATATTCGGAGCTCCAAACAACAAAGGCTGCGAGTCATAAGTGCCATTAAAAAGTAGTTCTTCCTTTCTGTAAGCCAGGGTGAATCTAGTAAAGTCTTTTTGGGTTATGTTAGCTTTTTGTCTAGCTATACCATAAATGAAAGCGTCCTCAACCGATATATACTTCAGTTTTTGCGTGGTTGCATACAGACGAAAAATAACGTCGGGTGAAAGAAGCGTATACCATCCAGAACAGTAGCTAGGAAAATAATCATTGGACAATTCCTTTTCTGAGATATACCACTTGGAATGAACATCCCTGTTCACCATTGAACCCGTCTTGACGTTACAGAGGAACAGATTATCCGTTCCATTAGCCGATAAATCGTTTTTCAGGAAATTCAGTAACAAAGGCATATTTACAAACGCATCGTCATCAATTTTCAACACATACGAAGCCTTGTTACAGTGATACAGCACAAACTTGAAAGCTGTCATGGTTTTATACGTCAAATTCCGATAAGTATCCAAGAAATTACCTTGAATGACATCACCATAACCGTCGCTTTCTTTCTCTATATCTTTCTGGAGGTTCTTGTCGTGAACTCGACCGAAAACAAAAAAAATCTTCAATTCTATCCTTTGCTGACCCCACGTGGTCCGGATGATGTTTCTATGGTGCAGGTGGTTAGGAGCGGAAGATACCAGCACCAGCAGGAAGACAGTGGCGTTGCAAGCTTGAGGATCGATTATGGTGAAATAAAAATCGTTTAAATCGACCAGACGTTGGTAATCTTGATGTTTCGGATCAAAAAAATTTAAAGGTAACGCAGAGGTTCTTTGATGGATTCTACGGTTCCCGTGCAGCAGTGATTCCGAGGAATTGGTGTATTTGTTTCTGTTCCAGAGTAGCGCGAAAAAAATGAATGCCAGGATCAACAAATATACCGTTGTTTTTATGGTGCATCCTGGAAATAGTGCCAACACATTTAAAAATTTTAGAAAGAATGAAAATTTACCTGGCTGACACACCTACACTGATTCGTCGCCAGTAGTTGTTGCTTTCGCCATCAATTTTCATTTTTAAGTGATGAAAAAATATACTACGTACAATCGTAACTCGTAAAAAAAACTTATTGTTAGAGACCTATAAAGTTTTTATATTTATTGAAAGATCTGCCAATTTCTTTAATGTGTAATTTTTATAACGTATTGTTAAAGTAATCTTTTCCAAAAATCTTGCAATATACGGTGAACGTGCTTTTCCTGAATATTTTATAGAAACTGAATATGTGGTGCTACATAAATTCAAATGAACATAATCGTATCCAAGTTACTATAAAGGATGACTGAAAATAAGGTAAATTTGTGTTGCATCTTTTAAAAATAAATAGAAGGGGTTGTAATAATAAACTAATAATAAACACCGCTAATAAGAAAAAAATAAAGAAATAAGTGAGGAGAAATAAACAATAAAAAAGTTTATTCATTATAAATATCTAATAAGTAACATTAAAAACTTGATTATTTGTCTCATTTTCGAAATATTCTGTATATTAAAGTCAACAAAACTAAGGAACTACAAAACAAGAAGTCGGTTTAAGTATTATCAACTTCTTCAAGGAGGCACAATATTAAAAAAAAAGACAAACTCTTCTTTCTAAAATATAAGAATAAAGACTAAACTTCAAGGATTTTCTCAGAGAACTTTTGTTGTAAATTATTTTTCAGGAAATTCAGTAACAAAGGCATGTTTACAAACGCATCGTCATCGATTTTCAACACATACGATGCCTTGTTACAGTGATACAGCACAAACTTTAAGGCAGTCATGGTTTTATACGTCAAATTCCGATAAGCATCCAGGAAATTCCCCTGAATGACGTCTCTGTAAACTTAGCTTTCTTTTTCTATGTCTTTCTGGAGGTTACTGTCGTGAACTCGACCCAAAATAAATAAAATCTTCAATTCCGTCCTTTGCTGACCCCACGTGGTGCGGATGATGTTTCTATGGTGCAGGTGGTCAGGAGCGGAAGATACCAGCACCAGCAGGAAGACAGTGGCGTTGCAAGCTTGAGGATCGATTATGGTGAAATAAAAATCGTTTAAATCGACTACACGTTGGTAATCTTGATGTTTCGAGTCAAAAAAATTGAAAGGTAATGTAGAGGTTCTTTGATGGATTCTATGGTTCTCGTGCGGCGTTTCCAAAGAATTAGTGTTCCAAAGAATTTTTGGTTCTGTTACAGAGTAGTGCGAAGAAAATGAATAACAAACAATGATCAAAAACAAATGATCAACAAATATACTGTTGTCTTTTGTTGCATCCTGGATACTTAAACCTCGTAGAAAGAATTATAATTTACCTGTACAATGCGTCGCCAACAGTTGTTACTTTCGCCGTCAATTTCCATTTTTAAGTGATTTTAAGGTGAAAAACACTTTTTTATTAGAACATAATTTCAATGGACTCAAATAATAACATCAAAACTCGTAAAATGGCCAGTTTATTATTAGAAAGCTGTAATTTTTTTTATGTATATTGAAAAATAGATTTATAAGTGTTGTTAAAACATATAATCATACAAAAAAACTTGCAATAATATGCTTTTTTTATACAGGATGAGCCTTAGCCTTAAAAAAATACAAATATTTTAGGGGTAGTATATTTCTCTCTCTGAGTTTTTTTTTCGCCAATTTTTATCTTTAATTTAGAATTTTTTGAAAATGTTGATAAACATTACGCAGTTGATTAAATTCGCAAGAAAGAAAATCTAGAAAAGGACCAGTGGTTCTCAAAATATAAGCAAAAAATATTTTTTTTTTAAATTTTCAAAATTTAAAATATAACACGGTTATTTTGGACTTAATTTGAAAAACGGTAAAGAAAAATTATTATGTTCCTTTATCGAGATCTATCAGCAGTGAAAAAGACTCACCCTGTATAAAAAAACAGTTTATTCATAATAGCCTTATTATTTTCAGAACATTTTGTACATTTAAGTCAACATAACTAAGGAAATAAAAGTAAGTGATATTAGACTGTTTTAATTTACTATTTAATCACAAAATCCCAATTACAAGATCATTTTCTTCGAAGAGACACGATATTAAAAGTGAAAGTCAAACTCTTATTCGTAAAACACAACAATAAAGTTCACAGATATTCTGAAAGAAATACCGTTCTCTATTTTTCTTTATTAAGTGCCCAAGGCGCCCCTCAATGATGCCAAGACAGGCCTGGTACGAAAAAACAGCCAACAGTTCTTAATTTGCTCGGGATTCATATTTGGAGCCCCAAACAACAAAGGCAGCCAGTCATAAGTTCCATTAAATAGAAGATCCAATCTTCTGAAGGCCAGAGTGTATCTACTGAAGTCTGTGTGAATTAGGTTACATTCTTGTGCGGCTATACCATAGATCAAAGCATCGTCAATCGATAAGTACTTCAGTTTTTGCGTGGATTCATACAGACGAAAGAGGACATCTGGTGAAAGAAGCACGTACCATCCGGCACAGTAGCTAGGATAAACATCACCGGGCAAGTCCATTTCCGAGACGTACCATTTAGAATGAGCATCCCTAATCACCGGGGAACCAGTCATGTCGTTACAGAGAAACAAATTATCTGTTCCGTACACCGAAAGATCGTTTTTCAGGAAATTCAGTAACAAAGGCATGTTTACAAAAGCATCGTCATCCATTTTCAACACATACGAAGCCTTTTCGCAGTGATACAGCATAAACTTGAAGGCAGTCATGGTTTTATACGTCAAATTCCGATACGCTTCCAAGAAATTCCCTTGAATGATGTCTCTGTAAATTTCGCTTTCGTTCTCTATATCTCTCTGGAGGTTGTTGTCTTGTACCCGGCCCAAAACGAAAAAAATCCTTACTTCCGTCCTCCGGTGACCCCAGGTGGTGCGGATGTTCAGCCTCTGGTGCAGGTGGTCAGGAGCGGAAGATACCAACACCAGCAGGAAGACAGGGGCGTTACATATTTCAGGATCGATTATGGTGAAATAAAAATCGTTTAAATCGACCAGACGTTGGTAATCTTGCGGTCCCAAGTCGAAAACGTTAAAAGCCGGTGATGCGGCGGGTTTCAGACGGATTCTGTGATTCTCGTGCGGCCTTTCTAAGAAATCGGCGCACTTGGTCACGTCCCAGTGCAGCACGAGGTAAATTAAAGTCACGAAAACCAACAAAACCAGCGTTTTCTTTTTGGCGCATCCTGGAATCGGTTTAAAGACAATTAAAACTTATTGGAAACACTTAAATTTACCTGTTGCACGCACCTACACGAAGTCGTCGCCAGCAGTTGTTGCTTTCACCGTCAATTTCCATTTTTAAGTGAATGAGCGAAAAAAATATTTCTTATCGAAAAACCGATAATTTAAGATATTATCGCTCGCTTGCAAATAAGACGCATTCTTCATTTTTATCTATGCAAATAGATTAAGGTGTTTAACAACGCGTTTAACCTTATTAGGAAACAAAAACAAAAAAAAATCATCCGATTCGAGGTGGATGGAGTACATCTGAAAGTCTAATCGTTATTAGGAAACAAAAACAAAAAAAATCATCCGATTCGAGGTGGATGGAGTACATCTGAAAGTCTAATCGATTCAAATTTGTCGTCGAATGGGTAAATATGGTGATGGTAAAGGTACCATCAGTCGTTGCTGGATATGGGTTCTGTATATATAAAATTCTTGTTATCTGTGATGACGATTATACCATTCGGTACTTCGGGATATCGGATTTTGGATAAAAATTCACCTTCAATATGCTTGGATTGTGTTGAAAAAATACAGGTACAGTATACACGCTTTATTTTTGATAATATACCAACAAAAACAAACGTTGAGATTTTAGAAAAAAGTCTGTCATTTGCCATTTTGTCCGGAAAATTTCAACACTTGCAAGCACCAGTTTGGTAAGTAAATAACAATTTAGTTAATTTTAACAAACTGATAATTATAGAAATAACAAACAGGACTGAAACAAATAATTTATCTCCGCCAAAACTACTATGTCACGACGAAAACTCTTTAACACTTGCATGGAACCAAAAAAATGCTATGGAATTCTATTTTCTAAAATACTCCCATTCTTCAGAAATATACCTCAGTGATCTGGTAATTTTGAAGTACCGAAATTTTATTTTTCCAATATACTACAAAATGTTTTGAAAATGTTTCAGTCAAACTGTAACTTTAAAACTATAAACCTTCTCGAGCCAGACACAACTTACCAATTTGAATTATGGAGTTTCTCAAGAAATTCTGGAATACTTTCTAAGAGTTCACAGATCACGGTTACAACAAGAAATCATTTTGAACCAAGACATCCTGTAGAGAGTCTAAAATACACGTTATTGTTCCAAAATGGTTTTTATAGTGCAGTAATATCCTGGAAACAAGGAAAAGGTAAATTAAAACGTGCAGTTCACATTATTTTTATGAGTTATATTTCAGATTTTTCATGTTTCTATAAAATTATCTGGTACAAAAGGGGTGGAAGTATAAATCACAGAAAAATCAACGTACGAAACATACACAATATCACAGAAGAGGTAATTTTATTATTTTTAGATAACGTAAATGTTATTCTTTAATTTTAGGGAACTTTGTTAGAATTCATTGCCTCCCCTTTGGAGATGGGAACGAAATACTACCTGGAAATCTCCTCAGAAGACGAAAAAAGTGACATAGAAGGACCCGAAAAATCCTTACAGATAAATGTGCCTTCTTGTTTAGCCACCTACAAGAATTTTTCGATATGCTGTAAGCATATACTTTGTGTGTTTTAATAGAAACTATTTTTTTATCTTTATTTAGCTCCAAATCCGCCAGAAAATATCACAGCCACAAAGTTTTTTACGTCCAACGGCACCAAGATGGCTTACAATTTAAAATTAAGCTGGAACAAGCCGAAATATCTTCCAGACTTTTATAACGTGACTTTAGCAAGTAATATTTCTGTACAATTCAAAGTTATAGCTGGGGTGTGTATAATTTTATCTGAAAAATTATATACTTTTAAACTACTTATTTTTTTAGAATACTACTTTCGTATTTTTCGAAAATTTATCTGTGGGAATTTACTACCAAACTCGATTAACGGCATGGTTAAAAAATGGTAAAAGAAGTAACCCAGTATCCATGCAAATATTTGACAATAAAAGACACAATATCGAAGAAAAAAACACAATAAATACATGGATTTGGATGGTATTAGGTCTCTTCGTTTTGGTTATCTTCTTATCCATAACTTTACTTAAGAAAAATCTACGAAAAATATTGAACAGAAGTTTGCATGTTTCACCTGTGAGTATTTTAATTCAAATCAATCAAAAAAAGTAATATTTTTTTCTAGAAAGTTGAAGAAATTACTGTTAAATATGCCAAAGAAGATTCAATATGGGAAATTGATGAATCTAAACTCTTAATGGATAAAATAATTGGTATAGGTGCCTTTGGTATAGTCCAAAAAGCCCATTGTTACGTAGAAGGAGAAAAGAAAATTGAAATAGCTGTTAAAATGCTCAAAGGTCTTGATCAAAATACTACATCGTATACTTAAATTAATTTTAACTCTCTAGAACGCTCTACTGAAGAACAACTTAAACAATTCTATGCAGAGATAGACATAATGAAGGCGGTACCAAAACATCCCCATATAGTCCATCTAATAGGCGTAGTAACCAAAACCAGACAAAATAACCCTCTGCTCTTGGTAGAATATTGTTCCAAAGGTGACTTGCATACCTTCCTGAAGAATGTTTGGCTTATTTTGAAGAATAAGTAACACAACACTATCACAAATCGTAGTTTTCAGTGATTCTGATCAAATCTAACATTTCAGAGACAATATGAAGATGAAGAAAGAACAGGATAAACATAGGTGCGTAGGAAAAGAAGAAAATGTACTGGAATGGAAGGATTTGCTCTCGTTTGCCAGACAGATTGCTATAGGAATGGTAAAATATTTTTTCTTGAAAAAATTATAAAAATTATACATTAGGCTTCTTTAGGAATTTCTCTGTAGTTTAAAAATGATCCACAGAGACTTAGCTGCCAGAAATATCTTGGTTACTGAAAGTAATACGATGAAAATATCTGACTTTGGACTAAGTAGAGACGTTTATGTGAACAATATGTATCAAAAACTAACTGGAGGTAAGCATCAAATCATTTTTTTATAATCTTATGACGCCAGGAAATGTAATATTACATTTTTATCATGTTTCCTAGGGAAGTTACCCTTTCGATGGATGGCTTTAGAATCACTAACTCACCAAATATACACTGCAGAAAGTGATGTGTGGTCCTTCGGAATAGTTTTATGGGAAATAGTGACCTTAGGGGCTGGCCCTTACCCAGCTCTGGACACTGAAGACCTTTTACCGCTCTTGAAAGAGGGATATAGAATGGAAAAACCAGCCAATTGCTCTGAAGAATTGTTAGTATCATATTCAAATTGTTTTTATTACGTTGGTCGTGAAATTTTTTATTTTTTAATTTAGCGTGAAAAGTTTTTTCAATTAAAAATCTTTTATTTAGGTATGCAATAATGTTGAAATGTTGGAATGCTACTCCTAGTCTAAGACCTACCTTCACAGAGTTAAGAAAAATCTTCGATGTTCTTTTGGAGTCTGAAGTCTTTTACGTCAATTTGGATAGTGGAAAATCCAATGGAAATCGATATGAAAACTTACCGAAAACTATACCCTAACATATTAATTTTATACTAGATATATTTTTTATACTTATAAAAATGACTTGTACTTTAATGCTAATATATTCTATAAACGTAGATAACATGTATTTTATTATAATGATGTAATGTCCAAGTTTACAACTTTTTTTAAGTTTCATAGAAGCAAACAAGACGACCACCCGAAAAAAAAATAAATAAAAATATTAAAAATAAAAATAAATTTTAAATGAAAAAATAAAAAAGTTATATGGGTAAGCCACTTTTGAGAATCACCCGGCAGGACTAGAAATTCAATCAGATGATGTTTGACATTTGCATAGATTTAGAATCACTTTGTTATAAAAAAATAGGTAGATTTCGATTACAAAAGGTTTAATAAATAAAAACTCTTATTTCCTTTTCTTATTTTATTCTTTTACACTTCCTCTTAGAACCTGTTGAATTTGTCGTAAGCGTTTTGGTTGGAGAATCTCCCGGGGGGGCCTTGATTTAAGGGGGCGCAGCCCGTGACGTTTTCCGCTCCGTCGCACGCGCTAATGATATCATTGAAAGCCCTCCCCTCCCCGCAATTGTACAGTCTGGGCTTTCCTTCAATGCAAATGTAGTAATGTTGACAGTCGTTCGGAGACCGGAAGAATCGATATTCTTCCTGACCAAAACCGAACTGTCTGGCATCAGGTGGACAAGTAAAGCCCAGATATGCTAAAAAAAAATGATTGATACTTTTTTACTCAGTAACTAAAGAAATACTAAAAATACCTTCAGCATTACAATCTGACACTTGGTCAGGCCAGTCACATCTATAGGTCTCACTATTCCAGGCCAATCCTTCGGGACAATCAAAGACAAAACCCCTACCGTCTACGCAATTCTTGAATTGACCACAATTGTTTTGGTCACCCAGTTTGTAGTAGCCGTATTGGTGGGGACAGTCTTCTGTAGGCTGGGCTGGTTCTAAAAATAGCCAAGTTAAAAGAAAAGTGAAATTCTTTTATTTACATTTCTTAAACGGTGACAATGGACTAGGTGTTGTATAACCAAAATCGAATTTCATTCAACATGACCTCGAAATTTAAGAACTAGAAAACGTACGACATCTTTTAAGAACATCAAAACACTAAAAAGTTCCCATAACTTTTATAATATGCTAGACTACAAGGTTCCTTTTAATAAATTATTATTTAGCATATTAATGAGGCTTATCTAAATGCCACCCGTTAAATAATAAAAAAATAAAACAAAACCACCAAACAAGTAATAAACAATCAAAACCACGACTAGAATACGTAAAATAGTGAATCAATCATCAGAAAAACCTTGTTGGTTACTCATTCATCCATTTGCATAAAATACATTTTTAAAGGAAACCAAGTGTGTAAATTTTTAGGGACTTACGAATTTGTTCCCTGCCGGTACAATCAACGTCTAGAGGATACTGACAAGGGTAGGCTTGAGGCCCAGAGGCTGCGTTGAATAGAAGACCATCGGGGCATAGTTTTTCTTCAGGTACCCCATTTACACACTTAATGTAACTAAAAAATGAAATTAAAACTATTAAAAAATTACCAGAATTTTAAAATTATAGCTAAGAAAAATGACTAAAAAAATTAACTCTACAGGGTGAGCCTTAAATAACTGCAAATAAAAGAAACATAGTCCAAAATAACCGAGTTATCAAGTTTGAAAATTTAAGAAAAAAATACTGATTTATTTAAAAAAAATTGAGAGCCACCGGATTTTTTCTGTATTTGTATGGAACAGGCAGTTCTAAAAAGTTTTCTAAAATATCCAGGAAATTTAAAAAAAATTCACGATTTTCAACATTTTTTTGGCTAAAACCGTCAGAGACTTGTTTCTGGGGTCCCCTGAAAATATTTGCACTTATTTAAGACTCGCCCTGTATAATCCTGATATTTTCTGTCGAATAATAAATTTAAAGAACACACCATAAAATAATGAAAATACTTTGAAGTTTAAAACTTTCCTAGAGTCTTTGCCAGGTATCATGAGGTAAGTAATGCAGTAAAATTTGACAGAAAATGCAACAAATCACAATTTCCTCTTACCCATCGCATGTGCCAGTTGGAAACGTGCCATTGGGTTGCGGACAAATTCCAGAACTTTGCCTGTTCTGTCTTTGATTATAATAATCGTTTCCGTGAAACTGGCAAAAGGCTGAAAGAAATAAAAAGTATTTTATTACCTACCAAATTTTTAAAATCTACCCTTGACATTAAACGATGCTCATAAATTGGCAAGAATTTACCGTTAAAATGAACACAAACTAATATGTGGTAAAAGACAGGTTCGTCTTTAGTTGAGTAATAATAATAGTCTAACATGTTAGGTAATATGTTCTAAAGAATTAAGATGTTAAAACCTAAACGATTGAGAACTTTCACCTAAAATGTATTACAAATTTCAGATTAAAAAATGTTTGTTTAACAACAGTTATCCAATAAAATTATACAAAAAGATTATACACATACAGAACGCATCTGCTTTTACTAAAAAAATGCAAATTTCAATATGAGGTTTAAAAGAATTAAATAATTTTAAAAATTTGGTTACTACATTAAAAATTATTATATATTACATTAAAAAGTATATTCTAGTGTGTCAATGTTTTATCATGTACAGGGTGCTATTAAAATACGTAGCTATAAAAAATTAAGTCCAGTGCACGCCCGGAAGGCACTATAACCTATATTTTTAACAAAAAATGTATGCGCCACTGGCTTTTTTAATTCTTTTTTTTTCATATTAATTAACTAAAAATACAAGTTTCTGCTTTTTTTGGTAATTTTTTTTCTTATTTTGCTTTGTGTTAGAAATTAAAAATAAAGCCACTTTATTATATGATCCCCGGGATCCTTTGTTGATCCCCAACAATATTTATTGTAATTGACAATAAAAAAGAATCATTTTAACGCCTAGGCATAAAAGTAAAGCACTTTTACGCCTAAGCGTAAAAGTACAAAAATATATTATTAAACTGACCATAAAGTGTCAAATTCAACGAGTGTAACCATAGTTTCTAGATATATAATTACTTTAAAGACATTACTTTTGAATCTTTTTACATTATTTGCAACATTTGAAATTGTTTAATAAATTATTTGTGACGTTTGAAAAAAATAGCATGTTCTATTCGGAGTAAAAAATTACTTTTTGTGCCTCTCCTGTAAGGTCAAATATACAGCCATCATTTTTACTCCTAATAAAACAATATATCATTATTATTTTGTTCCAACAAAATAATAAAAAAATACGTGTCTAAATTTCCTTGTCAAAAATATTGGCTAAAGAGCCTATAACTCAAATTAACTGACATTTAATTTAACGAATAAATAAACCGTTAAAAACTTACCGCCAATAAGGAAAGTAAACACTACAAACAGCGGTCTCATAGAATGCATGGCGAGCTTATCTGCAGTTGCGATCAACACTGGGTATCAGAAGAAGATTCATCTCGGGTCACCCACTACCACTAGCTCAGCTCAAGGACGACCCGAGTTGCATAACGATATATCGTTTGCCATTTATCGATGGAACAATCTCATTTTCTACGTGCTCGTCTCATCCCTACAATCATTATAAACACAATTAAGTAAAAGTATTTAATATAATAATTTCTGTAATCCTAGAAATACTTACGTTTTTTTCGTTAAATTCTAGACAGGAAAATGGTAATTTTTCAATAAACACTTTGCAATTAACTTGATTAAAAACATCGTTAAGTTTTTGCGTCGCTTAACAAGAGAGACCTTTAAGAAATATCATTTCCCATAAGCAAAGATCTGCATACAATATATTTAGCATCACGAATTGTGTACATCCAAGTAAAATACAGCATGGCGAAAAATAATAATGTATTTCTTGAGTTGGATTCTTAAAAAAAATATTTTTTACTAGCGTGTACCCGCGACTTCGTTCGCGTCGAATTAATCATTTATAATGGTGATGATAAAGCAAAGCAAGAATTTCCGTTAACATACAAACTGGATAAAATTTTATCACATTTATGTCAGCATGAGAAAAAATAATATGGCGTTATTATTATATAACTTGGTAATATTTGAGGAGTAGTTTCATCTCGTTCTTTCGAAAAATCCGTTTGCCAAAAATAAGTTGTTTACGTCAAGCAGTTTAAGCAGAATCGTGGTTAATCAATTACCCAACTTTTTGGAACACCCTGTATGATTTTTTTAAAAAAATCCAAAATATGTAAAAAAAACAAAATAAATTATGCGTGTCCAAGCGTTTTCCCGAAAGACTAACCGTTTTTTAAATAACAAATATTGTAATAATTTGAGGGGCGTTTTCACCCTCTTGGAATTTGAGATTCGAGAAATCCCTCCATATCGAACTTCTACACCCCACAGTCAATCCCTTTGTCAAAAATCAGCTTTAAACGTCAAGCGGTTTAAGCAGAATCGTAATTACTCACAGTCATATTTTATGAAACACCCTGTATAAATTTTTAAAAAAACTTAAAATATGTAAAACAAAATAAAATATACGTGTTTAAGAGTTTTTTCCGAAAAACTCACCGGAGTGAGTCACTTAAAGTTTTTAAATATTAGTATAGATTTGGGAAATTTTGAAACAACGCCGCCTAGCGTCCGTTAAAAAACTATAGTTACCTTATAGCTCTTTTTTAGATTTTTTTGGACGCCAAGTTGCAAAAGAATTATGTTAGCATGGAGTACTTATGGAAGAAACTCAATCATATTCAAATCTAGAATGCCACTTTATCTAAAGAAGAAATCATTCGACTAATGTGTACTACTGTACTACCAGTCATGACCTATGCATGCGAAACTTGCGACATTATAAGGAAACTTCAGATCGCACAACGCTCAATGGAACGAAATATGCTGGGAATAACCAAGAAAGACCGTAAAAGAATAGATAGGATACGACAAAAGGACACAGGTAATAGATGTCATCCACAGAATCAAATCCTTCAACTGGCAGTGGGCAAAAAGGACGGACAACAGACGGACTACAAAAATTACAGCATGGAATTAAGAGACCTAGAAGACCAAACTTGTGATGGGACCATATTAGGAAATTAGCAGGGATAACTTGGGCTCGCATAGCTAATAATAAACAAAAATGGACCCAACTACAAAGAGAGTACCTGAATATGTGAGGGAGGCTTCACCATAACTGGAAATGGTTGAATAATCTGAGAATGATGATGATGATGAATGAATAAAACAAAAAAACACACCCTGATGCAATTTCGTATATTAAAAAAGATACTGTAGATATACTATGTTAAGGCACATAACCACTAATATTGAAAAGTTCACAACTTAGAGAAAAATAACATCTTTCCAAAAAGACGATTCTACCCTACAAAATATTTTTCTCCTCTACGATCACTAATGAAATTTATACCCCCAATGTATACCAGTTGTCTAGAAACATTTTGGGAGTTTCTGGACAGCTCGTACAAACTTTTTTCATAGAAGAGAAAAATATTAGTGGCAATTGTAAGCAGAGCTCATGTTTTTTTTTCTTTTCTATATGGCAAATTGTTTTTTCGTTTCATTATAGAGAGCCCTGCTTGCATATTGCCTGTCTTTTCTTTATATACATACAACTTAACACAAGAATAAATAGATCATCGATTTTGTTTGCATTTTGTATCCCTAAGATTCGAGTATAGTAATAATAATAGTTGGTATAAGTTTAAATAAATATTAAGTACTTAAAACTGCAAAAATGAGCATTATTTTGCTTAAATTACTAAAAAACGATATTTGTAGATAAATATATAATATATATGTACAGGGCGATTAAACGGAGTTTGGCATCTATTCTTCCCCACTTGAAGGCAAATATAATATAGCCACCACATAAAGAAAAATTTAAATATGTGTATATTTATAAGGGATAAAAGTATTTTGATATAACCAGCGCCCTTGAAAAAAGTTGTAAATTGTAAAAATAAATTTTACCCACCTTCTGTCGAATAAAATAAAAACTATTTTTCAAGGACACAAGCCACTTCAGTATGATTCTTCTCTGTTTTTTTTGGGGGGGGGGCTAAATGACATATACATATTATCAGTCTATTCTAAATACAAAAATAGGAATATAGCCACTTCAGTATAACGACTTACGTCCAATATAAACTATATAGAGTATATACAATATTTATAGTAACAGTAATACTTAAAACAAGATCGATTAATATTATAAATACCCTGCTTTTTGATTTCCGTTCCGAGAACATCTAAAATTTGTTGTTAAAAAAAATTAGTGAGTAGAATATTTCAACTCTTATAAAATAAAAACTTTAAAATGTGTGTATCTATATAAAGAGTGAATTTGAAGAATTCTTATTTTTAAAAAATTGTTTGAAAGCAGGGAAAGAGAGTATCTTAAGTTGAATCTGCGCAAAAATACCCATAATAATATCTTATATTTAAATGATCACAATATTCGAAACTATCGAATATAAACTACATTATAGGTTTTGCTTATGGCTACACAGTAAAAACCCTGAAAAGGTTCCCTAAAAAGCACCACTCTCCCCCGTTATACAAAAGTTAATTAATAACCTAATTCGTTCATAATAAAATGACTAGTAAAGAGTAGACAACGAGATGACACCTAATAATAACTGTCAAGACGTAAAAAAATAATTGTATCTGTTAGTTTTAAGTTCAGACTTGGTCTTGGCGAGGCGCGTGACCTTTTAGGAACCTCCTCCAGCTCAAAAATAATATCTAAGAACTTCCGAGTCGAGTGAAAACGAAATCTCATACAGCACAGCCTTTCCGCGTTCCGTACAACACCTTAAGTTCGGGGAAAATGATCTTCTTGATCAGCTGATTGGTTTTTGCGGCCAACATGGCCCTCTTGGGGTCCTTTTTGTACACTTTGATGCCGGGTTTGTGCACCAGGAACGCGTTGTCCAAGATCAAGAAGTCGTAGTTCATTACGCACAAAGCGTAACCCTGAAATGCCATTAAATTGAGTTAAAACACTAATGAATTATCTATTAAAGATAACAATACAATCAACAAACATTATTATTCATGGAATAAACCTGACTACTCTCGTGACGTCAGGATTCGTTGAATTAGGCCTTTATTTTACGAAGGTTGCCATTGATCTTCTTCAATTTCAAATAACTTTCTTGAGGGTGCAGCCACACTATCATAAAAACGGCGTATCGGCGTAACGGCGTAATGACCTTGAATCGATTTCCAGTAATTCTATTGGCTGAAATTTTTGACAGATGAATTTGACAGATAAAATTTCTGACAGATGAATGTTTCAGCCAATACAATTACTGGAAATCTATTCAAGGTCATTACGCCGTTACGCCGATACGCCGTTTTTAGGATAGTGTGGCTGCACCCTGAGAATAAATTTGAAAAAATCTTGATTATAGTAAAATAATTGATTATTGCATAATGAACCTTAAATAATAGCCAATAATATACACAGGGAAAATAAGAAGTAATAAAAACGATTAAAGAAAATTATTTGTCTAAAAAAATTTTAAAAAATTTAGAAAAAAGCTTAAAAACAATATTTATTAGATTATTTTTGATGGCAAAAAAAGAATATATCTAGAAATATCACTATTAAATGTTAAAATTAAGCACCTGAGTCATTTTATCACTTTTTCCTTCCCAACTGAGCCTCTCATCGTAGAGAGGATCGCTGTGAGTCCCGATGAAGATGGGCTCCCAATGCACGAAACGTCCGTTTCTTTTTCCCACGTGAAACACGTGCAATCCCTCGCTTTCCGGAGCAGTCTGCCATTCCTTCGCCTTAGGAATATTGTGGCATCCCGAGCACAGTTTCTTGTGAAAAGGTAAAGCAGTACCTAAAAAACATCATTTTGAATAGGGACCCTAATCTCTGTTCATATTGCTTTTAAAGACAATATGACTCGACTTACGGTTATGCAGCATCTCCTTCAGCATAGTTTTGCTTTCTGGCACCGGGGAATTGGCGCTGACCTCGAATATGTGCAAGGGAAACACTTTGGGGTTCTTGCTGAGCAAGGGACCCTTGTTGGTCGCGACCAGGTCTAGGAACTTGGAGCTTATGTTCGGACTAGGATAGAGTTCGATGTCTGAGGGTAGAATGAAGTGAGTTTGGGCCGTTTCGCGGGCCACGTTTCGTCCGACGTTCACGGGGTACAAGAGCTTTTTTTGCGCCTTGTACATCTGCTCGGACGACACGTTCAAATATGGCGGAGTTAGTGAGCAATTGTAGGGCTCCTGGAAAAGGGCGTTGTGTTTGGGAACCTACAAAATAAGTTGCGAAATAAGTATATAGTGTAATGAGAGAAAAATGATATACCGGGTGGAAGAAAAATAGGATACCATGAAAATTTTGAACTGTCCAAATATTGGCTCCACTCCACCAATAGGTTTTTTAAAGGTCTGCGTTGAATACACATGCTGGTCTGTTCTTACTTTGCTATAAATATGGTAATCGTAAATCATACAGGATGTTCAAAATTCTACGCCAAACTTTCTCAAATATAAAATATTTTTTCTTTGATTTTTTTTAAATGGTTCTAAATTTTTTTTTAAATTTTTAAAACATCCTGTATATTATTTTTTTTATTAGATGGAGAGTTAAAATTTTTTTAATAGTTTTGCAGATACACGTAGTATTATTTCATATGGCGCTTTCAATGGTAAAATACGAGAGAAAAATCATTGGGTGGCTTTGATAAAAATTTACTGTGGAAAATGCCATATGAAATATAAAACCGGGAATATCTGCAAAACCGTTAAAAATTTTGAAATACTTTAAATACAAAAAATGTTCATTTTTTAATTTTCCATCTATTGAAAAAAAAGATAATATACAGGGTGTTCCATTTAAAAAAAAACGAAGAAAAATTATTTTATATTTTTGAGAAAGTTTGGCGTAGAATTTTGAACATCCTGTATGATTTACGATTTCCATATTTATAGCAAAGTAAGTACAGACCATCTAACGTAAATATGTAATATAGTTTTGATTTCAGAACAGTTCTTGTATTTATAATAATTTTTTTAAGAAAGGCTAAAAAATATATCATTTTTATTTATTTATTAATATCTCTGAAATTATCGAAATATATTTACTCATGTCTTAGGACTTGTATATGGTCATCCATCCTGGATATCATCCAAGTCATCCATATTTACTCACACTTCTTTGAGCCACCCTATAATAAATATTTTCCTGAAATACATCCTTGCACGTACTTTAGGTTTGCACAAACAAAATTCCCAAGTTTTTTATTCTAGGAGCTACGGATGCCCGACGCACTATTGCCGGACCCTGTATAGGAGTGCCGATATTTGGACAATTCAAAATTTGCATGGGATTTCCTGTTTCCAACGCTATTTATTAATAGAATTAAACTAGTCGTAGCAAAATATTAAATGTACTGATATTAATTTTTCACTTCCTTTTACTATGTTTATCGTTATTTACCATAACAATGCACGTGTGATAAAAATGTTCTATTATCAAAGCGAAACTCCAACACTAATAAAAAGACAAATCGCATAACAATATACCTTTGTATTGTACAGGTTTTATTTCTACTGTATTTTGGAAATATCGTTCAAAAATAAAAAGCAAGAAATATCGAAAAATACAGGGTAATTCTATAACTTGGAATAAGTTATTCAGTAAGTCATTTTTTTTTAATGAAGTCAGAAAAATGTTTAAAAAAATATTTTTGACATATAAAATGTGTTAACACTCATAGTAAAGACAAAAAAACAACTAAAATTATTTGAACAGTTAAACGCTTATCAAAAATATAGCTAGCTGTAAAAAGCATTTGAAATGTTTTAGTAAAGTAATAAATTATAATTTTACGCCAAACATATTTAATTTTATTTGTACGTGTTCTACAGAGTGTCAAAATTATCCTACCTCTTTCGGAACGTGCTTGGTACTAAAATAAATATGAAACGTAACCAATTCCCTGACCAACGGACTAGTACATTCTCGCAAATGAGCTATCGACTCCAGAGTATCCTCGAAATCAGTTCCCGGAGCGTGGAGAGCTATGCTAATGGGAGCCCCCCACCTCTCCAGCAATGGCACCAAGTTGTCCATGAAGGAGTAATCTGCATGGGTGGTATAAGTAACCGTTTCCTCGCATTTGAACGTTTTTTCAGCTGGGATATAGTTGTACAGCACCCAATAGTCGCCTCTTTGTTGCGTTTTGGGTACCAAAGGCCTGTCTATACATCGTGTTATTTCCTTAATTTTTTCGCTGACTGTCGGTTCTGGTTTTGCTGTCGAAGAAGTGGTGCTTGAGGATGGTTTTGAGTTTATTTCGGTTTGGACCACTTTGGTGGTGTTGACAGTCGACAGTTGTAGTGCTGAGCCTAGATTTTTAGAAAGAAAAAAACGTTAAAATAAGTCCAAAATAAATGAGTTATTTTACTTCAAAAATTTCCCAAAAACATTTTTTTTGCTTAAATTTTGAGAACATCATTTCTGGGTTTTCTTTCTTGTAAATTTCTTCATTTTTTTTTTCGCGAAATAAACCTCATAATGGTGTGTCTGGAGTCGAAATATACTACCTCTAAAAAGATTTGTACTTATTTAAGAATCGCCCTTATAAGACTCTCCCTGTATAATTTTATTTTTAAGATTTGACAATGCCATTGGCGTAGTTAACACGTTAGTCAGATAGAAAGAGTAATTAATAAATATCTAACTTAAATGTATGATATAAAATAAAATATCTACAGAACAGTATACAGGGTGAGTCTTAAATAAGTGCAAATATTTTTAGGGGTAGTATATTTTGACTCCAGAAACACGTCTATGTTTTTTTTTCGCGAAAAAAAAATTGAAAGATTTGAATTTTTTTGAAAAAATGTTTTTTTTTTAATTTTTAGTTAAAAAACATAATATCTTCATAATATGGCAACATCCAGCGGTTCTTAAAATTTAAGTAATAAATCAAACCAGCCCCGAAAATATTTGCACTTATTTAAGACACTCACCCTGTATAAATCAAATTTATCTTAGATCATGCATTATCTAAACGACCCAGACACAATAACCGCTACTTCAACTCAAATTTTCATCTATTTCTGCCATTTCAAAGGCCACCCTGACGCTGTTTTTTTTTTACCTCCATAAGATACAGTCTTAGGCAACTAAAAATACACCGAAAAAGCGTATTTTTCTCCGCGCTATATCTCGAATTAGCATCAAAACCTGACAGGATTAGATTATTCAAATGAGACCCAGGTAATTTTATTCATTACAATCCTGTTAATCGGCCATAAAAAAATAAAGTAAACGATTTGCATAGCGAGAATATTATTTGAGCCGTAAGATAAAAATTATAATTACAAATCGCGCATTTATTAGTAACAATACGGAACTTTTGAAGGTTTTTGCGTGTTCTTCTCGTAGTTTTAAGCATCTTTAAATAGAATTTACTCACGCTGGGGAATAATAACTCACCTTCTTGTACGATCGATTCGACATTTTGCGTGTCCAAAGCGGCCAAACTTCGGCCAGACTGTTGCAGCTCCCTTATGACCGGTCCGCCGTTGGTCAGCACGTGGATTCCGAAGTATAGCAGGCAAAGTATGATCAGGACTTTGATGATGCACGATTTTCGATTAGTATACATCTTTTTTTGGCTTTGGCTTTCCTCGAATCTAAAAATAACGAAAAATAAACGGTTTATCGACCTGAAAACGAATAATTAATTATCCTATCATCGCTTAAAATTAATTTATTAATGAAGATTAGACAAAATTTCATTCAATTAACTAAACTAGTTTTTACAAAAATATTAATGATAAAATAAACTCTCTAAAAATTAAAATATGGGTTTTATAGCCTTGTATATGAATTATACAGGGTGTCCCAGAAATAAGTGCAAGTATTTTAACTGGTAGTATAGTTCAACCCCAGAAACACGCCTATAAGGTTTTTTTCGCGAAAAAAAAATTTTGAAAATTCGAAATTTTTTGAAAAATTTTTTGGAATTTTTTTTAGTTTTTAGTTAAAAAACATAATTTCTTGATAATATGGCAACATAGGTAATAGATTAAATTTACAAGAAAGAAAATCCAGAAAAGATCCAGTGGTTCTCAAAATTTTAGCAGCAATTTTTTAGTTATTTTGGACTTATTTGAAAAACGATAAAGAGAAAATATGTTTCTTTTATCGAGATCTACCACCCCTTAAAATACTTGCACTTCTTTCTAGGACACTCTGTATAAACAAGGGTTTTAGCTTAGTAAATGTTTGAAGCGTTATTTTGCAAAAATAACGTGTCCATTGAGAGGAATCAATGTTTTGTATCTCGTTTTTCTAGAAATAAATAATAAATATTAAATATATAAAATAAATAATAAATATCTCGGTTATTTTGAACTTAAAAACGGTAAAGAGAAAATATGTTTCTTTTACCAACATCTACCAGCCTTGAATATATTTGCACTTATTTAAGATTCACCCTGTATAGAAAATACTTTAATCGAAATGGAAAGAAAAAAAGAGACCAAAAAAATCTCAAAAAACTTAGTTGTTTTAGTTGGGTCAGTTAATTTTTAATAAATGGGAAAAGTATTAAAAATTAATTATCATAGAAAATTATCACCCACCATGACGCCGTTTTTTTTAATCGAACTTGAAAATTATACCTGAATATGCAATTTTAGACTAAATATAACAAAAAATATTTTTCTTACCTTTTTGAGTAAATTATTGATTATAATATCAACTTTTTTCGTCCTGGATGCTTCATTCCATGGAAATACTGATCGGTCTGTGCCAAGTCCATTGATCAGCTGGAAAAATCCACCCTTTCTCTGTTCATTTCGCTTATTAGCCACCGTTCCTACAAATTGAAGCATTACACACTCACATAATTAATCAAATTAGAGAACTAGAAAAAACATACACCAATTAACGAACTTTCTCTAATTCGTACGATAAAAAATAAAAATCTAGAGATGTAGGTCTAGCTTAATCACTTACGAGAGATCTAGTTAATTATAATTAGAACAATTTTCGTAGATATTATAAAAAAACGCGTCCGCGGGCATATATTTAACGAATCACTTAACAAACTGGCGCGAGAATAAAAATAAACAAATCTATTATTATCTGGTAGTTGCGAAACGATCTGAAACCATTTTTTTTTCGGTTTTGGTCAGCTGATAGAGCGGACAGGACCGATTTTGATATTAATATTATTTGATTTCTCTTTCGGCGCGTTCGATATAGAAAGCCTCCCTCCTTGTGGAGACCAGTTACCTTGAGAGACAATACAACAACGCGAGGAAACGCAAAGCAAAGGCACGTAATATCATTGGGAATTAATATAAATAAAGCTGGACGATGATTTCATTTAATTTGCTGCGATCGCCGATTTTTTCTTTTCATAATAAACCTTAAACCCGTGTTATGAAAAGAATCCCCCCGCGTGATCCAAACAATAAATTCTGATTGCAGCGAAAAGGTATGTTGATAGGGTCGGGCAAATTACTTTTTATTTTGCTACATTTACTATATACATTTGCTACTTTATATAGACTGAGTTCGTTGTTCATGTAATAGGAGTTTATCTCTACCTCTACCAGAAACAGAAGAATTAAGTTAGCATGGAGTACATACACTCTGTAGCTACGAAACAAAGCAGAATCGGACCTATGTTGATATGAAAAATAAATCATATTTTTACGTGAAGAATCTTCCCACGAGAGATGGCACATGTTTTTTGAAACGCCCTGTATATTTGGGATTAGACCAAAATTAACTTTTAATAGTCTTCTTGGGCTCTGTTTAATTTGTAAATAATTACCACATGAAATTCAAAATTATTGCAAAAAAATAACAAAAAACATTCCCAAGTTTATAACTCCAAGCATTTACAGGGTGAACTGCAAGCGTCGCCTCTCCGACTAGACGAATCATGGACGAATCTTAACAATCCCACCCACATCCCACCTGTAAACGATGGTACCTGAGAATGCGGAATTTCGTGGTAGAATTGACCGGCGCGTCGTCATCATTAGACTACCTTGACAGAAATCGTACGACTGTAAACAATTCTCTAACAACAACTCAAGAGGGCTAAATTATAAGCTGGCCAGTTCCCATAACGTCGCATTCCTCAAGCGCCAGAAAGTTACGATTATAGTTAACACATGGTTAACACCATGTTAACACCGCAGGCCACATCTGCGAATTCCAAATGATAGTCTTTTGGTATTTATATAAATACTTATTTTATGTCGGGATTGAGCGGTGAGATATTAAGGCATTGACGTATACCAAAGGTGTATTACTGGATGCCATAAATTATTTTTTCAATTAATTTACTAAACAAAGGTGAATTATTGTCTATATACTTCAAGTAGGAGATAAATTATATAATAAGATGATTTTTATATATTTCGTAACGTATTTTATACGAAATATATTATTTTTAAGAGAAATTAATGACTGACATTTCAATTTCTTATCAGTGAAAGATGGCGGCAAGTTCGCGGGAAATCGAATATCGCCCATGGACCAGGAAGAACAATAAAAGGTATAAAACCGTTTTATCAAATAAATATACCCGTTATAATACAGTCAAATTTTAACTATGTATTTCCTTTCCAGTGTTTAGCTTCAGATAATACTAAAACAATAACCAAGTACTGCTTTCTAAGCGAAGTCCTTCAACTTCAACACAGAAGTCCTAAAAAAGACCAACTGCTTGTTCCAAGACGAACTCAGAACTATGCACTGCCAAAGTTCAAGATATATGTCGAATAATTAATAGAGAACGATACAAATATTCCTAGAAATGTGAGATATCATAAGCTTGTACGACCTGTTCAAAACAAAGGTAGGTACATTCAAACTGATTTGTAATCCAAAAGTAGTTTTACAACCAAGAAAACTGTTTAAATAATTCTCCCAGGAAACTGTATTGGAATTAATTTTAAAACTCTTTGAATATGATCAAGGTTTCTACGAAAATATTATTTGTTATTGCAGATCGGAGGAGCCTAGTCTTTGAGGAAACGGCACTGATTTCTCCAGCTGGCTTGATCCATTTGACTGTGTTGTTAGGATAAAATTGTAAGCAATCTTCACTACAGAAAATTCAAACTCTGGCTCAACCGAGGCTGAGAATCCTTGGATCTGATTTCCTCAAAATAACATTCAAGATATTCCAAAGTAATAATGTAAGGTAATGCATTTGAATAATACAGATAGTATAAACTAGTCTCTGTAGTTCTAGATACAGTTCTCCTATGTAACTTTCAAAATAAAATACCAGAAACGTGTCTGATATGAACGATTCAATACAAAGAAACTATGGAAAGTAAAGGTACTCATGCGGCAGCTACCGTGCCCACGAAGAATATTCTTAGGATAAAATTGTAAGCAGTAAATAATTTTGCTTTTATTTGAATTTAAGCTAGTTTGAAAATTTTTAATAATCCTGCGCTTTCGCCATTTTCTAGACAAGTATTGTTTAATTTCCCTTAAAATTTAGAGTCGATAATAAAATGTTTTTTACTCTTAATTGCTTCCGATTAATTTTTTTTTGCTTTTAAATATATACTTGTATTACTGAAACCTGTTGAAAAATACTTGCAATAATGATTGTCTTTAATTCTAGATTTTGTGTAACATTGGCAGAGACAGTTCCAGAAAAAAGACTTGAAAATGAAAGCCACAAGTTAGCAATAGGCCTAGTTAATTTTAACATCCATTGTGAGGGTAAATGTATCTTTGTATTTATCTCTTCTGGTGCATTTTTGTTTGGGACACCGTGTAGACGCTTTCAAATTTTATAAGAATTCCAAAAAGTGCCTTTTTAATTAACTAAAAAAAACATACATATATGTAATTGCAATTCAATCTTTAAAATAAAACGAATAAACAAGAAGAATTTTTTTTTTCCATATTAACATTAAAACTATTTAATCAAAGACTACTACAATGATACTAGCATGATACTAGGAAATTCACAGATCATCTGTTTTTTTTCCTCAAAGTCATACTTGATATGTTTTGACTGAACAGTAAACATTGACAGGTAAAATGTTAGGTGCAGACAATACTATAAAATTAATTATTATTTCGACAATACAAAATAAAATGTCAATGGATAAACTGACATTTTTGAATTGAATTGTTAAGTTGTTCAATAGTTACACAACGAAGTAAACCCAAAAGACTCCCTAGTGAATGCAAAAGCGTATTTTATTGTTTATATAAAACTGCATTGCGTGTGATTTTTTAAACAATTAAAGAAAGGAAAGCAATACATTGCCAATATTCACAGATGAATGCGCAATGCATTTAATTATAATGATTGAGTAAAGTAAAATTAATTTCATTTTGATTTTAACACTGCTTTGTCTATTATCTGTCTTGTGTTCTATAAGTGTTGGTATTTTGAACTTTAATATAAAAAGTACTTAATCCATTTATTACCTTAAAATAAATTAAGAGATACAAGTCGTAATAAACCTTCCTTATTGCCGTGGTAAACGACGTAATAAAAGGTTAATTTACTACAAGCCCAGCCCTGCTATATATATGTAAATCACCTCAACAACCTTCAGTAAAAATAAGTTTGGCTTCGACCTTCTTTACTTACACATACGAATAAAAAAATTTGTAGTACAAGGTGTCTCTGTCTCTTTTTCGCCAAAGTTCGTTTTCGTTTTCAAGCTCGTCCTTTTGTTCCTATAGACCGACCATTACGTAAGCCTATTCAAGCGAATTAGTAAAATTAATACATACAGGGAAAAGCTCCAAAGGAAAACCTTGGACATTGTTTTTTACGCCGGACAAATATCTTAAATTTTTAATGTTTGCACGCGACCTTGTCGAATAACAGAACTGGTCTCCGTACGAGAACTGGTCTCCGTCTTTGAGAGAAACTCAAATTTTCAAATTTCAATTTTTCTCAAAGAGAGAAAAAGAACTTCCTGTTTCATCTAGAGCGCCATGGTTGAAACAGCGCAAAAACACAAACTTTTAATCAAGAAGCTTTGGAAAAATAAATTTGATCGTCCAATGTTTTTCGTGTCTTGTCATGGCCGATTAAAAAATGCCCAAATCGTACTTTTAATCATTCTCAATTTTTTCAAATGGAACGAGGGTGGCTGATTAGCATATTTGGAAAAGCACTTTTTTACGAATAATTTGGTACCACACACTAGGTAGTTCGAGTCAAATTTTCGTTAGTACAGTATTATACAATTTCAAATAAACCATAATATGCAAAAATGTCAAAAGTTGACAAAAGATATGTATTCAGTGTCATTTTCTATCGAATAAAGTAAAAAAATTGGCGCCGGGAGGCACGTATAGGCGCCCACTAAAATATGTTAATAAAAAGTAGGCAGTTCTTACTACTTTCAAAGTAAAGGAATTTTTCCAATTTTTTTTATCTCAAAAACTGCGACTTTAACTGATTTTGATGTTATTACAAGTTTTGTTGCAAATATTATTCCTAAGCTTAAATTGAAAACCGCGTTTCGCTAGCTACTGTAATTTTGGAGTTACGATTTTTTTAAATTTTTAACCCCCTCCCATACAGAGGATTGGAAAAAATCATGATTTTTTAAACAAAATAAAAAATCAGATTTTCAAACATCTCAAAAATATTAACTTTTGTCATTTTAACGCCTAGGCATAAAAGTAAAGCACTTTTACGCCTAAGCACAAAAGTATAAAAATATAATATTAAACAGATATTAAGTGTCAAATTCAACAAGTATACAAATTGTTGCTCGATTACTGTTCCTATTATTTGCAATGTTTGAAATTGATTAAAAAATTATTTGTAACGTTTTAAAAGAAATAGTATGTTCTATTCGTAGTAAGAATGTACTTTTTGTGCTTCCCTGTAACGTCGGAATAGCTTCAAAATGGTCCTTCAAAGGTACAGCATCGTCAAAAAGAGTATAATTTTTACTCCTAATAAAATACACTATTGTTCGGAAATAGTCTTAAGTCGAGAATGAAATTAGTATGTATTACCTAATGTCAAAGTGTAAAGTACTTACTGCAGATCAAAATGTCGGTAGGAATTTGGAAACATACAACCGTTTCAAAAAAAATATAAATCAACACATTTTCTGACAACGATTACAGAATCTCGGGAATGAAGATATAGTCTCTATATCAGAAGAACCTAGTTCTGGCACTAGACTTTGCGAATGATATGTATTCGAACAGCGAATTTTTGTCACATATATAAATTCTAAATTAAATCCCTGCGTTTAGCGGTCTAATGGATTCACGCGAAATTACTTCAAAAATCGGTTCAACATTTAAATTTCGATGAATAGATATTTTTATATAGTTTTATAACATTTCCAATTAGTTTTCGATTTATTATCTGTTATATATTATGTTATAGAAATATCTTTTCTAGTTTTCTATGACACATTTTTATAACTTTTACAGTTATTTTTTGATTTATTATAAAGTTTCAATAAAATTATTTCTTTTTGATTTAAATCACATGATTAAAATTGAAAAAATCACTTGATTTAAATCACGATTTAAATCAAGATTTAAATCATTTGATTTAAATCATGCCAACCCTGCTCCCATACCCCCTTGCCAACACCCCACCCCCACTATGGTCGGCTAAAAATACCGAGATACAATTTTTTTCAAATTTAAGATTTGCCAACATTCATGGAATACAGGACACAAAATCCAGTGATACAATACCAAAATCATAACGAAACACCGTTAGCTAACAAAAGAAAATTGTAGATTCGTTGAAAAACTTAGTCTTACATAAACAAATTTACATAAAAGAATGAAAAACAAAAATCCATTTATTTTTAAATCTAGCGTGTAGATTGGCTTTGGAGAGTGAGATCTCTTCTCTGTTCGAATTTTATGTTGGCGCTGTACAGTTAATCAAGTATACAGGGTGATCAGAATTGTATTCGGGAAACTCTGGCAGAATACTGTGCAGATAAAAATAAGTAAAAAAAGTTCGTATAAATGTATGTTCTAAAATGCTTCGTTTCTGAGATACAGGATGTAAAAGTTTCATTTTTATTTCGTTTTTTTTTCCAATGTCGATATTTGTTATATATTTATATACTCTGCAGTTTTATACAGGTACAGACGAAATGTTATTACTCTTCAAAACAGTTAAAAAAACAGGTAGGTGGCGCCCCCACAAGTAAGAGTCATATTGGCATCGAAATCAAATTTCCCATGTCAAAAAACTCCCATACACCAATTTTCATTGAAATATCAACCTTATTTCAAAAATTATTTGAAAAAAAAACGAAATAAAAATGAAATTTGTACGCCCTGTACCTCCGAAACGGAGAATTTTAGGACACAAATTTATACGAACTTTTTAACTTATTTTCATCTACAAAAAAATCCCGAATACAATTCGACCCACCCTGTACATTGAACGTGGCAACAACGGTCAACGTTCTCGAGAATATTTCTCCAGAGTTTTCTCAAGAATTAGCATTAATAAGGCGAGTAATAACATCTGGGCTTCGGTTTTCCGCTTCGACGGACGACTCTGCCTCGCTACCCGAAAAAAGATTAATTACGTATGCCAGTGGCTGGAGGAACGAAGAAAGAGAAAAAACGGCGGTCCTTCGAGCCATCAAATTAAAATGTAACAGTGTAATAATAATAGAACAAAAACCAGTTCGTTCTTCTGAGAATACTGCGCCATTAAAATACAAAAGATTAAAAGTCAAACTGTATGTTCTAGTTTATGAAATGGTCCCCAGTAGGAAACACAATCTTGGTGACTCAAACGCGAATTTGGACAACCAATAAAGAACAACTTTTTCTAGAAAACAGCAGAAACCATACCAAAAAATTTTCCAGAGGCGAGATTTCCAAAATATGTTTTATCATTCATCATCAAAAAGAAATAACGATAAAATCCAGAAATTATAGGTTTGTATTTTACGTTATTACTAAGAAAATAAAATCCAATTTGGTTGTGGTTAAATATAACTTCGTTGTAAGAATAAAATAGTTTAAATATAAAATTATTAAAACAAATATTTAAAGTTCCTAAAATATAATATCCTGTTCTGCAGTTTTCTGGGGTTTAACCAAAGTAATATTTTAGATTTTTGATAAAACCTTGTTCCTATTATCTTATTAATGACATTAAAATAATACGACTCAAATAAAAATAGATATTATAAGAAGTTTCATAGAAAAATTTAAATTACATATTAATATACAAATTTATAAATAAGAATGATTTGAAAATGATATAGAACCTTGAAATAGCATCACTGTTAATTAGATAACTTCTGACAAATACTAGTTAGTTATGTTTTATAAGTATTAAAAAATGTAGATTTTTTATTATGAAATTAACAGCCAGAAGGATATTCTTTGCGTATATATTTCAGATTGTGTAAAGATTCCTGAATAATATGTGTAGAAATGAGTAATCAGATTTAAGATTTTTTTATGTTCAGATACCAAGTGGAATCTCTCAAAGATTTTCTACTTAAACACTAATAAAAACAACTTTACGATTCAAGGAATATTTTATATACAAACGAACAAACCGTTTGATAGTCATATCGCAGGAAGCTATAAAGAGGTCGGAAGCAATAAAAAAGCTAAGAAAGAGAAATTAAAATATCAAAATTAACTATTTAAAATTATATTTAGGAAATAACAGTTGTTGAGAAGCTGAACAATTAGGCAAAAATAAAAAAGTTCTCGCCAGAGCTGCAACAAATCAGTTTTAAAAAGACTTAAGTCATTTTTAGCCGACCATACCAACAGGTATGGTAGGCTATTAAGATCGGCAAATTTTTTTTTTAATTTGACTCAAAATGAGTTATTTGGGTCATAAATACCAAAAACCAAACCGACCGAAATACAAAATATTTTCATGGGGTCTGTCCGATTTTGTCTGGCCGCTAAACCGATTTTAACCAAATTTGGCACAAAAATACTGTGGCACCCTAGAATCTAGCCATTAGTCTTTGGTGGGGGTGGGGGGTTGGTAAGGGGGTATGGGAGGGGGTTAAAAATTTAAGAAAATCGTAACTCCAAAATTACAGTAGCTAGCGAAACGCGATTTTCAATTTAAAATTAGGAATAATATTTGCAACAAAATTTGTAATAACATCAAAATCAGTCGAAGTCGCAGTTTTTTAGATAATTGAAACTAAAAGAACTGCCTACCAACTGTATATTAACATATTTTAGTATGGGCGGCTAGACGTGCCATTCTGTTTTTTTTTTTAATTTTACAACCTTCTGTCTATTCTGTCTAAATTCTGTCTATCAAATAATACAGCCCACTGCCACAAATCTGTACCAAAAACGAAAATTCTTGCGTAAAATACTGTCCCCCCTCCTCTCCCCCCAACTAACGGTCAACCGGTCTCGGTCACACGCGACTCCTAAAAATCGAGAGGTTTCGAAAAAAAATTCGTCGCTATTATACAAGTCCATACATACCTACATGGGCACATCGCACAGCCGAGAATGCGGTAAGCGGGTCAAGTTTACTCTGACTATAATACAGTTCCAAGAGAGTCAGATTTAGTCGATCTTTTACCGTACAGTACCCAGCGAAAGAACAACCTTGTGTGTGGGTTACAATTTCGTAGTAGGCGATAAAAAATACGATACACTCACTAAAAACACTTCGAAGAAGGGTTGAAAGAACGTTTTGGAAGAAAATGAGACACAAAAGAAATCCGGAACGAGGAAGGTATAAACGCGCTCGGCGAAAAGGCAAGAGAGGTACTGATCTGTTGGGTAGGTACCTTGGTACCAGCGAAAGATTGACCGCGGCAGTACAGTAGATGGGAACGACACGCCAAGGAAACAAACTGCTTCGTCGGCTACAGCGATGGTCACTGACTCCTTCGCTGTCCGTCGTCATTCCGACAGTAATTGCTATTTAATTGACTGGATTTTCGACCATCATCAGTAGAAGAACGAAGAATAAGTCACGGCAAATGGGGTTAGATAAAACACCATCAAATATATATATATACTGGGTGGAAACATAGAAAATCCCATGCAAATTTTGAGCTGTCTAAATATTTAAAAAAAAATAATAATAGTAAAAAATCTATAGTAATATATAAAATCCTTAAATGACTGACTCACTGATTAATCACGATCCTGCTCAAACCACTCAACGTAAGAAGCTCAATTTTGGCATACAGGTTGATTCTAGGGTGTAGAGGTTCGATAAGAAGGGATTTTTCGAAATTCCAGTTCCAAGGGGGTGAAACCGCCCCTCAAATATTACAATATTTTTTATTTAAAAAACGGTCAAGTTTCCGAAAAAACGCTTTAATACGTAGGTATATTCTATTTTGTTGTTTTACATATTTTAAGATTTTTTAAAAATTGATACAGGGTGTTTCATAAAATATGTCCATTGAGTAATCACTATTCTGCTTAAACTGCTTGACGTTTAAAGCTGATTTTTCGCAAACTGATTGACTGTGGGGTGTAGAGGTTCGATAAGGAGGGGTTTCTCCAATCTCAAATTCCAAGACGGTGAAGTTATATAATATAATATCGCTATATTGTTTTTTTCTCATGCTGACATAAATGGGAGAAAATTTTATCCAGTTTGTATGTTAATGGAAATTCTTGCTTTGCTTTATCATCACCATTATAAATGATTAATTCGACGCGAACGAAGTCGCGGGTACACGCTAGTAAATATAATATTTTTTGTTTGCTTTTTAGCATCTGATTTTTACAATACCACCCCCGTGACGATTTTTTTTTGAAAATTTGGAATCTTTTTAAAAAAAATTGAATTTTTTTTAAATAATTATTTAAAAAACATAATTTCTTGATAATATGGCAACCTAGGTAGTCGATTAAATTTACAAGAAATAAACTCCAGAAAAGATCCAGTGGTTCTAAAAATTTAAGCCAATTTTTTTTTTTTTTTAATTAAAGGAAAGTAACTCGGATATTTGAGACTTATTTGAAAAACCGTATATATACTATATCAGATCCCATCTGTGATCCCCATTTAGTGCATCTTAAGCACCCCCACTATTAGCAAATGTATACCTATCAATTTTGCAATCATTTAAATTGCCAAGCATACAATAAGAAGATTAAATATTTATTTTAATACCCACAGAGGAATTATAAATACCCTTATTTAAATTAATCAAATATATCAACAAAATCTGAATGTTAGCAATGTACGCCTATCGTTCCTTTTATTATATGTACAAAATGTCAAACATGCAACTGAAGATTAAATATTGTTTATTGAAAGACACAAATAAAAACCCTTGTTTAACTTGATCAAATGTCAATAAATTTTCAAACATCTGTATATGTTATCAAAGTGTAGCTGTAGCGTTTCTTTTCAATAATTATGTAAAAACACGCAACATGCATCTACAAGACTTAAAACACGGAATATGCATATTATTCACTTCGAAGTCTTTCATTTTTACCTCATTAATAACAAATTAAATGTTATTGACAGTCGACAATAAAATAAAGTAGTTCAACTATTTAAAAATATTATTTCTATTGCCACTAAAAAATATAGACACAAAGATATTTTTTTTTCAAACGTCACAAAAGTATTAATTTTTGCGACGTGATTGACAATATACAAAAGTCATTTTAACGCCTAGGCATAAAAGTACGAAAATATATTATTAAATTGACGGAAAGTGTCAAATTCAACGAGCGTAATCATAGTTTCTCGATATACAGGGTGTCTCAGATTTTAATCGGGAAAATTTAATAGACGATAGAACTTGCAAAAATAAAACAAAAAGTTCATATCAACTTGTAAGATTTAAAGCTTCCTTTTCGAGGTTCAGGGTACCATTAGAATACCAATTATAATATTAATTACCAATTAGAATTTAATTTTTTTGGCAAGAAGTAAGCAAGATTGACAAAAAAGTCAGGAGACAAAAAAATTATATTTTTAATTACTAAATCCAAAAATAATATTAAGCTTCTAAAAAGCAGTAGCGTGCCTATTTTTTCCTTTAAAATAATTTAACAGTGATGCCCCACCGCCGCCCCTAGCCATTAAACTTAAATGTAATTACATCAAATTAAGTCCCATAATAAGTATTATAAACGGGTCAAGTTATATCAAAATCGATTAAATAGTTTTTCAAATATCTTTTTTTTTCTTTTTTATGTAATTGTAACACCCTGTATCTCGAAAAGGAAGCTTTAAATCTTACAAGTTGATATGAACTTTTTGTTTTATTTTTTCAAGTTCTATCGTCTATTAAATTTTCAAGGTATAACTTTTAAATATTTTTATATTATTTGGAATGTTTGAAATTGTTTAAAAATTATTTGGTGGGTTTGAAAAAAAGCATGTTCTATTCGGACTAAAAATGACTTTCTGTGCCTCGGCTGTATGTTAAACGTACAGCCTCGCCACAGAAAGTGTCATTTTTACTCATAATAAAACATTATACTATTTTTTTCAAACGTCACAAAAATATTAATTTTTGCAACGTGATTGACAATATAAAAAAGTAATTTTAACGCCTAAGCACAAAAGTACGAAAATATATTATTAAACTGACATAAAGTGTTAAACTCAACGAGTGTAACCATAGTTTCTCGATATACAGGGTGTCCCAGATTTAAGTGCAAGTATTTTAGTAATAGTGGTAGATCTCGATAAAAGAAACATATTTTCTATCTATCGTTTTTCAAATAAGTCCAAAATAACGGAGTTATTTTACTTTAAAAATTTCCAAAAAAAAATGATTTTGTTGCTAAAATTTTGAGAACCACTGGTTCTTCTCTGGATTTTCTTTCTTGTAAATTTAATCTAATACTTATGTTGCCATATTATCAAGCAATTATGTTTTTTGAAAAAAATATCCAAAAATCTTTTCAAAAAATTTCGAATTTTAAAAAAAAAAAAATTTCGCGAAAAAATACTCATAGGCGTGTTTCTGAGGTTGAACTATACATACTACCAGTTAAAATACTTGCACTTATTTCTGGGACACCCTGTATAATTACTTACAAAGTATTACTTTTAAATCTTTTTATATTATTTGCAACGTCCGAAAAACGTCTTTGTGTACCTCGCCACATAAAGAATCATTTCTACTCCTAATAAAACAATATACTATTTTTTATAATAAACTGTGCCAATATTGATACGAAAATATGTTTGTAAAGAGCTACCTTGACAGCTATTTACAATCACAACAACAAACACAAATCAATTTTATATCCAAAACAAAATTGCAAGGAACTTGATCTCCGTTGGTGACCAAAACCAATATTTACCCCAAAAAAAGAAAAATTACTTTAGGTAACACAAAAACTACTAATAATATAGAAGCTTCATACTAAGACAAAAAAAATTATTTAATTACCCTGTAGTATAAATAAAGGATTATTATTAGAACACATTGCATTATAAAATAAATAGCGCTGTTTTTATAATACGTTAAGCGTTCTTTCCAGTCGAATTGGCATATAAAAGCATTAACAATTCTTAATTGCTGTCGTTTAATAAAGCATACTGTTTTTCCATGCACAACTTAATTCGTCATATCATAATCATTATGAAACCCCGCTACATAACATTTACATTTCATGACTAATACACTCTGCCTTAATCGTTTCGTGTTGCTTTGATTTGAGCCCGCCGAATTATAAAACGATTAAAAGGAAATAATGTGCGACGTTGCAGTTCCTTCTTAAGGTAAAACCCTTGAACTAAAAGAAAAAGGTGTGCTTGTATGCCGCGAGTCGCAATAATAATCGATTAAACTACATTAATTAAAAAATAACAAATCTCTTTCTCTCACCTCGATACACAGCGGGGAAAACGCTTTTCTACTGAAGAACGATGAACGAAACGAACGAAACAACGTACTGGTTGAGGAGGGGCGTCACATTTTGGACCGTTTTCCTTCTGACGACGACGCGTTCGAAGAAATTAAATGAAAAGTGTGGTTTTTCTTGGGAAAACGACGAGAAGAACTGGCGACGATGCGAAGGCGAAGCTCTATCGACGGACAAACCCACCAAAACTGAAACAGGATACGCGGATAAACCGGTCGGCAGTCGCCACAGTCGATTTCAATAGAACTCCCGTGCAGGACCGTAACGCTTTTAACTTCCAGATGTTCAACAGGCCTAAACCATACACTGGTCTTTGTTAAAAAAATACAACAGAACTCACAAAATTTTTCACTATATTATGTAGATACCCCATAAAATTCTTTTTATGTAAAGGGTACAGTACGTCCCCAGACTGTATTTACCAGAGAAAAACCTTTTTTACTAATGTAGAGAAAAATGCATCCTTCATAAAAAAATTTGCTTGTTTTAAAAATGGTTAATCCCGTTTATACTTTTCCAAATATACTATATACTATCATACTATACAGTTTTAGAGAAAATATAGTTGAATTTTTCCTAAAAATTAAAAGGCATTTCTATCGATCATTTTAGATTTCATTCTTCTAAATTCAGATATATTTTCAGTTTTTTTTTATTGACTCTAAATTTGGAAAAGTATGAATGGGATTAACCATTTTAAAACAAACAAAATTTTTTACGAAGAATGCATTTTTCTCAAAATGTCTATAATAAAAAAGTTTTTCCTCTTGTACAGACAATCCGGGGACATACTGAATCCTCTTTTCATAAAAATACAGACTCTATACAGGGTGAGTCTTAAATAACTGCATATATTTTCAGTGTTGTTAGATCTCGATAAAAGAAACAATTTTCTCTTCAAATTTCAAATAAGTCCAAATAAACCGAGTTATTTTACATTAAAAATTAAAACAAAATTAATTTTTGATTAAATTTGGAGAACCACTGATTTTTTATTCCTCAAAATTTAATCTACTACCTACTATACAAAATAATCAAAATTTTCAATTTTTTTTCGCGAAAAAAACTCATAGACGTGACGCTGGGATCGAAATATGCCACTCACCCTGTATAATAGAAAAATACTGTATATATATACATATATATATATATATATATATATATATATATATATATATATATATATATATATATATATATATATATATATATATATATATATATATATATATATATATATATATAAATTGAGAAAATCGTTGCTCAATAAACAGAAGAAAAAATAATTAAATATTCACATTTAAACTGAGTTGCATTATTTCAGCTACAGTATTTTTGAAAATATCATAGATCGTGAAAATAATAAATTGTACTAAATACACCCCGTGAAACGTTAAAATTTTATAGTTAAGTAAATTTTTCTTTAAGTATCAATAAAAGGCAAATTTTTAAGTGTCGATAAAATACAGTAGGTAATCGTCCGATTTTTACATTAATGTAAAAAATTAATTACTTTTTTTTTGATGGTACTTTTATAGTTATACAAAAATTAGCATAACTAAGAAAAAGAATGCATGAAATGTTAACATAAAATTTTCACAATTTTTTTGTAAAGTCACGTGTGCTAATGGTGGTCTTAATTATACAGGTAAATTTTTAGTAAATTGTATTTTAAAAAAGATTATTTAAAACCCCCTTTTCGATTTATATTTTATTTAACTAAATGTTAAAAGTAAGTTTTTTAGGGATAACTCTTAGTTTAACCATATTTTCCGAATAACTCTAATTTAACCATATTATTACTGAATAATTATAAAATAATAAAAAATACACCCAGAAAATTCTTCCAATGTATTAAAAAAATACACGATAAACTACAAGAAATACGCTATTAATAAATGAAATTTTTGCGCACTAATAAATTTTTAAAGAACTTATTAATATTTTAAAGAAAAATATTGAGAGAGAGAGAGAGAGAGAGATTTCCTATACCTACTTCACCTTATAATTATCCTATTATAACTTTATTTAGAATAATTTTCATTGTATTATATTTTTTTAACAAAATAATATATTTATTCCTTATTTTACCCTTTGATATTAATGAGTTATCATTTAAATTATTTTTATTATCCCCAAAATTATTTTAAATCGACCCTCAAGATTATGCAACCCAAAAATTATGAAAGAAAATTGTACGTATATTGGCAACCAAACATACTCAAAACCTTCCTGAATTTTCATTGGTCAACGTCAAACCTGTCAGGAAAAAAGAAAAAAAAACAACAATCAGCTGACTGTCAAAGTAGAAAAACTTGTTTTACGTTTGTAAAATGAATAGATGTTTAATTCGGAGGTCATTTGCTGCGAAAAACTAATTAATAAATATGTAGTTAATCGTAGACATTGAAGAAGATCCGCGTAACAACGTCCCGTGGCTATTTGTATGTATTTTTAGTCTAGAATTACTCAATCCCCTAGAACCATGAAGATAACTGTCTGTTAAAAATTAATCATCGGATCCAAATCGCGTATTATTTTTAATTCAGTATTAACACGATGATTCGCAGGAAGGAATTCTTCGGTATCGTAATTCTCGCTTTGATATGTTTCCTTTTTATCACGTTCTGCGAGAAAAGCCCCACGCCGATTCACAGCAGATCCGTAGCCTTTCAAGCGATAGAAATAGAACAGCCCCGGGTCCTAAACAACCACATATCAATCGAGGAACTCGTCAATATACAAAGAACCAAGCTCCAACGCGAATTACAGGATTACAAGTTGCCTGACAGGGAGTCCCTAGCGAATTTAACTATTGAAGATGGAGGGCAACCCATCAGGACTGTGATTATTACGACCTGGCGATCAGGATCCACATTTTTGGGTATTTATACACATAAATTTCTGTAATAATTTTGAAATAAACTTGGTTTTTCATGTAGGTGATATCTTAAATGCCCTTCCTGGCAACTATTACCACTACGAACCCTTATTGGACTACGGAATTATCCAAATAAGGGGTCCTCCCTACTCAGAGTCAGCTCTTAACGTGATGAAAAGTTTGCTCAACTGTGATTATACAAATTTACAAAGGTAATTAACCTAACAACTCTTTAACATGTTACCTCATTTAATATTCTTCAAGGTATTTGGAATTCGGCATGTCTCACATATACCTTTTCACGCACAACAAAAGGTTATGGAGCCAGTGTGAAGCCTACCCAGACTATTGCTGGGACCCCGACTTTTTGAACGATTTTTGTAGAGTGTTTCCCTTTCAATCCATGAAAACGGTTAGGTTAAGGTTAAAACTCGCCGAAGAATTGTTAGAAGACGACACGTAAGTGCATTATTAATCATATAATGATTAATTTCTATATATTAGCGTTTCTTTGACCTTCTAGATTGAAAGTGAAGGTCGTGTTGCTAGTGAGAGACCCTAGGGGCACGCTGCAATCACGAAAGCACCGAGACTGGTGTCCTGGTGAACCTGACTGTGATCAACCTAGTTATTTGTGTTCGGACATGGTGTCTGACTATAGTGCAGCTATTAGACTATCTAAGCTCTACCCTACACGTTTCAAGTATGTCCATATTTTCCTTTAACCAATGATAATAATATAACCTGTTGCATCGCCTACCTGAACATAAAAAATCCCGTGTAAATTTAAAAATGATGAATTTTGCTTTATTTTAAGGAGTTCGTTAAAAGTTTCAAATAATTTTTTCTCTAAAATAAAAAGGGGAAAACTTATTCACCATTTTTAAAATTTCCATGGGATTTTCTATGCTCAGGTCAACAATGCAACACACGGTATACAGGGTGGTTCGAACTGTATTCCGAAAACATCAGCAGCATATTCTACAGATAAAAATAAGTAAAAAAGTTCATATAAATGTATGTCCTAAAATGCTTAATTTCGGAGATACAGGGTGTAGAAGTTTCATTTTTATTTCGATTTTTTTCATATAATCTCTGAAGTAAGGTCAATATTTGGATGAAAATTGATGGCTGGGAGTTTTTTGACATGAGAAGGCGCCACCTACATGTGTTTTAACTGTTTTGAAAAGTAATAACTTTTTGTCTGTACCTGTCTAAAACTACTGAGTGAAAAAATATACATTTCCGTGATTTTCTACGTAAAAACTTTTTATTTTTTTAAACTAATCATAAATTTTTCTTCGAAAAAATGATGATAAAACAGTTTCTGTTGAACTTTTAGCTCAAAAACATTTCAAACTTATGATTTTAGTCTAATAACTATTTAGTCAACATGCTTAATTTATGTCAATGATGACAGGTATTGGTAATTTCGATTCCAAACATCTTGAGAACCATTACTCGTAGCGATTTTTACCAAGATACCAAGAGACCTTTTTTACGTAAAAAATGTCATAAATGTATATTTTTTACAAACTAGTTAGTAGGAAAAAATCGAAATAAAAATGAAACTTCTACACCCTGTATCTCCGAAACTAAGCATTTTAGGACATACATTTAGAAGAACTTTTTTACTTATTTTTATCTGCAGAATACGTTTCCGGAATACATTTCGAACCACCCTGTATAATATCCGATATTTTTGTAGAGCTCTGCGCTACGAAGATCTCTCGCTAAACCCCTACGAAAACGTCGAATCTTTATTCGATTTTATGGGGCTCAAAGTTCACCCGGCTGTCAAGGATTTCCTGGACTCTCACACAACTGTCAACGTGGGGGGCGTGTCCAGCACTTACAGGGACTCGAAAAACGCCCCTTTTCACTGGAGAGCCGATCTGAGTGTTGGGGAGATCCAGGCTATCGAAGGCAACTGTAGCGAGGCGATGAAATTGTGGGGTTATATCCGCTCAAACGGGTCGAATGTTAAAGATTTTTATCCTCTTAGCGCGTACGATATTAAATGATCCTTCAGAAGCGTTTTTAATAGTTTTTTTTTATTATTTTTTTGATGCTCTCAAGAAACTTTGATCAGTGTCTTTTATGGACCAGGATATTTTTAATTAGGTATATACTTAGGTATATTAATGATGTTGGTACAACCATAGAAAAGCCTGCTTGGGATTCAAATATGCTTAACACTCGCTAGACACTCACTAATTTAAAGTGTTAGTATTTTATTTTGTCCTCCATTTTAACTTCTTTAATTTTTTTTAGCTTGAACATTCATTAAAAAGCAAATTTTTAATTGAATAAAAAATGTTTTTTTTTCAAACGTCAATTTTTGGGACGTGATTGACAATATAAAATAGTAATTTTAACGCCTAGGCATAAAAGTAAAACACTTTTACGCCTAAGCAGAAAAATACGAAAATATATTATTAAACTGAAATAAAGTGTCAAATTCAACGAGTGTAACCATAGTTTCTCGATATATAATTACTAATTATTACTTTTAAATCTTTTTATATTTGCAACCTTTGAAATTGTTTAAGAAATTATTTGTGACGTTTGAAAAAAAAATGTTCTATTCGGAGTAAAAATGACTTTTTTGTATACTATATTTTAACGAAAGTTCAAAAAATTAAGCATGTGAAAAGTGAGATAAAATAAAATGTAAACACTGTATATTCTTTTAAACAGAAATGAAACCACATTTCATTTTTTGTGCCTTACAAAGGAATTTCACACTTTTTTATGATATAAGCACTGATCAAAAGAACACCAATAAAAAAGGCCTTCAACATATCTTAAACGCTGATTTTCGATAATTTTTAATAATATTGTATAGGGCGAGATATGGTTTGATTTTCTAACTAATTTTCACAGACACACAAACACGTTATACCTTTACGTGCCTTTAGCCGAATATTTTAAGTTATATTTATAAGGAGAAACGCAATACAATAAGAAAAAAATCGTTTTTTAAAAAACAATGTTGAATAATTCCATAAGCTTTATACATTTCCTCGAATATTATTTTTGCAATACGCCGAGATTGATATTGTACTTTTTAAATGTGATTTTTATTTTTTATTATTTATATATTTAAATAAATTATTTTAAGATTTTTTTTAAATTAGATTAGATATTTTTTGCATTTTTTAAATCAGAGACAATTTTTAACAAGTTAATATTGTTAAAAAGTGATTTTTTTTGTTAGTTTGTTATAAAAATTTTATTGCGTATTATGATATTAAAAAGGCCTACTTAAGTATTTAAATTGTCTCTGATTTGAAAGTTTTTTTAAGTTATGATCAAAAACAATATAACTAAGCAGGACATACTCGCAATATTTTTCTTCTTTCGAACAACAAAAAAAATATTTATTTTTGTAAAATACATGTTGTCCTAATGAAGTTTTTTAATTACCACAGAAAATATGAACAATATCATGACCTACTTAATTATATTTATTTATGATCATATAGAGTACGTCCCCGGATTGTCTTTACAAGAGGAAAAACTTTTTTATTATTGACATTTTTATAAAAATGTATTCTTCATAAAAAAATTAGTTGTTTTAAAATGGTTAATCCTTTTCCAAATTTCCATACCGTTTTAGAGAAAATTAAAAAAAAAACATGAAAATATAGTTGAATTTTTTTTGTTAAAAAATCAATTTGCGTTTCTATTTTTTTTTGTTTTTTGTTTTGGATAGAATTTTAATTAACGTCATAATTTTTGCTGTTTTAAAGTGTTAAAGCTTAAAATTTAGAATAACCATCAAAGAATGACAGCATAATTATATTACCATAGAAACGCCTTTTGATTTTTAGGAAAATTCAACCATATTTTCATGTTTTTTTTTTTTTAATTTTCTCTAAAACGGTATGGAGATTTAGAAAAGTATAAACTTGATTAACCATTTTGGAACAAGCAAATTTTTTTCATGAAAAATGCATTTTTCTCAAAATTTCAATAATAAAAAACTATTTCCTCTTGTAAAGACAATCCGGGAACATACTGTATAGGATAGAAAAAAAAATGATAAAAAGTATTATTATTATAAAGTGGCCTCACGTCTTGCCTAGATCCGATCAAATTTGTACGAACTATTTTTAAGCATTAAAAGTTGTGATTAAAAAAAAAACTTGCACAAGAACTTTTTTTAGCACACCCACTAACACCGCAATAGAAACAACAAGCGCACTATTTCTAAAAACATTTTAAAATCGCAATAGAATAAGTAATATTTCCACGATAAAATTCGTATTTATTTAGTTTATACAAGTTTAAATAAAAATTGTTGAACACCCTCAAACGTACATTTTTTATTGCATCATTTTTTCCTCGACCAGATGATATTTTTCCAAAGTTTTTCCGATACTTTCCACCGAATATCGACAGTCTTCCGTACCACAGTCGCAGGTAAACGATTTGTATTTAATCAACCAAAATTTGTCGCCATAGTCGAAGCTAAAAAACATACAAATTTACCTCTTTTAAACTCTTTAAAATATAGCAGTACCTTAGTTCCTCCATTTGAGCTATTTCCCTCTTTGCAAACAGGGCTATTCTGGGAAATTTCAAGTCATGGTGATCAATGAAAACTTTGACTGGGTTCAAATTTGGTTCGCAAGAATGGTTAATGAACCTGGCGAAATTTCCGTAAAATTTTGCGTCTATACAAAAAGATTCAGTTTCCTAAAAAAGTATAAATTTACAATAGTAAAGTGCAGTATGATCGGGAAAAAAAACGACGTCAAAGACAGCTGGGAATGACAATCGATGATAATTTTGGCGAGGTCAAGCCCTAGACGCCATTACTTCGCCTATACTCTTCTTTATTGTTTAATGGCGCTTACTGCCGCTTAATGGCCTTAAAAATTATGTCCATTTTTAGTAAGTGACGTCTAGAGATTGACCTGGTCAAAATTATAATCAACTGTTATTCTTCAGCCGTCTTTGACGCCGTTTTTTTTATCGTAGGGTATCACTTAAAATTCTGAAGATAGTTATTATTATTACCCTGTTATCCAAGTCAAATAAATAACTATCATCTTCTCTATGGTCAGCTTCAGTGTCGGTGAGTATTTCACCAACATACTCACAAACGTAGCCGCCTTTTTTAATGAGATTCAACGTTCTCACACCCCACCCTTTATTTTTGGTTCTAAATAACTGAAGCCTTTGATTCAAAGGTTTTTGCACTAATCTATTTGTACACAAAATCGAATTACAAGCGCACATATCGTTGCATTCGAAAATCATTGGAGGATCTACAAAAATAAATTTATTTACACCAATTTTTTCGATTTTTTTCTAATACTATTACCGTAAAAATTAAACTCTGGTAACAGTCTTTCCTCCTCATCATACCAACACTTTAATGATAACTGAGCACACTGGCAATCCGATGTAACACACTTATCTTCACAACTACAAGACTTTAACGTGGACACTTTTAAATCAATCTTAACATTATCGGAAGACACGCAATTTTTTCTAATATACACATAATTCTTTGGCTCTTTTTCTAGATCTATATCATTGTAACATTGGATTGGATTCGGTTCTCTACCTCTAGAAATGTCACTAAAAAAAATTAAATGTGTAACATAATAAGTATATTTTTTATTAAAAATGTTACTTGGTTAAAACAAATTTTCGTGGATCTTCAGGAAGAATAGTTTTGAGTTTAACGTTTAGGGCGATCGCTGGAAAACATCTTCCGTCTTTTGGTGCACAGTCCAGTGGCGTCTCGTTATTTCTATTTATTATAAAAACATCTGCGTTTCTAGCCAACAGCGTTATAACGATATTATAGTTATCTTCCCTTGCACTTATATGCCTGAAATTCGTTTAAAATAATATATAAACTTGTACAATGGATAAATAATAAAATTTCTTACAGCGGCGTATCTCCGTGAACGTTCAAAACGTTTATGTCCGAATTAAAATTAAGTAGCGCGTCCACTATTTCGCTGTTTCCACTAAACGCCGTCCAGTGCAGCGCTACATTATGTTCGACGTCCCTAAAAATACCAAACTAGTTAAAAAAAAGCCAGCATTAATAAAATATAATTATTCTAACCTAATATTCACATCGGCTCCTCTTAAAACCAGATATTTGACGACGTCTATGTGGCCGTGTTCGCAAGCCCACACTAGAGGAGTCCATCCTCCGTCGTCTTGGACGTTTATGTAGTTTTGGATACAAAAACTCGAACAAATTATCAGTTTACATGCTTCCAAATTGCCATATTTCGCTGCCAAATGCAAAACAGTCATGCCATCTGTTCCCTAGATTGTTTAATTATAATATTAACTCTCAACACTCTCAAAACCAAGACATTTTTTGTAGGGGATGAATTTTTGCTCTTCTGGATAAAAATGTATTTTTTTTGGAAATTGCAACATCCCGGTATTTTTAAAATGAACTATTTTCAACCATATATTGATATAAAATTTTCTTCTTAAAATAATTTCTTGGCAAATTAACTGATTTTTATTTAAACATATTTATAAAAATAGCAAAACTAGTGTGCAGTCTTATATTGGACAGGGGAGATTTCAACAGACGACATCCAAAAAATTACAGAAAATACATTTTGCTTGTGAATTAAACTGACAGACTCAACTGTCACTGTCAAGGATCCTCCCTTTAGATAGACTATATACAGGGTATCTCCTTAGTAGTCTAAAAAATTTCAGGCTGTGATTCCTCACGTTTTTAAGAAAAAAAGTTTATAAACATGGAGCCTAAAATACTTCCTTTCAGATCTACAGGGAGTTAAAAAATTAAAAAAAAAATAGAATTTGTCTCAATATGTCTGAAACTAACTTTGGATATAATTTAAACTTTTTTTCTTAACAAGATAGGAGGAACCACACCCTAATTTTTTTCTAGACTACTTAAAAAACACCCTGTATAACAAGCTCTAATATATCGAAAATAAAAAAATAAAAGTTTGGGACCTTATTTTTTAAAACATGACTGGTATCATGTACAGGGTGGCTCGAATTCGACGCTCATCATTAGAATTTCGGAAACCGTAAGAGATACTGGATCGGTTAAATGGAGGCAAAGTTGCGCAATTTGATGCTCAATAAAATTCCGTATTGCATATTGAAAAATTCCGAATACTTCCGAATATATTCGAAAAAAAAAACGGAATTTTCAATTTTGTTTTCTATTGTTTCCTGGCTTTATTTGCTAAGATATCTTAAAATGAAAAACACATTTTCATGGCTATTTTTTCTGCTCTATAACTGTGTGATTAAGTATTGACTCTGGCGTTTAGGCTTCCATCACCAGAGTATTTTATGCAAAAAAAAATATAAAAAATAAAAATGCAATACGGCATTTTATTGAGCATCAAATTGCGCAACTTTGCCTCCATTTAACCGATCCTGTATCTCTTACGGTTTCCGAAATCTCAATGATTAGCGTCGAATTCGAGCCACCCTGTACAAGAAAAAAGAGACTAAGAGAATTTTAATTACCTTGACAGTTAGTTGAGATTCTCCCTTTAGTAAATACTTCAAAACGTCATTTTTATGGTCTGCTATTGCCAACATTAGGGGCGTATTCTGATTATCATCCAAAATATCCAAATCTATCTTTAAAGATATGAATAAATGAACAAATCGCAACGTATTTTTCAAGACTGCAACATGCAAAAACGTCCCACCATCAAAATCGGACAGTCTCGTTTTAAAATCGACATTTCCACTGGCTAAAAATAACACAAAAAAAAATTACATCCATCTCATCTCTTGAAAAATCCAGTAAATATAAACACACCTAAAATCGCTACAGCTTTTTCCAGATTATCCTCATCCATTGCATCAATCAAACTAGACTCATTACAACTGTCTATATCCAGAGTATTTGTAAACATTTCCAGTTGATTTGGCGATAAAATCGTCGATATATCCAGATCGCTATCGGAATTTCTGCGTTCCAAATCGCACGGACTTTTAGCAAAACTCATTTTGGCGGAAGTACTAAAAATTTAACGGTATTATCACATTCATAGCGAAAAATCTATTCAACTACCTAATCCAAACAGACTGTTTTCGCAGTAGCTCCTGCAAATTGTAGAAAAAGAACCAAAATAAACGAGCTATTTCAGTAAAATAACTAAAAGAGCTTAAAATAATCGAACAAATAAAAATAACAAGGCTAAATAATACTTTAAACGAATTTATTTCACAAACGAACATCAAAAATAAACAAATATAAAACTATAAAACGAATGTGTATCAAAGGACAAATTTAATATTCATTCTTACTCAAAAAAAAATTATCTAAATCATAAAAAATATTAAATATTTCCTTCAATACTTGAATCAGTTGATACATATTTTTATCAACAATTATTTGTTTACATGCTGACTTACTGATAAGCTTTTTGTACTGGCAGGAACACCGGGTTTTTAGATGTGTGCATGGTAATTTTAACCTCAATATTTCGCGTAAAATCACCGCAATGTGGACACAATTCCTTATCCTCGACAGAAAGAATACAGTCTTTGTGAAAGTAATGTCTATTAACACATTCCATGAATTCCCCCTATAACAAACCAAAAACCACATATATGAAGATTTTTTTCAGCCATTCTGTATATAAAGTGTTTACCTGGGTACAATATAGACCACAAGTAGGACAACAGTTGTGTTTTTTCAGTCTTAATCTGTGGCATTCACACAATACACCAAAGTGTATTCTGGTAGATGGCCTAAGCATATTGGCAGTTTCAATTAACCTACTACAACCTATAACTTTATCACCTATACTATCTATGGCAGAACAAAATTGTAAATCTAAAATATAAATTAAACCCTTTTCTTAATTATAGTACAAATATAATGAAAAAAAAACATTACCCATCTCAGATTCACAAAATACTTCTTTATTTTCCAGACAGCAGCACAATTTCGAAGTTTGACTATATATTTCGTGCCTGTTTAAGAACTCCTGCACTCTATCTATGGTATTTTCATTTTTATTAGATGCCTCATCTTTGTCACTAAAAATCAGATTATTTTAACAGTGTTTTTTACCGAAATCTGGTTAAAGTTACCTTGACAAAGTTCTTTGTGACCTTCTCAAACCACTTTCACTATTTTTACTTTGGGTTAACAAAGTGTCAACTGATTCAGGCTGTTTCTTGTTTAAAATAGGTTTATCTGTTACATCAATCTTCTTTGAAGGAGACAAATTGGCTTTAAGTAAATCTATAATTAAAATATAGCTACATGAAATAATTATACTCCTATTTATTTCTGAAGTACCTTGTTTCTTCTCATTAGGACTTTTTTGTTTGACTTGTTTTGTAATTTTCTTATTTGGTTTGCTGTATTCGCTAAACGATTTTTCTTTCCTAGCTATTGCGCTCTGCAAGATACTTTTGTTGTTCTCAGATAATCTCCTTCTTGTAGACCTTTTTATAACTTTAACAGGTATAATGTCTTTCTCAATTTTAGTTTTATTAGATTCCAAGCTAAAAAACTTAATTCCTAAGTATTTAAAACAAATTTAAGCAACCGAAGCTTACCCATTGTCTAATATATTATTAGCATCGTCCAAATTAGGTATTTTAGTATCTTGTTCCTCCATTTCAAAGAACTTATTTAAAAATACTATTTTATATGCCTCGTTCATTAATTATATTAAAATAATTCCCATATCAGTACATCCACATCTAGTAAAAAATATATGTATATCTAATCAATTTGGCATACGCTAATCCAGCAGTTTACTTTTCAAAAATTACCTTTTTCCATAACGATAATAAACAATAAAGACATTTTTATAGAAAATTAGAAATTGTATAAATATTCCCTGCAGAACACTAAAAAATATACTTAGCCTATGCCCGCATAGCCAAGGAGACGCAAGTACTTCACATCAACAACAATTTCATTAAAATTTTTAGTAATTATTAGCAATATTTATAAATATTTAAAAGGTTTATGCTGCATTCACCAAAAACCAGAAAAAAATCAATCTGACACTGACAATCACCTGACAGTGACAATCTTGCAAATGTCAAACATCAATAATTATCTAAAACTATGCTAAAACTAGAGACGTATTTTTCACCGCAATAGGAAACCAACATAAGTCTACACATAAGTCTACAAGAAATAAAAGAAATATTTCCCGTATTCACAAAATTCATAAAACTGTAAAAATGTACCTAGCTATAATAAAACTTGGGAAAAGTTGCAGTTGGACAAAACATCATTATAAACCATAGAGAATACAGAGGCACAACTTCAGAACCAGGAAACAACAAAATATCACCATAATATATAATTTTACTGTTGTAATAAGCCAAATTTGTAAGAACATATACTGAGCCGCAAAAATTAAGTTGCCTTCCTATTCTAATCACTATTTTTACATATATTACAGTTAAAAACAGTTCCAATAGTATTTGAAATAATGCAATTGTTAAAAAAACTACAACTAATATGAACCTTTGTAAAAATACAGAAAATCTGTAGAAATTATTAAACATACGGTAATAAATATGAAATAGTCTATAGCTAAGTATATAAATTCTGGAAAAATATGAAGTCTCAGTACATGTTCTCACTCTACAAAAAGCCAAATGAAAGTTCTTCACTTACCCCGATATCTTCTTCGACTATCTGCAGCTACTTCATCTCGTACATTCTGTAAGGAAAGGAAAATATTGAATTAGTAAACATGAAATGTATTACACTGAACTTCTCATAAATAAACTAGAGTATTCTCAGATTTAAAATAAAAATCATAATAAATTTGTCTTGTATTAAAATAATATTTACTAAAATTATCTCACCTCGTAGCTGAGTCGAAAGATCCAATGGTTGGCTATCTTGATCACAGGTGTTCATTCCAAAATCTGAATTGTTACAATCTGAAATAGAAAAATCATGATATAGTGATTACCCTCTAATAAACATATTTCTTTTTCATAACAGAGTAATAATATAAAGTGACCCTTACATTATTAGCAATAAAGCCATATTGGTGGTTTATTCAGCCATCTTTTTTTCAGGAAATAAGACCGAAAAATAGGTACCATCACTGGCGACCCGGTACACGGCTGTCTGCCAGGACGGACCGACAGTGCCCCCAAATGAATATCTCGAAAGACATCCATTTGGGATAGCGCAGCTCAGGCTTTATATTCTTAGGCCATGATAAACTTTTACAAGTTTTACATGTCTGGAAGGCCTTGTCCTACGTCCGACATGGCCGCGTCCGAAAACAAAAAATCGTTAGCGAAATGTTTCCGACACGATTTTCGAGACGCCGTGTACTTTAAAGTGAAGAGAAAAAATTAATCTTTAACTTTATGCAAAATTTAATAGCGGTTGTTAATTTTTAACATTAAAAAAATTTAATTTTATATCGGAAAAACGAATTTGTACACAAAAAGACGCTTCAAGATGGCTGTTTGACAGAAATTTGAAAAACAATCGAAGAGCGCCTTTCGACAGAACCGCTTGCAGCGACATCTATAATTCAACTATAAGCAACCAAATATACATGTACTATTTCCACGGCTTAAATAGATCGTTTTTGTTATTAAATTATGTAGAGAAACGTTTTATAATTCTCTGAAATTTATCATAAATAATCCATGATTCAAATATCATCAAAATATTTGTAAAAAATATCTGTAATATTAAAATCTGTGGTGTGCGTTATATCTCTGGGTACAGCCAAGGTACAGCCAACATATTAAGCATATTCTGTGGGCACATCTACTGTAAGTCATTGTCAGTTTGACAAATTAATTTGCTGTTTTGATGAAATTGGTGAATAAATATTTATAATTAAATAATTATCGATAACTAACTTGTAAAAATAAAGCAAAAATGGCTTTGAAGAACCAGGTTGGACAAAGTAAGTCAAATTCGAACACAAAATCCTTATTAATAATTTAATATCCGAACGGAAAACGGCTTAAAAATCTGAGTTGAAAATGATACACAATTCTAAAAATGTATTTTTCTCACAAACTTTTTTCTCCGAAAGTAATTATTATTAAATTATTACACTAATATGTAAATGAAAAGATATTGTAGGTGTTTTTGCATTGATTCATCCAAATGACGTCACGAATATCAATATTTATTCAGGACCGGACTTGATATATTTATTTTCACTTTAAAAACAATATTTTCCTACTAACATTAATTATTCATGTTTTAATTTATCTAGAAATTATGAATGAAGTAATCAAGTACAGACCTCCGAAAAAAAATGGACCGGGTGCTAAAATGGAATGGAGAGTATTGGTAGTTGACAAACTGGCCATGAGAATGATTTCAGCTTGCTGTAAAATGCACGATATATCTGCAGAAGGGATTACTTGTAAGGCTGGAATACCTGTTTTAAATTACCTGTGTAATTATGAGTTTTATATCCTACAGTGGTTGAAGACATATTCAAAACCAGAGAACCCCTTTCTTCTATGGAGGCTGTCTATCTCATAACTCCTTCAAAAGAGTCTGTAGAAGCCCTGATGCGAGATTTCGACGGGATCAAGCATATAATGTATAAAGGTGCCCACGTTTTCTTTACAGAAGGTAAAACAAGTTTTTTTTTCTTCAATTATATTCTCTATGTAACAAATATCTTTGAATAACTTTAAACTATTTTTATTTTTTGTTTTGTTTTTTTTTTATTATTTTAGCATGCCCACCACCTTTGTTCGATGATTTGTGTCAACATAAAGTAGCTAAATATATAAAAACTCTGAAAGAAATCGATATGGCTTTTATACCAAATGAAGCACAGGTATTTAAAAGAAATAGCAAATTCTTGTAACACTAACAAACGGAGGTGTTTTTTACTAATAATAATGTATTTGTTTTTTTCCTTCTTGTTTTGTATGCCTGCCATTTTTCTCAAAGATATTTGTCTATAAGTGTCTCTTAGCTTCTGTATTCTGACTATGTGGTTTTTTTGTCTGTTCAGTCTGTCCCGAGGAATTATTCAACGAGTTGTGCAAATCTTGCGCAGCTAGAAAAATTAAAACACTGAAGGAAATCAACATTGCCTTTTTACCCTATGAGTCTCAGGTGTGTTTTTATGGATGTTTTTCTCTGTATATATTGGGCGTTTTGTTTTTCATAATACTTCAAAACTGCTGCTTATAATATGTTTATTTTTAAATATTTATTTCTACAGCTGCTGTGAACTGAAAATTAAACAATTTTTAGGTCTTTTCTTTGGACTGCACCGAAACATTTCAATGCTACTACAACCCGGCGTATTCTCAAAAGTATACAGCGAATTTGGAAAGGATGGCTGAACAAATAGCTACCCTTTGTGCTACTTTAGGAGAATATCCTTCAGTACGCTACAGAAGGTAACAAAAATATTTTTTTTTTAAATATTTTTTCTATATTAAAAGTGTTATAGTGATTGGGACAAAAACGTGGAGTTGGCACAACTAATCCAGCAAAAACTGGATGCTTACAAAGCTGATGAACCCACTATGGGAGAAGGACCAGAAAAAGCCAGATCTCAACTACTTATTCTGGATAGGGGTTTTGACTGTGTCTCTCCCCTGTTACATGAACTCACATTTCAAGCTATGGCATATGATTTGTTGAACATCCAAAACGACGTCTATGAGTAAGATTTTAAGTCCCTTATAAGAGCATGAATGTTTCTATCAAATATAATTAGAAAAAAAAAGAAAAAAATCAGATTAAAATTTAAAAATGTAACTAACTGATTTTACATCATATTTTCTTTGCTATACCTAGGTATGAAGCATCTGCAGGTGTTAAAAAAGAGGTACTGCTAGACGAAAACGACGACATGTGGGTGGAACTTCGCCATCAGCACATCGCTGTCGTTTCACAGAGCGTCACGAAAAATCTCAAAAAATTCACCGATTCCAAGAGGATGACCGCCAGCGATAAGCAGTCCATGAAAGACCTTTCTACGATGATTAAAAAAATGCCACAGTACCAAAAGGAACTGTCCAAATACGCGACTCATCTTCAGCTTGCCGAAGACTGCATGAAGCAATATCAGGGATATGTTGACAAGCTCTGTAAAGTTGAACAGGTATATAAATTTTTTTTAAAAAGGATAAATCTGACTATAAAATGTTTTTTTTAAGGATTTAGCTATGGGAACTGATGCAGAAGGTGAGAAAATCAAAGACCACATGAGGAATATTGTTCCGATTTTGTTGGACCCCAAAATCACCGATCAGTATGATAAAATGAGGATTATTGCTTTGTATGCCATGACGAAGAACGGGATTACTGAGGAAAATCTTCAAAAACTTGCCACTCACGCCCAGATCAGTCAGAAACAGACCATTGCCAATTTGCAGTACCTTGGCGTCAATGTGATCAATGAGGTAAGTTTTTTACTCAAGATTTTATCTTTGCAGTGCTCAATAATGTCATAAATTAATATTTTATTAAATTAATATTTGATGATGGGAATAGTTTAAATTCCCGAAACATGTCGCCCCCCTTGCTTTTTTAGCAATAAAATTTAAATTAAACAACTTAAAGATTGTGAGTTATTATCCTTTTACCCGCCTTCAAAGGTTTTGCTTTGATAATATTTTATGTTTTGTAACGAATTTTCATACAATTTCATGTTTAATAAAGTCATATTTTAAGTTTTTAATGCTCAGTAAAGCCATATTTTGATATTTCATGTTTCTAGATCCAAATATAACTGATTTTCATATATTCTTTCACCCCTATTTTAATCACAAAGGGATGATTTTTCAAACAAAAAATCTTTCATGCTTTTTCCTGATATCACTTCAAGAAGCTATGTGCAAAATTTCATATTTCTAGACAGATATTAATGAATTTTTTCACAAACTTTCATTCCTAATTTTTCTTCCTAAGGGGATGAATTTAGTAAAAATTGTTGTCTTGTATTACTAATATCATTTAAAAAAAACTTTCCACAAAATTGTCTGTTTCTAAAGGCAATAGTTACAAAGTTTCATAGAAACATTCACCCTTTTAGAGGATAAATATCCAAAAATTGCGTCTTTAGTGCTGAATTACATCATTTAAGGAACCTTTGTTCAAAATTTCTTGCGTCTAGGCCAAGAGTTTTCAGCTGTATGAAAAAAAATAAAGTAATTTTTCTTGTATAGAATGCTTTTTCTTTTAAGTAGCCAGGTGCTAAATAAAGATGTTTTATTATTATTATTAGGGTGGTATAAGGAAAAAACCCTATACTGTACCTAGAAAGGAAAGGATCACCGAGCAAACTTACCAAATGTCCCGTTGGACTCCCGTGGTAAAGGACATCATGGAAGACTGCATAGAGGACAAACTGGATCAGAAACACTTTCCATTTTTGGCCGGACGAGCCCAAAGCACCGGCTACCATCCTCCATCGAGGTTAATAAAATAATTTTAATTTAAAATAAAGAAATAAATAATTTTTTATTCTTTTTAGCGCCCGCTACGGTCATTGGCACAAAGACCGCAGCCAGCAAACGGTGAAGAACGTGCCTCGCCTCATCGTGTTCGTCGTCGGAGGCATCTGCTTCTCCGAGGTGCGCTGCGCCTACGAGGTGACCAACGCCCTCAAGAACTGGGAGGTCATAATCGGCTCCTCCCACATCCTCACTCCCAAGACCTTCCTGGAGCAGCTCACGGAGCTCACTCCCAACTAGAACACGTCAAAAAAAGTCACGTTCAACGTCGACCACTGAATTTCGCCTATTTACAGTTTTCTTTTTTGTTTCACCCGAATTTCTGACGTGAACTTGATTTTTTTTGACTGAATTCACGTGATATTTGATGAATCCTCAGGTTGTTTTCAGATATTCACTGCAAAATATTTAAACCAAAAATCAAGTTTAAATCAGTATATTTGTTGTGGTACATTTGAACTACTTTCACCATACCGGGTGTTATTTAACTATGTAGCCAAAATTCAGGGAGTGATTGATTTTTGAGTAATTGTATGACAAAAAGGATGTATAAATATAGGTCTAGAAATACTTTTATTTCAATATACAGGGTGTTAAAATTTTTGAAAATTAATAGTTTTTTTTTTGGAAATATCTTAATAATCCTTTGTCGATTTTGTTGTTTTTTGACAGTTGTATTGGCAGTAGGAAGAGGCTAATTTAGCCCTAATTAGATCAAATTTTGTTATATCCAGTGGCGTTCCAGAAGTATGTTTTACAAAACTATTAAAAATTCGTTTGTGCTTGATATTTTTTCAATTTTAACAGTATTTTCGTCATTGAAATTATACACATTACTTCAAACACCGAAAAACAGTTCTTTTTTATGTAATTAAAAGTAAATTACCCCCTTATTAACGTAAATACCATCGGAGAATTTCAAAAATTCATTTAAAAGACTGACACCCTGTGTATATAAATTTTTTGTCTTAAAACTACTATCCAAAACATCATCCTCTGAATTTTGGCTGCGTATTTAAATAACACCCAGTATTTTGGTGTAAATTTAACATTATCTAAACACTTAAGGAAAATACATTTTTTCCCTATATTTTGTAGCTGTGAATTATAAATTTTATTGCTGTTAATCGCTACGAGTATTTATTGATAGTATTTGTATTTGTTTTATATATTTATGAATAATATGGCTATTATAATAAGTCAAATTCGCCTAAAGGCCTATATTTATATTATTTAAGACTATACTTTATTTAGAATTCTAGTCTAGTATTTTTTATATAATTTTTGTTAGATAAAAGGTATATAAATAAAATTAAATAACTGTTAAAAACAATTTCCTCTCTGTACATTGATCTAGTTGACTTTGATTCCTTTCACAAAACTTTTAGAATATATTATCTAGCTTAAAATAATTAAAGAAATAGCTGATAAAATTAATTTAAAAAGATAAAAAAAACAATGTGTTCTAATATTCTGATATAAGTCTTTAAATATTATATTAATGTTAGAATAATGAAATAAAATATATAGTTAATGTAACAATTATTCCTGGAATATATGTTTATAAAGTTAGAACCAAATATTAATATGTAATTATATTAGCTTCGTTCGTTCTTAGGTAATATATAGTTATTAGTGTTGTCTCAATGTATTATTTTACTTTAAGAACCTGTCAATTTAAAATTATTGTTTAAAAATAAACGCTATATACAACATTCCTTTTTGTTTTATTTTCTTTTTTAGTCTTGTGATATTGATAAAATTTCTTAGAAAGCGATAACCTTTGGCTTTCCTGTATATAAATTGAAAGAAAATCAATTTAAAAAAGTTATTGAATTATTTTCCACGGTAAAATGAGTGAAAGAGTAGTGTTGGCTTATTCGGGCGGTTTGGATACAAGTTGTATCTTAAAATGGCTGATAAATAAAGGATTTGAGGTGATCTGTTATATGGGTAATATCGGGCAAGAAGAAGACTTCGAACAGGCAAGAAAAAAGGCTCTTAATATCGGTGCTTCGAAGGTAAATATCTAAGATAATAAAATAAAATTTGAGCTATGAATTTTGTCTTTACAACTTCTATAATAGTCCTTGTGTAGGTTGTAATAGACGACATTCAAGAAGACTTTGTAGCGAATTACGTCTGGCCTGCAATCAGTTATGGCTTGATCTACGAGAACAGATACTTATTAGGAACATCTTTAGCAAGGCCCTGTATATCAGTTGGATTGATAAACTGCGTCAAGGTAAAAATACTAACAAATAGAGACGCTTATAATTATTATTGTATTTTATTTTAGAACAATAACGCATCTTATGTTGCTCACGGTGCTACAGGCAAAGGTAACGATCAAGTTCGCTTCGAACTATCTTGCTACACGTTATTACCAGACGTGAAGGTAGAATATACTTAAAAACTAACAGAAACGAGTATAAAACAAGCTTGTTCTAGATAATAGCGCCTTGGAGGGACGAAGAATTTATCGCAAAATTTGAGGGGCGTCAGGACCTGTTAAAGTACGCCAAAGAAAACAATATTCCGGTTTCTGTAAGTCCCAAAGCTCCCTGGAGCATGGACGCGAACTTAATGCATATTAGTTATGAGTCTGGAATCCTGGAGAAGCCTGATAATGAGCCCCCAGAAGATTTATTCCTAATGACCCAATCGCCTCAATTTGCTCCAAGTCAGGCAACCAGGTATACACTAAAAACCTGGATTTTGAAATTTTTTGATTTATTTTAATTTTTAGGATAGAAATATTATTTGAAAAGGGAAAACCTAGCTTAATAAAATTAAACGATGGCCGTAGCTTTACTTTACCTGTAGATATTTTAACAGTATTAAACGATATTGGAGGCAAAAATGGCGTGGGCCGAATTGATATCGTAGAAAACAGATTTCTGGGTTTAAAAGTGAGTAAAATTCCAAATTATCCAGTAATTTTTATTGAAAACAATCTTATTTTAGTCCAGGGGTGTTTATGAGACTCCGGGAGCCACAATTCTGCACGTAGCTCATACAGATTTAGAGACTTTTTGCTTAGACAAAGAAGTTTACAGAATAAAACAAAGTCTCAGAGACAGGTACGTTTAAAAATCACCAAAAACATATAATGTGACTTTTAAATATATTTTAGGCTTTCTGATTATGTTTATAATGGATTTTGGTTCTCCCCTGAAGGCATATATACCAGGAGATGTCTGGATTTTGCAGCAGAACAAGTTGAAGGCACCGTTAAACTGGAAATTTTCAAAGGTTCAGGTAAAATTAGTACAATTGTTCGAAAAATATGTGTAATAAATGGAAAACCTCTTCTTTAGTGACAGTGTTGGGTAGATCATCAAATACATCAACTTACAATGAAGATTTAGTATCCATGGACCGTCATTCCACATTCAGTCCGCAAGATGCCACAGGCTTTATAAACATTCAAGCATTGAGACTTAAAGAATACCACAAATCAGCGTTAAAATATATTTAATAAAATAGTTACAATTGATTATGTATTTGTATAATTATTATCTTCTAAAAAAGGAACAATCTATATATATTTTTATTTAATAGGATTTAATGTACCAACTCAGCATTTAAACACTTATTTGATAAAATATAGTTGCAATTGATTGGTTTTTGTACGATTAAATAAAATTACAAGCAAGTCACAAATTTGTTATCAAAACATGAATTAAAATTGATTATCCATGTTTTTTGTAGAATTAAAATCTTAAAAGTCCACTTCTCTACTGAGATTACGTTTTGTAAAAAACTCGTGCATTGTCTTAACATTGTTTACATTTTTCCTGGTCATTTTAAAAAATGATGTTATAGCCATAGTGTTTGGAGGAGGGGTTTTCTGTTCCATTTCCTACAATTTATTAAAAACAATTATTTCCACAACAAATTTCAGTTTAAAAGAGCATACCTCTTCGCATTCAATATGATATGCTAAATTTTCCAGCATATTCTCTGCAGTTGACCAACTAAATCTTACCAGTTGTGGATACCCAAATACAGGCTCGCATTGATCAGTTAAAAACTGTCTTGTGTCGGGATCTAGAAAGTATTTATTAGAAAATAACATTAAGAAAATGGACAAAAAGATTTCAGGATTACCTGCAGGGTATCCACTACCAAATTCAGTGACTTCCAAATCTTCTATAAAATTCCAGACTTTCAATGAATGATCCCTAGTTACTTTGGCACAGATACTAGCGGCAGACACTATTGGGTACGTCGAGTCTGCCTTTTTAGCCACAGTGATTTTCAGTTTTGGAAATATAGACTTCAGATACTCTTGATACTTCTCTGGCTTTCCCACTGTATCCACATAAACGTGCTCTATTTTCACGTTCAAATTCAATGCAGCTCTTATCAGACCTATAGCTGCGTCCATGGAAACCTATATATATATAGGCATTTGAAAGCTCTTAAAAGTACTACATTAGGGAGACGAATAGGTACAACCTGATTCAATGAATATCTGGACCGACTGAGCATACTGTTGCATATCGAAGTTGGAGCTATTATTTCTACTCCCCATCCAATTTTACCTGACTGGTCGCATATTTTCTCAAAAATGTTATCTCTCTTTTCTTCAGTTAGTACTTTGGAATCTGCACATTCTAAAGTCTCTAGTAATGTTTGTTCGTTAATGGGGATAAAAGCAGTACCATATACCATAGGGCCTTAAAGTAAATGCTGTTAATAGGCAAACAGGAGTTATAAAACACTTTTACCTAAAACTGGACCTCTTCCTGCTTCATCTATTCCCAAAATACAGGGATATTCCCTGCATACTTCCGGAATTTGAGACATATAACAAACATTTTGCCAATTATTCCTTTCCTTAATAAACGTCTGCAATTGAGATAAATTAGTTATTGTTACCGTAGGTTCTTCATTTTTCTCCGATTTCATTTTAATTAATGATAAAATGAGTAACTATTATTTTTGAATAAAATGTTTTTGATTTTAAATTTAGGTTATAAAAAGCGCCAAAAAAATCAACAAATCTAGGCAACTAGATATACAGAATAAAAATTGGACTAGAGATATAGAGGTAGTATATATCTATGAAATGGACACTGTGGATCATATATAAAATATATCATATGATTAACGATTATGGAACAAGAAAATAGTAATAATACGTATTCTTTATCAAAAATGCTTAGAATTTCTGGAAAATACACTGTACACAAGCAAATTTTACCCAAATATTAATCCACTTCTTTGTACCAGACCAAAAATAAGAATTAAATTCTTCTTTTTGTTTTATGATGGGTCAAGGAAATCGCCAAAAATTAAATTCCCTCTTGTCATCTTCTTGACATTTATTTTATATTTTGACAGTTCTTCAAAAGTACTGTATCATCTTGAATTGTTTCTTAAATCTAATTTATTATAAAATTCTGTCTTAAATACTATCAAAAGAACTTATTCAAATATGTCGAGAGGTAGTAGTGCTGGTTTCGATCGCCACATAACAATTTTTTCACCAGAAGGGCGCTTGTACCAAGTCGAATATGCTTTTAAGGCTATTAACCAGGCCGGCCTCACTTCCGTAGCTATAAAAGGGGTCGATACAGCCGTTTGTGTCACCCAGAGAAAGATTCCCGATAAGTTAGTTGATGCTAATACAATAACTCATCTATTTCAGGTGGGTATGCTTGTGTTCTGCTAGGAAAACTACTGTTCGTCGTTGCACCATTTGTTTTACTCTCAAAAATGTATTTTCTTTTGTACTTTTAGCTCACAAACAACATCGGATGTGTTATGACTGGAATGATTGCAGACAGTAAGTCCCAAGTACAGAGAGCACGCTATGAGGCAGCACAGTTCAAGTATAAACATGGTTACGAGATGCCTATTGATGCCCTCTGTAGAAGAGTAGCTGATATATCTCAGGTTAGTACCAACATGCTACTTAAAAGATGCATTTCATTAATAAAAATACATAATTTATTTAGGTGTACACTCAGAATGCAGAGATGCGTCCTCTAGGCTGTTCAATGGTTCTAATTGGGTATGATGATGATATGGGGCCTTGCGTCTACAAAACTGATCCAGCTGGATATTACTGTGGATACAGAGCCGTGGCCGTTGGTTCTAAACAGACTGAAGGCAACAGTTACTTAGAAAAGAAATTGAAAAAGAAACAAGACTTGCAACAAGATGATGTTATTCAGCTGGCAATCAGTTGTTTATCGAGCATTTTGTCTGTTGATTTTAAGCCTACCGAAATTGAAGTAGGAGTAGTTTCGAAGGATAATCCAAAATTTACCATTTTAAGTGAACAAGAAACCGACAGACATCTTACAGCCATTGCTGAAAAGGACTAGGCTGTAATACTGTGTAATACTATAAGTTTGAAATAATATTAATTTGGTTTATGCTAATTTTTAAATAAAGTATTTCACATTTTTTAAATGACTTTTATTGTAAAATTTACAGTTATATTAATTAAAATAAAAACACTATATTCACCATCAAAACACCTTATATTAATACTGGACGCGCGTTTCGCTAACCATGGCATTATGATTTATGATTAAAAACTGAAAAAGGCAATATATTACCGCAAAAATTATAAAGGAGTTAAAGGCTGGGTATTAAGGGGTAGCAGCGGTAGCAGTCCGTTGCCTCCACAAGTGTCTCCTTTATCTTTATGTTGTCTCGCAAAAAATGTAATGCCGTTAACTTTAATTGGAAATTTTTCAGCAAATCCACGGTCATTCCCACCGTTATTTGTTATTTGTAAAGCTGGAAATGTATGGAAACTAAAAATAATTCGAAATTTATTTCCTAAAATTCTAATAATTTAAAAATATATATTTTTTGCATACCATAGATTAGAAACTGTGATTATTTTCTTGTATAATCTGTGGCTATACGCTCAAGTCAAAGATATAAAGATCTCTGGTTAAAATAAAATACAGGCAACCAAATAAACGCCGCCTATGCCACAGATTATACAATATATTATGTTTCTTTCTAATCTATGGCGTGTCAAAAATATTTTTTAAAAAATTCTTTTAAATATAAATTAAGTAAACAAATCCCGAATTATTTTCAAATTCCAAATTCCATATATTTTCAGACATATAAATGACGGTGGGAATGACTGTGGATTTGCTAAGAAATTCCCAACTAAAGTTTGGGGCCATAACATTTTTTGCGAAACAACATAAAGGAGACACTTGTGGAAGCAATGGACTACCCTTAACTCCGAACTCTATAATAATAATTGGGAGGGCTCAGTTCTTAAAAACTATTAACAGTCCTTTTTTGTGCGAATTTCTCGATGTCATAAGAGGAAAACATGGTAAAAATATTCTATAAAATGTGTTAAACTTTGCCAGTTACGTATATGTTCTTTCTATTTCAGAAAGAACAATTGTAGTATCACAATATTGTGGCACGCCTTTAGCAAATCTGGTAGAGAAACATACATTTTCTCATTTACAAATAAAGAAAATAGCATACCAAATACTGCAAGGTTTGAGCTTGTTACATAGTTTGAAAATTGTCCATCGATGCTTGAGTAATGAAAACATACTTTTGCAAGATAATGACAACATTAAGCTCTTCAATTACGGATTATATTATATGACAGACAATGGAGCTTTAGTTCCTTTTCCAGTTTTGTAAGATTTCATAGAATATTTCTACACAAAAGATTTTATTATGTCTTTTTAAGGGACGTGCTGTATACTGCCCCAGAAGTATATTTAAATGGTCCTAACAGTTGTTACCCAGATCCAAAAGTTGATATTTGGTCTTCGGGTATCTGCTTGGCTGAACTAGCTCTAAATAAAAGCTTATGGAGCTCTCTCAATTTGGGGCAGAGAATAAGGAAGATTCTAAGTTTGTTGCAAGTAAATTCATCAATATTTGAGAAGATTGCTAGAGAACACAACTGTTATGAAACATACTTGGTAAATTATTTTCATTTTAATTATATTTAACTAAATATTTGATTTTTTAGAATCTTCCACAAGATTTGAAGGAAATAATTGAGCTTTGCCTTAACATATACCCTAGTAAAAGACCTACATGCAATGAACTTTTATCAAACTCATATTTTAATGATTTTAAGCTTGAAAATGACGAAAGGGATAGAAAACCTTGGAGGTCTTTTGATATTTTTACTATAAAAGAATTATATCACTGGTGGCAACTGACTGGAGGTGATGTATATCAAGAATTAAAAAAACAAGGTCTGATTCGATCTAGTCCCCCTATTTTGTCCCTTCCCAGCCTGGTCTTAATTGAGGGCTCTCTTTTGGGACAGGAACGGAATCCTGCTACATTGTACGACCCCAGAATAGTACAAATGCCTTTGGACATGCTCTATCAGAGATTTGCACATATTTCTCTGCCAGCATTCTATCCACTAATCCATTGCAAATCAGAAATAATTTCTAACGCAGACCCACCACCTTATGACGCTACAGGATTGCCTCTAGTGATAAAAGAAAAAGATCCAGAGTATCAATTCCACAGAATTATTTTATTTAGGAGATTGTTACATGTAAAGGAGCAAAATAATATATTTTTTTGGGGTAGTAAATGAAAAATTTGTAGGGTTATCCGTTTACAAAAGACTTGATCATTGAGGAGGCTCAAAAAGACATTCCACCACTGTTAAGAGGAGAAATTTGGGCCGCCTTGTTAAACGTAAATTCGCTGTATAAAATGGATTATCTAAGACTGGATAAATATTCTCATACAACAACAGACAGACAAGTAACGTTAAAAACTTGTTTTAAAGTAAAATAAAATGTATTTTACTCTAGATTGAAGTGGATATTCCGAGATGCCATCAGTATAACGAGCTCCTTTCTTCTACAGAGGGACACAAGAAACTAAAAAGAATTTTGAAGGCGTGGGTTTATAAAAACGCTCAGTATGTTTATTGGCAAGGGCTGGATTCTCTGACGGCGCCTTTTTTATATCTGAATTTTAACGACGAAGGTAGAAAATTATTTATTTTTATTATGCAAGAAATGTTCTAATGTGTTTCAATTTCTTTCTAGCAAAAGCGTTCGCCTGTTTGTCGAATTTCGTTCCAAAGTTTTTGCACAAATTCTTTTTAAAGGACAACGCGGTCATTATAGAGGAATATTTATGGAAATTTTCCCAGTTAATAGCGTTCCACGATCCCGAATTGGCCAATCACTTGCACGAAATCAATTTCTATCCGCAGCTATTCGCCATTCCTTGGTTTTTAACTCTATTTTCACGTAAATAACTGAATCTGAAAGTAATCTTTTGAATTTGATTGGTTTAAATAATTTTAGATGTTTTTCCTCTGTATAAAATACTGCATTTGTGGGACAAGTTGTTGCTGTGCGATTCCTCCTTTCCATTGCACATCGGTCTCTCCATTTTAACGCAATTGAGAGATAAATTACTCACATCAGGTAAAATATTATTAAATTTCAAAGATTAAATTTATTTTAAAATGGTGAAAATTTGCGTTATGCAACCAAATATACATATATTCCGATTTTCTTCTCATCATACATTTTCTATTGTTTATATTTTATATTGATATTTTGATATCTATACAAAATAAAAAAGTATATTATTAATTAAATGACAAAACAGGCTGAAATAAATGAAAATATCTTTTTAACAAAGATTTTTTAAGGGGTTTACTAAAAACCACCTCGCAAAAAACGTATTTTACACGTAAAAAAGACTAGTTTTTTAAACTAAATATTTTTATCTGTGTATCTATGTAAAATATTTTTTTTATTCGTATTAATTGATATTTTAGGATTTAACGAATGCATTTTGCTATTTTCTGATTTGCCCGAAGTGGACATTGAGAAATGCGTGCTATCTTCAATGCAGACGTATACCAGCACGCCCAAAAGTATCACAAACAGAGAATACGAGAACGAATTGTTCCACCAAAAAAACGAGCTGGTAAGATTTTAGTTAATTCTCTTTATTACAAACTGAAAAAATCGTGTCTTCTAGGATATTACAGGGGTGAAAATCGAAGACCTGAAAAAGGAACTGTGTCCCAGAATTAGCCCTAACGATGTGATAGATTTTGTGAGGCATCGTCCTGAAAAAGCCCTTTTTATCGATATTAGAAATCCTACTTTGTAAGTTTATTTTCGTTTTGTTACATTATTTATTTTGTTTTAAATTTATTTTTTAGGTTCCTTCGTTGCTCCTTGAAGGACAGCATAAACATTCCCTTTTCTAGTGTGTCGTTTAGCGAGAAGTTGTTGGGAAACTTGGGACCCCACTGCAATTTGGTGAAATCAAAGGGTGACAAAGTTGTGGTGGTGATTGGAAATTCTGATACGGATTTAGAAAGGGTACGAGTTCGGTTACATTGTCAAAAATTGTTATTTTTAATATGGTTTTTTCTAGTTTCCGAAATTCTTACTGCAATGTAATGTGAGCAGAGTGTGCGTATTGCACGGAGGTTTCAACGTGTTAATTCCAGTAACACCCACGGTTTTACAGTCAGGAATGCCCACTTGACACGCACACTAAATTAATTTTCTATATATATATAATTTATTTAATAAGAAAAAGATTTGTAAACGCTTATTCCTGAAAAATATTTGGTAATATTGCAGCAAAAGAAAGTATCATTTTAGTAAAATTTTGAATAAGCAATTTCAAAATATTTTAAAAGCTTATGCAACCAAATATACGTCTATTTTAAGTTTTAAGCGAACAAAGTAACTATTTACTATATTATAACAATTTTAGGTTTTACACTTAAACAATGGCATATAAATAATTTATAGAACCTTTTGTAACATAAATGTATTATTAAACTTTTTATTGATAGCTTGAATAAATGTTTTATTTAATTTTGTACACTTTTATTTAACACGTCCTCTATCTTAATTGCTCTATAGATTACTGGTATTAGTGGAAAAAAAAATCGTGTAAAACCAGAAAATAAAACGCAATATTTCATAACAAGAAAAATATAATTTTTGTTGCACAATTTTGTTTCAAAAACATGCCATCCAAGTTCAAATACTCTGATAGTCTCATCAATCATCGCAACGACTATGCACGCATTTCAGGCATATAAACTATGGAATGTACAATCAATCAAACTATGTAAACTTCAATGACACGCTCAAGAAACGGACCTCTAATACCGACCACACCTCGTTTATTCAAAATACATTTGTTTCTTTACATTTGGGTATATTTAAAGAGAGAGAAAATTTTGTTGTTCAACTCAGCAAAGCTTTGATGGAATTTTCCAGTTTGACTGAATCGGCCGCGAATTTCCTGATGCCGTCCGACAGTTTGTCGGTGGCCATTTGGTCCTCGTTCAGCAACCACCTGAATTTCGCCTCGGTCAGCTCTAGTTTCTCCACGTTGCTCTTGGCCGCGGTCTCGGGACTCAGTTTCCTCGGAAGGGGCTCCGTGCTCGCCTCCAGTTCGCCCAGTAATTTGGGACTGATGGTGAGCAGATCGCATCCGGCCAAAGCTCGTATTTCCGCTGAAAATTTTTGATAAATAATTTTTTTATCTTGATTTTGGATGGTTCAAGTTCTACTTACAGGTATTTCTGAAAGATGCGCCCATAACGACGGTTTTGTAACCGAATTTCTTGTAGTAATTGTAGATAGCAGTTACAGAGATTACTCCTGGATCTTCCTCACCTGTATAGCTCTTTTTTTCCGTATTTGCCACATACCTGTAACATTATTGTTACTTATTTGAAATTTAATTGTATTTACTCCATGGTGTTAATTTTAAGTAAAAGAAATATATTTACCAATCCAAAATTCTGCCTACAAAGGGTGAAATAAGTGTCACACCGGCCTCAGCACAGGCGACGGCTTGAGCGAAATTAAACAAAAGCGTTAGATTGCAATGAACGCCATGTTGAGACTCTAGAATCCTTAAAAATATACATTTTAACAAAAATCTAATAAAAATCAAAGGGAAATAAACTCACTTGGCCGCTTGGATGCCTTCCCAAGTCGAAGCCAACTTGATCAGAATTCTCTCCTTTTTGATCCCCTGCTCAGCATAAAGTTTTATGATTTTTAAGGCTTTGGCAACACTGGCCGCAGTGTCAAAGGATAATCTAGCATCGACCTCTGTAGATACTCTGCCCGGCACTATTTTGAGGATTTCCACACCAAACAAGACACACAGATAGTCCATTGCATTTTCCAGCTTGTCTTCTGCACTTGTGCCCACTTTTTTTGCATAGTTAATGGCTTTTTCTATTAAGGGTTTGTATTGGGGCAGGTTAGCCGCTTGTAGTATCAGAGAAGGATTGGTGGTGGCGTCTGTAGGTTTGTAAGCTTTCATAGCTAAAAAATAACATTGCAGTGTTTATTACATGGCATAGAAAATGAATATTGTTAAAACTTATTAGCTTTATCGTCAATAAACTATTTATTTCTCCATTTATCCAAAGAGAAAAGAATGTTAACATAAACAATTCTTCAATAGTTTCCATCTTATGTAACTTTATATTGAATTAAATATAATAAATAGTGATTAAATTATATCATACTGATAGAGAGGTTTCAAAAAACACTTGATATCATAGTATGATACTTCTAATGGGTTAATATAGACTGCTATAGTAATGCATGAATAAACATGAATTAAATTTAAATTTCTCCATATGGGATTCTTCATAATCAATTCATCATAATAAATGTACAACTTAAACAATATTTAAGATAAGTCAAATTTTTAATAACTAAGGATCTAAAAACATTAGAAATTTCAAATTTCCCTAGCAAGGTTACTCAGAGACTGCACTAACCTTCAAAGTCCCCGGTGTCAGCCACTACGGTGGTTAGGGCTTTGAGCAGGTCCAAAGTGGTGGTCATCTTGGTTCTTTTGCAGGGAGCAACGCACTGAGGCTCTGACATTGCGATTTATCAAGTAATACAAAAAACTATTTACAAAAAGATAAACTTAGGCAAGCGCTTTAACGCGGAGCGTGGTTCTCTTGTGATTTTACTACACTTTTGGAGAGGTCATTCAGGTTATCGTTATCGGGGCCGTCAACACGTTGTTTTTTGGAGGATCTACTAGTATTCCATTGCGATTGCGTTTGCAAGTACTTTAGAGAGGTTTAAGTGATGGTAGTACCAGTTAATAAATCATTTATCTCGGGTACTGACCTGACAGTTGTTTTAAAACATACCTTTCATGTTGTGTTGATTAATTTGTTATCAGACTTGATACATTCCCTGAAAACTACTAGATACTATAGAAAATTATGGTTGTTTTTATACAGCATAAATTCGTACTTAAGTTTAACTCTAAAACATATTAATAAATTCTGAAAAAACAAATAATAAATAATAAAAAAAATATTATTTACGATATTTTTAGGTTATTTTTTACAGCCAGAGATATAGAGGTTTTGTAGCCGATGTTTCTTTGGTTGCCTAGGAAATTCTCAAACTTGTCACTTTTTCGTGGCTGTTCGGATATTTTCGTTATCGCGCATCGCGCCTTTTACAAATTGTTCTGAGCAATATTGCAAATCTCTAAATTATATCGTATTTATAATACATGCTTAACAAACTGAGTAATTATATCTTTAATTAAACTATGTACTATAAGGGTACTATTCTATTGGTAATGAAAGTGTAAAATATTTTAAATAATAAAGCCAGTCACCTAAAGCCGTCCTAATCCACAGAACATAAAATTAAAAATCAAGAAAATACGTCATTCACTAAAACGTCAAATTTGCATTGTTTATATTTTACAAGCTTTTAAAATTTTATGATTTTTATATTTGAGCAAGACATTTGGAAATTTATTTGTCTAGTGTACTTTAAATAAATAAAAGACAAGGCTTTAATGTATTAAAATGGGTGGCAAGCATAAGGAAGCCAGAAGAACTAAAAATAATACAAAGGTAATCTATAACTTATTTTGAGCAATAGTGTTTTTTATAAACATAATTTTGTTGCAACTTTGGTTTATTACTTCACAAACAGAATATTTCAGTATAAGTTGTTATTTAATGTAGTTTCGCAATAATCTATTGTTATTATGCATTGTATATAGCCTTCAAGTAGTGGCAGAAGTGCAGCAGTTTTAAGTACTGCTTTCCCAAAATTTGCGGGCTTATTTGGTTCAGATGCTTCCGATCCACCCGAAAAATCTGGAAAACCTGGCTATACTATTGAACGTTTGTCTGGGCTTGAAACAGAACTCACCGACGACTATCAATTGGTACTAAAAAAAATTTCCAAAAAAGATCCAACCACAAAACTTAAGGTGGGTAAATGTTTATCAATTTTAATTGTAAGTACGCCTTATCAGACATTAATTTCTGTTTTGTTAGGGTCTACAAGAGTTTGCGGATTTAATAAAAAAATCAGAACTTGATGCTGTCAAAAATGCATTAGTTGTTTGGCCAAGGTACTACAATATTCTTGCAACTGATACAAATAACAGGGTACGAGAAGCAACTCATAATGTTCACCGAGAATTTGTGATTAAAGTAAAAAGAGATATTGCACCCCATTTAAAGAAACTTATCGCTCCATGGTTTACATCGCAGTATGACAATTACCCACCAGCTGCAACTGCAGCAAGTGAAGCTTTTAAGGTTGTTTTTTTTATTAAAGTCCCCCTTTTTTGGTGTCTTAATAATTTCAGTATTTTATAGGAGGCATTTCCTCCTGCTAAGTTTCAAGATGCCATTGTATTTTGCCAAGCAGAAATCCTTACATACATTTACGATAATTTATTAGTTCAAACTGTCAAGACGATTGCTGCTCAAAATTGTACAAAAGAAGAGGCGGAAGCAAAGTATGTCAGGGTGTTGCTTTCCTGTCTGCAAGGGTACGCATTATATTTACAGCAAGTACCCACAGAACAAATCAAAGAAGCAGCTGAGGCTAACAGTAAAATTGTGTCGCACAAAGGTTTTTGGAAGTTGATTAAGAACGAGGTGCCTTTGGTACGGGCCGCATGGTTCCAAGTACTTACTGTATTATGTCGGAAAGCGATGTTTCTGCTGGAAAATAGAGAGACACAGATTTTGACTATTGTTCTAAATAAGTTAGATGATGGTGAACCCACTGTACTACCACATGTTTGGGAGTGTGTTTTAGTGGCAGTATCTTCAATTCAGGTAATAGAAGAAAGCACAATATTTGCACAAGATTAGTATGCTTATGACTTAATGAATTATATGTTAACAGGAATGGTGGAATTATGTTAATTTTGAAAAGATGTATCTTCCAAAATTGGTGAATGTTTTAAAATTGGGTGGCCAGGGCAATGCAACCATTATTTACCCAAGTTTGTTGCCATTAATATCTCAGCTTGAACCTATTCAAGCGGGTCCGTTGAAGTTTTACACCATTATTTTTGATAACATGAGATTAGGGTAAGCAGATATATTATATAAAGCTTCATTGCTCTTCTATACATTTAAAGCTCTTTCAAGACTGGGCTAATTATTGAGGTTTTTTGATTATATCTTGTTCAACTTTAACAATATTAAAATAAGATATATCCGAATTACGTTGTATATCTATGACATATACGTGTGAAAATCTAAAATATAACACCTGAAAAGGTTTTTTCAGGTGTGTCCCATTTTTATGGGGTTTCTCGTTTATAAGTAGAGATATTATTCAATTTTGTTTGTTTGATTATAAGTTTTCTAAAAATATACTATACTCTAAACGTTTGACCAAATAATTTTGATTTTCGTCGTGTTTTCTTAATAAACTGCTCCGAAAATGAACTTGTGTAGGTTTTAGCTACTCGTAAACGAGAAACCCTGTACAATTACTACAAATAATTTTTTTTTTAGTTTTAATGAGGACGTTGTCGCTCGCAGTAACTCCGAGTCGGTCGCCGTTGCAACAGCCTTTACTGAATGTCTGCAATACATTATCAATAAACACATTTCAGACGTTCACCTGTGCAAGACCCTTATTAAGTTTCAAGTCCTGGAACTGCTTGAATGGACTCTTTTATCACGGAAAATTTATGGCAGGCCCATATTTATTGCGATCTCGTGCTTCGCGCAATATTTGGGGCAACGTGCCTATTCCGAGCCTTACCAAGTTTTTTTGGATTTTTTCTTTGAAAACTTAAAAGACAGTTTTTCAAAATTACTTAGGCAGGAGTATTATGAAGAGAGACGTTTAGAGGTGTCCGAGAGGCAAGTAGACTTTCTGTATTGTGTGAAACAAATCAAACACAAAAAGAAAAACAGGAAATTAAAGTTTGACGATGACGACAAGAGCAAAAAAAACGAGGATAATGATAAAGAAGAATTGGCCATGGACAATAAAGAGATGTATTTGGCCAGATTGAACAGGCTGATTGTGGAAATTTGCAACAATTACGTGGATTACATTGAGGAACATCGATCCAGAGGAATACTAGAAGAGTTGTGTCGTATCATCGACTATTACAACAGCGAACAGTTCTTCGAAGGTTTGCTGGAAAATATGAAAAAATCGAAGGGCGACGCTTGCTTCATGGACATTTACGAAAACCTGTTCAAGAAATGGCTGAATTCTCCTGGTAAAATTCATTGCGATACCCTCGTCGACTTGATTTATATGCTGTTCCCGGCGCTGAGCCGCCAAGATCGACAAAAAGTTCTTCAAGATTTTCTGCAGGTATTTTTATAAGTCCAGCTTGCTAAAAAGGTGGACCTCTATATAGGGTCTCCACCCTGTATACGATGCTCCATGGAGAAGGACAGTTTTGTGAGCATGTTTTGAGGACAGTTTTGTGTTTTTGTTATTTTATTTACTTTTCTAGAAAATGTTAAATATATCAAAACTCTTACATTTTATAGTGACATACTTTTTTAATGAAACTCATCTTTATTTTTCTCCTAGAATCTGAAAATCAATTAATATATAGGGAGTTCCATTACAAAAAACACAAGTAATATTTTTGATGTGTAATTTTGTTTTGGGACACCGTGTAGAACTCAGTATCTTTTTAAAAGTTAACCTACACATGCTGATAAAACTGTCGTTCTCGCTGGAGACTCGGCGTCGTGTGAGAGGCGCCACCCTGTACGTATGTAATTGTTATATTTGATGGTCTGTTTTAGTTGGCAAACGAAAGACCTCAAATGCTGGAATGGTGTTTGTCCGGAGCGCTTTCTCATCCTCAAATTGAGCTTCCGGAAGTGAGAGAATGGGTGCACGAGGAAAAAATCGGCCAATTGGTTCTTTCCATTGCCGACAAACGCCTTAAAGGCGAATGCCCTCCAGAATTAGCCAACGTTTTCTCATTGGCCTTCACCGAGGATAAAAATGGAGGTAAAAAGATATTATTAAGCTAAAATAAGGAGGCGTAATGAGGGGAGTTTTCGGTAATTATCACATAAACTTTTTCGGGCAAAAATTAGTGTAAAATGTGATAAAATCAGATTAATTTTGTATTTGTGTATAAATGAAAAAAAATTGTATTTTTCCGATTTTAGAGGTCTTTATGAAAAACGAGGTGACCAGCCAGATAATCGAGAAAATCTGCGCGATCCTACCAGAACAAATCGACGAAATTCCGAATCTGGATTCTTGCTGTAGCGTGGCGGCGCAATTTTGCAGCGTCGTCTACACCGACTCGCTGTTGCTGACGTACGGCGATCAGCTGTTGCTGACCGTGCTGAAGCTGTGCCTTAAAATGCCGAAGGAAACCGAACGCCTATCGTCGGAAACTGTAGAAGAGTGTAAATCAGCCTGGAGGGATTCCCTAGCCACCATCTTGCGCGCTTCCTATTTGTCCAAAGATGCTAAATTTGAATTGTTGGATAAAATGGCGCACATCGTGGAAGAGGAGTTCTTAAGTGCCGATTTAGGTGACGCCTCGCCTGACCACGGCCACTGTGGACACTTGGAACGTATACTGTTAACGATTATAGACCTGCTCAAGGCGACCTACGCCGGTTTTCCTCTTTGCATGACCGCTGTTGTCGACGTTATATTCAATAGGAAGAAGTTGCTGGAATATGGCGAAGGCGCCAGGATGCTTTGTCAGGTATATTTCTTTGAAATTAAATATCAGTAATAATAATATGTGCCTTTATTAATAAGGGTGGTCTTCCGTGCAACCAATTAGATATTGAAAACATTGTAACCAATAACAATTCAATTATATACAGGGTGTTTTGAAAAGTGTTCATATTGTTATCATAGTGTTCACACACAAACACACACATACTGTTGTGTGTGTGTGTTCATTTTCTGTTTGAATTGTTCTTTTATTCATTTTCTAAAAAAAACTGTACAAAGTAATATCGTATGATAGAAAAAAACAGCGTCCAGTTGGCTGGGAAATGACGATCGATGACATTTGACATTTCCCATATAAATTTACATATAAATTAAAATGATCTTCATTTCATAGCCATCGCTGACGCTTTTTTTTTCGATCATACGTTACTTATCTATAACCGGTTAAATTATCGTACTTCTTCTACCTTAATATTTAAGGCAATTTCTTTAAGTTTATTTCTGCATAAGGAACGTATAAACTAATTTTGACAAGGACAGGTATAATTCATACAATAAAATAAATGCACAAATAATAATTGATACATATTATTTCAATTTATATTCTGCTTAAATATTTCATTACATTTATAAAATACCGTATGATCGAAAAAAAAACCGACGTCCAGTTGGCTGGGAAATGACGATCGATGACATTTCCGGACATTTCCCATATAAAATGACACCGATCTTCATTTCATAGCCATAGCTTTTTTTTGATCATATGGTACTTATTGTCCTTAACCTATTTTCAGGTGATGGAATACGTGAACGGTACCTTGTGTTGCCCGGGCGACGAGCTGAAAGCGAACGATTCCCTCAGCGAGCACGACATCTACCGCTCCTTCCTTTGGACCTATTTCAAACACTACGCCCTCAGCACCGACATTTTCGACGAGTCCGACGAAGATGACGATAATAGTTCGGACACAGAATCGCCAACGGTGGCCAAGCTGTTCGTTAACGCGCTGGACCGTCCCAGCGACGCCCTGGTGGAAGTTATGCGCGACTGCGCCGCGGGAGAAGTGATTTTGAGGCGCCTCAACACCATGCTCTACCTGGACGAGGTCGCCATCTACCACGATTGGCTGCAGGAGAGGGCGGTGCGCATCGGCAACGCTGTCGATGCCCAGTTCCACCAGAAAATTCAACAGGCGTTCGAGCATCAGCGACCGTGGATGCTGCTGGCCGGCACTTACGAGGAAAGCGTGGCCGAATTCGTCATGGACAAGCGAAAGGACGGCAGAATTTGGATGTTTTTCGAATTGGGACACGCCGAAGAAACGCTCAAAAACGAACCGGAAAAAGTTGGGGTAGTGTTTGATTTAATGAAAGCGGTAAAGGAGGAAAACGAGTCGGAATTTTTCTATAACGATGCGTAAGTATTTTATTTATTTTTCTGTTTTTTTGGGTTCGGTTTCACTGGCACAAGCTTTAATTATTTTATGATGTATATGATCAGTTTTTTTTTGCCCTAAGGCCGAGAAAGAGGGACAGGATAATCCCAAGTAAAAGTAATGTCTTTTATCGTTTTTAGAAGTGCAATTTCGTGCGAAAAATCCGAGTTGATCGTTCAAATAATCCGATTTTGTTCGCAAGTTATCCAATATGGCGATCTCAGCGATGACCAGTGGGATTTCGTTGTGCTTAGCTTAATACCTTGGAGCGCCAATTGCTACAGGGCCAAACATTTACTGAAGAATTTTCAGGTAAGAGTCAATATAAACCATACGATCGAAAAAAAAACGGCGTCGAAAACGGCTGGGGAATGGCAATCGATGATAATTTTAGGGAGGTCAAACACTAGACGTCATTTACTTCGCCGTACTCTTGTTAATATTTTTAATGGCGCTTATTACTGCCAGTTTAAAATTAGATAAAAAATATTTTTGTTTGCAATAGGTTTGTGTGTCTTGAAACGTTCTAGAGATTGACCGCGCTAAAATTATCGTCAATTGTCAATCCCTACTGTCTTTGACGACGTTTTTTTTTCGATGGAAATTTTAAAAATAAATAGAAAGATAAACAAGCATTTTTTTCAGTATTAATTTTTAATATCTTAAATCTATAAAATTATATGTTGCGGTGGGTTTTTAGCAAGTTATATTGGTATCTGAACTTTGAACTTGTATTTTTTAGTATCAGGCCTTCCTGGTGGCAGTATCCAACTTATTCACAAGTGTGAGCCGTGCAATTTCAAAATTCAAATTTGAAAACACTCACGAGCACCACGTCAACGAATGGGAGGAGGTGCTACTTGAAAGCATTCACACGGACATGCTTCAAACTTGGCTCATTTTGGCCTGTAAGTTTATGCACAATTCTAAATTATTTTCAATATTTTGTACTTTCCGCGATTTTTTTCACACAAATCCAGTTTTTAGGACTTAACTTGAGGTGTACTTTATTTTTGAAATATTTTCCACGTCCCGGTATTGCCAATTTACTTTATTTGAACTTTTTCCAGATGATTTTACGAACGTGGTGGCCAATTGTCTGTTCTACGTCGGACTGATGCAGCAGTTCGGCAAAATGACGGAAGGGTTCGAGTGCGAGCTGCTCTTCAGGCCGAACGAGAACGGGCCGAAGTGGACGAGCGTGGCCGGCAGGGCCCGCGACCTGGTGCGCTGTTCCCACCCGCTTCTCCAGCTGTGGGGCTACCGCATGCTGCTGGTCCTGGTGCCGGGCATCGTCCGCCAGGAGGAGCTGGCGCTGGAAAGAGCCGCCGCCCCCCTCGCTTCGCCATACTTCAAGAAATTCAAGGCCGACTCGCAAGCGTTCGACTCGGACGTTGCAAGGGCCATCTCGCAATACGGGTAAGGCAGAAACGTGTGGTCAGTGTTCTGGCTCTCTTTGCGCAAACTGTCAAAAGTATAAACTGTTTATTGCGGTCAATTAGTGTTTTATTTCTGGCGCATGTATAATTCTTTAACAATATTTTTCGTATATTATAGAAGCGACCCAAACAAAAACTGTACAATTCCGCTGGCTTCAAACGAGTTTGGTTCGACAATGGCTTATCTGATGTTATGGGACTTGATGATTAAAATGTTCGAGGCCGCGTCCAAGGATCTCAAATTCTATTTCGTCGAAACGTTGAAGTAAGTTTGTTCGATTTCGCAGATCAATTTGTTAAAAAAAAAACGCTTTTTCAATATATTTAGAGGTCCTGCTAACAGATAAAAAAACGAGATTTGGTATGTTTCTATATGACATAAATTAGGATTAATTGACACATTCAATTGTTTTTTTATCACTTCCTGTTTCACCGGAAATGACTACAACTTTTGACTTTCAAATGGAATCCTCGGCATATTTTTACTTTATTTGATAGAAAATGAATCTGACACTCTTATTTGAAATTGTAACATGCGGTTCATAACGATAATTTGACTGGAAATGCCAAGTGTGTGCCAAATATGCTAACGAGCCACCCTGGTTCCATTTGAAAAAATTGAGATATGTTTAAACATACGGATTTGGGCATCTTTTAACTGGCCAGGACAAGACACGAAAAACATTAGATGATCAGATCTATTTTTCTAAGGTTCCTTGATTAAAAATTAGTGTTTTTTACATTGCCATGGCACTCTAGAATAAACAGTCTAGCTATTTTTTTAAGCGAAAATATCACAACATATGATACATATGTCATTCTATTCAAAGTGTCATTTTCTATTGAATAAAGTAAAAATATGCCGAGGGCGCCATTTGGCAAAATCAAAATTGGCAATCATTTCCGGTGAAACAGGAATTCGAAACCGAAAACAATTGAATACATTAATCAATCCTAATTTATGTCATATACTTATTCTATATATAATATTTTCGAAGTCATTTGGTATTGAGACTCTTAATTCCTTTCCTTCAGATAAACTATATCAAATCTGTTTTTTTTATCTGAAAAAATAAAGTTATATTGGCGAGCCACTTTCGAGACGCACCCGGTATATGGTTTACTTTTAGGGAGCAGGATTACCTGAGCGTGGTGTTGAACCGTTTGCTCGGTTTGATGGCGCTGGAAGTGCTGCCGCCCTACAGCGCCAGATCGACCGTCCACGCGAAATACTTCGAAGCCACGCAACTGGCCGTCGTCCGCAGCCACACCGTCAACAGGGCCGCCTGCTACGCGTTCCGGTGTGCGCTGCAGCACGTGCCAGCCCTGGCCAGGCAGTGGTGGGCTGGGCTGGACTCGGCAACGTCGCACATGGTCGGCAAGCTCACCGCCATGTACGTGTCGCCGATACTCGCCGCCGAAGAACTGGAGGACGTGGCAAGTCACCAGAACAACTTCAAAAATATGACGGTAAGTTCGAATAAAAAATTAAAAATTATAACTTTTCATTTTATTTTTAATTTAGATGTTTGTTCAAATTAAACTAAAAATACGTTTGATACCTTTTGATTTTTTTTCGTAACTCGTTTTTTTAATAATAATGATTTTAGATTAAAGTACTGCCGAGCGTAAGAGAGATCTTGGCCGTCTATAGCGTGGACGAGACCCAAATGGAACTCGCCATAACCTTACCGCTCAATTATCCTTTGGGAACCCCCTACATCCAGTGCAACAAGCAGATCAGCGGTACCGCCCATAAGCAGTGGCTCTTGCAGTTTAAGAAAAGCGTTATACATCAGGTGTGGCTTTTCAATTAATTCCCTCGTAATTTCACAGTTCTTATTATCGACTTTTTTTTCTCTGTAGAACGGCAAAATTTGGGACGGTTTATTTATGTGGAACAATCAGCTAGATAAGAAGTTCGATGGCGTGGAGGAGTGCTATATTTGCTATGCCGTGTTGCATCCTGGTACTTACCAATTACCCAGATTGTCTTGCCAAACTTGCAAGAAGAAGTTTCATTCAGTGTGTCTGGTGAGTTGTGACAAATTTAGGGATACCAGCGGTTATAAAATTATACCGTGTGTTGCATCCTCGAGCTGGACATAGGAAATCCCATGTAAATTTTAAAAACGATGAATAACAGAATATTGTAACAGAATATTTTATTCATATTTATTTATTATTTCTTCACGATCCTTATCAATATTTTTTTTTCTTTTTCTATTTACAGTCTTTAATAACTGTTTCTGTTAGAATTCTTCTGTTTATACTTCCTTAAGCGGATTTCCTGTGTTCAGGACGGCGCGGGCGATGCAACTGTGGCTTTAATACAACGTTATTTTTATTATAACTTTTTTATTTCAGTACAAATGGTTTAGCACAAGCAACAAGAGTACCTGTCCGATATGCAGAAATTTATTTTAGAAATCAAATTATATTTTTATCCTCGTATCCTATTAATAAAATTATTTTATTTTTTTGTTGATAAAAAAACATGATGAATACATGTATTATTTGTACATACATTGAAATCCCTAATTAAACAAATAGTAAGTTTATCCATAAAATTAAAAATATGTACTTTTGCTTTAGTCTTAATTTCCCTTAGGAATTTTCAGTTTTTATATAATAGTTATGCAATCAAACATACACAAAAGATTTATTTTTTATTCCACTCCGCAGGTGTTCACGTATAATTTAGTTTTTTTTAACTCGATAAAAATGAAACATAAAATAACTCGGAAGTAATAATGAAGAGTAATGGATTTGAATAGTACAAAGAGTAAACTAGTCTAATCGCTGTAGTTCTAGATCTAGTTGCTTGCAATCTTCCAGAATAAAATGCCAGAGATGTGCCCTTCTTCTACGTACATCCCTTCGAGGATTCCCTAGGAACAGTTGGGATGATGATCAGCTTTCATACCGGTCATTTGGCATTCTGTCCCTCCACTCTCTTCTCCTGTTCCTTTGGCTAGGTTAGCTTGGGAATGGTGATCTATGACATTCCCAATGTAAAAATTCTGAGCTATCTCTGACGCCGGTTTTTTTTCGATCGGACCGTAATTCTTTAAAGAAAAAAGTACGATCTTTTTTACAAATAAGTGGAAAAAAGTTTTTATTGATGATTGAAATAGTTATGAAGTTGGTTCAAATCTACCCTGTGGTTTTTTCTTTTTTTTTATTTAAATAATGACTTTTAACACATTCTTATAGCCTCGTCTATACATAACTACTTAGGTAAACTACGGTATAATCGAAAAAAGAAACGGCGTCAAATTGGCTTGGAAATGAAGATCAATGACATTCTCCATATAAAAGTTCCTAGCCCGCTACGACGCCGATTTTTTTCGGATCCGAGGGTACTTTCTTTAAATGAAGAAAATGTCATCAACATATAATCTTTTTCCATTGCAAACGAATATTAAACAAAGATTGGTTTGATTGAAATAGTTTTAAATTTGGTTGAAGCTACTCATAGATTTTCCCTTTTTTTAGCTGTAAGTCCTGATGCATTGTTCATAATATTCATGGAAACGATAAAATGTACTGCCCTGGAACTAAAAACAGTAATAAATTTGACTTTCTATAGCTAGTGTTTTGTATTGAAAATACAAGTCATATTTACAGCATATATTTAGTCGATACGGGTCTGTTTTTGGCTACTCAATAGTCCCATTGTTTCACATTAAGATATATTGTTGCTAAAATTTAGTTTTATACAAGTACAAATTCAATCTATACGGGGCGTACAATAATAATTCGACTACCCTGTAAGCACAGCTGTAAGCAATCATACCAAATGCAGAAACAAATAGGTATGTAATGAATTATTATAAAAAAACAACGATAAGATTGATCAATCTCTTGATTTTTTTTCATGTTGCTTTTTTATGGAGAAAATAAAAAAAATATTAATAGCAAATGGCAGAGGGACATAGTAGCTTTAATGCATTTAAATATATAATTACATACCAGTCTGTTTTTTAAAAAGATATAAACACATGTAACCATAAAGTCACAACTTCGAAGCACGATACACTCACTTCGAAGGATTATGGGTAGTCCCGAAAAAGAAATTAGAAATTCGCTTTCGATTGTGATCTCAAATCTGTGATCTCAAAGATGCAGGTTGTAAAAGGATTCAGGCAAATACAAAACCTTTAAAAAATAGTTTCTCCCTTTAATTAAAACACCCCCAAAGACGACGAAGGCGAGAACAGCAAGTGTGAAGGGTAGTGGCTAGATTCACTATTATACCGTATCACAGTACCGTATCATGGTACAAAGAATACAAGGTATGATCGATAGCGGCTCCAATTTCGTTCAGTTCACACATACCACCTGTGACGTCACTAGGAAAACATTGAATAAATAAAAAATAATGAAAGTTCACAGGAGATCTGTATTTTTTGGGGTTATGGTTAAGAATTGTTTATTTTTAAGACTTTTTAGTTCGTTTAATTTAATAATTACCTCTGTAATTACTAAAACCAGCAGTTCCAAATATATATTTAAAAATAATAATTATTTATTAACATGGATTTGGACGATAATAGGTAAGAATACTAAATTTATTTCTATATTCGGTATAAAATTGTTTATTAGGTTTTTAGTTTGCGATGTTTATGGTAAATAATTTTCATGTTCATTGCCTCTGAATTCACATGAGGACAGAGATGAGGATATCTATGGAAAAGTAACCACAAGAGGAATTGTTACATCATTTAAAAAATGTTGGAAAGTTTATTCTTTCCCATCGAACAGTAGAAAATGCCAATGCAGATGAATGTATTGTAATTGTGATAGAAGTAATTCCAAGGGTGAAGTTTATTATAATTAGTGGAAGTAATTCCAAGGGTGAAGTTTATTATAATTAGTGACCTGTGCTTCTTTTTATATGTAGATGTTTCAGGTTTTGAGAATAAATCGGTTGAACGAAACCCAAAATTTAGAGGAAGATGCGCATCAAGGATTATATAGCTCAAATTTCCTTTAATGGTAGGCAATTATTCAATGCAAATAAACTTTTTAAGTGACTGAAATATTAAATAGTTTACAATATATATCAAGGTATATCACTAAAAATATATTTTACTTTTAGGTACAATTAGGGCCTGATACATTTCAAAAAGTAGAATATTATTTTAATTAAATGAGGTATTGTACCAACAATCAATTTATATTAAAACCGGAGATTAAAAAATCACAGAATAAATAGTTCTTTTTTTATACTACAAAAATAAACTATAGAATACAACAGTATTTAAAAAAATAAATAAAAAGTTATGTTCCAGCCGAGATTCGAACTCCGGTCTCTCGCTTCCTAACCCGACTCCTTATGCACTGCTCCACAGCATGGTACAAAGAATCAGTGTTGCCAGATGGAAAAAATACAAAGTGGTATCGAGTATTTAAAAAAATGGTATTTGACTGAAAAAAAATGGTATTTTTACTTTTAAAGAGGATCTTAATATTTTTATAATTTTGATACTATGATTAACCGTGGATTAACCCCAAAACCAAACGAACCTCATTTTGGTTGAAAACATCGTAGCTGTTGGTTGTCACATCAGTTTTGAACTCTTGCGCAAGGCATTTAATTTTTTTTTTTACATTTTATTTATGCAAAATAATAATAAAAGAAATAGGTATAATTAATAGCTTTTTTCGTTTTCTTGTTATTACCGATTCTGAACCGTCCTATAATTGTGATGCGTATGCGCAGAAGGAAATATGAAGACATTATTTCATTTGCGCATGCGCTGGAGAGTTCTAGGACGATTCAGAATCGATAATAACAGGAAAACGAACAGACCTAATATAATAATAAGGTAATAGGAACATTTTAAATAGATAGGTAACATAAAATATATTATTAATAATTCAACATTAATAATCTACATATTTGGCTCTGAAAATATAGGTAAAACCAGACTTGGAATAAAATAGGTAAAACTTTTCAAGAAATAATACCTATAAAAAATAATAGAGATATGAGATTTTAGTAGATGTGGAAAACTAGATTGGTTTGCATTAAAAAGTTTAAAAAATGTAGATCGCTGGGATTCTAAAAAAATGGTAGAAAAATGGTAACGTCTTCAAAAAATGGTAGAAAAATGGAAAATGGTATACTCAAAATTTTTGCAGGTATCAAGGAAGAAAAAATGGTATAGATACCATTTAAATGGTATATCTGGCAACACTGCAAAGAATACAAGGTATGATATTGCGCAGGTTGGTCGCTACGTCACAGGTGATAACAGGCGCTATTGGTCAGCACGCTTCGCTCGCCAGTTCAAATCGTCAAGATATTGTTATAAACCTGTTTTTTTTTGTTTATATACCGTCATTGAATTATCGCTAAGCAAGTTACTGTGGAGCAGTGCATAAGGAGTCGGGCTAGGAAGCGAGAGACCGGAGTTCGAATCTCGGCCGGCACATCACTTTTATTTATTTTTTTAAATACTGTTGTATTCTATAGTTTATTTTTGTAGTATAAAAAAAGATCTATTTATTCTGTTATTTTTTAATCTCCGTTATTAATATAAATTGATTGCTAGTACAATACCTCATTTAAATAAAATAATATTCTACTTTTTGAAATGTTTTGGGCCCTAATTGTACCTAAAAGTAATATATTTTTAGTGATATACCATATTGTAAACTATTTAATATTTCAGTCACTTAAAAAGTTAATTTGCATTGAATAATTGCCTACCATAAAGGAAATTTGAGCTATATAATCCTTGATGGGCATATTCTGGGTATGCAAATACTTCCTTTAAATTTTGGGTGTCGTTCAACCGATTTATTCTCAAAACCAGAAACTTCTACATATAAAAAGAAGCAGAGGTCACTAATTATAATAAACTTCACCCTTGGTATTACTTCCACTAATTATAATAAACTTCACCCTTAGAATTACTTCTATCACAATTACAATACGTTCATCTGCATTGGCATTTTCTACTTTTCGATGGGAAACAATAAACTTCCCAATATTTTTTAAATGATGTAACAATTCCTCTTGTGGTTACTTTTCCATAGATATCCTCAACTCTGTCCTCATGTGAATTCAGAGGCAATGAAAATGAAAATTATTTACCATAAACATCGCAAACTAAAAACCTAATAAACAATTTTATACCGAATATAGAAATAAATTCAGTATTCTTACCTATCGTCCAAATCCATGTTAATAGATAATTATTATTTTTAAATATATTTTTGGAACTGCTGGTTTTAGTAATTATTAAATTAAACGAACTAAAAAGTCTTAAAATAAACAATGCTTAACCATAACCTCAAAAATGCAGATCTCCTGTCAACTTTCTTTATTTTTTATTTATTCATTATTTTCCTAGTGACGTCACAGGTGGTATGCGCGAACTGAACGAAATTGGAGCCGCTATCGATCATACCTTGTATTCTTTGTACCATGGCTCCACAGTAACTTGCTTAGAGATAATTCAATGACGGTATATAAACAAAAAAACAGGTTTATAACAATATCTTGACGATTTGAACTGGCGCGCGAGGCGTGCTGACCAATAGCGCCTGTTATCACCTGTGACGTAGCAACCAACCTGCGCAATATCATATCTTGTATTCTTTGTACCATGGTACCGTATGGTATGACAGCGATCTTCATTTCATAGCCATCGCTGACGCCGTCTTTTTTCGATGTCTTTTTGTATAGTTTTTATGTCATTTTATATGTAGAATTATATGGGGAATGTCATCGATCGTAATTTACAAGCCAACTGGACGTCGTTTTATTTTTCGATTATACGGTATAATCAATGGGTATAATAATGAATCCTCTGATGAATCTAGCCACTTCTCTTCATACTTGCTTACGGATTTAATATTCAATGAATGTAATTTTTAATATTAATTTGTGAAATTATCATTTCCAAACAAACAAGACGCCGTTTTTTTCGATCATACAGTATATACGTATATACACGTTTGAAATATATGTTATTACATTATTTTTTATTTAATTATACATTATACACACGTTAATAAAAAATAATTAATTGTCTTGATAGTCCACTGTGACTGTTAAATAAATTTTGCATTATCGACTTAGATATTCTAATATTATAAAGGTGAGACTATAAAATACAAAATTGTACATGCATTACTCAAAAATGAACGATATATTAGTTTACGTTTTACTAAATATTTTGTACCGTCTAGGTACAAACTAATTTCTGATGCTACGCCATTGGAGAATTTCGAGTGGTGACAACTTGCCTCACTTTTAGCTGCCGTGTGACCTGTCCCCTCTCTTTCCTTGTCTAAAAAGCATACAAATGTCACGTCAAACTTGTCATGACAATTTTGCATCAATTTTGACATTTTGTTTGACACTCTTGAGTTACAAGAGAACGGCTTGTTTTCCCTTGTGTTTGGTTTTTGGGTTTTTGGATGAGAAAATATTAGTTATTTAGGTATTACCGTTATTTATTTCAAGTTTATGTTTAATCAATTAAAAAACATTTAGGTAAATATATACATACATATTTAGACATACTTTTTCAATATTCAATTAGCTATTCTATGGTTAAGTCTAAAAATAAGGAATTGTTTGGGTGCTAGACTTGCTAGACTTGATTCTGTTTGAGTCGTAATTTTTTTAGTTTTTAATAGCCACAAAAAAGGGGATCTACTCCCTATTTAGTAGAAACTGTTGTATAATTATCGATATGATTACAATCATTTTTGTATCGTGAGCGTTAAATATCTTCCATTTTAATCTTCTTAAAACAACAAAACGTCTAAATTATTTGGGATAATACTCTTAATAATACATTTATCAGCATCAATTTTTTGAATACACGGTATTTAACCAAATTAGACTTGCATTAATTTGATTTTTGTTAAGTGTTTTAGTTATTTGGCAACATGGCTAGTCCATCGCCACAAAATAGCCCGATGCCTCCACCACAGGCGCCCAGCCCTATGGGACCACCGCCACCTTCTCAAAGTCCTGCTCCACCTTCACCTGCACCACAAAGTCCTTACCCACAGGGAACGGCACCTCAACAAGGACCTCCATCAGGTAATGGTCACTTTAAATCCATAGTCTGTTATTTATGGCGTAAAGCAAAAGATAAAGTTAGTTGACAGACATTATAATTTATAATGGTTCTTATGACTGTTGTCTGTCTTTAACACAAAGGTAAATTGATTAACCAGAAGATGATATACCATATGATTGAAAAAAAAACGGCGTTCAGTTGGCTTAGAAATTAACATCGTTGACATTCCCAATATAATTTTACATATAAAATGACATCAATCTTCATTTCATAGCCATCTCTGACGCGGTTTTTTTTCGATCATACAGTATAAAGACTGTTTAGTGATAGTAGGGATATTTTCAACAGATGACATCTGAAACATAAAAAACAACTTAGGGTGTATTCCGTTGCTTACCTTGGTTATGGTTTTATGTTCCGTTTCTCAGGTTTTGAAACTCGGTCTCCTGAATACAATGATATGCCACACTTTATACTTTTTTTGTTTTGGGTGCCTTAACAGCAACAAAACTCTTTAATTATTATTTAAAATAATTTCAAGTCCGATTCTGGTTTCTTAAATTATTTAATCTGATTATATTCATCCCAACAATATTGATCAGCGCTAATTAACATTGAATAAGGAAAATCGAGCCAATTGAAAGATTGAAATAAATAATATCGAGGTCAGAAATTTAAAGATATTATTTTTAACTTTTTTTATTGTGAATATGAAATCTCAGTGCGCCATCTAATAAAATGCATAATATTAAACGTAGTAATTATAAATTAATCAAATTCTACAAACTAGTTTCTAATGTTTTACGTGCGCGAAAGGGTTACCACAAACTTATTTTTCGTTCAATTTTATTTGTAGCTCTTTGAACTTTCTTCTTATACTTCCGAATGGATTTTGTACCTACTCTTTATTGTAAATGTTGAGATGAATTGATTTCACTTTTACAAATCACGTCAAGTAATGTAGCCCGTTGGCGATAGGTCCAGGTACCTCGCTGGCCATTATACTGCTCCACCATTTCCAATCCATCTTCCGGGAAAACGATTTGATTGTTTATATTATATTATATTTATATTAATTATTTTATATTATTTTATTGCATTTGATTTTCCGTATATACAATGTTTTACCCCACATTGTTAAGTTTGAAAGCTTATCAATACTGTAACGATGAATAGATTAAATATTTAAAAAAAAAACAGAGCCGGACTTGAAATTAGTTTAAATAAATTGTGTTCAAATGTCTGAACAAAAAAAAATATTAAGTGTGGCATATCATTGTACTCAGGAGAGTTCTTTCAAAATCTGAAATAAAAAATGCAGGTCCGTATTTAAAAAAATTAAGATGGCCTCTGTATCTCACAAATTATCAGCTAATTTAAAAATCTAAAAATACTATCAGATAGCCCTAATAAAGAAATGTGTAATTAGTTTTTTGATTTTCTAAAAAGTAACGACAGGAAAAAATAAAATAGGTTTTCATAAAAATTTTCCAAAAAACTCAGTAAACCTTTAAATTTTTGAAACTTTTTTGATGGCATCTTGGTGAACATCCCAAGGCACAACTTTGCCCCAATTTAACCATCTTCGTATCAATTACGGTTTCCGAGATACCAATGCTCGTACCTCGAATTTGTAGCACCCTGTATAGTCACTTACTAGCGAAAAGTTATTTCATTATTTCCCTCGATTTTTGACCGAGATGTCAAAAATTGATGTTTTTTGAAACACCCTGTATAATCTTCTGCTGGACAGACTATAAAAAATTGAACTTAATGATGTATTCCTGTATTTAATTTGGGACGAATTTGCACACAATTGTCTGCATGTAAATAATATTCCGTATTTATAATGATTGCCTGGCACAGTCACTATTTTTTCTTAAAATAAAACTAACAGTTATGAAGATGCATCATCATCTAAGTAATGCTATTCATTTAGTAGGGTTTTAACTAATATTAGTTTACTTTCTATTAATTAAATAAACTATTGTAGGTCATCAACCTTATCCTGGATATCCAGCACATGGCCCACAGCCAGGCGGACCAGAAGGTCCTCCTCAACACGGACCTTCACATAATATGCAGGGGCCACCTAGTGCACAAGGATATCCTCCTCAGCAGACACATCAAGGTTCGATTATTTCTTATGTTAATAAAAACATTGTATAAAATATAAAGTTGTGACAGTTTTAAATATCATCATTGGCATTAATATTTGACTTTCACAAAAAGCAAGAAAAAGTATGGGAAGGGTAAAAACTACCCCCACATCCACATTATTAGTTGAAATATTTTCTAACTTCACCGACGACTGTTTTTTTTTCGTAAAATGGTTCTTCTATTTTATTTACTACATTTTTTGTGTCTTGTAATAAACACTACGTTGCATAGTTTTTGAAAAAAAAATCGTGCAGACCTGCAAAATATAAACGGTGTTCCAATATTCTATGTTCATAGAACAACTTTGTATTTTTTTAATCAAAATAAGTTAATTGCGCACAATTCAACTCTAAACAAAAGTACTTAGTTTGTCCGTTAGAGGGTATAAAAAATCCGAATGTTAATTAAATTAAAATTTATAAAGCTTACTATCAACTACACTACTCAAAACAATTATCGCATATTTTCAAAAAAATAAAATATTAATTTGAAAAACGACACTTTGAATTCCCTGACTTACGATTTTGAATAGTATGGATACTGTCAAGGGAAATTCGATACAGTAAGCCAACGTGCTGACCTGTAATTTTCAGTTGACGGACTATTTAGTTGCAAAAGTGAATACAATACATACTTATGAAATCGACGGCCGACTATTTGATTGCATGTGAGCGCGGCTCCATAAGGATATATTGGTTACAAATATGCAACTAAATAGTCTGCCGATTAAAAATTGCCTGTAAGCGCATAGCCTAAGGCTATGATGTAATCAAATATTGGGCCGATCGCTCCATAAGAATGTAGTGTTTTCACTTAACTAAATTCTATTGTTTCACGCAACACAACTACATAGTCGGCCGACTAAAAATTACAGGTCAGCGTGTTGGCTTATTGTATTCGAATTTCATGTTAGTGCCTACCCTAATTATCCTAAAAAAACTCACAAGAGAAAGGCATAAAAATGCATGCTTCATTTAGAAATATGTAATAATTATTTTTATTCAAATATGCAATAATTGTTTTGAGATAGAGATGAGATTATCTGTGATACTGACATAAAATTCCACAACATTTTCGCCATATTAGATTTTATGCACATTCATAAATTGATGTGACAAGAAACATTTTTTTCAAATCTACTTAGGAAAAATATTTTTTTTCTCAAAAAGTACTGCATATGCGTTTTTTTATAAGAAACAGAAAATGTAGGAAATACTAGAGGGACCATTGTATGGAAAAAAAATTGCTCGTCGGTTGCGTAGAAAAATATTTCTACTAAAATTTATGTAGGTAGGGGGTAGTTTTTACCCTTCCCGTACTTTTTCTTGATTCTTGTGAAAGTCAAATGTTTAACCCCCGGCGCGTACTTTAGAATCACACGACCGGGCGCGTAGCTGTATTAATAATAATAATAATAAAAATATTTATTTCAAAAATGATCTAAATATGTACAATAAAATTACAAATATATAGACATATTGAAATATTGTCAGCGGTGAAGAGACTTTTATATTAAGAATTCATTGATTGAGTAGGGTTCCAATTCGATTAAGAGTTTTTTCAATGATTTCTTATAGGTTTCTTGACTTTCGATTTCTCTTATGTCTTCAGGGAGGCTATTGTAAAACTTTACACACATATATACTGGATTTTTTTCAGTCAGGGTGAGACGATGTGAGGGGAACTTGGCATCACTGGATCTTGTTTGGTATTCATGAGATTTTTCCATTTCAAATAGGGACTTTTCAATTCAATTGGACTTATGTTTGAAGATGAATATTAAACACTCATATATATAAAGAGCTGGAAGCGTCATAATTCCAAAGGATTTAAAGTGTCCTCGACAGCTTTCTCTATACTGAAGTTTCTTTATAAGTCTTATAATTCTTTTCTGAATCACAAAAATTTTTGCAGTTTCTGAATTTGATCCCCAGAGAATAATTCCATATCTCAGCAGTGCCTCAAAATTCCCACAGTATAGTGTCTTCATTGAGTCTGGGTTCACATAACTTGACACAATTCTCAGACCATAAGAAATTGTGCCAAGTCCCAAGCATAGCTTATAAATATGTTGGGTCCACTTTAAATGCTCGTCTATGTAAATACCAAGAAATCTGCATTCACCACCAAGGCTGACATCCATTTCTCCAATTTTCAAATTGCTCGCTAATTCAATTTTCTTCTGTTGTGTTCGAAAAATTAGTGTATTAGTTTTTTCTTTATTTAGCATTAGTCTATTTGCCTCAAACCATTCCTCTACTCTCATGAAAGCCTTACTGCCATTCTCCTTCAGAACATCTTGTGTTATTCCATGAGTAAGTATATTAGTGTCATCTGCATAGCATGTAAGACTAAAATTTGCATTTCTTATTGTTTGACTATAATATCGTTTAAATAGATGATAAAAAGTAGTGGCCCAATGATACTGCCTTGAGGTATACCAATATTCGATTTTTGTATACTGGACTTACTAATCTTTTCGTCTTTTCTCACAATAACATGTTGTTCTCTATTTGTCAAGTATGATGTAATCCATTTGAGTGCTGGACCTCTTATTCCATATTTTTCGAGTTTTATTAGTAGTAAATGGTGGTCTAAAGAGTCATATGCTTTCGATAAATCAAGAAATATACCCATTGCCAGATCTTTATTTTCCAGATGTTGTATTATTGATGTAGTGAAATCGAACAATGCAGTAATGGTACCTTTCTCCTTCAAATATAGTACTATTCTTTTAAAAGTTCCTCAATATGGCCGACCTAGTTACGAAAATTGGTAATTTTTTTTAATGAAAAATAAGTTGGTGTTAGCGAATTCAGAAATTGATTTACTCTTTGGTTAACAATAACATTTTTCAGGATTGTCAAGTTGACGTTAAAGTTAGGTTATTAGGTGGTTATCATAAATAAAAACATAGATTATTGAAATTATTTAATAAGAATAAAGGTATTTTACCGCAGATCCGAAGAGATTTAACTTAAAGGTATTTTATAAACTTTCTCAGTGAGAATATTAACTCCCCTATTTCTTATATTTCAGTTAAGGGGACGTAAGAACTATAGGAAGTAAATTTTTGTTTTCATGTTTTGACGATATCTGAGAGTTCCTAGAACTATCAAGATTATTGAATAATTATAGTTGTTTAATAAGTGAAATTAATAGAAGACTTGGAAATAGGATGATGCTTTTCATGTTGTAGTTGATAAATCACCCCATTTCTCTTAATTTTTTTTTTCAGTACAGTTAATCACAAATTAAATTGATGTGTGCAAAAACAGCTATATATTTTCAAACATCTTATTTAAATAGTTCTTTTATATACTATTAAACTGTATCAACTACAAAGTATTTAGCAAAAAATTATAAGGTAATAAATTTTGTATATATAATTTATGAAAATTTATAATATATAAAGATTAGAACACAATCCTCTGAAGGAAAAAGAAATACTCAAAAACTCATTAAATATACTTTATTAAAAATAACAACATACCAAAACATCCATGCAAACTGTAATAATCAGAACATTATCCACATTATACCTTTATTAAATTTGTGTCCACACTCCTGCCAGGAAATCCAGAAATGTTTGTTTAAATATTAACTTATTTTAAATTGCCAGAAACACATCAGAATATATCACAACCACAACTATAGGTTAATCTGTACTAAATTTTATACCGAGTAAGTGATGCGTTAACTAACAAGTATAGGATAAAAAACAATTATTAATATAGAGTGTACTATACAATGTCCTGCTTATTTATGAAATGACTTTCCCTTCAAATGTGAGGAATACCAGTAAAATAAAACATAATTTTTGGTTTAGTTTGGTGTTTGATATTCTAACTACATCTATTACAAACCTTAAGTGCTTTTAGTGAGTAACTGTATTTTTTATTATTCCTTGTGTATCCTGTAAAGTAAAAAAATATTTCAAGAAATATAAAAACAATGCAATAGATATCAAACAGATTCATAAAAACTACTTACAACTATTGTACATAATTATATATTTCAAGTGTTATTTGATGTTTGGTCCCATTACCAACATTACCTTATCTTCTCTACTAACTCAACTTTTAAACCTGTTTTAAACCTTTTTTATATTTTAAAACTGATTTACAACAATCTGTAATGCCCGCGCTGTTTCCTGAAATATAAGTTTTAATCTATTTATTATCATATAGTACATATTACAAACCTGAAAATTACTGATACGAGGAAACTTCTCAAAATAATTATAATAATACCTTTTACAAACATCTGGACTAATTTATTTTCACGAATTTGTGAACGAGTCAATGTTTTCTAATACGTTTTTAAGCGTTTTACATATTTTGAATATATTCCAGCCTATTCGTCAATTCTTGATCGGTGAAAAGATTATTTATAACTATATAATTAGTACTGCAGGTTGCAGGTTAAATAAAAGAACAAAATCAAGTAGAATTTGTGAATAAAAACTAAAAAAATAATGAAAATATTTGGAAAAAGGAACCGTAAACGTCAATGTCAGCCAAGTGTCAGAGTTCAATTGGATTTACCACAGATTATCAATTTGAACGATTTGAAGTACAGTCGATTCCAGTTTAGAGATTTTCGTTTTTTAAGCCTCCCATACTGAAGTCCGCCATATTGGGAAGTTTTAAATGAATACAAGTATACCCATGTTGTATATTCTGAAACAGTTTACAACTATTCATGAAAGTTAATATTCTGTTTACAACTATTGTTTCAAATACTTTTGAAAAGCTTGGCGGTAAACTAATTGGTCTATAATTATTCAAATCGGAGTGATCTCCTTTTTTGTAGATTGGTTTAATAAATGCCAACTTCAGCCTGTCTGGGAAGATACCATATTTTAGCGAATTGTTAATGATATAGCACAAGATATCATCAACATATTTCAAACAGAATTTTACTATAGATGTTGGAACCTCGTCCACACCGCTGCTATGTTTATTTTTTAGACTTTAACCAATTTTTTGAATTTCCTCTATATTCACAGATTTCAGTCGCATTAACTCATTGTTCTCACTTATGTTACACATAAATGGTACTTTCCTAATACTGGACAATATATTTGGCACAACACTGATTAAGTGATTGTTGAATTCATTTGCTAGAGCTAGTGGGTCTTGATCTATAAAACAATCATCATTTGGGGAATTTTTACCAGTTGTTTCCTTGCAGATTGACCATAAACACCTCATTTTGTTATCAGATGATTTCACTCTTGCGTCATACTTGTTAGCTTTTTCCTTACTAATAATCTGTCGTATTCTTACTTTGTGGCTCTGTAAATATCTTTTTATTGATCGTTATATCTTGATAGCATTAGTAGTGTGTCTAATCTCTCTTTACATTCTGTTATTTCCTTACTTTTGTATATTGATGTTTTCTTTCTTGTTTTATACACAGGTTTAAGTGGAAAGTGTTGATCAAAAATGCGGTGAAAGGTATTGCCAAAATTTTTCCATTGTTCATTGACATCAGATGTTGGTATCTGATATATTTCCTCCCAAGTTTCTTCTTTTAATGTGTCCGCAAATTGTTTTTTATTTTCCTCTTTGAAAGTTCTTTTGAAGTTTTGATAACCTATTTCTTTTTTAATATGGATTGTAACTTGTTGAGCAGTATGGTCTGATATATGGTTGATTAGCACACAAGCTTCATAATCTTTCTTATTTGTAAAGATGTTGTCAATACAACTACCTCCAGTGTTTGTAATTCTAGTATTTTCAAAAATTGTTCTTTTTAAATTGTAAGAACACATTATGGACAGAACGTCTAGTGCATTGCTGCTTTCTTCATTGAAATTTATGTTAAAATCACCTGCTAGAAATATGGTTTTATTTTCAGGTGTTATGTTCAACAGTAATTGTTCTATTTTTTCCAGAAACACATCCATATTTCCACTTGGAGGCCTATAAATTGAGGCAATTATAAATTTTTCATCTCCAATTTTACAGTCCATTACTGCACATTCAAATATACCTTGATCTGATAGTTTTTGAAGAGATTTTCTTTCAAAGCTTGTAATATCCTTTCTCACATATACGGCAGCACCACCGTGTTGACCATTTCCTCTGCAGAAAGATGCAACCAAATTAAAATTGCATATGTCCAATTGCTGAAGTTGATCCAAACTTTCCCAGTGTTCTGTTATGCACCGAAATACACAATCACTGTTCTCTGCTAATACATTCTCAATTTTGTCTATACTGTTTCCTAATGATTGTACATTTTGATGTATGATACTAAATTTTTGGTTTTGGTGAATTACTGAGAATCTGTTATTACATGTAGTATCTATCCCTGTTTCTAGTAGAGGTGTATTCTTCTTTATAAAAAAGAATTTTGATTATAGTTCTTCTGGCGTCGGAAGTCATATCTCTTAATACCTACATTTTTAGGCCAAAAACTAGGGTCATACATTAAGGTTTTCTTTTCATAGGGGGCGGTGACCACAAAACATTTGTTTTGGGTTTCTGTTGTTGGTAATTCTTTAACATCAATATTTAATTCATTAAAGCCTGGTTTTGCTCTTATATAGTTATAAATCTTTTCAATAGTGACAGCCCTCTGTATACGATATAGGTATAGCCAAACTTTTCTAGCGACTCCTTCAAAGCCATTGGAATCGTCTTCATTCGTGCCTAGTTGTTTAGTGATACTTCTGGTGTTGTTGTTCCTTGGTTGAATTTTCCTATTTTTCCTTTTATGCTGCATTTCCCACCTTCCATCATGATCCTCATTAGCCAGATTAACTATATTGTCCATTTTAACATTAGCTATGGCCTTCTTTACGTCTTGAGTAGATATTTGTTTACTATCGTTGACGTTTGGATTTTTGGTTATGTTAACATATACATCTTCGTTCTCTTCTTGGTTGGCTGTTTGTAGTTCAGCAGTAACGGCCTGCTCACGGTGATGTTCTGCCATTACTTTTAGCGATGAAGATATAGGTGCTTCTTGCCCGATAAATCGAGTGATATTTTTTGCACTTGTTGTTGGGTTATTTACCTTTTTTGCTCTCGGTTGATTCTCTTTATCGTGAGAAAATTTTGTTAATGTGACCTCTAAATTGCTTATCTTTTCCCTTAGTAATATATTATTTTCTTCCAGATATTTATTTTTACCTTCTAGCTCTTCTATTATTTTGAACAATAACGCTTCTCTTGATGCCCATTCGAATTCACTTTTATTAGATTGACCCGTCTCTGCCGGAGATTCATGGATACAGGTTGGGTTTTTTTGTTGATTCGCCTGTTTCAAACAGCTGGGGTGGAAAATCCCAGAGCACTTCACACAAACTAATTTAGTTGTTGCTACAATTTTTTTGCAGTGAATACATACGTATTCCTTATTTTTAATTGGGAGCTCGTGCGAGCGACTTGCACTAGCCGCCATCTTTCTATAACTACCGTATTCCGTACCGCATTTATATTTTTTAAATGTTCTGTAATTTAAAATACTTTATTGTAAAATTTAGCATGATAAACAATATCAAGCAGCCCATTTAATATTTGAAAAATAAAATAACTTTCGTTGCACATTATAATACGACCACCAGCAAACTCTATAAGACGACGCATGGTGTCATTGATGACGTGCAACGAATAAAAAAACTTAAACGTATTATAAAAAAAAGGAATTGAACAAAACATTTTTAGTATTCAAAATAAAAAGAATATAATTGTAACAACTCACAAAAACTAAATAATACCAAACATTTTATAATAAAATGAACCAAAGAAAAAAATAATCACTGGAAAAAGACGAAACCATTATCTAAATGTTTAGTCTTCTTCTGTAGGTAGATATCTACCAGTAATACAATTGATTGGTCTATCATTGTAGTTTTTGTAAACAAATTTATTGCATCATTTGCAAAAACTAGTAGCACAGACTATACAGATTATAAACTTATCGTCAAAAGCATTGTTTTTCGTGGTGCCAATTTTCGGAGTCGCGCACTATTTAGGTTACTAGTTTGCGCACATAGCACGCCCACTTATGGCCTCTAAAACTGTGCACAACGCCTGACCGGCCGCGGCCCATTTATTACACTGTTTAAACGCGAGTTTATTTTTGCGCACAGGAAATTTTACTCTTTGCTCATCGTCATAAAAAACAATTTTCGTACCAAGAATTAGGGACAAGATTTTTTATCTGTATACATATAGTATCCCTAATCTGTGCTAGTAGTTTTATGGGTTTCACATACATGGCAGGCACAAATTGTTTTTTATTGTTTCTAACTAGTACCTTTACCTCTCGAGCATATTTAGCGAGGAAAACTTGCAAATCTCTGGGAAGAGTTTGTATACTGGAACTTTCCTTCATTTCTACAAGTTATATAACATATATTTGACAAACAACGCAGTCGAAAAAATTAACAATTAAAAACTACACCAAAGAAAGCAAAATAAATAATTAATATTGTTACGGATTCCGTGGGTCCACTATTTAAACCCACGATAAAATACTTAACGAATTTATTTGTTTCACTCTGTACACAACTTATACTATTTACAACACAACTTATGCAACTACTATTACTCTAACGGTATTTCGCAGTATTTTCAAACTTCAGACTTAGACTTCAAACTTCAAACTTTAAACTTTTTCAACTGTCAAAGCGCGGGCCTTATATACCCTCTGGCGGTTGTTTCTAGATTTTTCTAAAGAATTCTATAATTTTCTTTACTTTCTGGCGAATGCGCCAGGTTCCTCAATGCACATTGCGATTTTTTAGCAGTATGCAGTTATGCAACCAGTAATACACCTTGACAATATGATAACTATTTTATTTACATAACTGAGCGCGTAGCGGCACAGAGTACCGCAACTTTGTAATTTTCAGGTTTACGACAGAATTGCTAATGAATCAAAATGGATGGGGAACTACTACGACCAAGGGTGTCAAATATTCCTAAATAAGAATAACAATAATTTAATGCCACCACCGACTTACGTCCTATGGATATTTTGTTTTATCTGAATTAGTAAAATTGCGGTACAAAATTCCGGACGCACCCGCTCGTGGGTTACTTACATAGGCGCCCCAAATTTTGAATAACGATTCTTAAAATATCTTAAAAAATGTATTTCTTTTTTAAAAGTTTGATCTCCCTTATCCCTAACGGACAAACGAAGCACTTTTATATAAAGAAAGGAAAATTGTGTTCAATAAACTTATTTTGATACCAAAAATACGTAGTAGTTCTATATCCGCGGAATATTGGGACACCCTGTATATGTATATTAAGTTACTATTTTTAGTAATGCTAAAATTAATTGGAATCACAATATTGACACAAAAAATGTCATGTAATTATTTATATTTTTTATTGCAGGTTGGCCTCAACATCCAGGTCATTCAGTTCAAAATGGTCCTCCAAGTCATCCACAGCATCCTCAGGTATAAGCATACATATACATACTTATAATAAATGAACTCAATCTAATATTTGTTTCAAATTATGCTACGTTTCGATTTAATTAGCAGTCGCAAAATATACATTAAGATTGTAATTATTCTCTAATATACAGGGTAGTCCTAACTGTATTCCGGAAATTTTTCCGGTATATTTTTTTACTCACTAGTTTTATACAAGTACAGACAAAAATTTATTACTCTTCAAACCAGTTAAAAAATATGTAGGTGGCGCTCTCTACAAGTAGGAGTCATATTGACAGCAAAATCAAATTGCTCGTGTCAAAATACTCCCAGGCGCCAATTTTTATCCTAATATTGACGTTAGTTCAGAAATTATTTAGAAAAAATCGAAATGTAAATGAAACTTCTACACCCTGTATCTTCGAAATTAAGCATTATATTTATACAAACTTTTTTACTTATTTTTATCTGCGGAATATACTGCCAATATTTCCGGAATACAGTTCGGACCACCCTGTACAGTAATAATAAGTTGCTATAAGGTATAAATCAAACATGTATTTTTTACAAAGTTTACTGAATGGTTTTTTATAAAAAAAGCCTTCTTAAAAAATATTTTTCGTAGTTTTCCATATTAATTAAACTATAAAAATCATAACATTTTAATTTCAATTGATATTTTAGCATCCACCTCAAAACCACCCTCCACCTCACCAGATTGTCCCTCCTCAGTCTCATCCCGGGCAAACTTTTCCGCCCCACAACCAAGGCCCACCGGGACAGCATCCGGTTCCGCAACACGGAATGCCACCTCACCCCGGACCGCAGCAACACGCTGGCGGGCCGCCTCCGCACGGCGCTGCTCCTCAACATCCCGGACCGCAGGCTGGTGGTCCCCCCCACGGGGCACCACCTGGCGGTCCCGTACCGCAGCACGGAATGGCTCAGGGTCCCTATCCTAACCATCCTGGTTATGCACCAACGAGACAGGTATGATATATTGTTATGTTTTTCCCGGGTTTTATGTGGGTAATTCGAAGTCTAATTCAATTAACAACATTAATTTTCCTCAACGACAAAATCCTTGACAGTGATAGATGTGTCTGTCATTTTAATTTCAAAGCAGTTTATTTTATTTTACAAAGAAATAAGTTAGTATAATTGGAACGCATAGCAGGAAATTAATAATTTAAAATTTGAGTGACAAATGATTACTTAAAAATATTGTGAAAAAACTGTATAAAACTGAAAAAATCTAATCAAGTTATTTTATTAAAAAAATTACGGTATGTGTTAATACAAAACAAACAAGGGTGTATTTTAAACAAAACGCCACATACCAAGAAATATAAAAAGGACTATTTCTTACTTTCAAGCTTCAAGAAACTTCCTTTTTCTTGCATTTATTATTATATTTATCAATATAACTTATGTACGAATCATTTTTTTAATATTAAACAGGAATAAATAAAACACAACATAAATAAAACTAAATATTTTATTAATAATAACACTTACTGAATTTTATACCTTAAAAGTTGGTTAATTAACTTTAATCTTAATTTTTTAAACCATTATCTTTTGACACTCTCTGCAGTACTAAAATTTATTATTTAACCTTGGTTACAAAATTGCGGTATTTCTATGAAATGAATAAGGAACCGGTATTCCCATCACTACAAAGAACAGGTTGTCATTTTGCCAGTGCTGTCAAGTTGTTGCTTTCTAAATGTTTATGCATATAATATCGTATATTTTAAATAGACTGCATTATAATAGGACTGTGTTATAATTAAGACGAGTATATATATACAGTATGTCCCCAGTTTGTTTTTACAAGAGGAAAAACTTTTTTTATTGACAGTTTGATAAAAATATATTCTTCATAAAAATTTTGGCTTGTTCTAAAATGGTTAATCCTGTTTATACTTTTCCAAATTTTCACGCCGTTTTAGAGAAAATTACAAAAAACATGAAACTATGGTTGAATTTTTTCCTAATTTAGTCCTAAAAATTAGTAGCATAGGCGTTTCTATGGTAATATAATTTCGTTTACCTTCTTTGATAGATTGTTATTATAGACTAATGTTATGTACTAGAGATAGATGTGACACTGATATAAAACAAATAGGTCCGTCATTTAGAGCCATCTGGTGATTGGGAAGAAACTAATTGAGAGTTTGGCATAACATAATTTTAGTGTTCCGTTATTTATTAACGCTAACTAAAACAGTAACGTTATTCAAGCGCAAAATTATTCCTTGTAAAATATAAAATAATTAATATATTTTTTTTTCAGGAAAATATTGGCTGAAAACATTCTTTATTTATTTATTAATATTTGTGAAACTATCGAAACATATTTAGTAAGTAAACATATTTGAAACTATCGAAACATATTTAGTTTAGTAAGTATCTTAGGATTATGTAAAGCGATCAGAAAGGAAGCCAAAAATGCAATAATATACAGGGTGTTAAAAAAATCATCCTGATCCACTTACACTTTTTTGAGCCACCCTGTAGAAGCTAAAATATTTTCCTGAAATACATCATAACACATAGTTTAGGTTGGTACTTATACAAAATTCCTATGTTTTTTATTATAGGAACTGCAGATGCTCAACGCACTGTTGCCGGGCCTGTAGGAAAAACTTTGAACCACAGAAACCCCTATTTCTGGCAACTTGTTGATAGGCACCCTTATAACATTATGCGCAGAATAAAAATAGAAAAAAAAAATTAAAAAAAAATAATTTGACCAAAAAATCTTACGAGCGTAATGTTGTCTCCAAAATCAGTTATTAATTGTTATTAATTAAACATAGTTGCGGCAAATTTTTAATAGGCACCCTGTTAAAAGTGTATTCTCCTATTCGTAAATATATGTAAAAATTAGGGTTTGATTAAAAATACGATGAGCGTAATAATCCTGCAGCCGAATCTTAGATTATAATGATATTTATGGAATATTTTACAGAATCCATCTCCTGGTCCTCAACCTGCACCAGGCCAACCCCCACAACCCAATAGACCAGGAGCTCCAACATCGGAAAACTTACACGCCTTACAGAAAGCCATTGATACAATGGAAGAAAAGGTATTCACATAACGTCCAGCATGAGCATTTGCGAAAATTATAAATTTTTTATTTATTTTAGGGAATGCAAGATGATCAAAGATATTCCCAGCTATTAGCCTTGCGTGCTAGAACAACTCAAGCGCAAGCCAACTCCATTCTTTCAACTATCCAAATGACTCAGTTACGGAATCAGATAATGGCTTATAGGTTTTTAGCTAGAAATCAGCCTGTACCGCATCAAATTTTAATGGGTTTACAGGTATAACTATAATTAGTTTTAAGTTTCAACCGAGGATGTAACTATTACTATTTTAGGGTAAAAGACCGGACGGCACTCCACAATTTCCAACTCCACCGTCGAGTCCATTCCAGCAACCTCCAGGAGATCAACCAGCAGCCGCAGCTGATCCAGCTGCTCAAGGTACATATGAAAAGCTTGACATTAAGGACTTAACATAGAACTTCGCGTTTTTTTTAATATTTAGTCTGTATTCCGTTGCAAAACCAAATTAATCAGATCGGTAAACTATAGGAAGGATCGATATCTGAAAAATATTCGTGAAATACGGAACAGTTTTTATAAAATAGTAGAAATGTCAAATGTTGGCGTTTTTTTGACATTGATATTCTTATTACAGACCTTTTATTTCATGCTTGATTTATCTCTTCAATGGTGATTCATGTTGTGTTAAAAATAATTTGAAAATATTTTTCAATTTAGCGGACCCTAATAAGCAAGGAGCCTCTCAACAAAGAGGTCCCGGTAGTCAACTTGTTCCGTCAAAGACCAGGGTAACCACAATGCCAAAACCATGCGGTATCGATCCGATTATTCTGCTACAAGAGCGAGAAAATAGGGTGGCGGCCAGGATTGCTGCAAGAATTGAACAAGTAATTTACTAATTTCTATTTTTTACACAACTATGTATATGTTGTAATCCTAAATTATTTTTGTTTCGTGGATATATAACTTTTCAACTTTGATATACAGGGTCTTTCAAAAAAACATATGCCATCTCTTATGGGGTGATTCCTCATGTAAAAATAAGGTTTTTATTTTTTATATCAACATAAGTCCGATTCTGCTTTGTTTCGTAGCTACGGGAATTTGTATTGTTATTTTTTTTTTATTTATTATAATTTTCTTTGCAATGCTTTTAGTGATTTGAATGAAATATTAAGGGTAAAGTGGGTGTTTTAGGGGGCTATAAGTGGTATTTTATTGCTAAAAAAGTGTCGATAGAGATTCATAGGAATGTGCATATGGGTTTAAAGATAATGTTTCTCTTAAAAAAATATGCACGCCACTGACGTTTCTCTTGTTGGCAAAATTGTGTAGGCTGTTTAATTACGATTAAAAAGTGATATCTTGATATTTTGTCAATTTTAATCTCCTCGATGAAATAAACCCGAATGTGTATTTAATTTATCGTTAAATGTTATTAAATTTTATAACACTGTAGTTTTACACCTACAGCAAATTCAAAAAAATAATGCTATTTAAGATAATTACAAATGACATAGTTTTTAAAGTTTTAATAACCTGTATCTTTAAAACTACGCACATCCAGAGGAACTTTTTTTTTTTTTTAATATTTTTTGATGCAGAATCAGTGCAATGCAACAAATAAAACTGCGTTTATCTCATGAAGGAGAGCGAAATCGAGAAAATATCAAGGAACATATTTTAATCGGAATTCAACGGTCTACACAATTTGCTAAGGGAAAAAGTCAGTGGCACGCATTTTTTAGATAAATATTCCCGTGACAACACATATACGTTCCTGGTGAATATTTGAATATGTCGACACTTTTTTGTACTAACAGTACTACACACAATACTATATACTTACAGTAACTTTGATACTCAAAATTTCATTTGAATCGCTAAAAGTATTTGGAAAAAAAGTATAATAAATCGAAAAAAAAATAAGACTTTAACGCCCTGTATAAAAATATTCATTTTTACTTTGTGTAACTTCCTTATTTTTTTATCTCCTTATTGTTATTAACCACTCTAATGGTAACTACTTTAAAACTGGCCACCTGTTAACAAATGTTACCAAAATATTTATCAGTTTTTTGTAGTAACAATCAAGTGATTGTGCATGAAATTATTTAGGGTTAATCATTAATTTTAGTTTTTTCAAATTATGACTTTAATTACAGTAAAAAAATCAATAAATCTTATACCGGGTGCATCTCAAAAGTGGCTCACCCTTATAACTTTTTTATTTTTTCAGATAAAAACGAGATTTGGTATCTTAGTATATGACATAAATTAGGATTGATTGACATATTCAGTTGTTTTTGGTCACTTCCAGTTTACCGGAAATTACTACAACTTTTGATTTTTAAATAGCACCCTCGGTATAATTCTACTTTATTCGATAGAAATCATATGTCAACTTTTGACATTTTCGTTCGTGAAAATGTCAAAAGTTGACATATGATTTGTCATTCTATTTAGAGTGTCATTTTCTATTGAATAAAGTAAAAATATACCGGAGGTGCAATCAAAAGTTGTAGTCATTTCCAGTGAAAAGTTACTGGAAGTTACTTTTCAGTGGTTAGAAAGGTAGTTTCAAGGAAGTTACCAAAAACAATTGATTATGTCAATTAATCCTAATTTATGTCATATACTAAGATACCAAATCTCGTTATTTTATCTAAAAAAATAACAAAGTTATAGAGGTGAGCCACTTTTGAGACGCACCCGGTATTACAAATAAAAACACGTTACATTATTTATTAATCATAAAGTTAACTTAATCTGTTTCCCTTTCCCTCTCGCTGTTTCATCCTCTCTTTTTTCTTTTCCTCCTCTCCCTCCCTTCTGCCTCTCGTTCTCCTCACCACCCTCTATCTTCTCTTCCTCTTTCTCTCCATTTCTCTTCCCCTTTCGTTCTCTCTCTATCTTTCTTAAGCCTGTATATGACAATTCACAAATATAAGAAAAATTGATATTACATGAATTGCACTACTTTTGTAGGTTAGTAATCTGCCATCAGATATCAGCGACAAACTCCGTATGCAAGCCCAAATAGAACTGCGAGCTTTGAGGTGCCTTAATTTCCAAAGACAGTTGAGAAATGAAATTCTGAGCTGTATCAGAAGGGATACTACACTCGAGACCGCTGTTAACATTAAAGCCTACAAGAGAACCAAACGCCAGGGTACATAACTTAGTACGTTAAAGTTGTTTCTTATTTAACACTGACTGTCGTTTTGTAGGTCTTAGGGAAGCTAGAGCGACGGAAAAATTGGAAAAACAACAAAAACTCGAAGCCGAACGTAAACGCAGACAGAAGAATCAAGAATTTCTTAATTCTGTTCTGCAGCATGCAAAAGATTTCAAGGAATATCACAAGGTAATTTTTAACATGTCTAAACAAATTGATTTGCTGATTTTAAAGCTAATTTTTGATTTATTATGAATTACAGTGTAAATGTCTAGTAATCTAGTGTTTTAGACTGAAAACACAAAATTGTCTAATCTACAGTATGTCCCCGGATTGTCTTTCCAAGTCGAAAAACTTTTTTTATTATTGACATTTTGAGAAAAAAACATAATAACATTTTTGCTTGTTCTAAAATGGTTATTCCCTTCTATACGTTTCCAAATTTTCATACCGGTTTAGAGAACATTAAGAAAAACTTGAAAATAAGGTTGAATTTTCTATGGAATGGTCCTAAAAATCAAAAGGCTAAATATATGGTTAAATTATTTCGATTTCATTCCTCAATAGATGGTTATTATTAAATTTGCTAAATCGTCATATTCTTTACTGTTAAAGTATTATATTTTCCAATAACTATCATCACCCTTACCTTAGCTATAAATTTTGTAGATCTTTAACATTTTAAAACAGCATTCCGAACCTCGCAATTAGTGGTTTCAATTACACTTTATATTTTTTAGTTTATGATCATTCACAATGTTTAAAAAACATAATTAAAATTAATAGGATATCCTGGCAACAGCTTGCTTTAGTCAGTTGTATCCATAGAGAAAGCCTAATATTTAGCTTATAAAAAAACCACCTTTTGATTTCTAACTACATTTTTTCTACTCTAAAATTCGATTATAAAATTTGAAGTTTTCAATGCCACTTTTTGCATTTATCTATGAGGTGTTCCCCAAGAAAGTTTTTATTTTTGTCACAAGATTTTTAAAATATTTTTTTCTTTTCAATAAGTCTCTTTTGTTATATCCCGACATGTCTGAGATTAGTAAATACCATTATAAAGAAACAACGTTAAAACTCCGTCATTTCTTCTCTAAAATTCGATTTAAAAATTACATTTCTCGCAAATTTTGTTTTGGTTAGGTAAGTATAATTAGAAGAGAAGCTTTTATAAAGAAAAAATTGATCTATATTTTTATGTTTTCCTTAATTTTCTCTGAAACGGTATGGAAATTTGGAAATGGCCGAATTAGAGAAAATAAGTGTTTTTTGCGTTGGCCGCAGAACGAGTGGTGGCTCCACCGTACAGCATTTGAGACATAAGGGGGAATCAAATCACCTTTGTTACGAATTCGCCCATTATCTTCCCAATTCTTTCAATCAACAATATTATCAACGATATTATCATGAATAAAATGAAAATATTAGTGTAAAAAAAATATCAATATGTTTAATCAAAAAAAGTGTTTTATCTTAAACTACTAATGCTGTAGTCTTACCGTTACATTTTAAAATCCTATTCTTATTTGCTTATTTCACAGGCCACACAGGCTAAAATTGCTAAAGTTAACAAGGCTATTCTTAATTACCACGCGAACGCCGAGAGGGAGCAAAAGAAAGAACAAGAGAGGATAGAAAAAGAGCGTATGAGAAGGTATGTCATACAAAACATCTTTTTTGTAATTTCTAAAGCAATTCTCGATTTCAGACTGATGGCCGAGGATGAAGAGGGTTACAGAAAACTTATCGATCAAAAGAAAGACAAGAGATTGGCTTTCCTTCTTTCGCAAACTGACGAATATATCGCCAGCTTGACCGAAATGGTGAGACAGCATAAAGAAGAGCAAGCCTATAAGAAGAAAGAAGAGGAAAGACGCAAGAAGAGGCAACAACGCATGCAAGAGCCTGATAGAAAGGTTAGTATGAAATTAATTATATTGAATTCTCAGATTTCTGGGTTGATTTTTTGTTCAGAGAACGGCCTCAAGCTATATAAAAATGAGGAATGCTTTATATTTTGAATGTAATTTTAGGTTACTGTTTTTGAAACTGCGACTGGCAAAAAACTCAAAGGAGAAAATGCACCGACATACAGGGAGCTACCAGAATGGTTAAAAGCTCATCCAGGGTGGGAAATGGTTGATTCAGATGATGAAGGTATTTATTTCATGATGATGTTTGAATAAAGTACTAACTCTAATGCAATTTTATCCCCTTCAGATGAAGATGATGAATATAAGGACTCTAAAGATGATGTTGATGAGAACGAAGTTAAGAAGATTATTAAAAAGGCGAAAACCGAAGACGACGAGTATCAAAGAAACGCTAAAGAAGAGCAAACTTATTACTCTATCGCTCACACCGTTCACGAAATCGTTACTGAGCAAGCTACAATATTGGTCAATGGACAGCTAAAGGAATATCAAGTTAAGGGTACGTTTCTTAGTTTACTGTAGTTTTTTTTGTTATTTTAATATATTATTCCAGGATTGGAATGGATGGTGTCCTTATACAATAATAACCTTAACGGAATATTGGCCGATGAAATGGGTTTAGGAAAAACTATCCAAACTATCGCCCTTATAACATACCTAATGGAGAAGAAGAAAGTTAATGGACCATATTTAATTATCGTTCCTTTATCCACCATATCTAATTGGATGTTGGAATTTGAAAAGTGGGCTCCTTCATGTCAGGTATGAATTCGTTACCGATACGTTACCGGCCAATGTTGACAGTGGCGTGCATATAGTGTAGGCAATAATGCTATATATTTTTATATCATTTCATTATAACTCATTACTAATGCAATAAGTATTCGCAATAATCATTTTTTTATCTGATGTTTATTCTAAATATTACCAAGATATACAGGGTGTCCCAGAAATAAGTGCAGATATTTTAAGGGGTGGTAGATCTGGCCGAAAGAAACATATTTTCTCTTTACCATTTTTAAAATAAATTGATAATTGAGTTATTTAAGTTTAAAATTTTTAAAAACCAATGGCAATATTTTGAGAGCCGTCGCACAGAGGGCCAGCGGACCATATTTTATGGAAAAATTATTTTGCTGGTAAATATTATTCAATATGTGTAAAAAATGACAAAACCAATACAAAATATGAACAATTATTAGCCCATAGGAAATTGTTTATACAGGGTGTTACAATATTAACGTATATAAAAAATCATATTTTCGCAGATTCAGGTCAAAGTAACACCTTAACTAGTTTCCAAAAAATGTATGAGCCTAGAAGCATCAAATATGTGAAAATTTTTGTTATACAAGGTGTCCCAAAAGACATAAAGTAATCAACTTTTTATACTAGTTTTTTCTTAAAAATCAATTTTTTACACTTTTCAAGGCAATTGCGTAAAAATATGCTAACAGCTGTACCTTCATTTTATTTATAATTATTTTGAAAATACAATATTTTATCAACTTACTTTGTAACTTATGAAATATATATATATTTTTTTTTTATTAATATCTCTGAAAATATCCAAATATATTTACATCTTATCTTAAGATTATGTAAAGTGATCAGAAAGGAAGCTAAAAACGTAATAATATACAGAGTGTTCCATTTAAAAAAATTATCCCGGTCCACTCACACTTTTTTGAGCCACCCTATAGAAGTTAAAATATTTTCCTGAAATACACCCTCGTACATACTTCAGGTTTGCACTTAAACAAAATTTCCAAGTTCTTTATTCTAGAAGCTACAGATGCCCGACGCACTATTGCCGGATTGTGCATCCAACAGAATAATATGCTCTACCACACAGGGTGGCAGTTTGGGGCAGATTTTTTTTGCGCGACATAAAAGTATAAAGACCACCTATACAAATGACAAATAAAAAAATGATATTCCTACATTTTTTTAAAATCGTTCATAAATTTAAAAGTTTTTATTTTAAATATATTTTAAGAAAAATGGCCCTTATACAAATACGGCAAACTATTATTAAAATCCGAAAGAGCAGAAAAACAGTAAAACTTACCCCTATCATCTACATTCATCATAAAAGAAATATTTGTAAAACATACGTTTTAAAAAAATTACAAAGTTGAAATTCTTCTGCTGCGATATAATAGCATTTCGCAAAGCCTACTATCAAGTTAAACGATTTTCGACATATTACGACAATTCCATTATTCATATGTATTTGTTTTATGATGCCCCAAAGCCTACTTGTTGTAAATTGATAACAATATTTGGGAAATAATATATTTTTTGGAGATATTCAATGTTTTTAGTGACACTGGCCCTCTGTGCGCCGCGCGCCGCCTTCAATCGATAATCAGTGGCAAATTACCTCGCAATTACTGTAAAAAAGGTATTTAAATACAGTAGATTTGTTGCACTATAGTTAATAATAATCTACAATGATTAAAAAATCTACAGTGAATAAAATTAATCTATTTTTTTTTGTAGAAATTTAAATAAGTGAAATTATAACTGATAAATATACAGAATGTGGAATACGTAAAATAAACTGAACAAGCGACACCTCAAAATTTTTTCAATATTTTCCAGAAAATGTCAAAAAAATATAAAAATTTCAAAACATTTTTTCGAAAAAAAAACAACCAGCACTTATTTTTGGGACACCCTGTATAACGTAAGGACGCAGATCTACCACAATATATCTCTCACTTATTTTTGACCTATGTTTTATTGTGATTTATTCAGGTTATCTCATACAAAGGCTCACCCGCTGCAAGAAGAACAATTCAGACCCAAATGAGAGCGGCGAAGTTCAACGTTTTGTTAACAACGTATGAATATATCATTAAAGATAAAGGGGTTTTGTCCAAAGTTCCATTTAAATACATGATTATTGATGAGGGTCACAGAATGAAGAACCACCATTGCAAGCTGACGCAAGTACTAAATACGCATTATTTAGCTCCGCACAGGCTGCTTTTGACAGGTACTCCGCTACAAAATAAACTGCCCGAGTTGTGGGCCTTGCTGAACTTTTTACTTCCTTCAATTTTCAAGAGCTGTTCAACGTTTGAGCAGTGGTTTAATGCTCCTTTTGCAACGACAGGCGAAAAGGTAAGTTTCTCTTGTTCTTTTAAATGAATCCATACTGATAAAATTAGGACAAAAATTTTGGTTAGCAATTACACTTTTCCTCTCTTTAATTTTGTTAAATTAATTTTAGGTTGAGTTGAACGAGGAAGAGACTATTTTGATTATTCGACGTTTGCATAAAGTTTTGCGACCTTTCTTACTAAGGCGTCTTAAGAAAGAGGTAGAATCTCAACTACCCGACAAAGTGGAATATATTATTAAGTGCGACATGTCGGGGCTGCAAAAAGTTTTATATCAACACATGCAGAGTAAGGGAGTGCTGCTTACAGATGGTTCTGAAAGAGGCCACGCCGCTAGAGGAAAAGGTATAGAAAAGTTACTTTGTCTTTTCGTTTTTTTATTAAGTTCTTTGTGTGGTAGGTGGCGCTAAGGCTCTAATGAATACAATCGTACAACTAAGAAAACTATGCAACCATCCATTTATGTTCCAAAACATTGAAGAGAAGTACTGTGAGCATGTTGGTATTCCTGGTGGTATTATGAGTGGAGCAGACACTTACAGGTAACTTTTCAGCTAATTGTATTTTTGTAGAATTGTAGGTTATGTAAAATCCTCGAACGATTTTTCTAATCAAGAAGAAGTACGATGGTGAATTTTTTCTTTCAAAATTCACATGAGGTTTTGGTAATTTTTTTTTTAAAACTACTTAGCAAGTTAGTTCTGATTTTGACCTTTGACAGTGGTCGCGCTATTAGAACTGAATTAAAAAATAGATATCATGAAATCCATTAGTAATAATTGCTTGTGTGTGTGTGTGTTTTTTTTAATTTCTTAATTTTTCTGCTATATTTTCTTTGCAAGCAGTATATGAAAATCTTTACAAAAAAAAGTTACAGGAATGCTGAAAATGTCCATGCACTAAAAGTTAATGACATTTTTTTTTAAATTTTGAAATAAAAAACAACCCTATCAAATTTTTCTCATCTTGTCGAAGATCCGAACTCAAAATAAAAAAAAAGTTTCAGTATCTAAAGTAATACTTGAGTTATCGCGTATTGTGTTAAAAAGTTGAGTGTCCAAATTTCCGCGATTATTGACGTTTTTTCATTATAAACAGCATGGAAACCATAACGATATTCTACTAACTCGATTTCAGATGCCCAGAAACATATCTAATGATTTTATCTACCTATCTTTCCGAAAAAAAAAACTTTTTGAGATAAGCGTCTTTGGACCGTATTTTTATTCCATTAAATAAGGAAACGCACACCTGTATCCCTTCTTTGAATGTGGCAGCGCCGCAACAGCACACTTTCGCATTTTTCTCACTCCGACAAAATAAGATCTCCAATCGATTCACTTCCACACATGTAAATACCGATCCAAAAGCAAGACTTGCCAGCGCGGTATAACTTTTTGCCGATGGCTTTCATCACCTTGAATCCATCACCAAGAAACCGCACTTTTTGCAGATATAGCACGGACATAGAATCTGAATCGTCACTTCTTCTGATTGCTAGAATTTGCGCATGGTTTCGTCTGTGACCTATCAGCTTTAAACGTATAGTGTACTTGCAGTTCCCTGTTGGTAGATCCGCTAGGTTGACAGTTGCTTATCAGGTCTGCCGTCAATTTATCTATTTGCAGGATTTTTTATTTAACCACGTTACCAGATTACTTCTTTATAATAATGAGACTTGATCTAGGAGTAGAATTGAAATCAGTTTTTAGTATAACACAGTAACCCCTATAAGTTAATTGTACCGTTTTAAGGGCCTCTGGTAAATTCGAATTACTGGATCGTATTTTGCCAAAACTGAAGGCGACAAATCACAGAGTGTTACTTTTCTGTCAGATGACGCAACTGATGACAATTATGGAGGATTATCTTAATTGGAGAGGTTTCAAATACCTACGGTTGGATGGTACTATTAAAGCGGGTAAGTAGTTGACAGTAAATGCCTTTAATGAACATAGTATTGATTAACCATACTTTTTTGTCTTTTTAGAGGACAGGGGTGATCTTTTAAAGAGGTTCAATGATAAGAACAGTGAATATTTCTTATTTTTGCTGTCCACCAGAGCTGGTGGTTTAGGTCTAAATTTACAGACCGCCGATACCGTTGTTATATTCGATTCTGACTGGAATCCACATCAGGTATGGTATTGCATTGTATCAGATCATTACAAATTAATATACACTCAGATGCAAAAAACGCAACTGGAAAGTTTTTCGTCAAGTTTGAAATGTTATATTTTTTTTACTTTTAGCCTTATTTTCATGATTTTTTTAGCAAACTGTATACCTATAAATCTATCAACTTTAGTTCACAAATTCAGTATTTTATAAACTTTAGTATTTGGCTATTCTTCTTCTAGTGCAGATCCATTAATGGATGTTTACGATAACATTTTCCATTGCTTCTCTGTTCCGGGCGGTGTGTATTAACGACTGAACATCGTGTAGCCTTTCCACTGTCTAATATTCCTCAGCCAAGACATTTTCTTCCTTCCGATACCCCTCCGGCCTTCGATCTTGCCTTCGAACAACAAATGCAAAAATTGGTGTTTGGGTTTTCTCATTATGTGCCCCAGGTATGCGGTTTTTTCTTTTTAATCAATTCAAACAATTCACGCTCTTTGTCAACACGTCTGAGAACTTCTTCATTTGTCAATCTAGCCGTCCAAGGTGTCTTCAGGATTCTGCGATATAGCCACATCTCGAAAGCCTTTTTTTTTCAATGTCCAACCTACCATACCATAAAGGAGCACCGAATAGCACATAACACTTTACGAATCTTAATCTAAGGCTAAGGTCAAAATCAGAACAGACAAGTACTTTTCGAAACCTCAAGAATACGTGCTGAGCTTGTTCGATGCGACAGTTATTTCCTTGTCTGATGTCCAATCTTCGGAGAGCCAGATGCCCAAGTACTTAAATTTATCTACTCTTTCTATGGGCCTTGAGTTAAATGTTAAGATGGAGTTTATAAACACATCTGGGTTTCTGGATATTATCATAAATTTGGTTTTCTTGATGTTGATGTTTAAACCCATTCCTTTGCTCTGTTCTCCTACCTTGTTGACCAGTTGTTGTAGGTCGTGTATATTGTCTGCAATTAAGACCTTATCGTTGGCATAGCGGATATTATTAATCCACACTCCATTAACCTTGACTTCCATTTCCGCGTCGTCCAGAGCCTCTTGGAAAATAGCTTCTGAGTATAAATTAAATAGGAGTGGAGATAGCACGCAACCCTGTCGCACCCCCCTTCTAACTTGTATGGGATTGGACATGGTATCGGACAATTTCATTTGTGGTGTTTGGTTCCAGTATAACTTCTCAATTAGGGGATTCAATCCCGGACAATTTTATGTTGTCGGGATCCCGGGATTCTTAACTCCGAATCTCGGGATCCCGGGATTTCAGTAATAATGTTACCAATGTTAGTTTCAAAGAACATTTTATTAAAATTAACGTTAATTACTTAAAACAAAAACAAAGTCTTTGGAACACAAAAATAAGTAAATATTCCTGTTAAACAACATTAAACAAAAATTAAAAATCTCAAACAAAACAAAAAAGAAACTGGACTGATAATATTATTCCATATTTTTAAAAAAAATAGCGCAATATTGTCTATTGTGTCATCTCCCATAGCAGAACGAAATTTATCATAACGAAAACTATCAAGCCTGCTGACGAAAAACACCTTTCCGATTCTACACTTGTAGGCGGTATTGTACTTAAAAAATCAAAAGCTAGTTGTAAGTTTGTTCCACGTTGTCCACTCTTCTGGAACGCATCCATTTCATTTTTTATTTGGGCTTCCAAGTTTTCAGTTTTTGTTACTGGTGGCGCTGTTATTCGATTTGACATTTTTTTGGTTAACGCTTCATCTAGCCTCTCCGAAAATGACACGTCATCATTTAAGGCCTGGTATAGTCTATAAAATGAATAACTTTGAATTTTGACCGTTATTTTTTACCAACATGGCAAATATAAAATCCCTCTATCAAAAAAGGTACTGATATTCTTTAAATTGAGTGCCTGAACGAATCAGATAGATAACTCTTTTTACTTTCGTGAAATAGAAAAGGAAAATAATAAAACAAGTGACAGTTCTGACTCTTCTTGCAAAAATGAACACGAAATGTCATAATTGTCAAAAGTAAAATGTCATCAGCTTTTGACATTTCTAAATATCAGACCAATGCCGTCTCTAATAGAACAGCCTTGAAGCGAGATTTATGACGTCACGCTAGTTAGATACTACGGGATAATAAATATGTTGTATACATAGAAAACATAATTATTCCTCGTATTTTTGGTTTGTATTTTAAAAATGATATAGTTTACATGAAATATACATAATATACAATTAATAAATACAATATATATACCTATTTATAGTAATAAATAATTTGGCAAATAAACTATGAACCATACAAATGCAGCAAATGTTTTACAATATACAAATAATGAATAGGAACATAAGATAATGGGTAATATGTAAAATATATTTTAAATTTTGGGGTTTGAATCGATCAAATTTAACAACAAACATTCAATATCTACTGCCTATGGTATTGTATTATTTGCAAATATAATTTTTCGAACATTGATACTTGCAAAATATACATATAAATTTTGTGAATGCAAATAATAATACATCACTATTAGTAGATCGATTTTCAAACCCCAACATTTAAAATATATTTTACATTTTACCCATTATCTTATGTACAATTCATTATTTGTATATTGTAAAACATTTGGTGCATTTGTATGGTTCATAGTTTATTTGCCAAAGTATTTATTACTATAAATAGGCATATATATTGTATTTATTAACTGTATATTATGTATTTCATGTAAACTATATCATTTTTAAAGTACAAACCAAAAATACGAGGAATAATTATGTTTTCCATGTATTCTACAACATATTTATTAATCCGTAGTATCTAACTAGCGTGACGTCATAAATCTCGCTCCGAGGCTGTTCTATTAGAGACGGCATTGCGTCAGCATGGCCGCAAGTTGCTAACCTAATAAAATTAACACTAGAAAAGCCCGCGGGAACTGTCAAATTCAAAGTTATTCGTTTCACAGACTATACCTGTTCTGAATAGTAACAATTGGCAAATCTTCATCCGATTCCGAATTATCTGAAGAATCTAATATGATTTTACTTGTTATATCTAGTCGTTTTAAGAGGTTTGCTACTTCTTGTTTCAAAAGTTTTTTTATTATTCCGGGAATAACCGACGTATCGCTTGTCGGCGGCGCGCGGCGGCGGCGCTATAAGGGATTCAACTAAAAGAGAGTTTTTGCATAATCAACCTTAAAAATAGCGTTTTACTATATTATATAAAATCCCGGGATCCGTTATTATTTTCCCGGGATCCCGGGATTGCAAAATCCGATAAAAACATAGGGATCCCAGAATCCCGGGATCCCAGAATCCCGGGATCCCGAAATCCCGGGATTGAATCCCCTATTCTCAATGCATTGGATGTCTTTATGATCTATATCAAGTCTTTTTAGGAGCTGCATTAATTTGTGGTGCTGTACGCGATCGAATGCCTTTTCGTAGTTTATGAAACACAGGCACACATCCTTTCTCTAATCGTAGCAGTTCTGGACAAGCACCTGTGTTGCAACTATCGCTTCCCTGGTGCCTAACCCTTGTCTGAACCCCATTTGCGAATCGCTTATGTCCCTTTCACATTTTTTGTAAATTTGGCTATTATACAGGATTAATTGAAGGGCTGTTTTTTGCCTTAATTTTAAAACACCATGTGCAATAATTTCTATTTTTTAAGTAACTTTTCCTAAAACATTCTTTTTCGATCAGAACCACAGCATTTTGTTTTTTGACTCATGTCAACAAATGTCTTGGTTAATTTTTAAGAGCGAAATGAACTTGCCACTAACAATTTGCAATTTTTTCAACTATCATTACTTTATGATGTTATTTTTTAATATCATGAGGTGGCTTTGGTGGCTATTGTCGTAATTTCATATCGACACTGATTAGAACTCTATATTAAAATTAAAAAAAAAAAACGTTATCAAGTAACGATACGGGCTATTTGGTTTTAATAAATATTAGTAACACTAACAGATTTAATTAAAAAAAGTTAATGCCTTGGTTAATTTTAATAAAAACTAACTAAGGCATGTGTTGACTAAGACATGACTCAAAAAACAAAATATTCAGGAGACATGGCTCTGACCCAAAAATAATGTTTTAGGAAAATTTGCTCATGAAAATTATTGCACAGGGTGTTTTAAAAATAGGTTAAAAACAACTATTCAATTAACCTTGTATAATAAGTCAAATACTAAAGTTTTTAATAAACGGAGTTTACGAATTAAAGTAGATATATTTATATACAGTTTGCTAAAAAATCAGGTAAATAGGTCTAAAAATAAAACAAATATAATGCCGGGTCCAGACCAAGGCGACAAAAAATAAACACGATTTTGAAAAAAAAACAAGACAAACTTGTCACAAAAAATGGAGACTTCTGACAAGATAAACTTGAAACAAATTGTCCACACCGCAATGACAAAAGGTAAAAAGTTAGTTGTTGCCAATGAGTTTTATTAGCCATGTGTGATTTCACTGGTCTCCTACTGTTGGCAGCACACGCCATCCACACTGCGCCGGCAACTTGTCGCAAAATATACGAACAAAACATAGACACTTTGATCTTTACCGACTCGAGACGGGACATTGAAAAGTCTCCAATTTTTGAAACAAAACAAAAATGAGACGAAAATGTCACAGAAATGTATTGGATTTGTCACAACTTTGTCGTAAAACATGAATGTTTCTGCCTTGTCACTGTTTTGTCTGCTTGGTCTGGACCCGGCATAACATTTTAAACTTAACCAAACATTTTTTCCATTAGTGTTTTTGCATCTGATGATATGATAAATCTTATAGTATAAAATTAGCTATCCACTTTCTTTCCATATTATAAAAGGCTTATACCACAATGTTTATACATCAATCTGTATACTATAAAATTAATTACAGGATTTGCAAGCGCAAGATCGTGCTCATCGTATCGGGCAACAGAACGAGGTTAGGGTGTTGCGTTTGATGACAGTTAACTCGGTGGAAGAGCGAATTCTAGCCGCGGCTAAATACAAACTTACTATGGACGAAAAAGTTATCCAGGCTGGTATGTTCGATCAAAAGTCAACGGGGTCTGAGCGACAGCAATTCCTTCATGCAATTTTACACAATGATGGAACTGAAGAAGAGGTAAGAGCTAAACTACTGTCTTCGGTATTCTTTTTTGCTTGCAATCAGTGTCGCATATTGCGTTAGAAGATACCAATAAATTATTATCAAAGGAAGGGTCCAGGGGAGAAACATGATAAGCGCCATTTTACTAATTTTACAGGAGAGCTAGAGAACGCTTCAGAACGTATAATGTGCCAACTACTATACCTGTAATAATTATGTTTTGTAGGTTTACTAATTAAAGTAACAGGAAATGAAATAAACTCTAAACTTTGAAAAACAGAAAAATTTTAATGAAAATATTTACCCTAACAAACTAAAACAAAATTCAAAATACACTCATATAAGAGGCAGTGTAGATCTTCAAGGATACGTTCGGGAATTTACAGTTATATTAACACACTGCACTGTTTGGCATAACAATAAAAATCAAAATTCTGCTGTTTCAGTGGGTCCGCGCGGGTCATCCGTGCTTGTCGTCTCTGTTATGCCTTAGAGCGGACCGTTGATTGAACACGTACCATGATTTTATAGGAATATTTTCATAATGTTCGATCTGTATTCGATCTGATTTTCACATGGGGCGGATGATCCGTTCGGATAATTTCGTCCGATGGCCATTCGTCGATCCCTCGTTTTGACGGAACATCCGCTCACGGACGTGCCATATTGCCAAAAACATGCGCAGATTGACAGCACAGGTGAAAGTACTCCCTCGGACCTACTTGATAGAGAACCCTTGAAATATACCAGATAACAAATTTCCATTTTATTTTTTTATCGAAAAAATTTAAAACTTAAATTGTGGAAATATATTTCATTAGAACACACGTTTTCTATTAACACACAGCTAAACCAACAAATCTAAGCTACGAATTTTAAATTATATTTTGTATATTTCCTTATACAGTGCTTTTATTTTAACTGTGAACATAGGCGTTAACCATTGTAATTTGCAAATCAGTGTTATAACCAATCTTTCAACATTTTGTTTAATTATTGACACGTAATGCAGTTTTTTCAACAAAAAAATAATAGACATGAAATAATAATAATATGTTATTTTTTTATTCAAAATTTGTAAATTTATGCAATTTTTTAAGCAAGAACTAGGTATTTTTAGTTAGGCAAAATAAATTATTTTAAAAGACAAAATATTATTTTTTTTAACTACTCTTTGTAACTTGCGTATTATTTCTTGTATACATTGACTTAAAATAAAATGTTAATCATTCAAATCTATGCATTAACTGTTACACTTACACATTAACATTGCCGAATAGCATTGCACTATATAAATCCTATGTTCACAGTTAAAATAAAAGGACGGTATATTTACATAGAGCTTAATTCTGTTTTTGATGATAATGATGATGTATCGTTGATATGTATAAGTTGTAGTACTTTTGGAAGTAGTGTATAAGTATTTTATTCCAAATTCTGTATAAAGAAATTCTAAAATATCCTGTTGAAATATGCTTTTCTTACTTACTTACTGCCATTATTCGCTGACAAGTATTTGACACGCATCAGAAGACGGTTACACAAGGCTTCTTTTCTGTGACTGAAAAGCCCGATACATGATGTTATCTCTCTTCTGCACTCCGAACATTCAAAAATCTCATTGCTTTGTTTTTTCTTGATTTTTTTGTTGTCGTTAACTGAGTTTACAATTCTTCTCCTTTGCGTTCTATTCTGCGCTGCTTCCTCCCACTGATTCCGCATGCTTATCCCCATTAAGTTTTTATGGAAAATATCCCTGTACCTTTTAAGTTGTCCACCCGGTTTCCTCTTACCGTCTACTAGCTCACCTTAAAGAAGAGATTCGGTAGGCAGTTTTCTTGCATCCTGCATACGTGACTAGCCCATTTTAAGCGGGACTTAATAATCATGACTTCAACGCTCTCGCAGTTAGCTTTTTCAAGGACCGATACGTTTGAGGCATAGGGGTAAAGTACTCCCTCGAACCTACCTAAAACCTTAAAAATACATACGATATGCGTCCGGACAGTCCGCTCCATATGTAAGGTGCATAATAGCTACACAACGCACGCCTAAAGCAACTCACGACCGTTTACAACCACGCGGTAACGCATTAATTAGGATACTGGCCGTGCTTTAGACAGGACACAGTGAGTCCTGTGTCCTGTCTAAAGAAAAAAAAAATGACTCAATTAAATGGACTTTCAAGTTATGTCCCTGGACGTCTGGTAGTTATCAGATTCTTTCCCTGTATGTATGTTTTTACTAGGCATATATCATAGGATTTAATGGCTTATTGCCCTGAAGAGTTTATACATTTGATAGGAGCCAGTTAGACCTACTATACAGGGTGGTCCGAACTGTATTCTGGAAACTTCGGCAGCATATTCTGCAGATAAAAATAAGTAAAAAAGTTCGTATAAATGTATGTCCTAAAATGCTTAGTTTCGGAGATACAGGGTTTGGTTTGGTTTGAAGTTTCATTTTTATTTCAATTTTTTTCCAAATAATTTCTGAAGTAACGTCAATATTTCGATGAAAATTGGAGTCTGGGAGTTTTTTGACATGAGAAATTTGATTTTGATGTCAATGTGACTCCTACTAGTAGAGGGCGCCACCTACATATTTTTTAACTGGTTTTAAGAGTAATAACTTTTCGTCCGTACTACTGTATAAAACTACCGAGTAAAAAAATACACATTTACGACGTTTTTTACGTGAAGAAGGTCTCTTGGTAAAAATCGCTACGAGTAATGGTTTTCGAGATATTTGGAATCGAAATTATCGATACCTGTCATCATTGACATAAATTAAACCTGTTGACTAAATAGTTATTAGACTGAAATCATAAATTTGAAAAGTTTTTGTGCCAAAAGTTCAACAGAAACTGTTTTATCATCATTTTTTGCAGAAAAATTTATGATTAATTTAAAAAAAATTAAAATTTCCCAAATTTATTATTTCAGTAAAATAATTGTCTACTCAACGTGTGTTTATTTTTCGTCAATAATGACATGTATTGTCTGTTTCCATTCTAAATATCTTAAGAACGGTTTCTCGTAGCGATTTACCAAGGGATATTTTTTACGTAAAAAGTCACAGAGATGTATATTTTTTCGCTCGGTAGTGTTATACAGGTACGAACAAAAAGTTATTACGCTTCAAAACAGTTAATCCACATGTAGGTGACGCTCTCTACTAGTAGGAGTCATATTGACACCAAAATCAAATTTCTCATGTCAAAAAACTCCCAGACCAATTTTCATCCAAATATTGACGTTACTTCAGAAATTATTTAGAAAAAATCGAAACAAAAATGAAACTTCTACACCCGGTATCTCTGAAAGTAAGCATTTTAGGACATACATTTATACGAACTTTTTTACTTATTTTTATCTGCAGAATATGCTGCCGAAGTTTCCGGAATACAGTTCGAACCACCCTGTATACAGGGTGTTTCGAAAAACGTGCCATCTCTCATGGGGAGATTTCTCACATAAATATAAGATTTATTTTTCATATCAACATAGGTCCGATTCGGCTTTGTTTCGTAGCTACAGGGTGTTAAAGTCTTAATATGTTTTCGATTAATTATAAATTTCGTCCAAGTACTTTTAGCGTTTTGAATAAAATTTTGAGTGTAAAAGTTACTATAAATGCGACATATTTTAAAGCTAAAAAAGTGTCGACATATTGACCAGGGACGTGCATATGGGTTATCACAGGAATATTTTTCTAAAAAAAGCATGTACGCCACTGACTTTTCTTTTTTTTGTTAGCAAAATAGTGTAAACAGTCTAATGCCGATTAAAAGTTGTCTCTTGACATTTTGTCGATTTTGGCCTCCTTAATGAGATAAACACAATTTTATTAATTTGACTTGATCCAAGTCTAATAGCAACTTGTTAACTTGCGAAAGTTTTAAATAAATACTCAATGATTCCTCATCAAAAAATATGAAGAAAAGTTCCTATAAACATGGGTATGGAAATGCATAGTTTTAAAATTACAGGATGTCAAAACTTCTTAAAATTAGGTTTTTTGTAATTAACTTAAATACCATTCTTTTTTTATTAAAAATTGCTATAGGGTGGACTAATAGATAACCAATAATAATAATATTTGTGTAATATTTAATAAAATCACACCATTTAACACCCTGTAGCTATGAAACAAAGCAGAATCGGACCTATATTGGTATGAAAAATAAATCTTATTTTTACGTGAGGACTCTCCCCACGAGAGATGGCACATGTTTTTAGAAACACCCTGTATAGGTAAAACCCATGGTACAAAGAAAACAAGGTATGATCGATAGCGGCTCCAGTTTCGTTCAGTTTGCGCATACCACCTGTGACGTCATACGCCATACAAAGAAATATCCATATTGTTCAATTGCCACTAATAAAAAAAGACCTAAAATAGGGAAGAATTAGGACATAACCCCAAAAGTTTTGTCAAATCATCGAGCTTGACATTTGTAAAATTATTTTCACATTTATTATGTCATCTGTTTGACAATTTGAAATTGGCGCGCGGAGCTTGCCGACCAATGGTGCCGTTTATCACCTGTGACGTAGTGACCAACCTGCGCAATATCATACCTTGTATTCTTTGTATCATGGGTAAAACCCTAAAATTAAGAAATTGGCACTTATCGCATTTTTCTGAAAAAAGTAGTTTCAAATTGTATTAGATCTCCATAAAGAATTTCATTTGTTTTTGTTATAAATTAGGAAGAGAATGAGGTTCCAGACGACGAAACCGTAAATCAAATGGTGGCCAGAAACGAGGACGAATTTCAACTTTTCCAAAAGATGGACACCGAAAGAAGAGTCGAAGAAGAAAAAATTGGAATGCTTAACAGGCTCATTCAAGAGGAAGAATTGCCCGATTGGTTAGTTAAGGTTTGGCTACCATAAACAATTAGGTTTTGAAATTATTAAATCGATACATTTTTAGGACGTTGACGAAGTGGATACATGGAAATACGAAGATGAAAACGACACAATATTGGGTAGAGGTACCAGACAAAGGAAAGAAGTCGATTATGCGGACAGTCTCACAGAAAAAGAATGGCTAAAAGTAAAAACAGATGTTATCTAAAATTGGATTGACAGTGAAATAATTATTATATATATTTTAGGCTATTGACGAAGACGGTGATTATGACGATGACGAAGAGGAAGAAGAAAAAGCTAAAAAAGGAAAAAGGGGAAGGAAACGCAGGAAGAAGGACGAGTCTGATGAAGACGAGACGCCGCAAAAAAGAAAAAGAAAGAACGCTGGCAACAATAGCGAGGCTAGATTGAAGAAGAAAATGAAAAAACTATTAACAATTATTGTTAATTATACTGACAGGTATTATTGTTTTTATCATACGGTTTAATAAGTAAAAAACAAATCTATTGTTTTTTTAGGGATGAAAGACAACTCAGTGAACAATTTATGAGATTGCCAAATAAAAAGGAATACCCTGAATACTACTCTGTCATTAAGAAACCGATCGACATTAGCAAAATCCTGAATTATATTGAAGATGGAAAGGTAAAATTATTGTCTATAGACAATTTTGTTGGATTCGTATTAAACATTTTTGGTTTTAGTATTCCGACTTCAACGATCTGGAGCGAGATTTTATGTTGTTATGTCAAAATGCACAGATATTTAATGAAGAAGCATCCCTAATTTATGAGGACAGTATAGTACTACAATCAGTAAGTATCGGTTTCGTTTTTCTTTTGCTTTATTATTTTATTATTTATATACTTATTATATTTTTTTCAGGGTTACGTTTTAAACATTTTCTTTAAAAACAGCTGTTTTAAATCTTTAAAACCCCATTACTTGTTCTAAGCATTTCTTTAAAATTCATTGTTAAACGTGATTCTTGATATTGGAAAGGCATCTAAGAAAAAAAAAATTCTGATAAAGAAGTACCATTTCTTCAAAAAAGTCTTCTGGGTATTTCGCCACTGTAAGAAAATCTACAAAATAATAATAGTTATTTTTAATAAACACCAATCCAACGAAGACCAATTTGTCAGTGGTATTTTACTAATAAAACAAATTTGCTTAACGAACAAAAAAATGCTTAACGCTTATCTGGTATAGTCCGATTAAATTTATATCTCCGAAACTAAAGTTTCCTAGTAGTAGTTATAAAAAGCATTTTTGGTAAACTCTATCTCAAATAGTTTCTGAAAAAAAATAATTTTTTTAAAAGGTCCGAATAAATTTATATCTCCGAAACGAAAAGTTTCAAAAAAAAGTCATACTATACTAGAAATTCATTTACCCAGCAGTAGTTATAAAAAGCATTTTTGGTAAACTCTGTCTCAAATAGTTTCTGAAAAAAAAATTATTTTTTTTAAAAGGTCCGATTAAATTTATATCTCCGAAACTAAAGTTTCAAAAAAAGTCATACTATACTAGAAATTCATTTACCCAGCAGTAGTTATAAAAAGCATTTTTGGTAAACTCTGTCTCAAATAGTTTTTGAAAAAAAAATATTTTTTTAAAAGGTCCGTTTAAATTTATATCTCCGAAACTAAAGTTTCAAAAAAAGTCATACTATACTAGAAATTCATTTACTCAGCAGTAGTTAAAAGAATTTTTGGTAAACTCTGTCTCAAATAGTTTCTGAAAAAAAAATATTTTTTTTAAAAGGTCCGATTAAATTTAGGCTGTACTTAAACTGCCGTTAAACGGTAGCTTACTAAAATGCCGTTAATAGGTTTGACGTCATTGATGTGACGCACTTAACGGCTTTATGAAGTATAGAAATTTTATAAGGACTAACCAACGCTATCCACCCCACCAAATAACCATCGCAACTAACCTCGACACTAATAAAAAATATAAACAACAAATATAAATTAGTAAAAACCAACCAACCCCACCAAATAACCAACTAATTAACACCCTCCAAATAACCACGCTAACCAACCCGCCAAATAACTAAACCAATCCAACCAAAAAGAGTGAAACCAATGCAATAAGATCGCGCTATAAGCATAAAAAAAAGTCTTGTTCGGCGTGAGATTTGAACCACGGACTTAAAAATAACTTTTATTTTTGTACAGTGGCGAAATATACTGTACTTTTTTGAAGAAGTGTTTAAAACAATAAAGTGTTTTATACCACCAAAAAAAACGTTTAGTTTAAAAATAATAAACAACGTTTCCTTAAACCCTGATTTTTTTATTGTAATTAGCTAATGTATTTTTTTCCAGGTCTTTTCCAATGCTAGACAGAAGATTGAAGGTGACGATTCGGACGATGACGAAGCTAAAAATGATTCCGATGAAGAACAGCCGAAAAAGAAGAAAGAAAAGGAACCAAAAGAAAAGAGAAAGAGGGGTAGACCAAAACGTTCCGTTAAGAAGTACATATCCGAGGAAGAGGATGATGATTAGAAGAAGAGGACGAGAAAGAAAAAGTAACATTTATTTAGGAAAAACATATTGCAAATAATATTTCTTTTATGAGTTTTTTTTTATGAATTGAATATAGTTAGTTAGCGATAAAGTTAGGAATAACCTTAGCAAAGGGCTCTTCTCATTCTTTTTTCTCATTAATATATTGGTATTGAGTAATCAGTTTATCAAATTTTACTTTAATTCATTACTAAATAACTGTAACATGACTATAACATCAAATAAAAAAAATTGCGGTGAATCTAAAAGAAACAGTTATTAATGTTGTAAATCGAGGGAAATACAAGACCGACAATTGCGACGTAAAAGTTTGACACGTTATTCACGGAAAGTGGACGATCATTCTCAACTCAGTTTCAGTGACAGTTCTTGTATAGAGACGATGCACATAGATTTCTAAGCGGTTTTTGGTTGGGAATGTTTTTATTCGGGAAATACATGCGAAACCGATATATAAATATGCTAGACTGAGAAGATTCATGGTTGTACAACTAAAAACATAATACGTGATTATTAGTCTTTGGCATGTCTTTACATTAGTTAAAAAAGGTAGAAAAAAGACTCAAAGTCTCTTTTCTACCTTTTTTAATTTGAACCAGGTCTCTTTGAGAAAAATGGATGCCTTTTTTAAATTTACATTAGTTGCTTATACGTCAGTTGCCTTTAAGTTTTTACAAAAAGGCGAAACGGAAACGAACAAGTTCGAAACAAAGTATTTTATTGCTTTTTGAAATATTCGCCCTTAAGATCTATAGATTTTTGCTTACGCTCAAATCAATTCTGGAAACATTTTTTTCCACTCTGAAGCTGATATCGTAGAAACATGGTTTTGAAAATCTTCAACAGCTTCTTGAAATGATGAAAATCGCTGTCCGCACATCTTTTGTTTGACAGTGGGGAACAAGAAAAAGTTATTAGGCGATAAATCAGGTGAATACGGGCAATGAGATGTTTTAATTAAAATTTTAATTCGATGTTTTTCTCCTTCAAATATTCAGTTGTTTGACGTGCCTTATGGGAGCTGGCATTGTCGTGATGAACAATGGTGCGACGTTTTTTGTTCTTTTCCCTTATTTCATCGAAGACCGTTGGCAAACAAATTGTTGTATACCATCGGCATTAACAGTTCTTCGATCCTCTAATGGAATGGTTGCGACGTGTCCAGTACAACCGAAGAAACAAGCGCTTGTAAAAACTTAAAAGGCAACCTACGTATGCTGATAAATACTAGACACTGTTCTCAACATTATTATAAGAATTTAATTAATATGAGCAACTTAAATAAGGCAATTCCAACGTTTGTATATTTTTCGAGTTTTCTTCAAATCATCTTTTCATATACAGGTTGTTAATTTGTTTATTACTCGCGGCAAGAGCTTTATGGTTGAAATACGGCAACCTCGGCCCGCTCGTCGATAGACATAGTACGAGTCGGCAGAAAACCCTATAAGTGCATGCGTTCTCAATAGGCAGTGTTGCCATTCTGTTCCCCTATAAGTAACTATCCAGTTAACAACCTGTATGCCTCAATGGATAATCAATTTTTATCGGAGGTTACCTCAGAATTTTTTGAAAGCCAAGTTCAGAACCAGCTTAAACGGTGTACATATTATGTAATAGAATTCCAATAACCAAACAGATTAACTAGGCCTTAGAGAGAGTTCCTAGCCATTATTGTGACCTTATATTCAAGGTTATACCGTTTTGAATGTAAAATTAGTGTTTCAAATTACCTTTATACCTTTTGAATGATTTTGGTTTGGAAAAATATCAAATAGGCAAATGGCAAGAAATTTGATTTTAACATCTCATTAAGCATGAATTAATAAAAACATTTTGTTGCTTATTGAACATTAACGCCTATATCATATTTGTTTTTTTTTCAAACCAAAATAAATATAAAAAGAATATGAAGGCTCCGTTCACAATGAGCGACTTACATTCGACTGTCGAGCATTCCTTTCACTCTAGAAGCGGCTCAACACGCACTCTCAGTCGTTCCACGTTACTTGACCCTTCATATCAAGCAGGACTTGACTTTACGTTACCGTTCATACCAAGTCGCGACGCTGCTGCTGGTAATCAAAATACAGTGTGAACAGTACCATCCGTATACATGGGTTGATAGGTCGATTCATGCGTCGAACCGTTAAGCCAACGCCGCTTGAAACTGTGCCGCCCTGTGTGTATGCTACAATCCGGTGTTTAATCATAGTAAATTTTTGTTATTTTTAATATAAAATTCAATTGAAGTGATTTAAAAGTACTCCCTCGATACAAAAAGAAATGCAACGAAGTTACAATTAAGGAATAACTAATAAATCAAATTCAATACAAATTTGACTGAATAGTTGACAGAAGGCTCGAGCCTCTGAAGAATAATATTATGGCGTGTCTAGTTCTCTGCTACCGTATTTACACCATATATCTTAAAATCACGTTATATTTTTCTATTTTTATAAAGATCGTTAAAAAATAAGTTTTTATGTGGGATTATTCTTTATTACCCCAATATTAAATTTACCTTTACATTTGTTACTATTAGAAATTAAGACTTAAATTTTTATAATTAACTGCCATTTTTATCGAAGCACTACATACTACCAAAGTTGTTCGGATGTTCGAGGCGTTCGAGGGTTCAAAGTTAGATTTCAAACAGCTTCGACGCCGGCCTCCAGCGTCTCTGGTGGCAAACCGTGACACTTTTGATAGGTGACGTCAGAGATTGCAAAAGTGTAAATTTGAAATTCTTAATATTGATTAATTTAAAAAAAAATGGGATGAGATTGAAGTAAAATAAAAAAATACGGGTATCATAAAATTGTGTGAAGAATAATTATTTGCAATAAAAAAACTATGGTTAAACTCCGGATTAAGGCGCGATTCTCACTAACGTACCGTCACCGTCACGTACAGACAGAAAACGTGATGTAAATGGGAGATGGGCGTTAATTACTACGACGTTACGGGTAGCGTGAATACGTTCATTGTTGGCAATTTAAAAATATGGCGGCGCATGGTGGCGTGGTGGTTGGCGGCCTGCCGGTGGCTCGACGTGACAGGGGCGGTACGTTATAGTGAAAATCGCGCCTAAAGCTCGATTTTCATGCGTCCGTTATCCCACCATACGATATTCATTTTATTGGTTGAATTAAAGACTTCGATTGGTTAGAAAATTACCCAGTTTTTAAATTTATTGCATTTTCATGCCTCCGTTCATCGGATGTACGATTTGCTTATGATTGGTTTCATTTTATATTTTCATTTCCATAGCGATTTCGCTGTTTTACTTATAGTCTAAGATCTAGCGATGTTTTTTTTTTCGACAGAGAATTTTAAGAAAGCTGGTTCTTTAATATATATTTTGCTATGTTCTCCTGAACAGAGTGAGGACCGTCTGGCTGCCGGTAGACATTGCGTTTACTACTGCGCATCATATCTGTATTCAACATCTGTTCACTACTGCGTATTACAAATTCGCCCTGTATTTCAGAAACTAAGGAGGCTGGGACAAACATATGTGTAGCATATTTAGTTTCATAAAAGAGTAGCAAATTAATGTGAAAATCTCTACTCAAACGAGAAATCCCGTAAAACACACGAAAATTTCTACCGGCAGACAGACGGCCCGCACTTCGGTCAGGAAAGCATAGCAAAAGATATAATTAAAGAACCAGCAGTCTTAAAATTCTCGTTTTTCCGACGTTATTAGCTCTTGTATGTACTATTATATTTTTCTTAGGGTTAGATTTCCGATTTCCGAAAGATCTAGCGATGTTTTTTTTTTCGACAGAGAATTTTAAGAAAGCTGGTTCTTTAATATATATTTTGCTATGTTCTCCTGAACAGAGTGAGGACCGTCTGGCTGCCGGTAGACATTGCGTTTACTGCTGCGCATCATATCTGTATTCAACATCTGTTCACTACTGCGTATTACAAATTCGCCCCGTATTTCAGAAACTAAGGAGGCTGGGACAAACATATGTGTAGCATATTTAGTTTCATAAAAGAGTAGCAAATTAATGTGAAAATCTCTACTCAAACGAGAAATCCCGTAAAACACACGAAAATTTCTACCGGCAGACAGACGGTCCGCACTTCGGTCAGGAAAGCATAGCAAAAGATATAATTAAAGAACCAGCAGTCTTAAAATTCTCGTTTTTCCGACGTTATTAACTCTTGTATGTACTATTATATTTTTATTAGGGTTAGATTAAATTTGACAAAAAAGCATCAAAACGTCCGTTATGATACGTTCTCCGTTGACGGGCTGGAGTAAAAAATTTACGGATGGAAAATGGCGCGAAAACGCTATGACCAATCAGAGCATGAGCATCGTCGGACCATAGTATCAACGGATAATTGGTTAGAAACGGTTAACCAATCGAAGCCTTTAAATTCAACCAATAAAAATGATATCGTATCGTCGGACAACGGATGCATGAAAATCAAGCTTTACGAACGCATGAAAATCAAGCTTAAAGCGTATAGAACCATGCGTCGATTTGTAAGTCGCTCAGTGTGAACGGGGTCTAAAAGGTTGACATCGTGACTCGCCCTGCTTGTTACTAAGTAATTTAGTCGATTAATAAACACCTCCAAATTTAGTTTATTTATAGTTGACACCTCCACTTTTTCCATACAATGTTTATTTCAGATTTCAAGCAGTATTGCATAGGACTTATAAATATCTATATTTCAATTGCTTAGATAATAATATGCAAATATGTTAGAGGTTATTTAATGCTGTTTCATAGGTGTAGTATTATTCATTTATAGCTGAATATTATATTTCTTAAAAATATCTCTCTTGTATTACAAGATTAATTTTTAATGTAGATGTGTAATTATTTCAGTTTACAAATCTATTGCTAAGAACGTAACACTTACAAAATATTTACTTGGATATGTACGAAATATAATATCAATTAGAATTAAGTATATGATATTTATATACTGTAGAAAAGAGGACATGTTTTGTTCACTCAGTTTACTGAGTTTTATATAAGTAACTGGTGTATACGTAAATACTTTTTAGTTTATTAATGGAGTGCTTTGTAATTTGGGTAGATTTAGAGTAATAAAGCATACTATTATATCAAACAGAAATTATGGACTTTTTTGTTTAAATTATGATACAAAAAAATAGACAAGTGCGAGTCAGACTCGCCCACCAAGGGTTCAATATAAAGACATATAGTTTTTGTTTTTATGATTTAGTTATAAATGTATAGTTTTCAGATTTTTTCCTATAATTGTAGTATAAGGGGCTAGTACTTGCCAAATGTCATAGTTCTAGCTCAACAGAAAATACCCTATAAATTTTGATTGTGATGGGATAAATCGAGCGAAAATTCGCTCGAGTACTCGATTATTGAAATAACCGACATCGCTCGATTGTGAACGAGCGATGCAAGTGACGAGTAACGCGAGTAACGAACGCAAGCGATCCTAGAATGAAATAAATTGAAATCCGAGTTTAATGTGACTTACTCGATAAAAAGCCGAGCGAATTTTCTACATACATTGCAGCATTTATACGACGTTGTCCGTTGCGTATCTGAGGGACAAACTTTTACGACCTACATCGACAATGCTTTGAAATAAACTAAATCAAGCGATCAAGGGAATCGCTCGTCGCTTGCTACTTGCCGTCCATTACCGAAAGAATATGTGCCCTGCGTACGCAAGTTACTGCTTGGCGCTTGGCGTTAACGGGTACTTACAACAAGCGACGGGCAAAAAATCGTATTTTTAAATACGAGCGATATTCTGCTCGAGCCATCGCTCGATTATTGCAATCGCTTGAAACTCGAGTACTCATTATTGAAATTAATCGTTTTTTCCCATCACTAATTAAAAATAGATTAGAGTATCTTTTAACAGGCCAGGACAAGACACGAAAAACATTAGACGATCAAATCTATGTTTCCAAGGCTCCTTGATTAAAAGTTAGTATTTTTAATACAGCCATGGCACTGCAGATTGAAATTTAAGATACGATTTTTTTAAAGCGAAAATGTCAAAAGTTGACATGATAACGAGGATGCTATTTAAAAATCAAAAGTTGTAGTCATTTCCGGTGAAACAGGAAGTGACCAAAAACAATTGATTAGGTCAATGAATCCTAATTTATGTCATATACTAACATACCAAATCTCGTTTTTTTTATCAGAAAATGAAATAGTTATAGGGGTGATCCACTTTTGAGACGCACCCTGTATATGGTTATTTCCTTTGAGGTACGGAAAAATCAAACGTAAAAGCAGATAATAGGTACATTAAAAATACATAAAAGATAAATTTTATAATAGAGGTATTGAAATTTAGAAAACGTCAACATTTGACGTTTCCAGTATTTTACCAAACCATTCCGTATCAAACCGATGTTTTTCAGGAACCGCTCTTTACCGTAGTTACCGGTCTGGTTCGCCTGGTTTTGCAACGGAATACAGCCTAAGAGTACTTTACTTACTGTTTGGGACATCCGAATTTTGAGAGCTGAACTATAAAACACCTGGTAAAATAAAAAGGAAACATTTAGCATGGTTAAAAACAACTAAATAATACTAAAAGAACACTGATATCAATTACATTTAATCACACCAGTCTAATACAACGTAACAAGAAGCATTTTTTTATGCAAAATATTAAGTATCGGAAAATAAATATATGGTTTTTGAAAACCATAAAAAGTAGCCTTAATTTCTAAACTATAATCTAGTAGTAACCGTAAAAATATTTAAAATATTGCACTTAGTAGGAAAAGATGTACGAAAATATATTGCACTGCATTATAGATTTAAAAGTAATATAAGAAATAAAATTGTCAAGCGTAAAAAGTTGAGCAGTTTTCACTTAAAACTATTCACATCCATTTAATGGCACCGAAAGAAATACGCTTTTCAAAGAGCAATAAAAAATATATCATAAATAGTAAATTTTAAAAGTCATCTTAATTTCTGTAAAATTGCTTTTTTTTAATTATTTTATACCGGGTGATTGAAAAACGGCGTCCAGTTGGCTTGAAGATCGATGACATTCCCCATATAATTTTACATACAAACTGATAACAATCGTTATTTCCAAGCCATCTCTGATGGCGTTTTTTTTTTCGGACGTACAAAAAAGTTCGTAACAATTTTTTTTATTATGGAGTTATTGAAAAAAAGTTTTGAAGGGATTTCTTTAGCAAACCGTATAACAAAAGAAGCACATTTTCACGAACTACAAAAATCCTTACATATGCATTTTTCAGTAGATTTTCAAAAAACCGTGTTTTTTCACTAAAATTACACAAAACAACGTTAATCAACAAGAAGCCTTATGTAATATTTTTCTTTACTGTCCTATAAATAATCATAAGAAATAAAAAATTTAAATTTTTAAAATATCAATATAGTTGCAATTATAAAGACGAAAAAACACTTGGTCAAAAACAAAGTCTCGGTCTCATACATGTACAGGGTGGCGCCCTTGATTTTCGGATTTTGGGAGAAAAATAAAGGTGTGTTTTATAAGAGAAGTATATGACTAAAATATAAGGTTTTTGACATATTTAACATTTTCTAGAAATAAAGAACAATTTTTAAATTACAATAAAAGCTACCTAAATTGGAATTTACCCGATATAGCCTAATATATATAGTTAAATTAACTATTGTACTTTAAATCAAATAAAACTTAATTCAAAAAGTTATACAGGGTTGAGACAAAATTAATATTGAACTATAGTAAAATTGTTTATATTATAGTATATTTATATACAGGGTGGTCCGAATTATATTCCGGAAACTTCAGCAGCATATTCCGCAGATAAAAATAAGTAGAAGAGTTCGTATAAATATTTGTTCAAAAATACATAGTTTTGGAGGTGTAGAAGTTTCATTTTTATTTAGATTTTTTCCAAATAATTTCTGAAGTAAAGTCAATATTTGGATGAAAATTGGTGTCTGGGAGTTTTTTGACATGAGAAATTTGATTTTGGTGACACCAATATTGACAATATGACTCCTACTAGTAGAGGGCGCCACCTACATGTTTTGAAGAGTAATAACTTTTTGTCCATACCCGTATAAAACTACCGAGCAAAAAAATATACATCTCTGTGACTTTTTACCCAAAAAATATCTCTTGGTAAAAATCGCTACGAGCAACCGTTTTTAAGATATTTAGAATGGATAATGACAAAACATGTCATTATTGACAAAAAATAAACACGTTGAGTAGATAGTTACACTGAAATAATAAATTTAGGAAATTTTTATGCTTTTAAATTAACCATAAATTTTTCTGCAAAAAATAATGATAAAACAGTTTCTGTTGAATTTCTGGCACAAAAACTTTTCAAATTTATGCTTTCAGTCTAATAACTATTTAGTTAACATGTTTAATTTATGTCAATGATCACAGGAATTGATAATTTCGATTCCAAATATCACGAGATTCTGATCGCATTTCGATTCAAACTATTACTCGTAACGATTTTTACCAAGAGACTTTTTTTACATAAAAAACTTCGTAAATGTATATTTTTTTACTCGGTAGTTTTATACAGGTACGGACGAAAAGTTGTTACTCTTCAAAACAGTTAAGACACATGTAGGTGGCACCCCCTACAAATAGGAGTCATATTGACATCAAAATCAAATTTCTCATAGCAAAAAACTCCCAGATACCAATTTTCATCTAAAAATTGACGTTACATCAGAAATTATTTGGAAAAAGTCGAAATAAAAATGAAACTTCTACACCCTCTATCTCCGAAACTACGCATTTTAGGACATACATTTAAACAAACTTTTTAACTTATTTTTATATGCAGAATATGCTGCCGAAGTTTCCGGAATACAGTTCGGACCACCCTGTATATAATTATTTTTTTAGGATTGAACTATAGTAAAATTGAATTATAGCAAAATGGCGCTTTTTCCCTTGGACCCTTTATATGTCAAAAAGATTTTTTTTGTTAGTTTGCATTCTGAAAGATACCTGCATATACTTTTTTCAATCAATCAATATTAAGATTTTCTAGTTGTTGCGAACTTTTTCACAAGTTTACTGATCTGTCAAGATTTTTATATTTTCTCTTGCTCTTCTATTAACACATTGATAATAAGCATGCAGAAACAGTTTATAAGTATCTCATTATTTAGTTGAGCTTAATGGGGAAGTCTAAAAACGAATCTAAAAAGAATTTAATATCACATCAATTTTGTTTAAAACTATTCAATAAGTTTACCATCATAATTCACAACCTAGAGTTTTTGTGTCCGAAAGCATTCTAATTATTTAATTTTGGTTTTTAAATTTTAACAATATTTTAAACTAATTTTTGGAGCAATTTGGTCGTTACTGAATGATGAAATTATTTAGTAATTATACACTCAGATGCAAAAAAGCGCAACGGAAAAATGTTTCGTAAAATGTAAAGTGTTTAGCTAACAGTATATTAATATATCAACTTTAATTCGTAAACTCAATTGTCTATAAGCCTTAGCCCGCGGTTACATTGGACGCGGGTCCGTGCGTTTTTTTATACGTGCGAGCTCTGACGGAATTTAGTCGCACGACTATTTTATTTTAGTGGTTACATTAGATGCGCGTTCATGGTGTCCTGTGTGTTGAGTTTGTCAAAACGGACGCCACTACTCTGATGCTGTCTGAAGATTTAATGTTAAAATAACTACTTATGAACAGAAGAAAATATTAGGTAAATGATTTATATGCAAGAAAAGGGCAAGAAAATGAATATGTAAAATGTTTGGTGAATTAAAACAGCAACCGGTGAAATTTTTTGAATATTTTAGAATGTTTCCAGCAATATTAATATATCTAAAATAAAAATAAACCTGGTATTCAAAAATATTCAAATTGTTCGGGAATGTATTGGACCCAGAGATATAAAAATTCGAACGCTCGGACGTGCACGTATTAAAAAAATTTTTTGTTTTCATCCGACTAACGGAAATCGACGTACGTGCACGGACGCGCAAACTCCGATGCAATGTAACCGCCTGCGTAGATACCATTTTTTTGCTGCGTGCACGTCCGAGCACGTATGACCAAAAAAAAGTACGGACACGCATCCAATGTAACCACGGGCTTAAGCTTGATTTTCATGCATCCGTTATACGTTGATACGATGGTCCGACGGTGCTCTGATTGGTCATAGCGTTTTCGCGCCACATTCATCTGCAAATATTTTACTTCAGCCCGTCAACGGCACCGTTCATACGATAACAGACGTTTTGACACTTTTTTGACAAATTTAATCCAACCTTAATAAAAATATAAGTAAAATAGCAAAATCGTTATGGAAACGAAAATATAAAATGACACCAACGTATATCCGATAAACGGAGGCATGAAAATGCAATAAATTTAAAAACTGCGTTATTTTCTAACCAATCAAGGTCTTTAAATTCTACCAATAAAATTAATATCGTATCAACGTATCGTCGGACAACGGATGCATGAAAATCAAGCTTTAGAATATGACTTTTAATAAAAAATACAAGGTTATTTTTTCCGTTAGTTTTAAAACATCTTGTGCAATAATTTTGTAAATAAATTTTCCTAAAACATGATTTTTCCCTTTGAATTATGACTCCTGAGCATTTTATTTTTGGGTTGCTTCCAAAGATTCAACAACAACACGATATTATACAAAATAATGACTGACATTATAATTGTCAAATAATAAACAACGTTGCTGATCGCGGCGTAATGTGACCAATAAGGCGATAATAAAAATCGCTTTAAAGTAATTTTGGCAGCTTTAATCTAAATAAAATATCTGTTAAATCATTTGCTCTATAAAGTAAAATGAAAAGTTAAAATAAGTTAATAAAGTTAAATGATAACAAATATATACATTTCAATTTTGATATGTTTGATGACGTGCATAGGAAAATGTTTTGCGATTACCGTATATAAAATGTAATTGTCAATATGATATTATGATAATAGTCACTAAACTTACTTCGTATAATCAAAAATAATATTGATAAGTAATGATAATTGAAAAAATTGCAAATTGTCGGTAGCAAGTTAATTTTGCTCTTAAAAATTAACCAATGAGGCATGTGTTGACATGATTCAAAAAACAAAACGCTAGGGAGTCATGGTTCTGACCGAAAAATACTGTTTTGGGAAAATTTACTCACGAAATTACTGTACAGGTTGTTTTAAGTTAAAGTTTGGTTACCCATCTATTATACAATGATATATGATTATTCAATAAAGCGAAAAAGTTTATAAAAAAACTGAGTTCACCAATTAAAGTAGATATACATATTTATACACAGTTTATCAAAAAATTCATGAAAATAGAATATATAAATAAAAAAATATAGTACTTTAAATTCGACGAGAAATTTATCCGTTGTTTTTTTTTGCACTCAGTGTATTTGTAAAAAAACCTGTTTGGAAATTTAAAGGAACACATTTAGAGCTATTTTGGAACAAGCATTAATCTATAAAATTTAGTGTCAATTTGACAAAAATTCTTGAGTATATTTTGAGGTTTTGTTACTTTTTGTATCGAAGTATGAAGATTCGAAAAGCAGTATTACCCCAAAATATAGTAACTACATGTACATCAATAGAACAGGAATAAAAACAGTAAACAACATCAATATTTTGAATTTTTTTTTCGAAAATCATCGAAATCTTCTAGTCATCATCGTCCTCGTCTTCTGAAACGTATTTTTTAACATTCTTTCTGCGTTTTCCGGAAGTTTTCTTTCCTTTTCCGAGCTTAATTTTCATCTTCACTGCCGTATCTGTATCCGATTTACCTGGCGATGCATCCGACTTATCTTCATCCTAATGGAAATAAGTATGTTTTTATTGCATATTTTGTGAATAATTTGTACCACATATGTGGTATTTTGGGTCAAATTGTCGCTACATTTATGGCTAGAATTATAGATGGAAATTTAAAATAGGTACTAATTTTTAATTGAAAACGTCAAAAGTCACGTCAAATATATTAAATGTCATTTTCTATCAAATAAAGTCAAAAATACCGAGGGTACCATTTAAAAAGCAAAAGTTGTAGTCATTTCCGGTGAAACAGGAAGTGACCGAAAGTAACTGAATACTTCAATCAATCCTCATTTATGTATTTTCAGAATACATAAATGAAATACATCAGAAAAAATAAAGCTATATGGGGCTGATTCACTTTTGTAAAAACATCCGGTAGACAATGGATATAACTACTATACAGGGCGGGTCTTAAATATTTTAGGGCTGGTATATTTCGACTCCAGAAACACGTCTATGAATCGCGAAAAAATGTTCTTGAAAAATTTTTTTGAAGTGTTTTTAATTCTTAGTTAAAAACATAATATCTTCATAATATGGCAACATAGGTGGTTGGTTACATTTACAATAAAGAAAACCCAGAAAAGATCCAATTTAAGCAAAAAATATATTTTTTTAATTTTCGTTTTAATAGCTCAGTTATTATGGACTTATTTGAAAAACGGTAAAGAGAAAATATGTTTTTTTATTGAAATCTAGCAGCCCTGAAGATATTTGCACTTATTTAAGACCACTCTGTATAATATAGATTCCACTTTGTTTTCCTGGAGATTTTCCAGTAATGATCACCCAGTGAATTTAAAAAAAGAGAAACATCGTCTTCTATATCATTATATTATCATGGTATATAAATCACACGGCCAGGCTAACTCTGCTTCTAAGCCATTGTTTAAAATTTCTATAAAATGATGATCTATCCCATTGTTTTTTGCTAATATTCAAATTGCACAAATTAACAAATCAGCTAAAGGAAGAAAAGTAACTGATGAATTTAAATATAAATGTTTGGCGATATACTTTTCCAGGCTAAAAATATACAAGACGCTCTTGACAAATCTATTTTGCCTTCCACGTTCAGAGACCCAGAGACACTAAGAAAATGAATATATGATATCGATATCAAACCTGGCTTAGAAAATCTTGGTGTATTTGAGACTCTAAAAAGAAAAGTTGAAAGTTTCGATGAACCGGATGAACTTAATCGATATTGTGTTCGATGTATTGATGATATGAATATCAAGTGCAATTTATTTTATAATAGTGGTCGTGATAATATTGTAGGTTTTGATGACCAGGAGAAGGGGAGCAGAGAGTTTAAACCAGCTCGGGTGTCTAATGTAGTTATGGTAAGTAGCAGGGTTGGCATGATTTAAATCAAATGATTTAAATCATGATTTAAATCGTGATTTAAATCAAGTGATTCTTTTTAATTTTAATCATGTGATTTAAATCAAAAAATCAACTTTTTTAAAACTTTACCATAAATCGAAAAATAACTGTAAAAGTTATAAAAATGTGTCCTAGAAAACTATAAAAAATATTTCTATAACATATATATCCTATATCTATTCGTTAAATAAAATGTTACACTTACTATTGTAACGTTTAAATACGTTTAATAAAATGAAAAAAATTGTAAATGTTATAAAACTATATAAAAAATGATTTGTACAACACATATACCGTATGATCGAGAAAAAACGGCGTCCAGTTGGCTGGGAAATGAAGATCGCTGTCATTTTATATGTAAATTTATATGGGAAATGTCATCGATCGTCATTTCCCAGCCAACTGGACGCCATTTTTTTTCGATCATACGGTACCTACTACATATCTATTTATCAATTAAAATGTTGGACCGATTTTTGAAGTAATTTCGTGTGAATCCATTATACTTCTAAAGGGCAGGGATTTATTTTGAAATTTATGTACAAGTGACAAAAAAATGCTGTTCGAATACATTTCATTCGCAACCTCTAGTGCAGAAAAAGGTTCTTTTGATGGACTATATCTTCAAATCAGAAAATATGTTGTTTATATCTTTTTATTTTACACTTTGACAATAGATAATACTAATTTCATTCTCGACTTAAGACTATTTCCGAACAATAGTGTATTGTGTAAGGAGTAAAAATTATACTTTTTTTGACGATGTTATACGTTTGACGGACTAGCGTAAACAGGGAGGCACAAAAGTACATTTTTACTCCGAGCAGAATATACTATATTTTTACAAATTAAACATTACAAATAATTTTTTAATCAATTCCAAACATTGCAAATAATATAAAAAGTAATGCCTTGTAAGTAATCGAGTAACAATTTGTACACTCGTTGAAATTGACGCTTAATATCAGTTTAATAATATATTTTTGTACTTTTGAGCTTAGGCGAAAAAGTGCTTTACTTTTACCCCTAGGCGCTGAAATTACAAAAATTAATACACTTGTGGCATTTCAAAAAAAATCCTTTTGATTTGAAGCGAGCGACTTTTTTTGCAGAATATATTGGTGACCGATGTCTGGAAAAATGACACGCACCGTAATTGTTAATGTTGTCAGTATTGGGCAGAGTTATGAAGATTTAGCCATTTAGGATAGGAATTTAATTGGAATTAAGTCCTAATTATTTGGAAATCCGATTTAAATAATGTTTTCTATTAAAATAAAAAAAATCTGATTTAAATAAAAAAAAAATCTGATTTTTTTGATTTTTTCCAACCCTGGTAAGTAGTATCTTTACCAATTGGAAGCAATCCCTAGCTTATTTTTTTTTTATCACACTACATGCCCAAGTAAACATTTGAAGGAAATTGTATTTGACGCAATTATTAAACTTAAAAATATTGGTACCTGAAAGATAGTTTATTAATAAGTGATGTAATATATAATACACTACCATACCACTCTTATATTAAAAATGTCCAGAAAAACAAAAATAAAACTATAAAAAACAAATATTATCACACAATAAACCAAAATAAAACTAAAAAAACAAAATATATCGCTCAAGAAAAGAATGAAATAAATTAACCGGCACGCTACTGACTCAAAGCTGCCATAACTGTTTGTTGTCGATGACAAATACTACAACTGACTACCATGGTACAAAGAAAACAAGGTATGATCGATAGCGGCTCCAATTTCGTTAAGTTTGCGCATACCACCTGTGACGTCATACGCCATACAAAAAAAATATCCATATTGTCCAATTGCCACTAATAAAAAAAGACCTAAAATAGGGAAGAATTAGGACATAACCCCAAAAGTTATGTTTTGACATCCAGCTTGACATTTGAAAAATTATTTTCACATTTTGACACAATCAAATTTTACAGATGACACAATCTGTTTGACAATTTGAAATTGGCGCGCAGAGCTTGCCGACCAATGGTGCCGTTTATCACCTGTGACGTAGTGACCAACCTGCGCAATATCATACCTTGTATTCTTTGTATCATGACTGACTACGACCCATAATGGAGGCGCGCGGCGCGCGGCGTGCGCAAGGATATGCGCGTAGCGTTCCCGCCAAAGCGAGCCGGCCTGCCGTGTGATTTATATGCCGTGTTATTATCCTATAATGGCTATAGACATATTAAGGTAGGTTCATATACACACGAATTGCGATATGCGAATTGCGAATATATTGTTGTTATTGGCCAATTTCAAAAAAATACAGATGCAGCAGAAAATTGTTTTAATATTTTGCGATTTTTAATATTGACACTGTTTAAATGGAAGGATTAAAATGGAAGAAACTGAAAAGGTATAAAAAAATTGTGCATAAACATTATTAGGTACTTATTTTTGTTTACAATCTAATTTAATTTTTTTTTAAATTTACAGTACGAAGTTCAGTGTTTTGACTGCAAACTAGTAATGTTGTTGGAAGATTTACAAAACCATTGAGAACCACAATCCTTTATAGACGTTCTATGGTAGTTTCTAATTTTTTTCATCGTTAATTCTCATTTATTGCACTAAATTGTAATATGCTCCTTGCCTGTTTTCACTTTTACTTCACATATTCCAATAATTTTCTATGTACATATTTTATTTTTGTTTTTTTTATTAATAAATATACTGCAATAGTTCATCTTCTACGCCAGCAATAAGTAGCTTCATCCATTAAATAAAAATATACTTACTATAAAAGTAAACTATAAAATTAAACCTGACAAGTGACATTTACAACATGTGTTTAAAAACACAAATATGCCTAGAATTAACTGAGAATTTCGCTATTATATGAACTACGTAAAGAAAAGACGGTTTTATTTTGTGATATTCGCAATTCACATTTCGCAATTCACGTGTCTATGAACCTACCTTTATACCCAGTATACAATTCCTCTTTTGGAAGAAATACAATAATAAATAATGGGTTTTCTGAGTATTTAGATTTTCCGTCTTTAGCTTTAATTTTAAAAATACTTCTGCAGTGATTATCCCCTTTTTTACAACAGTTAAATATCGATTTTTATCTCGGAGTATTCTCTACTTAGCTTTTCTACTAGCTACTTAGCTAGACTTTAAGCACTGCCAAAATGTGTTTACTATGTGGTAGTTACATTTTAATTTTCTATGAATATGAGATAAAATTGAAGTAAAATAAAACACGGGTATCATAATTCTAGATGTTTACTTACATCATGCTTTTCCTCTCCATCTACTTCCATACGCGACTTAGCATTGGAAAACACCGACTGCAACACGATACTATCCTCATGTATCAACGAAGCCTCTTCATTATATATTTGAGCGTTTTGACATAGCAGCATAAAATCTCGTTCCAAGTCAACCATATCAGTATACTACAAATATTAGATTATCAGTTCTTTAAATTTCAACATATTATATATCCAGAAAAAATACCTTTCCATCATCTATTCTAGTTAGAATTTTCACAATGTCCATTGGTTTCTTTATTATTTCATAATAGTCGGGGTAATCTTTTCGAGGTGGCAATTTCATAAACGGTTCACTAAGTAGGCGTCCATCACTGAAAAAAGAAATGAACGTCATTAGTCAGTCAATTCAATTGGTATTTAATATTAATATATACCTATCAGTATACTTTGTTACGATACCCATTAATTTCTTCATCTGCTTTTTTATTTTATCGTCGTTACTGCCCTTTCCTTTTGTCTTCTTTTTATTGCTGGGGCCTGCGTCGCTGTCTGAATCATCTCCTCTCTTACGGCGTCTTCGATTTTTTCTTTTCTTCGGTTCTTCATCTTCCTCCTCTTCATCCGTTTCGTCGATTGCCTATTTCAAAAACAAAATATAAGTTTGGGGCAATTCTAAAGGCTCAGCAGGTTATCAGAAAATATTACATGAGACATGGAAAACAGTTCAATTTTTTAATCATATCTAGATATTTTTTGTTTACAGTTGAGGGTTGGAACCTTTGGTGTTAATCTAATCAGCAAAATAAATAAATAACTAAACCACAATACACCAAAACACTTTACTTTGCACTGGACGCGCGTTTCGCTAACCATGTTAGCGTCATCAGCAGATGATAAAAACTAAACTAATATCTACAAGCATAACAATTAATTACCGAACTAGAGCAATAGGAACAGATAATCAGACGGAATTGGACCGTTGTCTCTGTTCATACTATCACAGATTCGGTATACTATATGTATACAGATAAAAATCTTGTCCCTAATTCATGGTACGAAAATTGTTTTTTATGACGATGAGCAAACGAGTAAAATTTCCTGTGCGCAAAAATAAACTCGCGTTTAAACAGCGTAATAACTGGGCCAGTCAGGCGCTGTGCACAATTTTAGAAGCCATAAGTGGGCGTGCTATGTGCGCAAACTAGTAACCTAACTAGTGCTCGAATCCGAAAATTGGAACCACCAAAACAATGCTTTTGACGATAAGTTTATAATCTGTATAATCTGTGATACTATCTTTACGTTTATTAGTTTTGATGCTCTCATATGCATCTAATTGCCTATTCGATGCCAACTTAGCACTACGATGCCTACTTGAACACTCATATTCTTCTTCAATAGGCGATCAATACTTTCTAGAAGTTTTACTCCTAGAAACGTCAGCTGTCACTTATTAGTTAGAAGCATAGATAAATTAAATAAATTTACATTGGAATGCTCGGCTTCCGGCTAAAACGTATAATTATTTTGGGTCGCATACGTTGTACGGGATCTGGCACTGCTATAGCGGGTGCTAAGAACAACCGCCAAACAAGAACAGAAATAATTTTCTCTTGTCAAAGTCAGAATCTTCAAAAATTATAATCTTTCAAAATTTAAACCGTCCGCATTGAAAAAATACCGAAAAGTGTTTAAAGCGTCCGTTTTCAAAGCAATTATTACTATCTTGTAAGTTTAATTTAAATTTACTCAAACCCCTGATAATTGTGAAAAAGTGGTATTAAAAAAACTTAACCTGTGTGAACTGTGAACTGCAAAAACCATCGTGTCATAACGTCGGTTTCCAATGTTCCATAGGTATTTTATACATGTCCTTATATAAAATAAAGTTATTTTATATGCAACACACTGTGTTTTATTTATAAAATTTAAAGACAATAATAATAAATTTGAATAAATAATATATTTGGCGACGTAATTCCAGAAAAAGCCGAACCGCTCCGAAATTATCAAAAGCTTTGGGTCGCGACCGTTGCAAGAATAGCACCAAATAGAATTTACATGGTCCTTATTATGGGCACTTTCCAATCTAAAGTTGTTTCATTTATCTATGGTTAGAAGAATTTATGAAGAGCAATTGAGATTTTTTGCTCCGCGTATCTTTAATCTAGTGTAGCTTTCTACATAAAAAAGAGATTCCCGAAGTTTTTCCAGTAGCGTTTTCAGAAGCTTACAGAAATAAAAGCGAATTTATGAAGTAACTAATGGTAAGAGTGTATAATTGTCTACTGTAATATCAAATATTACAAACTAAAATGTAATTTCTGCCATTTGTTGGCTTTGATTTTCGTTTTTCAAAATACGGGAAAATAAATGTAAATATTTTACAGGTCCAAACAAAATCACTTTGCAATCAAAGTGCTTACTGATAATTATAATGCAAGTAAACAAATTGTGAATAAACCATCATATGAACATATAAAATTTAGAAAATAGCAAATATTTGGTATGTTTCAATAAATATGATTAAACTAATTTGGTATAATTACCTTCATCCATTCTTTCTCTGTTAGACTATCTGTATAATCAACCTCTTTGCGGTGTCTTGTACCTCTTCCCATTATTGCTTCCGGATCGTCGTAATTCCAAGGATCAACCTAAAATTTATATACAGGAGTCCCGTTAGTTTGTGGAAGTCCAATAATGTCGTTGTTGACGAATACAAGAAAGATAGTTTCATATGAATATTGAATAGTTTATAAAAGTGCACATCCTAAGAAAATGCTTTATACAGGGTATCCCGAAAAATTAATGATAAAGTTGTAAGTTTTTTTTAAATTGGGACCCTCATTTTTCTACACAGAATTGGATTCATTATATTCTAGTATAGTACACACTATTATTTATTAAATTTTGGTTAATCGATAAAAATGTAAATGGTGGTCGAGATGGCTTTGAAATGAAGATCGCTGTCATTTTGTATTTAAAAATGGAGAATGTTTTCTACTTTCTTTTCCAGTCAAAAGCCTAGAAAAGATCTAGATCATATAGTACTTAGGTACAGTATTGGCAAAGGCAAACTGCTTTCGAAACTACTTTCATATAGTAAACGCCACGAATGTTTGGGAGTGATTCATTGGTCGCTACCATGTGAACTAATCTGTTCAAGGTCACATAAAACTTAATTCCAGTGTCGTGGTGTCATATAATAATCAATATATAGTCTGTTTATGTTTTTGTGCATGAAATTTGAAATTTATTATTATTGAAGAATATTACAAAAATATTTATTAGTAACAAATAACTTAAAAAAGGATTCCAGCAAACTATCAAAGTCTTGTCAAAACATATATTTGGTTATAAATATAAACTGGAATGCCCCATTGGTCGCACTGCAAGCACACCAATGGACTGACGCACAAAAACGAATCAATCAAAGAAACGCGATATAGTATCGTCTTTGTCATTCACGCTAACATTTTAGAATAAGTAGGAGGAGCGCAGGCAGATGATTAGACCGGGCCTTTAAAAACTTACCTCGGCGGTAAAAATTTACGTTTTTAATGTAAAAATGATAGCGCGCGTGTCGATTCTAACTTCATCAAGCGATGAATCGCTCCCAAACATTCGTGGCGTTTACTATATCTTATAATTGTTTCGTTATACTAACCCATACCAATCTCTAAATTTTTCGAAATAAGGAATAAAACATGTAATGTGTAAAATTGCCAAAAACATGATCTTGAATTGGTTAAATCATAAATTCAGCATATTGAAAACTGAAATATGGTTATAAGTTAAGAAAAGTCGACATATCTATCTATCGATATAACCCACAACCCTTTGAATAAGAAGACTAAGGAAGGAGCATAATGCTATCCATGTATTCATGCATGGTGGGCGGAAAAAGCACTCTAGGGTGGGGATCCTTGACAGTTCTGTTTGACGATTCATTTGACACATTTGAATTTGATTTGAAATTTTGTGGATTTGTCAGTTTTTACGGAGCTTATTTTATGTTATTTATTATTTATTCTACTACTGATAGTTGTATAAAGGTAGTAAATCTAGATGGAAATTGTGGCAGAACTTAAATTAACAGTGACATTCTCGCGATTTATCGAAAAAGACTCTAAAATAGTTGGTTGTGTAGCGTGCGGTAGATCTCGGCAAAAATTGAGTGAAATAATGGAACAACTTTTTCGCTAGTAAGTGACTATATAATATACATACGTGTAGTAAACCGATCATTTATGAAATTCACTTAAATTAACTAAATTATATATTTTTCTTGCATTTTAGCTTTTATTTATTACTTGTCAAAGATTAGATGTCAAAGAATTTAGATACGTTAATTTGACTTACCTGCTTCAGTAGCGTATCGGATGTGTGTTAATAAATAATTATCATAACTTATCTATTTTTATTAGAATTATATATTTTTGTAACAATTTTAATAACTACCAACATTTATTCACAACGTAAAATAAAACAACAAATTATTGAGTCTACACCAGTCTAGGGTAGACTCAATAGTCTACCCTAGGCCTAGTCTCTACCCTACATCATAGTGTTACATTTTTTAAATAAAATTAGAACGACACTGATAAACCGGAATTTAAGTCGGTCATATTTGAGGCCCATCGCGGTGTACCTAAGGTTTTTGATATGCTCCTTCCTTAGTCTTCTTATTCAAAGCTACAACCTTACAACCTAACCTAACCTAACCCGATCCATTGGATATCAAACAGGGAGATAAAAAATGTTTGTTTCCGGTTAATTTCCGCAATTTTATACTGAATCCAACTCTGTAGAGAAAAATCCCTTGCATTTTTTTTAAATCAACTTTATCATTATATTTTTTGGGACACTGTATACAGCAAAAATATTTTTAGAATATGCGCCTTTATGAACTAATCAATATTAATGTAAAACTTCTTTTCATATCTTCGTCATCAACGTCGATATTGGACTTCCTCGGACTAATGGACAATTCTGTATTCTTATAAAGTAATATTTTATTGTTATTGTTGCAGTTAAACATTAAACCATTGAAATTATACATAATATTCAAAGTGTTGGCGTCAAACATCTGCAATAAGGCTAATATTTTTAGAATGGGTTAAACTTTGACAATGGAAAGATACTGTAAGGCACTTTTCCTACTGGTACACATGTAAAGATGTAAGAGGTATTACCGCAGCTAAATTGTTCAATTAAAGCTTAAAATTGATACAAAATGAACAAATGAAATATAGCACAAGAATTCAACAGTCAGTAACTAAGTTCTAGAAGACTAAAATATCTAGATTAAAGCATTTTTTGTACATCAATGTTTCACAATGACCTCTCGACAGAAAATAGTTTCAATAGGGCGACACTTTCGGAAGTACCGGAAGTTGACAGCAACTCTACTCTTACGTTAAATGTAACCCCAATTTTTTTCTATATATTTAAATTTTCCATAAAACTTCATGAATTTTGATGTCAAACCCTCTATATTTGAAATTTTTTGAAAAAAAAATAAATTTTTAGAGCTACATATAAAGTGACAGTCAAAGCTAAGCCGCATGGCTTAAACATGAAAGTTTGTGATCGGTATAAACACATTATCTTAAAAAGAAGGCATGTGAATATTTATTTCAAAAACAAAATTTCGGAAAATTCACGCCATTGTCTATAGCTGTCTTTAAATGAGGAATTAAAACACCTTATTGTTTTAACGAGATAAAAAAAGTGAGTTCCCATTAAAAAAAAAGAGTTATGATAACGTTTTGATGAATTAAATGAAAAATAGCTAAAATCAACTAGTTAATTTTTCATATATCTTCTTTCACAGAATTTTATTTGTACCAATCACTAACTTAAACGTTTAAGAGATACTTATCTTTGATCGGAGAGTTTTGAGCTCCAAAAATTTAAAATATTTTTCTCAAATACGGTTAATTTTGCAGAAAAAAATACAGAGAATTTAAATATGCAGAAAAAAATGGGTTTATACATTTGAAATCAGAAAGTTGCTGCCAACTACCGGAACTGCTACCATATTGAAAATTATTTTGATCGAGAGATCTCATTGCAAAACATGTAATAAAATGATGAGCAAAAAGCTCCGATCTAGATATTTTAGTTCTATAGAAACTTCTAAGGTGAGTTCGACCAGAGACGCCCTATATATCATAGCGCCGACGTCACGTGTCCCACTATTTTGCTGTCTGACTGTTGAACTCTTGGTCTAAAACAAAAAAATTCTTTTACATTAATAATTGTGTTCATTTTGTATAAATTTTAAGTTTTGAGAAAACGGTTTAGATATCTTAATAAATATTGCTTCTTTGTGCGCGTTACAGTATACAGGGTGGTCCGAACTGTAAAAAAGTTCCATAATTGTATGTCCTAAAATGCTTACTTTCGGAGATACAGGGTATAGAAGTTTCATTTTTATTTCTACTTTTTCCAGATAATTTATGAAGTAACGTCAATATTTGGATGCAAATTGGTGTCTGGGAGTTTTTTGACATGAGAAATTTGATATTCATTTCAATATGACTCCTACTTGTAGAGGGCGCCACCTACATATTTTTAACTGGTTTAAGGAGTAATAACTTTTCGTCCATACCTGTATAAAACTACTGAGTAAAAAATATATATTTACGATTTTTTTTACAAAAAAAGGTCTCTTGGTAAAAATCGCTACGAGTAATGGTTCTCGAGATATTTGAAATCGAAATTATCAATACCTGTCATCATTGACATAAATTAAACATGTTGACTAAATAGTTATCAAACTGAAATCTTAAATTTGAAATCTTTTTGTGCCGAAAGTTCAACAGAAACTGCTTAATCGTCATTTTTTCGCAGAAAAATTTATGATTAATTTAAAAAATAAAAATTTAATTATTTCAGTCAAATAGCTGTACTCAACGTGTGCTTATTTTTTGTCAATAATGACATCTATTGACTATTTCCGTACTAGATATCTTGAGAACGGTTGCTCGAAGTGATTTTTACCAAGAGACATTTTTTTACGTAAAAAGGCATGGAAATGTATATTTTTTCAGTCAATAGTTTTATACAGGAACGGACGAAAAGTTATTACTCTTCAAAACAGTTAAAATACATGTAGGTGGCGCCCACTGCAAATAGGAGTCATTTTTACATCAAAATCAAATTTCTCGTGTCACAAAACTTCCAGACACCAATTTTCATCCAAATATTGACGTTACTTCAGAAATTATTTGGAGAAAATCGAAATAAAAATGAAACTTCTATACCCTGTATCTCCGAAACTAAGCATTTTAGGACATATACTTATACGAACTTTTTTACTTATTTTAATCTGCAGAATATACTGCCGAAGTTTCCGGAATACAGTTCGGACCTCCCTGTATAAAGTGCTGACTACAGTAACGTTCAATTACTAAATTGTAACCCACTCTAAAAATATCGGCCTTCCGAAAACTCTTGCATATTTTTGATGCCAGCTCTCCGATTATAATACTTAAAAACAAGATAGAAACATAAATATCACTTGATAGACACGCCATTTAAAATACCATTTCTTATACCTTTATATCATTCTTTAATGATTCCTAAAATTATAGAGCATTAAAAAAAGGAAAATATGAATTAGGAAATTTGTTAATCGAGGAATGCAATTCTATGTTATTGTGAATTCACTATTTAGTGTTAAGTTATTAAAAACTACCACGTACCACTTCATCGTCTTCCTTTACCAGCCAGTCCGGTAGCTCTTTTTCCTCGATAAGTCTAGGCTTTCGAGCCGATCCCAATTTAGCTTCGTCCCTGCGTCGTTCAAGGTCGAGTTTTTGGAACAGTTCGAATTCGTCTACAGAACGAGCCACCATCTGGTTGACGGTTTCGTCATCCGGTACTTCATTTTCTTCCTGTCAACAAGAAACTTAAAAAGTCAACCCATACAATTAATACTTATAACTTCATATTAGTATAAATTTCGATTTATAGATTTATATAGCTAATGAGTGACTAAGGCTAAGAACACAGTGGAGCGATGAGGCTAGCGGCGAGCAAGCAGCGCGATATCGCGTCCAAACCAAAGCTGTGAAGACAAGTAGGTGTGAACATAGTAAAGCGATCTGCTCGAGCGGCCAGATCGATTCAAATAATTTTGTTTTCGTCGCTCTGTCTCGCTGTAGAAAATGATGGATTCCCAAAAATTTATAGATTTAGTAATTGTAAGAGAGATTTTATGAGACCAGAAAGGTAGTAATCACCATAACTGGTACATTTTAGATAAGTTAGGAGATGAAGTGGCAACAAATTTTCGTAAAGGTTTCAAAACTTGCCACACTTTCTCCGGTTTTTGAAAATTTCATCTAACTAAATGTTTGCGACACTACTATCCAGAATTTTAGCCACTTTTAACATTTTAAATCATCAATAAACAAATGAAAATAATATCGTCGCTCCACTATGTTCTTAGCCTAAGACCGACTAAGACTGAATATGTGCTATGTCTGGCCCGTCCTGTTGTATGGTGCGGAAACGTGGTCAATCAAAGTAAAGTCCCTAAATCGCATCGAAGTGTTTGAGATGTGGACTCTCCGCAGACTATTTAAGATCTCGTATTCCACATGGCGCGAGATTTGAACCACGGACCTGTCGTTCATGAAGCGATGGCCTCAGTCACTGAGCCACAGCTACTGTTCCAAGATTAGCTATAGCCAGGGGTTACTTTCTGCTGCAAGCATAATTACCAGGTACATTCCGTAAGTGCGCATGGTACTGTCTTACATTCCATACTCGCGTATGGCACTCGGAGTTTAATTGGTTTAAAATTCAAATCTGACCAATGGGATTGTGCTAGGTGCCGTATACATGTACGGAATGTATAAATGCGTCCCGTAGGGAGCAGGACCAGGTTTCAGGTGTTTGGCAAAACCACGCTAGACCTATCAGACCTAGGAGACAGATCACCCTCGGACATAACAGCCTATGTTAAAAGGTTGGGTCTTGAGACACTCGAAGACACACGGTCCAAGACACTCGAAGAAATTTCTTAAACAACCGAGAAAAATCAAAGATTTTTCTTGATTCAATTAAGAACAATCTTCGGATTATCACGGGGTTCTTATCAGGACACTGTACTCCCCAATAAATACCTCAGTCTCAGTAGATTGAAGCTAAGAAACAACTAGACCAGTAAATGATGGTTTTAGGGTCCGAATTCTGAACACCTGCATCGATTGACATGAAATTTTAACAGTGAATAGAGATATATTATGGAAGAAACAAAAGTCACATAGTAGCGATGTGAGCTTTCACCCTGGATGTGAGTGCCATCCCTTCTCGGGGGTGAAAAATAAATCACCCATTTTAATAGCAAAAATCAATAACGGGATGAATTCTAAGCGAAAAATGCTCTATAACATTTTTTTAAAAAATTAATATTTTCCTAGTTATTATTTAGGATTGAAAATGTTGATTTTTCATCTAAAAACTACATATTTTTCTGCCATTTATGATTTATAAATAACTCGAAAACCGTTTTCTCGCAAATAGCATATAGTTAGTAATATATGTAAGCATATAAAGCAAAAATGAAGCTTTTGAAATAACTAAACGATTCATTTTATGTTGATTACCTTAGGTGTAATAGCCGAGTTATCACTATGTAAATGTGATTTTTTATTTTTCGAAAACTAAAAATTGCAACCTTTCACCGTAAAATAATAGCGAAAGAATACACTGCAATCTAACCTAACCTTTTAAATGATTTTTTAAAAAAGTTCGTAGCTCAAAAACTCTCGGAGTTATGATAAAAATAAAGCCACCTGATTTTTTCGGAAAAAAATAACATAACTCCGCGAGTTTTTAAGCTGGCACTTTTTTAAAAAAGCATTTAAAAAATTTCTTTTTTTCTTTCAATCACTTTAAAAACGGTTATATTCATTTTCGAAAAATGTATTCTTTCGTCATTACTTTACGGTAAAAGGTTGCAATTTAGTTTTCGAAAAATAAAAAATCACCTTTACAGAGTGATAACTCGGCTATTATGACACCTACGGTAATCAAAAATGAATCGATTCGATATTCCAAAAGCTTTATATTTGCACAAAGTATTCGAGTTATTTAAAAAAGATTGCGGAAAAAAAAGTATTGCAGTATTTAGATTAAAAATGAACATTTGCAATCCTGAATAACTCGGAAAATATTAATTTTCTCAAAAATGTCATAGAACATTTTTTGCTTAGAATTCATCTCTTTATTGATTTTTGCAATTAATATGGGTGATTTATTTTTCACCCCTGAGAAGGGGTGGGAATTGCACTTTACCTCTTCATCGTCTCCATCCTGATGTAAAATAGTTTGCAGAAACTGCTGTCTCTCTGACCCAGTGGACTTCTGGTCGAACATACCAGCTTGAATAACTTTCTCGTCCATATTTAATTTATATCTGGCTGCGGCTAATATTCTCTCTTCCACCGAGTTGACCGTCATGAGACGCAACACCCTAACCTCGTTCTGTTGCCCGATACGATGCGCACGATCCTGAGCTTGCAAATCCTGCAATCATCACCAGAATAATACTCACTTGCACTACGTGGCATTTGCCTTAATTTTACTTGATGTGGATTCCAATCCGAATCGAAAATGATGACCGTATCGGCACTTTGGAGGTTTAGACCTAAACCGCCCGCTCTCGTAGACAGAAGAAATAGAAAATATTCGGTGGTTTTGTCGTTGAATTTCTTTAACAGATCGCCTCTATCTTCCGCTTTTGTGGCGCCATCTAATCTCAAGTAACCGAAGCCCCTAAAAATAAATGAACAAACTGAAATAACTTGAGTAATATTTCTAGTAAGACGCATTATAAAGGGTTTAAGATTTTCTATCGAAGAGTTTTAATTAGTAAAAGAGTTTTAATCATCTGCTTATGATGCCAACATGGTTAGCGAAACGCGCGTCCAGTGTAAAAGTAAAGTGTTTTGGTGTATTGTGGTGAATTAGTGTTTTATTTTGCTGTTGGAACACCTAAGGTTCCAACCCTCAACTGTTCGGGTAAATGAGTGGTTTAATTGGAAAAGATGCAATGAAAGTGGCAATGTAATGTATGCCGTTATGCATACGGGATGTTTCTCAAAAGTATTCCCTATAACTTTTTATCTTTTCAGGTATAACAACGAGATTTGGTATGTTAGAATACGACAATAAATCAAGATTGACTGATGTATTCAATTAGTTTCTGATGTATTCAATTAATTTTTTTTCACTTCCTGTTTCACCCGAAACGATTAAAACTTTTGATTTTTAAATGATACCACAATATTTTTTTAATTTATTTGATATAAAATGACATTCTCAATTTATATTCTGATAAATCGTATATCAACTTTTGACATTTTCTCAAAACTGCTGACTGATCTCTAGATTAAAATTTAAAATACTATTTTTATGCGAAAATGTCAATAGTTGACATATGATACATCGGTCTATTCAGACTGGTTTAACGAAAATCAACCACATATACAGGCTTTGTTGGAACAAAAGCATAGAGCACATCAAGCAGTCACTGCAAATCCACACAATCCAAGGCTGGTGGACAACTTTAAAGCAGCCAACAACACGCTTCGATGAAACCTGCGCCAACTAAAGGATAACTGGTGGTCACAAAAAGCAAATCAGATTCAAGAGTACGCCGCGCATCACGACTATCGTAAATTGTTCGAGGCTGTAAAAGAAGTATACGGCCCAACTAAGAACGTAAGCTGCCCAATCAAGGCACAAAACGGTGAACTTCTAAAAGAGGAAGAGCAAATCAGAAATCGCTGGAAAGAGCATTACAGCCATATCCTTAACCAAGACAATATCTCCAATATGCAGGCACTAAACACAATACCTCAGTATAACAGCATTGATGTATTAGATATCCCAATAACGGAACAGGAACTAATCTAACTCTATTCAGAGTGTAATTTAAATTAATTATTTCAAAATCAAAAGTTGTCGTCATTTGATGGGTCGGTGAAACAGGAAGTCACTAAATATAATTGAATACGTCAATCCTGAATTATGTCATACACTACTGACCAACTGTCGTTTTTTTTGTCTAAAAAAATAAAAGGGTCATAGTGGTGAGTCATTTGATTATTTCACCGAATGATACTAGGCCTTCCCTAAGATATTTATATGCTGCATCAAAAAAGTTTACAGTGCTTTATTATTTTTGTCTTACTAGACTTAAAACTTTCATTGATCCATAGATAGGGAATTTTAAAGATAAATACAAACCTTCTTTAAAATTCTTATTCAATATCATAACAAGACAGGTTCAAGCAAAGGGAACCTCCAGCTTGGGAAGTTTTTATATATACATTTTATATACAGGGTGGCCCGTCGAAAACGTTCCACAAGGCATAACGGCCAGGGTATTTGTTTTTTCAAAAAATCCAAAAACACGTCAATTTTGCTTGTGAGGGGGACAATTTTTGCCCCAAAAATGATTGCAAAATCTTCAACCCTCTAAGCGGGGGTGTCATCCCCCAACTTTTTTCAAATGGGAAGGGGGGTCAAGTGGCGCCGCAATGAAAAGAGCTTTCTATTCTATATATTTCCCCGCTTCGTTTTCGAAAATCGGTTGAGTCATTGAGAAAATTGAAGGATTGAAATTTGAAAAGTTTATTTAAACATTTATCAGAGTAAATGATAAGGATAAATTCCTTCGACCAAATTGCTGTTTTTTCTTATTATTTCTAGATGTTTACGCATTTTTTCACTTGCCACAAGGTTGAACGATCAGGTGCGGTAGTTGCTAGATAGCTGTTCTGTGACTTGTGCGTTGAAGTTCTTCTCAATATCGTTAAACTGACCCACAATAGAATTTCCAAAAATACCAGCTCACACGTTCAATTTCTGAAGGTTTTGTGTGTGCACCTTGTGAAAAACTCTGGGGTTGTCCTCAGCCCAGTACCGGCGGTTGTGCCGATTAACTACACCGTTCAAAAAGAAAGTACACTCATCCAAAAACACACATTAAATAGGAAATTATTATCATTCGCCACTCGTTCATTCATAGTTTCACAAAATTGCAAGCGACGATCAAAATCGTCTTCGTTGAGTTCTTGTACCAACGAATTTTGTACGGGTGGAACTTGTCTTTTTAATATCCTTTGGACACTTGTACGATTCACGCCGGTCTCATTGGCTAATTTTCTTGTAGTCAGCGTACTATCCATGGCAACTTGGCCCAATACGAATACCTCCATAGCTTCATTTACTACAGGATTTTCCCTCTGCCTCTTTTTATTCATAACGAAACCAGTTTCGCGAAATTTTGCTACTAACTCGCGAACAATTTTGCCATAAAATTGTTTGTCAGGATAGCGTTCATTGAATATTTGTGCAACCCGATACATTCATTATTTTTAAAATAAAGTTCGATTATTTCCACTTTTTCTGCAAGTGAGTACACCATAATTGTTAAAAAGTTTAACGATATTGAGAAGAACTTCAACGCACAAGTCACAGAACACCTATCTAGCAACTACCGCACCTGATCGTTCAACCTTGTGGCAAGTGAAAAAATGCGTAAACATCTAGAAATAATAAGAAGAAACAGCAAATTGGTCGAAGGAATTTATCCTTATCATTTATTCTGATAAATGTTTAAATAAACTTTTCAAATTTCAATCCTTCATATTTTCTCAATGACTCGACCGATTTTCAAAAACAAAGCGGGGAAATATAGAGAATAGAAAGCTCTTTTCATTGCGGCGCCACTTGACCCCCCTTCCCATTTGAAAAAAGTTGGGGGATGACACCCCCGCTTAGGAGGTTGAAGATTTTACAATCATTTTTGGGGCAAAAGTTGTCCCCCTCACAAACAAAATTGACGTGTTATTGGATTTTCTGACAAAAAAATTACTCCCGGCCGTTATGCCTTGCGGAACGTTTTCGATGGGCCACCCTGTATATAGTTTTATATAAGGGATATTTTTTACATCCTGACAAGAATATCTGTTTCAGAGCATTATTTCCTACGCAGGATTGCGCCACACAACCAGACGACTGACGAACTTTGCAAGAAGAATTTACATTTTCAATCACAAATTTTATTCTGTGAATATGATGTTATTCTGGAGAGTGGTTGTTGGAACCATGTTACTATATGTATGTATAATATCAAGGCGATTAGAATTTTGATGCATAAAGTTAAATTTGCCAGTGAAATAAATGTGTTTTATTATTTATATAATAACATTCTTACCTATAAGTCAAATAGTCCTCCATTATAGTCATTAGCTGTGTCATCTGACAGAAGAGTAAAACTCTGTGCCCTGTTGCTTTCAATTTGGGTAAAATACGGTCCAATAATTCGAATTTCCCCGACGCTCGGTAGATATCAGGTCTAAAATATATATTGTCTTTATATAAAACCAAATGTAATTTTTTTATAAAAACACCCATTTATTTTCTTACCCAGATATCACACCGCCAACTATACCGACATGGTCGCACCATTTTTCTTCAATATGCTGGAACATAAATGGATGGTTGCAAAGCTTTCTCAACTGAACTATTGTATTCATGAGGGCTTTAGCGCCTCCTTTTCCTTTGTTTCCTCTTTCAGAACCATCCGTTAACAAAACTCCCTTGCTCTGCATGTGCCTAAAATTGTGACCGATTAAAATAAATTTAGAATAATATCGTCACCCAATATTAAAACTGAAGATATTATAATCCGCTCATGGTATATTTTAACAAATAATAAAATTATGTAGTTATTTGTTGAATAAAATTATGCAAATTTTTTGGCATACACTCTACAATTGAACTTTTATTCTTGGTACTCTGTATGTGTATAGATAGATTATTATATATTAGATAGATCATTGGGATCTGGGAAACTAGAAGAGATACGAGGTTGGTTAAAAGGAGGCAAAGTTGCACAATTTCATGGTGATCAAAGTGCCAGATTTAAAGTTTAAACAATCTGAATACTGAAAGTATATCTGAACACTTACCAAAAATTAAAAAAAAAAAATTCCCAACCATAACCCTATACAATAATCAAAATAAGGCATATCTCCTGTCAATTTTCTCCCGGTACGGTTGGTTGCGTTTTTTAATGTATTCTATTTTTGCAGACGCCTGACGACCTTGGCGTAATTCTTCGCATGACCTTCACATGCCGTCTCGCGGCCGTCATTCAAGGCCGAGTCGCGGCCTTGAATTTTTTACTGACATCGCGCGTAAAGAAATTTTACATCAAAAAACGAAAATTCGCGATTTCATTTTATTTGAATACTAATGCTACTTTCTTATTCCATAAGATCGTCCTTTTACTTTTTCAAATCAAAGTTTCGTCTTTCTTTAAAAGCGACCCTAGCTTCCCAAGTAGCAAATTTTATTTTATAAAGGCTGTATAAACAGCTATGTGATAATTTTTATAGGATACCTCAATTCATATAACGTGCTATATGACCGTAATATTATAGCTTTACAACCAAAAAAGGCCCATTTTTATACAACCGTTTAGTAGTATAGAAGTTCTATAAAAAGGGTATACAACTCTTATGCAACTATTTTACACAGCGTTATATGACTATTATAAAACTAGTTTTATCGTGTATTACGTGGTCACATCTAAGCAACAGAACAATAAAAACATTTGGTCATTTAGCGAGGTACAAGAGTATTTTATTTTTTACCGAAGAATATTAGGAGCAAATTATATTTTAAGCGTGTCGTAAAATGAATCTAGAGGATGTGGATTGTTAAAAACGAGACTTTACTCGACAATGAAAATGGCGGGAAGAGCCAGAAGGTACAACAAATATATAATATAAAAAATCATTAATAGGGTTTGAAAAGTAGGGACAATTTTTGTTGCGCCGAAAATTTTACTGGTAGATTATAGGTATGTATTTGGCAAAAAATTAAAGCGCTTTAATTTCGATTAAGGTTTACATATAAATTTAAACAATAAAATAAAATAAAATTTTCAAAAATTCTTGTTTTTAATTTAATTAAACACTTTATTACTGTGTGTGGGAATCTTATCACACAATAGTTCTAAAAAATAACATTTTACAATTTATTTTGATGTTTTTAATTTTGCTTCATATAATGGCGGTCATAGGCCATACAAAAATTCTGCTTTAAACATGGCGAATTATAATGCAACCATTTTATTATAAATGAATCCCTTAAATAAGTCTTTGTTGTAAAATAAAACGGTATAGGATAAATATCTATCACTACGCAGAATTTCCAGGCACTATTTTGGACATATTGAGATTTGTGACAAATAGATGTTGCCAAATCTCATTTGATTAGTATTATTATTTAAACTAATGTTTAAATATTAGTATTTAAACTAACAAACATGATCAGATTTTCATGGATTCATGCACGCAATGCATTTCATGCGTGCCCGACGAGTGAGCGGCAAACTAAGGACTTGGAAAAACAACAATAAAACAATACAAACATTACTACAGTAAAACTTTTACATTAACGTGGCAACAATGCTTTGAAGAAGCCGGACAACCCGAGAGATTTTGGCTTTTGAGAACCCAGGAATCTCAGGATTATTTGCCGTAATTTCGAGGAGTTTTTTCTTACATGCTCTTTATAACTACCACTGCGTTTGTTAACTTTTTTCCAACTTTGTCCAGAATTCATAATAGCTGTGATAGATTATACTCGTACGTAGATATTACTTTTGCAACAACAACAATAACAAAATAAATAACTAGGTATACCATTTAATTTAAAATGAGATTATATTATACAATACCAGTTTTATAATGCAGATATTACAGCGAATTTATTTTGTTAATCACAATTTTATCATATAAGGCTATATAACTGGTGTTGTATACAGCACCGTAGTTTAACGCAATAAAACATTCTATCATACAACGTAATACAACTTTAATAAGACAAGTTTAAGTAACTATTATATGGTCTTGTGACTACTAGTTATATGAATATTATAGAACTCTTACATGGTGGGTATAAGAGTCTAATAAAATAATATGTTTGTTATCATATAGCATTGTCTTACTAAGTGTTATACATACTAAAAGAAATTATCGTTTAATGCGTTATAGGATACGTTGTAAAAACCACTAGAAAATAGTTTAATATGACAACTTTTATTAAAAAGCAGAATGGTCGAAACCAAACGCTTAATAAAATCACGCAGTCCTTAAGACAACGCTATTCGACTGTTATAAAATAATTCAATCCTTTTAGAATTTCTGTTTGCTACTTGGGTTTTTTATTAAGGATTTTAAGAACTTCCAAGGTCCTAAAACTAATAATGTATTAGAAACTGTGTTAGAGACACAGAACATCTACCAGAAAATCATTAATATGAATTTTTCGTGTGCGATACATCATTGATTTTGGGCCCTTAGAAGCGTTAATAAAAACTACAGTGAAAGACAAAACGTCAGTTTAAAAATCTGATAAAACCAACTTGAAGAACAAAAAAAGCAATGATGTAAAATGTATTTTGTTATATCGTTGATTGAAAGAATTGGGAAGATACGCAACCTAAAGGCAGATTTACACGTATTCAGTAGCTGGCGCCAGTCCCATTGGTACACACGCTGTGGTGAACCGATATTTTTGCAAATAGGTATAAATAATTAAAAATTATTATTTAAATACAAGGTCAAGCTTCCTTTAAAATCTACAAAGTCCAGTAAGTAAAAATTCTAGAAAAAATCTCAGGGACTGTCGAACGCTGGCCTCATTTCGAGGTCAGTAAACAAAATTCTTTAGAAAAAATGCACCAATTAAAACGCACGTAGCCATCCTAAAAAACGGTGGGGACAATAGATTCTTCGAGAGTAGTGGATAAATTTTACATATAAATACGGGTCCAGAAGTTCATAAAAGAAGTCTTTGGGCAAATATCAGTTGCAGCTCGTCGTAATGCCCAAATGTTGACCAGTTTTTATTTTTTTTTAATTTAATAAGTGAATATTCGAGTAGGGACTTAGAAAAATTATAAAAGTGTTTGAACCTGGGGTAACGCAGTAAATTTGCAAGAGTAAATGAAAATATTCGGTCGGAACTTAGAAAAAACAATAAGATTTAATTTAACATTAATAAACTATTAGGTCGGGACTTGGACAACTAATAAAAGTGTTTAATCGGGAATAACATGGCGAGAAAAAGGAAAAAAAATATTAAATTATTTTTGACTGATTTCGTGCGGAATTATTTATACATATTAACGGTCGAGTTTCGGCGAGTATAAAGAAAAAGGTGCATTCAGAGTCTAACTAGCGCGACGCGTGTCAATATAAGTTGAGGAAGGTAGGTATTTAAGTGCTTTTCGAGTATTGGCCCTGAAAGCAGAAATGATACTTAAAAGTAAGTGATAGATGATAGACAAGTGTGTTATAAAAGTGACTGTATTTTTTTTGAAACGAAACTATAAACTGAATGATACAAGAACTTATGTAATAATCGATTTTAAATTACTTATAACATTTTTAAAAAGGCATTTAATACTGGTGGTTTAGTTTAATAAATATTTTGTATAAACATACTCCAGGGTTTTTCTGTGTTAAACAAAGAGGTATAAAATACCTGATAAATAAGCTCCCTTTTTAACAAGCCAAATTAGTACAAGAGCAGGAACTCAATAATGGACTCATCTGCTGGAAGATAAGAAGAAGAGTGTTCTTGTAGACGCTAACGGGGGAATTGGGCGAAAATAAAGTAAGTGAATATTATTTTCTGGGCCCAAAATTGGCGGTCGCTACAACCAACGCCAGCTCTCTACTGGTGCTGCGCTGAACTATGTCGTTTACCTGTTTACAGTAACTGATGCCAGTTTCGCTGATGTCAGTTGTAACACCAAAGGTTCCAACCCCCAACTGTAATCATATATTATAATACATTGTTTAATGATAGAAAATCCGTATTATTAACGTACTGTACAATATCTGTAAATCTATGGATTAATCCGTAGTTCTGGCAACACTGTCTCCAGCTACCACCCACTCTGTCGACTGAAAGCAGAACTATGGTACAGTATTCTTTATCCGCTGCGCTGTAAACGATCATACGCACGCAGCGGCGCAGAGCTAAATTAAATCACGGACAGATTGGCTATAGCGGCGACGGTATTGCCAGCTACATCTCGGACAGAATTTGTGCTACGAAATCGCTCATAAGGTTGCGTATCTTCTTATTTTTTCAATCAACGGTAATATATTCGTTCGAGTAATAAGAAAATAAAAATGAAGTAGCAAATATTCAGGGGTTTCAAAACTCTTCGGAAATATTCAGAATTTTTAAACTGAATAAGTAGCATTTTGATCAGCATAAAATTGCTTAACTTTGCTACCATTTAACCGACCTGGTATAGTCTGTCCAACTGGAGGATCCCTGACAGTAACAGTGTGCGTCTTTCATTTTAATTCACAGGCAAATTGTAGTTTCTGTCATTTTTTGGATTTCGTCTCTTGAAAACTTCCCCGAGTCGTTGAACATACTATATTTCTTAGAGTTTCCGAGTTCTCAATGATGAGGCTCGAATTTTGGACAGCCTGTACAGAGTGGCTGGAATTCGACGCTCATCATTGGGATATCAGAAACCGTAAGAGATACAGGATCGGTTAAATGGAGGCAGAGTTGCGCAATTTGATGCTCAATAAAATGCCGTATTGCATTTTAATTTTTTTTGGCATAAAATATTCTGGTGATGGAAGTTTCTGTATGTACGAAACGTCGGCAAATATCAAAGTGACTATATATAGTGTTTTAAGAGTGATGAAAGGATTTAATTAAATTGAAAAAAAAATCAGGTCCGTATTTAAAAAATTAAGTTGATGTCGCCAGAAGTCGAAATGTCAGAGTCAATATTTAATCACACAGAGTTATAGAGCAGAAAAAAGTGGCCATGAAAATGTGTTTTTCATTTTAAGTTATCTTAACAAATAAAGCCAGGAAACAAAATTGAAAAGTCCGTTTTTTTTTCGAATATATTCGGAAGTACTCGGAATTTTTCAAAATGCAATACGGCATTTTATTGAGCATCAAATTGTGCAACTTTGCCTCCATTTAACCGATCCTGTAGCTCTTACGGTTTCCGAAATCTCAATGATGAGCGTCGAATTCGAGCCACCCTGTACCCTCCACTCAATATGAAATTAAAAATAAAGTGTAGATCCGCGTGTGACCTACAGTTTCATGAGGTAAATTATTTAATCAAATCTGCAGTTACAAGGAAATCGAGAAATATGTTGTAATATCTTTATTATCTTTATTTTAATATATTCCTGTTATTCCTATATTATTATTAAACTTACCGATACAATACCCTTTGTAAACCGGACATGTCACATTTGATAATGTACTCCACTTTGTCAGGCAATTGAGATTCTACTTCCTTCTTCAGTCTCCTTAACAAGAACGGTCTTAAAACTTTATGCAAACGTCGGATGATCAAAATTGTTTCTTCCTCGTTTAATTCAACCTAAATTATAAACGTAAGTAATATCTGACTTACTAAACATCATATTTAAACGTACCTTTTCACCAGTTGTCGCAAATGGCGCATTGAACCACTGTTCGAAGGTGGAACAGCTTTTGAATATCGACGGCAACAAGAAATTTAGGAGCGCCCATAACTCCGGAAGTTTATTTTGTAGCGGGGTACCAGTAAGAAGAAGACGATGAGGGGCGTTGTAGTGAGTGTTCAACACTTGCGTGAGTTTACAGTGATGATTTTTCATTCTGTGTCCTTCATCAATTATCATATATTTCCACTGGAGCTAAATTTAAGAACAAAAATATAGTATAGAACCTTTCCATATTAAGATTAATAAAGTATCTCTAGCAGATCTTTACATTGATCTTACATGCTCGTGCAATTCACGAAATAATATTAAATCACACGGTATAACCGACACAATTGAAATACAGTCAATAACTGTCCCCACTATGATGAAATAGTTCCTCCAGTGTTCCCTCACACTGTGAAATAGTGGTTGACTGTTATTCCTAAATAACAGTTTTAGGCACTGCTTTAAAATAACAGGTTTCTCTTCCATAGGTTATTATTTTGCAATAAATTAAGGCTCTCGAAATAATTTAGAATAACTCTCTTAAAAATAAGGTGTTGATTTTTGAGGTAAATATACGTTTCGTAATAGTTGGTCGAGGGTTTTTATTTATAGTTTCATGACATGTTTGTTCAAAAATATTCTACAAGCAAAGGTTAACGTCATAAAGAAAGCGGCCAGTTGTATACAAGAGAAAATCGCTGATACACAAATAGGAGATATACCCTGATAGCTTTGGCGCTTTAAGAAGCATCACCATGCAATTAGTAAGATTGAAAACTGTAAGGGACTGCCGAGAAGCACTGTCCTGGCTGCGTCAAGGCGGGGCTATTCTGTGCTGGGTACCAGGCTACAGTAATGTGGTGGGCAATCGAGAAGCAGACAGACTCGCCAAAGAGGGGACCAGTGGAGAGGCCGTGACAGATGACCCACCATTCGTTGTGACGATCAACACACTGAAGGAAGCTATAGGAACTACTATCAAGGACAAGCAGCAACAGACGTGGCAATATCGTGAGGACTGTGCTACAGCTCGAAGACTGTGGCCAGTGGTAGAGCACAAAAAGAACATAGTACGCATAATTGTAGGTGTCCACTGGAAACTGCCCCACGGGGGTAAACCTTGTGAGATGGAGATTTCCAACGACGACTACTGCAGAGAATGCGGGGAGATAGAAGAAACCATAGTGCACCTGCTGTGCCACTGTCCGGCACTGGAATACCAACGCTTTAAAACTTTATGGCAAGGTTTCTTGGAGGGACTAGAGGAAGCAGTAGAAGCCAACATTAGCGACATCGGGAACTCTGCAAAGAGATGAAAGTGCTTTAACATAAATAAAGAATAAGAGGAAGGATTGGTACAACAATACAGGGGTATCGCAATAGGCCCAAGGTCTCCGAGTGAGGAATCAAACATGATCCCAAACCCCAGCAACCTAACCTAACCGGGGGCGCTAGTCTGTACAATCGTCGGTATCGGTAAGTTACGACAGCTCTCGGTACGTATTTGTATATAGCAAATATGTGTTAATTGTTGTTGTCATAGTTATCGATCGGCCCTATGACAGATATCGCAAATTTGTACCACGAGGATCGGTCTCTATACCGTGTCCTTGTTAACCCCAGTGTAGAGATACCGATAGTCGTCGGTACAAATTTGCTATATGTCCTATTAATGACACCTAAAGCTATGACAACAATTAACACGACGCTCATTGGCCGTACGTACCGATAACTGTCGGTAACTTATCGATACCGACGATTGTACAGAATAGCGCCCCTGATATGTTTTGTAGAATTTTGATTCTTAGATCATGTAATGAATGTGATTATTTAATAATGATTAGAGAAGTAATAGAGAGATAAAATAAAAATGTAATTAATTGGATTTTAATATACATAGTACCACACACATATAATCGAACAAAAACGGCGTCCAGTTGGCTGGGAAATAAACATGGATGACATTTCCCATATAATTTTACATATAAAATAACAACGATTTTCATTTCATAGCTATCGCAGAGGCCTTTTTTTCGATCATAAGGTATTATTTATACCTGTTATTTTTCAACTATATTGTTGCACTGCTTACCTTTGCCAAAACTCCTTTATCTTTTATGACATATTCATATGTAGTTAACAGAACATTGAACTTGGTCGAGCGCATCTGTCCTTGAATTTGCCTTCTACCTGCGGGTGATCCTTTATAAGAGACTACAACGACGGATGGTGACCATTTTTCAAATTCTAGCACCCAGTTCGATAGAGTCCTAGAGATATACATATTATACAATATGTTAATCTTAATAAAAAAAACGTAATAATAATAATTTTACTTACGATAAAGGAACTATAATTAGGAAAGGTCCGTTAACTTTCTTCTTTTCCATAAGGTAAGTTATCAAAGCTATCGTTTGTATCGTTTTACCCAAACCCATTTCGTCTGCCAAAATTCCGTTTAAATTATTGTTGTACAGGGATACCAACCATTCCAAACCTAAGAAAAATTGAAACACTTGAAAATCAAAATACAATACATCAAACACACATTTGAGCCGTTCACTGAACAATTCGATTAACTCCAAAAAGAGCTAATACTCTAAAACGTCTAGCAAACAGGGCGACGATGTGATAATTCATCTGGCTCTTAGTACGAGTCTCTGAATGAATGTTATCTTGTAAAATAAATAAAATTACAAAAATAAAAATAAGCTAATTAAATTGACTGTCTAAAAACATTATTGACAAACAAGAAAGGGGGTGAGGTGAATGAACGTATTTATTTATAACTGAGAAGAATGTCGTCTGTCCAACGAGTCAGGGGACATACGGCATCCAAAAAATAACGGAAAATACAATTTACGTGTGCATTAAATAATACGCATGTCAATGTATCTCATCGTTGCGCAGACTATAGATGTACCTTTTATTTGATATTCTTTCAATTTGCCATTAATCATTATCGAAGCCTGTTCTGTAACAATTTCATGAACGGTATGCGCAATGCCATAGTACGTTTGTTCTTCTCCAGATCTTTTATGGTATTCGTCGTCTTCAACTTTCGCTTTTTTGATTAAAGCCTTCGCTTTATCCTCTTCAGATCTTAGTTCCGGGTCTATTCTATCTCCTAAAATATAGACATATTTAAATAAACTTATTGTAATAACATAATTAGGAAAAGTATAATAAAAGAAATTTCGGCCCTATAGAAATCAATAAAAGTTGTGCACGTCATCAAAATATTTGACGGATGTACGTCGCAATGTGGTCACGGCTACTTGTTTTACTTTGAGTCTTGTGCAGTGTCTAATAAAATTTGTAATTTTGTCACCATTTTCTAACTTCATTTTAGACAAACTAAATATACAAATACTTTTTTTATATCTACATTATTACTTTTACTAACGCCTGTGATTTTTACACAGCCAAATTGTATTTTACTAAAGTTATTAGTACATTTTCTTATTGCTGCTATATTACTTTAGCGGCCATTCTAGAATCATTAAAATCATTTCCAGCAATTTCTCTTGAACTCTTTAGTACAAGATGTTTTTTCCATAGGTTCTACGGCTAAGGCGAGATTCTCACTATAACATAAACATGAAACTGGAAGTAAATGGGAAATGGGCGTTGCCACGACGCGACGGCGACATTACGGGTAGTGTGAATATGTTCATTGTTGGCCAGTTAAGAATATTTACCATGAGGGCCGGCAGTAAGCCGGCGCACAGTGCTTCGAACATATGGCTCTAGAGGACAAAAATGCAAAACTTCTCTTTTATTGTAGGCAATTTATTCAAACTAGGTTTATTTGACACAAATGATGAGTACTCTCATTGTACTAAATGATGATATTCTTAGTCCCACGTTTATGAAAAAAAAAATCTTATAAATAATAAAAATGTTGGAGCTGTGTTCCATCTAAGGAAATATTCATTTATAGTATGAAAACGGTGTAAGTATTAAATAAATCCCTGTGATAAAAAAGAATTGGAATAACATTAGTACATGATTTCTACAATATAAACCTAATATAAGATAAAAATGTTTTTCTTTAATGAAAAAGAAACATTAATGCTATATTTAATTAAAAAAAACTTAAGATACTGTTGCGAGCCGGTGTGGACTCGACCTAACCTCACAATATGGCCCGCCCTCGGATGACCTTAACATCGCATAGACACCGCAATGATTCATTCGTTCGAGAAGAACCGAGACCCACTAGAATGGACTCGTACATACGAGAACATTCGAAAATCTTCTCTTTGCGCCTAACGATCTTTGGACTATTCTAGATTTCTTTTACCTGTCGGTATAAAAGCCGGCGGCAGTGGCCTAGAGAGGGCAGTTATAAATATACAGTTGACGCGCTAAAATTCAAAATAAATTCTTAGTTATAAATCGTTTGTAAATAGTTCTATAAGTCTTTTATCGTTATTATTTTTGTTCATTAGTGTTAAATAAATAGTGTTTAAATAAATTGTGACTTTCTATCCACACGGAACCGACGAAAAACGTAACAATTGGTGTCAGGTGTGGCGTGTGTGATAGACTAGAAAAATAAAAAGACTAACAATGGCTGCGAAGAAATTGTTGAAAGACTTGAAAGTGTCCGAACTGAAATCCATATTGGAAGAGAGAGAGTGCGAGACAGATGGAAAGAAAAGCATTTTGCAAACCAGACTGAGAGACGTTTTAAGGGAGGAAGGCGAGGATCCGGACACATTTTGCTTTGAGTTCGAAGGTGACCTTGACTCGTGCCTACAAAAATTAGAAGCTAAAATGACGGAAAACTCTCAAAAATTAGAAGACAGTTTGAATGACAAAATTACAGAAAATTCCCGGGAATTGCAAGACAATTTAAACGACAATTTGAATAGTAAAATAATTGACTTGGAAGTTAATTTAGAAGATAAAATCACAGAGAATTCTCAAAAATTAGAAGACAGTTTGAAAGATAAAATTATGGAAAATTCCCAGGATTTAATTAATATTTTAGAGGATAAAATCATAGAAAATTCTAAAGATCTACAAGCCAGTTTCAATGACAAAATACTTAATTTAGAAGAAAGTTTAAACAATAAGATTATAGAGAATTCTACGGAACTACAAGACAAAATAACGGAGATTGAGGAAGATGTAAATAGAAAAATCGAAATTTTAAAACAAGAAATAGAAAAGGCCAATTCACCAAAATGTCAAGAAACATCGGAGGCACCGAAACTAGTCGAAAATAAGTATATCTCAAAGTCAGTTATTAAGCCTCCACAGTTTGACGGAAAAACCGCTTGGGCCAATTATTTTTGCCAGTTTGAGGCCGCTGCGAGAGCGACGGATGGACAATCGCTGAAAAGGCTACCGCTTTGACTGTCGCACTGCGAGGAGATGCGACTGATATCCTGCAGACACTGTCACCATCGGAACAGGGAGATTATCAGCAATTGGTACGACATTTAGAAATGAGGTACGGCCAAGCTCATTTGGAACATGTCTATCATTCACAGCTAAAAAATCGCATTCAAAAGTCAAATGAGTCTCTGCAGGAGTTTGAAGCCGACGTAGCCCGCCTGGTTCGCCTTGCGTATCCTGCTACGCCCGAGAATGTTATGGAGCGGTTGGCAGTACAGACATTCTCCGATGGCTTACGTGACAGGGAGACAAGGCAAGCGCTTCTTCTAGCCCACCCAACGCGCTTGGTGGATGCTTTAGCACGTGCCCTAGAATTTGAGGCCGCGAAACAGTTCTCGGTCTCTAGTGAGAGTACGGGCGGTCAACCAATGTTCCGACAAATCCGTGGAAAGCATTGTACGGAAAGTCATGGAGGAGTACATGGGCAAGAAAGGACCGACTTGTTGCTGGAATTGCGGCCAGGCAGGACACGTAAGAAGTCACTGTCAAGAAAAAGACGTGGACTCGGTTTCGCCAAGTGTCGAATCAAAGGGACACATATGGAGCAGTACCCAACAGGTTCCAACGAAAACTGTTCAAGTCGCATCGCTACAACACAAGTTCAACAGCATTTTTGTGGCTAGTTTCGTGGATGGAGAGTTACGGACCATGCTGTTGGATACGGGTGCGACCAAAACGATCATCAGGCCGGATATCCTTAAAACATCAAAAAGGATTAAAACAACACAATGGCGACTACGTACAGCTACAGGAAGCTGCGCTCTCATCCATGGAGAGGTAGATCTTAATTTTGTTATCGGAAGCACCTGTTTTAATCATCGAGTGTTAGTAGCAGACATCGAAGATGAACTTATTCTCGGAATGGACATCGTGACCACTAGAGGTTTTGAACTAAACCTCAAACAAGAAATTTTGAAAATAAATGAAGAAGAAGTGGTTCTACATCGAAAATGTGAGGAGACGCTTCGCGTGGTAGTAGCAGAAGATGTTTCGATCCCTGAGCGCTGTGAGATATTTTTGGATGGTCGCCTGGAAGGTAAAACGAATAATGGGAGTATTATTCTGTTGGAGCCAAGGAACCATGACAGCGAAATAGGACGAGGGGTCGCTGTTGGAAAACCCCTGCTACGAGCGAAGAAGTCTGTACCGGTAAGAGTAATGAACACGAATTATCATTCTGTATCCTTGAAGAAGGGAACCCTGTTAGGGTACTGTTGTTCGGCCTCCTCAGTCATTCGAAGCGTGGAAGCCTCCAAAGTTTCGATTTCAAAAATTCCGGACAAAATGGTTAAGGAGTTAGTAAACGTTAAGGGATTATTTCCCGAAGATAGTAGAAAATTGAGAAACCTGATAATCAAGTATCAAGATGTGTTTGATAAAGGAGAAGCAGGACATAGAGGTCGTACCAATTTAGTACAACATAAAATTGACACCGGAGATGCACGACCAATCAAACAAAATCCGAGTAGACTGCCGCTCGCCAAACGTGAAGAAGCTGACAAAATCCTTCGAGAAATGAAAGAAGAGGGTGTCATCGAACCATCTAACAGCCCGTGGACATCGCCGGTAGTACTAGTAAAGAAGAAAGACGGTACCACCAGGTTCTGTGTTGATTATCGGCAACTTAATAATGTTACCAAGAAGGATAGCTATCCCCTGCCGAGGATAGACGATACTCTAGACACATTGGCGGGGTCAACGATATTCTCTACGTTAGATCTGAAGAGTGGATATTGGCAAGTCGACATGGCGCCGAAAGACAGAGAGAAGACAGCGTTCTCGGTGGGCTCCGGACTGTGGCAATTTACCGTCATGCCTTTTGGATTGTGCAACGCGCCAGCTACCTTTGAGAGACTAATGGAGTCTGTGTTAAAGGGACTATCCTGGACTACCTGTTTAGTGTACCTGGATGACATCATAGTGGTTGGGAAATCCTTTGACGATCATCTGAAGAATTTGGAAGAAGTTTTCAAGCGACTAGGGAGCTCTGGTTTGAAACTTAGCCCCAAGAAATGTCATCTGTGTCAAGAAAAGGTACACTACTTGGGCCATGTAGTCTCCTCCCAAGGAGTTGCAGTAGATCCACAGAAGACCAAGACAGTGGAAGAGTGGCCGATACCTAAAGATAAACATGAACTACGAAGCTTTTTGGGACTATGCACATACTATCGCCGCTATGTACGGGGTTTTGCCACCATCGCAAAACCATTGACCAGACTTACCGAAGGCGAGAGGCGTTTCTCTTGGGACTCAGATTCTGACGAGGCATTCCGAAAATTGAAGAAGGCCCTGACTAGTGCACCCATACTTTGGCAACGGAAACTTTATATTGGATACCGACGCTAGCAATGTTGCGTTAGGCGCTGTTCTGTCTCAGATCCAGGATGGTCAAGAAAAAGTCATTGGTTATTTTAGTAAGACCTTGTCAAAACCGGAAAGGAACTACTGTGTAACCAGACGAGAATTACTAGCAGTAGTTAAAGCAGTGGAACACTTCTACAAGTATCTCTATGGAAGAAAGTTCTTGTTAAGAACAGACCATGCTGCTTTGAAATGGCTGTTGCAGTTTAAGAATCCTGAAGGGCAGGTAGCTAGATGGATTGAACGATTACAAGAATTTGACTTCGACACAGAACATCGAGCTGGGGCAATCCATCGAAATGCCGACGCACTTTCCAGAAGACCTTGCGCTAAGGACTGTAAGCATTGTTCCCGAGC